TATGAAATGTATACAAGCGCGATATACCACCTCTCTTCTTCCTGTTCTTCTTTCCCTTGTCCACTTCAACACCAACATTACTTCCACCCCCTTCCCACAACCCCTCCCCTACAAGATCCGCCAGGTGCAACACGCGATGCTGCACCGTTGCGCCATCCCTCCGATTCTTCCCTTCTCTTCGACTACTGCTAATCCTCTCCGCAAACCTCCAAAGCGGGCCGTCGGCGATGATCCCCTTCTCGCCGCGCACTGGTACCCACTCCTCGTTCAAGCGAATCATACTCGGGCTCTTGTCCTTGGGCTTAGTAACCACAATCATGCCCTCGTCTTCGAAGCGCGTGTACGCGTTTTTCAGGGTTTCTTTGTTCACGGCTTCGAAGTAGGACAGGTCGCCTTGGTGGTACAATGTCTTGCCGAAGAGCTGTGCGCGGTTTTGCACGGCTTTCATGTCGAGGTAGGTGGAGGAGGAAGGGGGGTGGGATAAGGGCGGTGTGAGCATCATTAGGCTGATGCAGCCGAGCCAGGCGGCTTCGATGAAGGGGAAGATGAGGAAGAGGTAGAAGTCGAAGTTTTCGCGGCCGGATTCGCGCTCCGCTGGGGTGAGTTCGATCCATTCGATGCGGCCTTTGCCATCCTCTGGATCGGATGTCGGTGGAGGAGCGTGTGATCTTGATGACGTTGTCTGATTCGAGGCCTGCGAGGGTGCGGCGCAGGTTGTAATCGAGGCCTTCGGTGGGGAAGATGAATTCGCCGCGGAACAGCTGCGAGAGGAAGTATACTTGTGAGTGCATGTCGACGTAGGAGATGCGTTGGTATTCCGGGCCGCCGCCTTGTTTGACTTTGGTGTAAAGCGCGGCGCTGACGAGGGATTGCAGGATGAAGAGATGTATGGTCATATTGCGGTAGAAGGAAAGCTGGAAGCGGTCGACGGCGTAGAATGTGTCTTCTGGTAAGCCGGGGACCAGGCCGACTAGTCCTGGGCCGAGCACGTCGAGTGCGCGGTCGACAACGACGCTGGTAGCGAGGTTGCCGAAGTGGGCGACTCTACCGCCTTGTGCCCTTACTCTCTCGCTGAGCCATTCCACGCGTCTTATGAGTTCAGACTTGCCGACGCCGCGCCCACGGAGTGTTAGTAGTACTGTGCCAACGAGCGCCGTTGGCATGACTACTGAGACATCGTTGATATCGGACAGTACCTTGTAGCCCAGTGTTCGCAGGAGTCGTAAGCGATTCTCTTTTGTATCGAGTTGTTGTGGCAGCTTGCTGAAGCGCTCGCGTTGTTCGTCAATGAAGGTGCGTAAAGACCACGGTTCATGAAATCGGACATCAACCCGGCCAAGCTTCAGCGACAGCACAGATGATGCCGAAAGGAAGTCCATTAGGTTCTCCTTGGGTTTTGGCTGGCCGAGTAGCTCGCTGATATAGGAGTCGACTTCAATGACCTTGTCGTACTGCGTCGATACCGGGCATATGATGGCATCCTTGACCCGTCCACTTGCAACACTATCGAGCATATAGCTCAAGATGCCGAATTTTGGTGGCAGAAGCTTTCCCGTCCGGCTCCTGCCCCCCTCCACAAAGCATTCCATATTGTAGCCGGTCTGTAGCAGGGTATCGATGTATGCCTGTACCAGCGTGATGTAAAGTTGATCGTCTCCAAAGCTCCTCCGTATCCACATGGCGCCCGCATGTTGCAAGAAAGACCCGACGGCCGGGAAGTTCAAGTTGTCGCCCGCAACGACCGTCGGAAGCGCAAGTCCAATTCGGTAGCATATAATCTGAAGCGAAACGTAATCGACATGCGACCGATGGCACGGCAGGAAGATGATAGACTGTTTATCCTTGGCCGCTTTCTCCGCAACCGCGCGCAGACGAAGCACCTCCTCGCTAGAGACGTGCACGCCCTGGTGATACGCCCGAGTCAACAGCTGCGAAGCGAACCAATATGCGCCGCGAATGAAGCGCTTGCTCTCCATCTTGCAGATCATGTTGTCCGTCCAGCTGTCGCTGACTTCCATCAGCTGCTCTTCAATCTCCTCTCTCCGCTTCCTCTTTTGGTCTTCCCCCGCCACACCACTGCCCTTCTGAACATCCTCGCCCAGGAGGCCCTCTTTTGCCTCTACCTCAACCCGCTTCGCCGCGAGCTCTCGGACTTTGGCGACGAGCATGGGACTGCTCAGCACTCGGGCCTTCATGTCTTCGCTGAAGCCCGAGTAGAACTCTGGCTGGCCAATGTGATTGTCGAATGAGCGCCACCCGGTGCCTGAGAAGTGCATCGACACTTCGCGTATGAAGTCGAGCGGCGACGAGCGGAAGCGTGCCATGCTCTGGATGAGCCCGCGCTCGGGAGACTCCTCATAGCCGGCAGTGTGTAGGTATACTCGATCGTCCGCGGTTATGCTGAGGTCAGGTGCTTGTTCGGCGGGCGAGGGAGTCGCAGAGTGTTTGCGACTCTTATCTGAGGTCGTCATGGTGGCTAGTGATTGGATTGAACAGCGGCCGGCTTGATGCGTCGGGTTCTATGTGAGCGCGGTTGGCCGCGGAGGTGTCACGGGCAATTGCGTGGAAGAAGCATACAATGAGATTAATAGAGCATTATTGTGTCATGGAGTTGAAGAGTACATAGCATCGTGAAACATGATGGCAGGAGGCACCTTGGAAGAATAAGGTTGGAGCGCAATGACATCGCCCAAGCGGGAGGGCCGATTTCCCCAGGTCGTCACGATCACGCGTCTGTGCCTCGGCTTGTGGAGAAGCCACGGAGACTGCCGCATCATGGCCCAAAGCATTTGTCTCCGGCAATGCATCAACCAAGATTTCTTCAACGCATTATATATTGCCAATTCAAATTAGCAGAGCATCACCTGACCGATTTAGGGTTTCATAAATCTACGTTGCCCGCGTCGGAATTCCGTTAAACCCTCCAGGATGGCCATTCACCGACACAAAACATCCAAGCGAGTCAAATAAAGATTTACATGAATGTAAACCAGGGAATCATGGTACTGCCCATCAATCTTGATTCGCTTGAAAGCTTAGTAGCTTGTTTCCTACACCATCTCAGCCTCAGTCCAAAAGTCTTCCCAATACTTGGCCCATCTGACTTCCAGCTGGACAAGCCACGTTTTGAACGGCACCTCTTCCGTTCCGATTTTCATGATACCACTCTTCATACCTTTCCATCCCTGTATCGGCCCTCTGATGTGCTTGTGGCCCTCTGGGCATATGGTGTGCCAATCTGGCTCGAGTTCACCTTTCTCTCGTGCTATCTTTTTCTGGTAGCACCCCTCGCAAATGTCCATGTCGATACAGTACATGCAGAAGTACGCGCCGCTTGACCAGTCGTTGGATACTTGGCCACAGTAGTTGCAGTAGAAGGAGGCATTCTCGTTTAGGTCTTCGTCTGGATGGTTCATGGTGGTCTTGGGTGTGCTTTCTTCGACAGTGTCTGGCTTTGCGTTCGTAGGAACGCCGTTCTCGGTGTTGATAACGTTTTTATCTCCGCCAGCGCCGGGATCAGAGTCGCCATTGACGAGAGCGTCGATGGACTGGGCGACTGTCGGAGCTTCCTGCTCCACCACAAGGCCATTCTTTGTTTCAACACCATCAACAGGCGCTTTTCCTCCATCACTCAACGCCTGAGAATCCTTCTCCTGGGATGTGTTCTCGGCTTCGCGCTCTTTGCGATGTACTTCTTCGTCTACAATGTACAAATGTGCCGTGTAAGCTATGCTAGCAGCGTCTTCGAATCCTGGAATGCAACGAAGCACTCGCGCCAATCGCCGCAATGCAAACTGGTCATTCAAGCCTTGATCATCACGAAGTTCTTCCACGCAATTCTGGAACCCAGCGTTCAAGCGGTCAGACATATCCAGGGTAGAGCCGAGCCGTCGCTGCATGAGTGCGACGGTAACAACCAAGTGCGATTCGCCAGGGTTATACACGCTCGGCAACACTTCAGCAGGCTTTTCGAGCAGCTTGATGGTCTCCTCCAACGCTCTTTGTTTGGCCCGAGGATCATTGGATGTTCTGAAGTCTTCCACCAATATCTCAGCGAGTTGGTTGCAACCGTCCAAAACGCGCCAGGTCGGTGTTTTGGGGTCATCGATCATTTCTCTGAGTGACGCTCTGGCGAAAGCTACATTGCCGAGCGCCTGGCGGGCGAAAATAGCCGCAGAGGACTGCAGGCGTGTCTTCAATTCCGCAGGCTCAAACGACCAGGTACTGACTGCTTTTTGGGCTGCGTCGTACATATCGAGCATGTATTGGCCTTCACCTGCGCGCATTGCAGCTTCCTGGACCACCTCGGCTGTATCCGAGATCAGATACCAGGTAAGGTCTGTCTTGCTGAGAAGCTTCAAGAGCTTGATGATTGTAGTGAGCTCTCCAGCCTTGTGTAAAGCGCTTGTGATGTCAGGCAAGTTACTCGGAGGCACTTGTGATTTAGTCTCCAGCCTCTCCTTGACCGCATCAAGTACCATTTCCGACTTTCCCAGGAGTGCAGCCACATGCGCCGTGTTTCCAAAGTTGAACGATGCACATGACCGAATGTCATCGTCAACCTGACCCGCTTTGCTCATTTGGTGATAGAGTTCGTTAGCTTGGCAGAAGATAGGGAGCGACTCTTCAATGTATTGCCGTTTCTTCTCTTCGTCATTCAATTCAACCTTGGTTCCCAGCCACCACAAACCTTCTGCTTTGCACGCTAGCAACATGAATTTCTCGGATGTATCGATTGTGTCATCTTCAAGCCCTTTGTCGAACTGTTTTAGAGATGGTTCGTACAGTCCACAGAGGTCCATTGCCATTCCAATGCCCCTGAAGGACGAAGAAGTCTTGACTATGTCCCAAAAGCAGTTGGCAACCACCTCGAAAGATCGCGTTGTGAAAGTATTGTCCTCCTCCACGAATTCTACGAAATAATCTCCAAGAGTCGGGCTCTGCTTTAATTCAGGGAGATTTCGACCCTCCCGAAGTGCAGCATGAGCACTGACGAAAGCACTGTATGCCTCTCCTTTGTTACTGGAAGAGAACCAGTTCTTGATGTGTTCACGGGCTAGACCGATAAAGACACGTAGTGGCTGTTGGGCCAGCGGCCGGAACCAATCCAAGATACCGTAAGGCAGTTGATTTGGAGGCAGGGGCATGGCGCGTTTGGCCCAGGCCGACAATGCAACAAGCACTTCTTCCTGAGGGATTTCTTCGCCATTGAGAATGGTCTTGGAGCCTACAGCGAGCAGCTCCAGAGGCTTCAGGGAGTCGCTCTTATTTGTGAGGACACTGTAGATGCTCTCGATAATGAGCTTGGCCATATCGTCGCTGATGTGGTCATCTTCACCAATTTTGATCTCTAGTAGATGAGAAAGCCACCACCTAGCAGCGTAACTCAGCAATTGCTGTCCAGCGGGTGTCTGGTCTTTCTCCGGTGCTGTCAAGATGGTAGCGCACGTCCGGAATATTATTGCCTGCGCCTCTGTAGCTGTGCATCGCAGACCATCTGGGTGATCTTGAATAGCGCTTCGGAAATAGGCTTTGAGGGATCGTTCTTGGAAGCTCAAGAAGTTACTCGCATCCTCTGTCCGGCTCACAGCGTCTTCATCCCCTTCGCTGATTCGTTCTTCATCTCCACTGGAGTCGTCCTGCCCAACTTCTGCCCGATCTCCTGAAATGCGGAGAAGTCTAGATAAGCGCCCATCAAGTTCCTCCTCGATGCTGATTGCGTTGTCCTTCTTGAGTATTCCTATGAGCATATTCGCTTCTGAAACCGTCATTTTGGTCTTCATGTATGCTAACCACGCGAGTAAGGCTCTCAGCAACTCTTGGTCTTCTGAAGTACGATTCTTCTGGCATTCCTCGAAGAGCATGCGATAGAGGGCCGTGGTACTCCCGGGTAGGTTTTCTAGCTCTTTCTTGATGGGCCCTTCGCGACCAATGGCATTAAGTCGGCGCATAGTATGGTCAATGTACACCAAGGCTTTGGACGTTGTCAGCACAGACTTCAGGTTGCGTTTCTTGTAGCGTGTCTGCGTCTAGGAAGAGATCCGCCCATCTTTGAGCTTCATGTACCGCTCGAGACTTACAATCTGCTTTTTGCATCACCTTCTTACGTATCGTCTTCCGTACTTCGAGCCTCAGCTTCCGCAAACGAGATAAGGTCTTCGTTCTAGACCAGGTAAATTTGCGCATGTCATGTATCATCCTGTCGCGGCTCAGCTCGATAAATTGTGGTTTTAATGAAGACAAGTCCTGCTTCTTCTCCGGGTCACACGTGAACTGTACGCGACGTTAGTCAGCAGCTGATGGGATAGTCCTGCGAGATCGAAAAGTTCAGAGCATAGCGTGGATACCCCTTAATACGTAAAGAGGAGAAAATTGACTTACTAATTCACAGTTAGCGAGTCAATTGAGCGGATTGGAAGTCTTTTGTGTCATACCTATGACTTGAATCGTGCATTGTAGGCTCCTGATCTTTGTCAGTAGCTCTTTGAACACTGGAAAGTCCTCCTCATCAATCTGATCAATCCCATCCAGAACCAGAATCAACCGTCGATCAGACTCCTTGGTAAATCTTGTTTCTATCAAGAGCTTCCATGCGTCTTCGTTCTCTTCAAGGCGAAGGCCATATGGATCATCTCGTTGCAAAGTGCTTAAGACCTCCGTACAATATTGAGCATCTTTCTTTGCAGCGCGGATCGCACAGTATCGAAGCATGTTGTTCACTGACCGCATTTCAAAATGCTCCTCGTCGAAAGGAAACCAAGTGATGCATGTCGTAGATTCCGCGGAAAATTGTTGTTCCAGATAGTTGAACATATAGTAGGCGAGAGATGACTTCCCCATACCAGATTTCGCGCTCACACAAAGAATGCTTTCTTCCTCATCGATAATTTGTCGAAAGGCCGCATCTTGTTGGACCCAATCAAAAAGTCCTTGAATGCCAGAGAGCTGCATGTCAGCTAAACGCTCACTGACGCCGCCCTCAGCCTGGTTTTTGAGAAGGTTCCATAGTCGCTCAAAGTTCACCGGCCTACTGGCACCGGACTTCATGTTCCGCTGCTTGTCCTTGTTATCCTTCGACTGCATCTTGTCTAGCTTTTTTGCTATGTCATTTTGGAGACGCAGCATCTCTGTCCCTGCAGTTGCGTTATTGATTGACGTATGAATCAGTTGTTGCACTCCTGTTTCGGTACGCATGGCGACGCTGAAAGTTTGCTGGCTCGTTTCCAATGTCTGCATGGACATGGCCGATATTCCTCCCAACTGGCCTTGAATGGCTTTGACATTTTGATTGGTCGATCTTGCATCCTCGCTGATCTCGATTGTCGTTCTCAGCGTCTTCATGATTATCGCAGACTCTAGGTCTTGAAGGCTCCCCGTGAGCTTTTCGTATGCGGCTTGTAGTTCGGGGTCTTTGCCGTCAACTAAAGCTTTCGCCCATTTAGAGAAACGGCCCTTCGCACAATAGGCGCGTGCTATCGCAGAAAGCTTCAGGAGCGACGAGAACACGGTGACGACGAAGATCTGAAAGTCTCTCTCGGCCGGAATCTTGTCTTCCAGTAGCGAGAGGCGCTTCAAGAATGATTGCATGATGCCAAAAAAGCCCTCAATCATATCGTAATCATCAGAGATGTGCTTTGACGCAGTCATGACGAATGTGAACGCGGTCAAGATGGCTGAACTGGGAGGGAAGGCAGCACTTGCGGCGTCTGCTACGTGTTGCGCAACGCCTTGGATAATGTCTGCATTGCTTGAGATCATGGTCCGAAATCTGTCGAGCTTCCCTTTGTCATGTCGGAACACTGCAAAGTTTTCCAATTGACGTTGTTGGTCCATCTGAAGATTGCTAGGTTAGCAACAAACACCTAGGATGTCCGAAAGTGGTCATGTTCCTATTCAACAAGATTTGGAAGGTAGGAAACATCGGTTACCATGATAGTATTGACGCTGCGCTGCATATTTAGACGGCCGCGCATGTCGATGTCCGTTACTCGCTTGTAATCATTCAATGCCTCCTCCCACAACGCCGCGATATCGCTCTGCGGCTGCAAAAGCGCCATACTGAAGATGTCGCGCGGTGGACTTCAAAACGTCTAAGCCGCTTAGCAAGCAGAAGTGAAGGTCACGGATGCGAAGCTCGAAGCACTCCGCATTCGAAAGCAAGATCAAGTCAGGAAGGCTCGAAGCGCACCACTGAGTTTATGATACAAAAGCTATCGCAGTTCCGGTCAAGCTTATGGCATCAGCTCATGCAGCCATGTCGAAGAGCCATGTGCACTTTAGCTTGTTGGCCCCCATGTTTTGGCCCCCAACATGTCGAGACTTCGACATGCTTGAAGAAAAACAGATTCCCTATGCACATCGAAAAGTCAGGATTGAAACAGAAATCGTCGTGGCCGAAAGACCACGAGGCGCCGATGATGAGAAAGGTCGTTGATTCTGCTCATCGCCATGGGCTGAACATCCTGCCGCAGAGCTGCTTGAGGCAGGCGGTGCCTAAAGACGCGGGCTTGCGAGTAGGACGCTAGTCAGCCCCACTCTGGTGGGGCGCCGTCTTAACTCCTGTCCGCCTCGAAGAGCTGAAGAGGCAGTCTGTATACATTCGAAAACTCCGAAAGGTTTAGACAAAGGATCTTGGATGGACCAGCATGTGTGTATATACCCCTTTACGACCTCATTATGGGTATGCTCCAGAAGATATGGTATCAGCTCATGTCGTGTCGCGTACGTGCGGAGCGCGCCACACCGTTTCTCCCTGCCGCCCTTGCACTCTAAAAAATATTGCAAGGCTGTTGTTGATCGGTGTGGTGCACTCGCTGCTTTTATGCTTCACTTAGACTACCTCACCAGTACAAGAAATGAAATTCAGGAGCTAATAGCTGAGCAGCTCAAGATGGAGATACCATATCTACCACAGTCCAAGCTGTCCCAAGTCCCCGAATGCTGTACGGAGCTTAATCTAGCCAGATTATCCTCTCCTCGTCTTTCCTAATCTTCACCCACTCTTCGGCAGCAAGATCACTGAACTGCACCACACCGACTCTACGAAATGCATTTCCATCTCTTGCTGGCAGGTCTCTATCCTGCTTTGCGACTCGGTGAAGACATGCATTCAGGGCACCAACGCCCCAGCGCAACATCTGTAATTCTGTCTTCCGGGCCGCATAAGATTTGCTTTCCTGAGAATCATACTTGTATGAGTTCACCAAGTAGGATACCTGTTCCACGAGTCTTGATCGAGTAAGCCGCCGGTAGTCATGAGTTGACATGAGCACCAGTGCACTCCCGGCATAGGTCGTTTCATCATCGCTCGTTTTTTGAGCGACGAGTGGCAGAAGGTGAAATTTGAAGAGCTTGAATAGGGCCTCAGGAGGGTCCTCGTCCATTATCACATTCTGTCTCTGTGCAGGACCAGTTTCTGCGCACTCGAACGTGAAGGTTCCATTAACCGATTGCCTGTAGAGCCGTCCGGGGATGAGGTAACCTCGCACGGCTAGCGAGTCAGACGCCGCAAACTGAGGCTGCATGTCCCTATTGATTGCTTTGTCTTTGAAATCGGAGAAGCTGAGTGGGGCACCCTCGTGATTCTTGATAGTGTAGCATCTTTTCGCCACAATGCGATCATGGATCTGGACGGGCGCGTTCACCGAAGCCCATGACCAGCTAGGAAACACAGCCTGTAAAGAAGCCATTCTAGATTCCGGCTTCAAGGCTTTTACCTGCCAAGCTAATTGCTCGTGCAAAGCGATTGACCACAGCCCGCAACCATATTGGTTTACAGGTTGCAGATTGTCTCTCACTAGCTTTGCAACACTCCAAATCGCAAAGGCCTTGTCGGCTTGGTTCGTAAGTTCGCAGGAAGTGTAATTCAGCACAGCAGTCTTCCAGAACGATTCCAACGAGTCTTCTACCACGAGACTTGACTCATCTTGATCGGAATTCTTCCGTTGCAGTCGACCTCGCCAGCGACGATCTGTTGTGGCTGTTGCAGATAGTGCGAAAGGTAGACCTTCTGGCAGGGTCTCACAGGCACTGATTGTACTACAGTCCCAAAAGACTTGGGAGCGCGTGAAGTGGATGATACGAGGAGAAAGCATTCTCTCTGCACGGCATCAGCAATCATTCGTCGAACGAGCACGTTTTTTTTTACCTTGGAACACCCAGCCACGCGTGTAAATAGGGCTCCGGAGTAGATCCTTTGCCCAGAGTTCTTTATCCAAAACAACCCATGGTTCATCGACGTTCATGCCCGACAACAAGTTGTCAGGGCGGTCTCTGAACAGTCCGCCCTCTCCATCCCGCGAGTCTGCAGCGACTATATTGCAGTAGGAATTTTGGTATACTAAGTGCATGTATTGACCTTCCTCTCTGAAATCTCTGTCCTTGCCAGCTTGGCAGATACACAAGGAGTCGATCCAGATGTATTTCATTCCGATATGTTGCGCAACTTCGATTGCTTGCTCGAAGTTCTTGTTCCCGAGATCAGACGCCGTGAAGCCATCTCCCATGAGCCGAGTCTTGTTCTCTGTCGTAAGTCTCAAGAACGTTGGTTCGCGTCCCCAGCTATGACTGAGTGTAACGTAAGGTCCTTCTTCCTTCTTCTCCCTCTCGATCACCCGATAATGTCCTATGATTCCTGTGTCGATATCTACGAGTCGTTTGGGTACATATGGTTTCAAATTAGGACGTTTGCAGTCAATGTGCCCTGTATTGCACGTGTCCAGCCACTTTTTGATCTGCGCACCAGTGTGTTGCAGAGTAGTGGTCGCCCCTAAGTTGTTTGCGCTTGGTGAGAACCCGAGTTCCGACTTCAGCATGAAGACGAATCTTCTAAATGTCGGTTTCGCATTGCTATTGTCGGCTCTCAAGGTCAGGACCAGGTGGTCGTTAGAGTTTGACGTCCGTCCCATAGTTCGTCTTGACCAGTGGAGATCTAACACATTCACAGACTTCTCTGCCATCTCTTTATAGGCATAAACACAGACTGGGCATTTTCCATCTTGGTCTTGATTCACCCAAGTTCGTACTCCCGAGTTTGACTTAACTCGAAATATGCTGTTTTGGCAAAGTACACATAGGCTCGCGGGCTCTCGTAGTATGGCGTCGACGACACTCTTGCCTGAGACTTCGCTCAGTCCCTCTCTTGCGCTCTGCTCTCCGAGCAGTTCACCCTTGGGCCCTTTACTGTCTTCCTTCCTCGCGTCAACAGTTTTCTCGAAGCTGTGGCTGCGATCAAGATTTCGTTCACCTGCCCTGGCCTGGCTCAGGTACTGCTTAGCTAGAACTAAATCCTGGTTGTAGTCTTCTCGGATATACCAGCCCAGGTCCCTGATATAAAGAGTGATTCTGCGTCTGTCCGGCTCTTGCTGATCAGATGGCATTGTACCACGTAAGATGTAAGAAGAGAGAAGTCCACGAGCGGACCGAATTACTCGACGTACAAAGGGATGATCACTACTGGTGTAATCTGGTCTAGAGCTACTTGCGCCACTCAGCACATTCTCAAGTTCATTGACTGTCATCGGGCCCCATGCTGCTACCATAATGATGGCTAACAGCGTTTGGTACCTCTGGGCTGGTTCCAGAACGTTGATTCGCTTGATCTCTGCATCGAAAAATGCGACGACCTCCCGGGGAAGTCGATCAGTAGCCGACAAAATGGCTCGTGGCCCTCCAAGATCGCGAATTTGGTCGAGCCGCAACTTGGCAAGATTGATGTTGCTATCACTGGGCTCGCAAACTGTTTCGATGACATTTTCCTCAATCTCAACTCCATATTCAGCCTCCAGATCGGTACGTACGAAATGTCTCAGGGCTGAGGGTACCAGATCAAGCCTCATTTGTATCATATTGTAAGGCTCAGACATGACGTGACTATCGTCATAGCAGTGTTTGCCCTCGTTTCTACAGTTGTCGCAGAGATCATATGGGCAAGACTCACACGACCAATAAATCTGCAACCCGTCTTCCTCCTCACTTTCTGGGCTTCCACGTTTACAGTTGTCGCATTCCACTGGCCAGGCTAGCGGGAAAGAGTCAAGTTCGGACGTAGCATTGAGAAGCAGCAACTTCAGGCCTTGCGCTTCAAGTGGACCTATATTCTGGCGTAGTCGTTCCTGTATTGATTTCTCAAATCGGTCATGGCCATCTATAATAAGATAGACTCCATCCTTGCTGGTAAGGTGATCGACCAAGACCGCGTACAAGTCCTCGAAGTCTATCCCTGATGACGAAATATTGATAGCTTCAGTTTTGAGGGATCTATCGTGGTTGATGAACTTGTTTGATTGAAGAGGTCGATCGATAGAAGACGCGTGGTACTGCAGGGAAGTTTCTGTCTTAGCAGTCGGAAGATCGTCGTCGTGGACATGAATGAGCGCAACGGGAGCTGCCTCTTCTCTTCGCAATTGCTTTGCAATGAGAGCTGCGAGAGTGGTCTAAATTTGGAATGTGTCAGCCACAGTCTCTAAGCGTTTTGCTGTGTGTAATTTGCAAAGAGCACTTAGGTTGCATGACTGACCTTACCACTTCCTGGGCCTCCCCCAATGTGTAGCTGCCAACGGCGATTTGTTTGCTTCCAGGCTTGGAAGCGAGGGTCCTGCAGAACATTTAGGAATATTTCTACATGAACATCGACTGGCAGTGCGAGCTGCGCTGTTTCTCTATCACGTTCCATATTTGGTTCGTCTGGTAATCTTCAGAAGTACCTGGAAATTGGGATAGCTAGAAGAAAACCCACATACGATCAGCTGCAAGCTTTGAGCTTTTCTGTATAACAGACGTATGTAATTCGAAGAAGGTGGGCACCTAGGCATAGACGAAAAGCAAGGCAGCTTTTAGGCAAGACCACCACCACGAATCTCCATGCGCCCTGTGGGCTGCCATGTTCCTGGCAATATCTGACAGGGCTGAAACAGAGGCGTTCAGCCTCAATATTCGAGCGCGACAAGCGCAAGATGAGGTGTCTATTGCCGTCCCAATCATTCCGGGCTGCGCTGCGGTGATTCGCCGAGTTGGACTTGGCCCCCAATGTCTTCCACCCGCAAGCCCACCAACTGCAGCCTTCAAGCCACGATGGCCCCTCAATCTCAGCACACTTACCTTATCAAGGTGTAGTTTAGATCAATCTTCTAAGCTGGAGGTTGTCAACCTTGCAGGTGAGCGCACGCACATTATTGATGGTTGCCTCAACGCCCTTCATTCCCGATTTATCCATTTGGCCCCCAGAGCGGCTCCCGAAGTGTGCATATCGTCGGCCCTCAAATATGGACTCGATCGAGCATTTCCGCATATCTTGCATAGCGGCCCTCGCGATGAAAGATTCAGCGTTTCTATCTCCTTAGTATCTTTGACAGCATTGCTAGGTCCTGACATCGAAGACTTCCAAGGCTGCCAATATGTGGTCTTTCGCCTTCTTCTTTGGTCTTGTTCAGTGGTCAATTCTCTGTCTTGCTGTACCGCATTCCTTTTCCGATTATCTCCAGAGGCGCCAGGATGCGATATCGTCTGACTTACCATGTCTGAATGTTATGTCTGCAGCAGCGCAAGGTGCGCTACTATACCTTAATTTGCGCAAATAGCAGCTAATATCTTGCAGGCGTTTACATTTTCGCGGCGTCTGAGGTCTTTGAGTGCATCAGCAAAGTGCCTTTTCACGCTGCTGTTGCCTCTCGCTTCATTGACTACTACAACGATACATTACAATTCCAAAGCACATTGGCGTTTCTGAAGAGTCCTCCGGACGGATACCAGCAGCCGCCGGTCGATGTCGAACAAGAACTCAAGGAAATCCGGGCCAACATCAGCTCAGGCGCATACAAGAGCCAGTACGCATTTGAAGCGCAAGTACAGCTGCTTATTAGTCGCATCCACGATAACCACGTTACACTTGATGCGGGCATTCTAGCGGCTTTCAGATTCGCTAGCCCCTACACAATTGTGTCGATCTCTTCAGACGGCTTGGAAGAACCAAAGGTGTATCTGAAGGAGGACTTACTCTCAGCTTCTGAGGAAGGTTACACACCTTCCCCCGTTGTGAAGATCAATAACATCGATGCCATCGACTACTTGACTTCCCTGGTTGCACCCAACTCGGATGGGTACCTCGAGCCACACGCTGACTGGAACTCAGTTGTGACCAGTCCTGCCCAGGACATACAAGGGTACTTGAGCGTGTTCCAACGCCTTCCACTTTACCCTGGAGATGAGCTCAGCTTCACCTTTGAGAATGAAACCTCTCTAGATACGATATGGCTGGCTATGTACGCAGAGACTGCACTTACAGGCCCTTTGACTACCCCAGGAGACTTTTATAACTACTTCGTTCTGGGTCTCGTGCCCGCTGGTTTCGACCCGGATAACTCTACTTCGCCTCCATGGTGGCCGGCAGAATATGATGTACCCGTCGAAGACAATGAAGATGCGCCAGCGGCTGAGCCGGGCTTCAACTGCTCTAGTTCTACAGAACTGATAGTCAACTGGTGCAGTGCTACGAATGGTCAGGTTCGAGCATATCCCAGCGACCCAGTAGTTGTGCAGAATGACTTCTCGATCGCCGGTGCTGGTGCTATGTCAGGATATATTTTCGACGACGTGTCTACCGGCATTCTCAGTATACCAAGCTTTTATCAGGATGGCCTCAGCGTAAAATACTTCTTCAACGCCATCGACGAATTTATTGGAAATGCGACGGTACGGGACACTAAGCGTGTGGTTATCGACCTTCAGCGAAACAGCGGTGGCTTGGTCTTGCTCGCAATGACAACGTTCCAGCAATTCTTTCCTACTCTCCCACCATACACAGGCAGTCGCATCAGAAGCCATAGATTTGCAGACATACTTGGCACGGCATACACTGAATGGTGGCAGTCTTTGGACCCCGACTCTTTCGAGTCCCAAGACTCTGCGGCATCAGAATGGGTCGCTGTTAATCGTATCAACGCCGCGACAGGACGGAACTTCGCAACATGGTCAGAATATTTCGGACCCGTCCAAGATCGCAGCGATGGATTTTCTCAGAAGGTGTGCCGACCAACTTTGCTGTATTCTGTGCTTGCGAACAACAGTCACAGCAACTCTACAACCTGAGCGACAGAGTCTTTGACTACGACATGTTTGGATGGACTTACCAGCCGTGGGTGAATTCGAGCTATGATGAGGACCAGCCAAGCTGGGCTCCTGACGAAATCGTCCTGGTAAGGAACATTCAACAGCCTGTGACTCATGTGACTAACTCTTTCGCCAGCTTACGGATGGCTTGTGCTCTTCTGCTTGCGCACTATTTGTCGAACTCATGACAGAAGTGGCAGGCGTACGAACTATAACAGTGGGCGGACGTCCAAACCGCGGGCCGATGCAGACGGCGAGTGGTAACCGCGGAGCAGTCGTTTATACGTCGAATCGTCTTGACTTCGATATCGACAACCTAAAAGATCTCGTCAACAATACGGCCGCCTTTGACCGTCTGCCTTCACGCGACGACACTGGCATGTTCACGAACTACGCTTCCATCAATATTCGCGATCAAATGCGGCCCTACGACTTGACGCCATTACAGTTCCGCTACGAAGCATCTGATTGTAGACTGTACTTCACAACGAGGAACGCCTTCAATATGACTCAGTTATGGAGAGATGCCGCTGCAGCCACTTGGGATAACACGACGCTCTGTGTACCTGACTCCACAAACTACTCTAAAAGAACCCAGAAAGAACGCAAAATCCCACCTAAGCCTAGTGGTGATGTGCCTTTGCCGTTCGAAGTTACAGGTGGGCAGTTGGAGGACCCTCTGGACCTTTCGCTCAACACAAGCGTGGGTCTTGTGGATGCCAGAAGACCCCCCAACTTCAACAAGTACGATCGCTGTACAGACAACAATGGATGTTCGGCTGGCTTAGTCTGTGCATCAAAGGCAACATCGTGCAGTAAAGTAGGCGACGGTGTGACGCTGAAGCTCTGTCTTGAAGGATGCAACAATCTGCAAGGCCCCAATTCTGGTTGCAAGCCACTTAACTCAAGACTAGCACAGTCAGTCTCACAGCAGCCGGTTAACAAAAGGGAGGCCAAGCCACAAAGAATCCCAGTCACTCCTAAGCCTGCTCCGGCTTCTGGGGCAAAGCCTCCTTCGTCTTTGCCACAGGGTTTTAAGCTTCCCCCAAAGACATCCTCGAAGTCTATAGGTGGGAGTGTGTACAACGGGTATATTGAACCTGGTATCATAAAAACCTCGCAGTACTTTAGGAATACCGGATGTGCGGTGTAGTGTATGTCACCGACCAGGAAACGAGTTTTCGCATAGCATCCCTTTCACCGTCACATATCAAATAATTTTAGACTGTAATATAGGACTCATGATACTTCGGGATGGGTACTTTACTTTCAGCCCAGTGCTATGATTGATATTTCCAGTTGCTAGCTGTTCAAAGCTTCATGATTCATCGATGTCCACGTCCACGATCAATTCTCTCCATTTTATAGAAAAAGCAAGTCGGCCTTCTGCTCTCAGAATATGTTACACAGTATGATATTCCGTCCATTCTTCCCATCGCCACTACGATGGCTAAATCGCAGGGCATTAGCGTGCAACAACGAAAAGGAGATTCGAACATTCTTTGCTGCAGACTATAACTCCCTACAGCAGCGCGTGCCAAGGCTCTTAGACTCAGGCACCCTAGTTTGCCTGTATGAAGGCTTGGCTCATAGGGCGTATCCCGACTTCGCCCCAGAGACAATCTCACCAATACAAAATGAAAAATCTGCACTTGGTCTTGAAGGCGCTCTATATTTATTCCTTTGAACTGACCTTCGCTTGTAAACGTTGTCCAGCGAGCTAAATCCAGCATGGCGCGCATCTTAGACCTACCAGCTGAGATTGTCGCAGCCATTACCAGCCTATGTCCGTTGTCCGAAGTCAGGAGCTTATGCGAAACATGTCATCTCATGAATGAGATATGTGTACACATGCTACTATCCTACTTTAAGTCAGTACTAATCACAGATTAGAAGAATGCAAGATTGTGCATTGGAGTAAGACAAAGGCGTACGAGGCGGCACAGTGCACAACAGAAGTGTGGCCAAAAAAATACGGACAAGCAAGTCAAGAACAGCTAGTGAAAGAGGTGATGAAGTGTGCGATACTATCCTCTCAAGAGGGATGTCCTCGTGATTTGACAAACTTGACATGATTGGTTAGTACGCGGCGTTTATAGAACGGGATTAAAGTCTTTGATTTCAATAATCATGCTCGCGAGAGCGTTCCGCAATTGTGTACTGCGTGTAGCTCTTGAGTCGGCACTGGTGTGTGCCTGTCCCTCCGTGGCCGCCTGTCGTCCTATCATTGTGGTATATCCGCCCAACGCCTTGAGCCGCGCTCCGCCAACTCCATTCGCCTCAGTGCGTGCATGCGCCATTTCTCATATCCTTTAATTCTGCCTGAACTTTGCCGGTATGTTCTTCTCCACAATTCCTTTCGCCTCGGCTCTCTCCCACTCCTCCTGTCTTGCCTCTTTCTCCTCGTGCATCTTAAAATGCGCAATATCCTCGGGATGTGTCAGGTCCTCCTCTTTTACATCGTCACCTGAGTGGTATTTCTCCCAGTGGTGAATCTCGTACTCGTATTCGTCATCTCCATGGTGTCCAGGTCCCATGCCAAAGTCCGGTAACTTGATATTCTCACTGTCCTTCTGCAAGAACTCAGATAATGTGATCGCGCCATCTTTGTCAATGTCGAACATGTCAAGCACAGCCTTGACGACCATGTCTTTCTTCGTTTGTGAAATGTGTGAGGTGGACGGGTCTTCGAGACCATAGGTGCGTTTTATGTCGACAGAGGTCCAGATGCCGGTGCTATCGTAATCGTGCATGTTGAAGAATGTCGTAGCATCGAAACCGGAAATATGATGTTCCTCTGTATGCAACGTTTAGTTTCATGCGACATGTTTGGAAACGAGTGGAGTTTACCAGCCATGTGCCGTGTGGGCCAGTCTGCATCTGGCGCAACTACAACTTGAGAATGCTCACCACCATGCGCCATTGCTTTGTGTGCGCATGACAGTAGCAAGAGCGCACTGAGCGGTGCTTGTATTAATCGGTTCATACTTGCGAGACTTTGAGTAGGCGCTGGGCAATGTTGTCGTTGCCGTTGATAGTAATGTTGACTTCCAGGGGCAGCGTCGGCGAATCGTTGTTGAGCGCCGACCGATGACGTTGTTTTTCAGGGTCTTCGCATGTGACCACGCATCACTTTCGTTCCTCCATCATCACTGTCGCGAAGATGAACGTGCTGATACTTCTCGGTCTATTATTCTTTGTTCCTCTCCTTTTCTGGCTCGTCTTCTTGGCACTCTCGTCCTGCATGGGTGATCGATTTCGTGCCCGCGTTGCAGGTATACCTGTTACGTTCAATCCCCGACACGCTACATTTGGTCGCCAGTATACGCGTGGCTTTGGCTCCGGAGCTGGTAGCGCTGGATGGGAGCAGATTGAGATGGAAGACATGCTTGGTGAGGATAGCGAGGACGAAGATTGACGGGTGAAAAGAGAAGACCCGATGGATTGGGGAGGTGCGGTTTATCCACACGTCTTTTCGATGAGGTTCAACAGGCCTTAATCGACGTATACAAAACCAGATCGTCTAAAACTCGAGATCTGCCTTCTTCGGCATCGCGCTTCCACCCGCCGCCTCTCTGACAGCCTGTTCCTGCGCTTCGGTATCGCCCTCCAGCGGCGGTAAGCTGAACTTGGCAACCACAAACTTCCGCCGACTCAACGTAAACGCCATGTCCTCGCCCAAGTCGTCCGCCCCACCGCCTCCACCCTTCTCATGGAAGACGGGTAGTTTGTGCACGGCGAACATTCCCTGTGGCCGCTCCTCGTCCTTAGTTGTGCCAGCCGACTGCGCTAATGCTTGTGCATGCGAGTATGGGAAAGGAGACAGCTCAAATACACCATCTGATAGTATTTCCATCCAACGAACGATACCTGCGGAGCGTGGAAATAGTGTCAACGGAAGAGTGAGGATTGCGGTCAGTCGTGTGGAGTATTGCCGCAGCAGCGCTCGTAGACCGTGCAGGAATTGCAATATGGAGCTCGGGTGTGCGGATGAGGATGGGTATAGTGCTGGGGAAAGTAGAGAGGGCATGACGAGGCGGTGGATGGTTTCTACTGGTGATGACGCCAATTGTTGCTGAAGCTTGTACAGTATCGACGGAAAGACTGACGTGGAGCTGGGGGCTGGTGGCGGTATAGGCATGTAGTTGATCGCTGTTCCCACAGGCAGCGTGAGGCGCTTCGCAAGGTCGAAAGTATGGCAAAATACCAGCTCTTCTGTCGCGCCATCGCTCTGCACTGCCGTTCTGCTTGGGCCTACCACATACATCGTCAGAAACTTCCAGAAGCAAATTGTATTCGCAGAGGATATATACAAGCACGCACCTCTACTACTCTCAAACTGTCCCAGACCCTCATACCTCCATGCAATCTTCATCTTCTCGGCCCTCTCCTTGCTTTCTTTCCTCCTATCTCCACGATCCTCTGTTATACCAGGTAGTTCCCTACCCCACATCTCGCCCATACCCACCACGTGCACTTTGTGTCCTTGCACCACACCCTCCGCAGCATAGAAGCGCAGTAGAGCACCAGCGTAATCTGTCGTTCCACTCTCTTCTATGAGAATAGAATTGCCGAGCGGTAAGCCAGCGTGGCCTGCTAATATACTGTCGAGAGAGGGTGTGCCTGTGGATGTGGTGGGGCGGCCATCGATGGGAGAGGGACGGACGCCAGGGATAGTAGCAGCTGGTGAGGTGCTTGTTGGGCTTGAAGGAACATCAGTCGCGTCAGAACCTGCTGGGGCGCGTGCAAGCGCCACGTTGCGCTTTCTAAAGGCCATTTTATGTTTGTCGTGGTGGTGAGTCGCGATGTTGGAGAAATTATGGCGAGCTTATCGATAAGGGTCCCTAGAGACGTCATCTTTTTGTGCCCCTCGAACTGCACTGTTTTACTTGCATTATCAAAACCCATCACCACCAATTTTGTGTATGCTCACCCATAGCAACTCTGTTCCGTGTGAGAAATACCATACACATGTTGGTTTCCACCTCATGAACACACCGAATATGCTAAACCGTAATTCTGCCACTACAACCGACTGCATTGACAGCCAATATAACTTCAATCAGAATGGCGAAAGAACAGCGTCTCAATATCGAGAATGTAATCATGTCGTGTCTGCTAAGGGGCTAGGGAAGATAAACCAATGTGTCTTAGTTCTTGAGCTACGTCACCATGTAGGACTACCATCTTCGAAGACCTCCCTATATACCCATGCTATAATCTATGAGCAATCGTTGCCCGGTATCAACGAGCACTTGGTCTGACGCGAGAAGTCCCAAGCCTTGAAGTTCGCCGCAATCTCACCGCTCAAGCCATCGATCGCCGCATCGACATTCGCGCGGTGAAAATTGCTACAGCAATCCCACTTCATGGCGCCGTCGTACGTATCCTTGAGATCGATGTGCATGAAGTTGGGCTTGCCGTCGTAGGGGGGGAAGTTCACCTGACGTGGCTGTTAGAGAAGCTTGCAGATCAAGGGAACAGCAAATGAGACTCACGCGGATCGGGTTGCCGACGTTGCAACCCTTCTTGCCATCGACGTCAAAGCAGTTACTCGTAGGTCCATCCGTCGGCTCAGGCTTGGTTAGAGCCTCGAGAGTGCCGGCAACAGCGCCGATGAGCAGGTTGCGCTTGGGACCGTTCTGCCACTCGCCTTGAATGGCCTTGATGCAGGTGAAGCCTGTACAAAAGTTATTATCACACCTTCGTCATCGCAGGACGAAGAACTTACCACCCCAGCTACCCTTGGGATAGCTCTGGCGCAGAGACTGAGTAGCCCAGCACATGTTTCCCCGCTTAGAGTCGCAGCGGTTCTCAGCCAAGTTGTTGGGGCACTCCTTGTCAAGTAGCCGCCAGATTATATCGTACAGCTCAGAGCCGATGGTCGTTCCAACGGCAATGAATTTCTGGCCGCCGATCCAGGTCTGCACGGTGCTGTAGTCGCGCCACACCTCTGAAGGATCCGGTGGCGCCTTCCCGTCGGTAAGGATGTATGCTACATGGTCAAAGTCAGTCAGGGAATGTTTAAAAAATTCAAGAGCATAGGCGACTCACGGTCGGTAGTGTTGAGAGGAACATCTCGAGTGAGGAGAGCGTTACCCTCATGGACAGGGACCACGCTCGCAAGAACCGTGGCGGCGAGGAACAGGCCGACAAGGAATCGGAAGAAGATGTTCATGATTGTGGTGTTGGTAGATTACTCGAGTGGTTGAGGTGTCGAGCGCAAAGATGGTTGGGGGTTGTGAGTGTGGAAGAGAGCGAATTGGAGGGAACTGGTGGTAGATTATATATCCAAAGGAGGAGCGCCAACGGAGCAAATACCATAGGTATGCTCAAAGCGCCAGGCTGGGGGAGAGTGTAAATAATCAAGTCCGTCATCGGTAAAGGGAACGCAATCGGCACGTTCAGGCGGGTCATCGCTACGATTGAGGCCGTTGTCGGGAGGTGAAAGCCATTTCACGGTCAAGTGTCTCCCGATGTGTGAAAGATTGGACGAGCGGTGGCCTAGTTTCAAAGCGTATCACAGTGAAATGATCCAGAACAGGTCGGGTTTGCTTAACGAAGGAACCAACATATCTCTTGACACAAGTTCAAACACCGAGCTTGCGGACCATAGCGTAGCTTGCACGTGTCACGGTTGCACGTCTTGACCACGGCTCAACAGACAACATATAAGCTGAAATTCCGTGGCGTATCATTTGATTAGACTGGAGATGCGTCGGGTTTCTGGTCGCTGATTCAGCCCTCGAGATGTCAAGTGTCGAGGATCATCTTGCCTTATGTTTCAATGCCATTGTGTTATCTGCTATTACCCTACAAGGAGTACATGAGAAATCATTTGCGTATGAAATGATCAGAATATTGTCACTGAAACGTTGTACATATAAACAGCAGATGGTCGATGCCGATGACCATCGAAGTCCGCATGGTTACCGCTAGCGATATCCTACTTGTTAGCAAAGAGAACAATATGTGGCCTTGCCTACTATTCGTAGTCTCATTGCGATATAAGATACAGAGTAATCGAACCGCTTTTGACGGTATACAACTTTGTTTAAGCAGACAATGAATCAGTGTTAGAGCCTTAGCAGGAAGCGATTGGCTACTATCGTGTGCTTGAATTATCATTCAGTGATGTGCTATGTCAATATACATATATCCTGACCAAAACGGCAGGCCATCCGTGGATTCTCATATTACTTTCCAACATACTATGATTCTGCCGAGCGTGGCGAATCGAGACGGGTCCCTTTTCCAATACTCGATTCTGAATGTGGTTAGTGCTGGACGCCTCGTTTAAGCCTGGACCGTCAAGGCTCCAGTGACTCTCGCGAACCCTCGTATAAGTGATCAGCTCGTCCCGGAAGTGCCTGATCTCTGTTTCTGATATCAGATCACATTGAAGTACAGCCCATAGTATTTAGGAAGGACGAAGTCAAGAACACCACGGCGCCTCACGCTCTGGCATCCAGGAGCGAACCCCCTGTAAACACGTCGGACGCAGTAAAGCAACAGAAGGAACTGGGATAATTGGGACGATCGCCTACGTTTCGGCGACAGCGAAGATCATACGGTGGTTTTGTACACACACACACACATTGCGCTCGCTCCAAAATCGTTTGGGCTCCGGCACCACACGACTCACCATCTCAACTCCACGGAACCATTCCCTGTCACCATGCCGTCTCTATTCTCCAAGCTCACCGGAGGATCCTCCAAATCCAAATCCAAATCCAAAAACCCATACTCAAACCCCCATCACCCCAGCCACGCGCCCCTCCCAAAACAACCAACACCATCATCTCAGCCACTCCCCACTGCATCTCCCCGCGGCTCCCACGACTACTTAGCAGAAGCGCGTGAACTCGCGAACCGCGATCCCGTGACTGGCCAACGGTTACCTCAGCCAAATATGCCTCGCCCAGCTCAGCAGGCGAGTCCAAGTGCGGACACGAGTGCATATCAGAACCGCGCAAGCCAAACACAGCAAACGACGGGATCGAGATATGATTTGTTTTCGATTCAGGAGCGAGAGAGGCTGGAGAGGGAAGAGGCGATTCGGATAGCGAGGGGAAGGGCGGAGTTTTATGCGCCAGAGAGGAGGGTAGAGGAGTTTTATTCGGAGCCCGTGAGGTATTGAGTGATGTAATGGCGGTATGCGGCCGCGTCAATTTTTAGCGTTTTGAGGTCGGGTTGTTGTCGCGGTGCTACGCTATTACCTTTTCGCACCTAATTTGTTGAGCGTAGTGAATGACAGTAATGGAAAGTGCTAGCCAGTCCAACACGTGACGCACTTCTCTCACCTTCCAATCCACTCTACACCACCCACCTCCATCCTCGCACTCTCCGACAACACACATCTCGCAATCCTTCTGAACCACGACTTTACGAACAACTCCAAGACACAATGGGTTCCATGTTTCTCACCCACCTGCCTTCCGCTTGGCATGTCGACCAAGCCATCCTCGCCGAAGAAACCCACCTCGTCGTGATCCGCTTCGGCTCCGACGCCAATCCAGAGTGTATGACCATGGTAAATCTCTCTCTTACCTTCACCGCCTCCTACCCTTCTCCTTCTCCTTCCCCTTCCCCAACGCCTCCCACCCACCCACTCACTAACCAACCCAGGACGAACACCTCTTCAAAACCGCACCCTTGGTCAAAAACTTCGCCGTAATCTACACGGTCGACAACACACAGATCCCGGACTTCAACGCCATGTACGAACTCTACGACGCGTGCACGGTCATGTTTTTCTGGCGCAACAAGCACATCCAGGTCGACTTTGGCACGGGGAATAACAACAAGATCAACTTTGCGCTGGGCGATAAGCAGGAGCTGGTGGATATCCTAGAGGTCGCGTATAAGGCGGCGAGTAAGGGGAAGGGTGCTGGCGGTTAGTCCGCGGGATTATTCGACGAAGTGGAATTATTAAGGTGGGAGTGAGGGAGAGGGGGTGGTGGACATGGAAAGGGACTCGAATGATATCGGGAAAACAACGTTTAAAGGTGGAATGACCACTGAAATGCTTCAAAAACTCTTTCTACCTATGTAGGCGAGAAAATCTAGATGCTTGAAACCCAACGTGCGGGTATTTTTTTTTGTAAAACGCCATCAAACACCACGCCATGCAGAACACATGCTGTTTTTCCCGCAGCCCATAAATCAAAGATAGAAAGAAAGAGAGGTCAACGAATCAACGCCAGAAGCATATGCAAGGGCCTACACAGACTGTCAGTCAGCCTTGTTAATGCTTGGAGCCAAACAAATGCAACTTCTTCTTTTTCTTGTCCTTGTCCTTTTCATCCTTGTGCTTTCCACTGCTGTCTTTATGCTTGCCGCTACTTGACGTTGGTGCAGGGGCTGGAGCTGGTGCTGGCGCGTTGAGGTTGATCGCGCCCATCTGCGCCGTTGGTGGTTTTGGGCCAGCTACTCTCGGGCCCTGTGGTAGACCCGAGGGCATGGGCTTGGTGCCTGCCGGTGGCGGTGCGGGTTTGGGAGGCTCCGGCTTCTCGAACAGATGCTTCGGAGCTTGTGGTTGTGGGCCGTCGAGTGGGAGATGCAGTTGACGGCGGTTGGCGCTCAGGTCACCAACTTGGCGGAGAAATAGCTGCGGCTTGACCATGTGTGAAGTGACGAGGAACACGTCTCGCGAAGTCTTGGCTGAGACGTCGTAGCAGGCGCGGGCTTCGGAGTATGTTGCGCCACCGGCCATAAACACAATGACGCGCTGGCGTGGCTCGACGTTTGCTAAGCGGGATTTCGCCCATGTCGGCTTTGCGGAGCGGAGAGATGCTGCGGGAGTGTTATCTTGCATGGCTGTCATGTCATCTGGCGACATCTTGATAAACGGAAATATGTCTTGTGGAAGCGTGCCACGGACGTGCTCTTCCAGCATGTCTTGTACGGCGGGGTTGAATCGAGAAAGGCTGTAGTCGTCTTCTTGCAGAGGTGGTGCCGCCTTGGGAGGGAAGAGTGGCGCGGGTGGATCCCTTTTCTCTTTCAATCGTCGCGATGCTCGTGCGCCGATGAGGTCTAGGTTGGCGACAACGGCACCGTCCGTTGGCGGAAGTTGTGAGTGTAACAAGAGCTTTTCCAGATCAGACGGTAGGATTCCATCTTTATACAAAGTGTACATGGCAATCAGACGGAGTCGGTCAGAAGCTGTGATACCCTCTTGGTCCAAAGCTCGCACGACCTGGTCAGCCATATTTTTTGCTTTGCGATAGTCTTCATCCAGACCAGTAGCCAAACACTATGCTGGTTAGCAGACGAGGCGAAACTTGAGTGAAACTACATACCTGTTCGATGGTAGCCAAATCTGGTAGCCTATGGCTCTGAAAAATCTCCATACATTTTTGCGCCATAGTGAGATGCAGTGAATAGGCTTGTTTCATCTCCTGAAATTGCGGCATTCCAGCGAGCATGTCCTTGATCTGGTTAATTCCAGCCATACCCGTGGCTTCTTCTGGATTAGTGAATTGAGGATTGTCCTTGATGAACTTGTTGAAGTCGCCAATGATCTTCTCGAGGGTATCCTTCATGTGGCGATGGCGGTTCTCGACCCATATTTTGTCCTTGTCGGTAATCTCCATATCTTTCTCTTCGGCATCTTCCTCTCCTTCGTTGATCATGGTTTTGAATGTGATTTTGTCGGCATCGTTGATGGGTAGCAGATCGAAAGCCATGGCTTGGTAGGTGAACTCGTGTACAAAGGGCGCCACAAGGTCCATGGAGCGGTCAGTGATGTAAAGTGCCCCACGAGGCCGGTTAGACTGTGGGGGAAAGTCCTGGTTAAACTGTGCATACATGTCGAGTTTATCTTGCACGAAGCGCGCGAGGTGTGAGCAGAGCACACTAGCCTCGTGTGTTGGGTTGCGTGGCCGGTAATATCGAATGATAGGATATTCGCCAAGCGCGACGCAGATTCCTGTAATCTGAGCATGTCAGGATCTGCGCGAATGCCGTGCGGGTAGTTTGCATACCTTCTCTGCCATTTCCTCCATATGCCGGACGACTAGATTGTTGCACTCTGGGTGGTATAGTATGGGAAAGCTCCAGGGGTCCTTGAAGGTTACAAGATGTGACTCTTGGGGGTGGTAGTCGAGATGCACGGTCCTGAAGCTCCTGATTTGTTCCCGTGCCATCTGCGAGCGGTCGATTCGTTCCTTCAGCGGTGGTGGGAGCACTGCCATATTCTTAGTCCTGTCTGCGTCGCATCACTCCTCATTCTCTTACATGTTGTCCATATGAGGAAGAAGCCCCGGTACCGTCTCTGCTCGAACTCTGCCATGATGCAATCGACAATATGCGGCTTAGGCGAGAGTATGTATATGGCGTCCATGTCCCGTTGTGTGGTTCTCCGTTCTTCGAGGCGCTCAATGTCTGGAGGCATTAGGGGGGCACCTGTCGTCTGGGACGAGGCAGCGTACTTGTGATGTTGAGATCGAGGATGTCATCTTCCTTGACCACATTGTCTATGAGCTTCTTGCTGTCTTCGTCGACTATGAGGATCTTCCACTGTTGGGGGGTTAGCGATTGGCATGCGCAGAGTCCAAGTGTGCGTACGTCGCCGCGAACGGTAGTGCGGATGGTGTTGAGAATGACTGCAGAGTGTCAGTTCTTGCCACGTGACGCGCCCGGGTACATGAAGCATACGGTCCCGCTGGATGTCTATCATGGAAGTTCCGTAGTTGGCCATGTTGGCGGGGTACGGCAGCCAATGCCGCGTGCAGAGGCAAGAGCAGTGTTATGTGGGTTCGAGTCGCGGAGAGGACGCCTTTGTGGTGGCGCGAAGACGAGAGAAGAGAGTGGTGAGCGGAGGCGTGCGGGCGCAGGGTGTATGGAGCTCGTGGCAGCTGGACGTCGTGTTACAAGATGCGACCATGGATGCTGCGGGCGGCGCTCGGGAGTTCCGAAGTGCATAGCTTAGGTAGCTTAGCTTAGCCCAACTTTTACATGTGGCAGACATGACATAGTCCATTGCAAACTCCCGTGCATTCTCCTCTGTCTGTTAGACACTGCAGACACTGCTCGCTTTGCACCAAAAGTACCCCTAAAAGTGCCCATAGAATCTCCCCGCAACGGGTATGCCCATCCTTCCGGCGCGACGCAATTCGGTGTGCCTTTTTTGCGCATTCGCCGCCCGCTCACGACCGCAACCTACACGTCTCGGCCCACGCATACAGTCGGCAAACAGATCCGGTGCCGTGAGCCAAAAGCGCATAGGTGGAGGATTTGATGCTGGGGCAAGAGCCGGCCGGACTGGCCATCACAATCCACTAGCCACCCGCAGTCCTTCAAGGGCACGGCATGGCGATGAGCTCTTCCATGCCGTCCGCGGCGCACTAGAAAAGCTCCAGAATGAGTTGATCAAGCCAGAATTCCTCGAGAGCCTGCATCTCAGCAGAGAGGACTTTGACAAGGAATGGCTCGCATTCGAACGGTCCATCACTGCGTGGTGGAAGGAAAACACTCGAGAGCTCCTGAACCTGGCAAATGAAGCAGCACGAGGAAAGAAAACACTGGATGCACGTTTGAGCTATCTCTTCTATGCCCAAGCCTGCGGTGGACGCTTCACCAAGGCCGAGCGGGAGAACCAGAAAGAGGTGGCAGACCTGCGACACCCTGCGGAATGGTACCCGTCCACGCGACAGGTTCAACGCACGGTACATATGCATGTTGGGCCGACCAACTCTGGAAAGACGTATCATGCACTCAAACGGCTGGAGCAAGCCTCCTCGGGTATCTACCTAGGGCCGCTCCGTCTACTTGCACACGAAGTATACACGCGCCTGAACGCCAAGGGCAAGTCGTGTGCTCTGATTACTGGCGAGGAACAGCGTATACCCGAGGGCGACGCGCCTCTGATGTACAGTTGCACAGTTGAAATGGCGCCCCTGAACTCGAGGTTCGACGTCGCTGTTATAGATGAGATACAGATGATCAGCCACAAGGAGCGTGGATGGGCATGGACCCAGGCTTTCCTAGGGCTGCCAGCCAAGGAAATCCATCTGTGCGGAGAGGCACGCACAGTGCCACTCATGCGCGAGCTTTGCGCTCTCGTTGGGGACAAGGTACACGTCCACGAGTACGAGCGTCTCACGCCACTTCAGGTCGAGCCAAGGAGTATGGGTGGCAAACTTGACAATCTGCAGAAAGGTGACTGCATAGTCGCTTTCACTGTTGTCGGTATCCACGCCCTCCGGAAAGATATCGAAAGGAGAACGGGCAAGAAATGTGCCATTGTCTATGGTAGCTTGCCGCCGGAAACGCGAGCCCAACAAGCGCGACTGTTCAACGATCCGGACAACGACTACGACTTCCTCGTCGCCAGTGATGCTATTGGCATGGGTCTCAATTTGGCCATCAGGCGAGTGATTTTCGAGTCGACTGTGAAAAGCAATGGTGTCAACTACGTGCCGCTCGAGATCTCTGAGATCAAGCAGATAGCTGGCCGCGCCGGCAGGTACAAGACTGCCCACCAAGCAGTCAATGTCGATACCCAAAAGTCGATAGCCGACGCAGCTGTCGACCCTGCTATTGGTCTTGACGATAAACCGCAACCTAAGGAACCAGAAACCAAGACTATTGGGTGGGTAACAACACTGGACGAGGTTGATCATGCTCACCTCAAGGCTGGAATGAGGCGCGAGCCCGACCCCATCACGACAGCTGGACTATTTCCACCCTCTTTGATTGTAGAGCGTTTTGCAAACTACTTTCCTCCGGGAACCCCTTTCAGCTACATCATGTTGCGCTTACATGAGATTTCCGAAATACATCCGCGCTTCCACCTCTGCGGCTTGAAAGATCAACTGGCCATTGCTGACACCATACACCTAGTCAAGAATCTCAGCATTCAAGACCGTATTCAGATTTGTGCCGCACCCATCAACATGCGCAATGCACCCGAAAGGGCTTTCCTTCGCTCGCTTGCCGAATGTATCGCCGACAACAAATCAGGAAGTCTTCTTGACATACCCACGCTGCCTCTAGCGGTCATGGACGCGGAGCCATCAGGGAAGAGATTGTACCTTGTTGAGCTCGAAAACTTACACAAAATGCTGGTGGCCTATCTTTGGCTAAGCTACCGCTTTCCTCAGGTCTTCGTCACCAGGTCACTTGCCAACTATACAAAAAAGCTGGTTGAAGACCAGATTGAGAAGACTTTGGTCCAATTCTCCACCACTCCGCAGGCCAGAGAGGCAAGAGAGAGGCGGAGAGTACAAGCAATGAAGGAACTAAATGAGCAAAGCGAAGGGGACGAGGCGGATCATGGTTCGGAGGGTCAGACACCTCCGCCACCCGGTAAATTCGTCGAAGGTAAATGGGTCGTTGACTATCCAAATGAGCACCCAGAGGAACGCGCGACGAGCAGCGAAGTTCTAAACTCACCAAGGACGAGTGAAACTCCCCGTACGAGCATGTAATGTATGATATCTCATGTAAATTACAATAGACTTCAAAGTCATAGCACATCAGTCATGACTGGCTCACCTCACTCACGTTTCAACCTACTCCGGAACCCAAGTCACAAATCCTTCACGAACTTCCACCAATCCACTCCGCACCCCCATTCGCCGCGACGACACTGCCCGTAACCCACCTCGCCTTCTCACTAACCAAGAACCCCACCACATCCGCCACATCCTCCGCAAACCCCATCCTCCCACCCTCCACAACCTTAACCTTCGGCACCCGCTGCTCCTTCAACGCCTGCACCGCCTCCCTCGGAAACTGCCTCAGCCCAGGCGTATCCGTCAACCCCACACTCACCGCATTCACCGTGGTCCCCGGAAACGTCAACGGCAACTCGACCGCCCACCCCCTCACCAGCGCCTCCAACCCCGCCTTGGTCGCATTGAACAACGCACTCCCCGCATTTGGATCGCGCACGCGATCGCTCGAAAGCGCAACCACACGCGCATTTACATTCAGCAATTTCTGCCGCACCAGATTCTCCACCAGCACAATCGGCCAGTGCAAATTCCCCATCAGGCTATGCTCGATATCCGCTTCACTAGCCTGTCCGAGTCTCGGGCGCGTGTTGAAGGCCGCGGAGAGGACGAGGATGTCGAGTTTGGGCGGCAGGGCGGCCAGGATGGGCCTGATGGAGGCGAGGGTCGTTATGTCTGCTACGATGCCGGTGAGGGTGGGGCGCGGGAGATTAGAGGTGGTGTAGAGGGTGGAAATGGTGGTGGAGAGGACGTCGAAGTGGTGTGCGGATTCGGGCGAGGTATAGGTGCCGATGATGGAGCAGCCGCGGGTGGCGAGGTCGAGGGCGATGGCGCGGCCGATGCCTTTGGAGGCACCGCTGGGGAGGAGTTAGAGTGTGTGAGAGAGGGTGGTGTTGGGGTGGGAGAAGATGTTTAGAAGGACGGGGGAGGATAGTTGATAATTGTAATTGTGGTAGCGTGAATTGATTTATGTACGTGTATGCTTTTGTTTTGGAAAGAAACGAGCTGGAACATATTTGGAAACAAGATAGACAGAAAGAGAGCATCTGCACACGTTACCAGAGCTACCTTGCCCCCCAGATCTTGTTGCTGGACCTTGGGTGCAGGGGGTGAATAGTCTGCCATGTTTGCTTGATCGGTCTCATGTGAGGTAGAGCCTGTGATTTGGCAGCTGCTCAGGTCTTCTAAGTACTCTTTTGTGCTTGTAAATCTGCATAGTTGGAAGTTACATGTGGTTCACAGCTGCGTCATGCATGCTCTACGTCATCGCTGCAACACAGTACTCCATCTCTATAGGCACACCGAATGTCAAGATGGGGTGGCAAGCCGTCTCATGCAGAGTAAGCGATAACCAGCACGACCTAGAATAGGCTGTGGCTGTGGTGTTGGGATGTGAGTACATGGGCACGTGCCTATCGTCATGGAAAGGGGCTTAGTTCGGCCAGCCTTGCAGTCTGCAAGATGAGCAAATCTAACCGGCGCTTCCGCAGCGCAACCACCTTCGAAGTTCGCTCACGCCTCCCAACATCACTCACACCATATCGCAGCGCTATTCGAGCATCGCTACCATTTTTCACCTTTCACCGCACAGCTTGCCGCGATCGCCTGTCGACCACCCGCCATGATGGCGCCTTCGCACTTTCTCGAGATTCCGCGCCCGAGGGTACGTCAACAATAAGCCCGTGTTGATGGGAGCCTACATTCAGCAGCACAACAGCGACTGACATGATGCGCAGACTTTCCTACAGAAGATGTCCCTCCGCACCGGCGCCGAAATCATCACCTTCCTGCAGGTTATTAACAAGGTGTCGGGCATCTACGGACTCCTCGCCCTCATCACGGGCGCAAACATCGACGGATGGCAGCTGTCCATGTACCTGTACTCAACGATTGCCCTGATCGCCACAACATTCCTCTACCGACACATCAGACTACAGAGCCCGTTCGAGACGCTGCTGTTGGCACACCTATACGCCATCGACTCGGTCATCAACGCCCTCTACACGACCTTCTTCGGCATCGCATGGTTCTACACCCTCGCTGCACAACCCGGTGACTCTGCCATGCCGGGATCGCATGGCATCTCTGAAAACGCGGGCTGGACAAGTCCCAAGTACAACGTCTCCAAGGTCGACGTGATTGCTGAGCCAACCGAGGGCGTACAACCAGGCCAGAACGTCGTCGCAGTGGGACACGGCGCAGCGGCCGGTGCTGGACTCGGCAACGCAGTCTTCCAAAGCGGCAGCATCATGAGCATTTCACTCATCTCTGGTTTCTGGGCTCTGCGCGTCTACTTCGTCTTCGTCATGCTGGCTTTCGCGCGCCAGTGCCTGCGCCAACACATCGCCGCGAACGCTTCCTCTGCTGCTTGGTACAACTCGAACAACATGCAGACCTCCGCCAACGACCTCGCTGAGAACCCCTTTATCGAGAGCAAGGAGGAGGGCGCTGGTTGGAAGGGCAAGCTTGGCAGGGCTATGCTTAGCGGCGCGCCCAAGTACTGGCTCGGCTCTGACGAGGATGGCGAGTGGATGCGCGGCGTGGGTGGCAAGTTCAAGAAGCCCACCCAGCTGGAACAGCCTGTTGGCTTCAACGAGCGCGAGCGACGGAGACGCGCTGGTACAGGACCGCCCGTTCCCCAACTCAACCTAGGAGTCAACCCTGAACTGCCGCGGTAAAGTCGGGACATTCATGTCAATCACGAGATTTTCCAATATCAGGGACAATCTTGAGGGCTGATTCGTGCACTTTGAGCACGCTTCAAACCTTAGTCCCAGGCCGTTGAGAGTGTGCGCGCGTGCAAACGCGCTAGGCGAAAGCGCGCTGTTCCACGAACTTCACTGACGTGAGATGTCAGACTTGTTGTCACGATTAAGAGAAGGAAGCATGATTTCACAGCGAGCATACACGGCGTTGGGCATCTACTACAGTTAGCTTATTAATACTTCGCAATGAACGACACTTTCAGTGCATCAACATCAGTTGTCGTCTTCAAAACCTGCTTCAGGGTCGAGAGTGCAGCTTTGCCGAGCCCCGATGCTGCATCCGGCTTAGCAAAACACTAAAATGGGGTAATCAGGTGAATGACTGAGTGTCCCACGCGACAAAACAGGGCGTCGCAAGCTCACCGCCACCGTTTCTGACAGGGTCCTGCGCCCGAGTTTCATGCCTCGTGGCAGTTCTGGATGATACTTAGCGCGAATGTGTTGCTGTCAGATGGCAAGGGCCGCCTGGCATGGGATATTGTGTAGATAAGGGATGTGTTGACGCTCTTGATGACTTCTTTGCTGCTGACTGTCGAATTTGTTGAACTAAACGAGGCTGTGTACATGTTCATTCATCTAATCTTCTCATCGCGTCTGGTGTACATCTGAATATCCTATTCAGCGTCGGAATAGTGTCACAGTGAGCACGAAAGGCTTCCAACGATCAGCAATAGGAGAAATTATCGAACAAGAGCTAGAAATTATGGTGAACATGGGCATTTTTCATCGCTCTTCGAGCTCTAGCTCACGCTTCTCCACTACCTTCTCCAGTGCTTCGGACTCGGCCACACCAAGGACGAGCATCGACTCCACCAACGACAGTCTGGATGACACTTCGGCTGTCAAAACAACGATCCTCGAAAAACCAAAGGCTCCTTTACTCAGCCTTCCCATCGAACTTGTCCAGCATGTCACATCCTACCTAGAGGCCGAATCTTCAGCGTCGTTCTGCCTTAGCAGTCGCTACATCTACTACGCCCTCGGATCCGACTGTCTAACCCAATACATCAATTCCTCCAAGAATCGCTTCGCCAAACGCAGAACCATCGAAGCTATCGTCGAACGCGCTTTCCCCGGCCACTGGTTCTGCGCCTGGTGCGATGTCTTCCACGCCTGGTCCCCCTCCACCAGCCCTTCCAACCCCCGAGAATCCCTCAAACCAAGAGACTGCGCCGAGTTCAACAGCTACCTCTCCGCCGGATCAGAATACAACCTGCGCTTCCACCACATCCACCTCGCGCTTTCCCACGCCCTACACGGCCCGGACCATGGTATCCCCATATCTTCCCTGGCGTACACCAGATCCAACATGGCCAAAATCTACCGCACCCCCGTCCCCACCTCCCTCACCATCACACCACGCATATCCTCTTCCCACACCCTCCTCCTACACACCTCCTTCGCAATAATCCTGCCCTCCTTCTCCACCTCGCGCAAACACATCCTCGCACAGATCTGGCCCGTCTTCCCACATATCTTATCCGGCCACCGCGACTCGGAGAACGGACATTCCGGCCTGATGGCGGCAGTCGACAACGTCGTACGCCGCGGCTGGAAATACCCCTTCACGCAGAGCTGCAGCACGTGCCGCACGGACTGGAGCGTGAGCGCGCATTTCTTCGGACACGCGAGCGGCGGGCAGCTCAGGCTTGTGGTGCAGACGTGGCGCGATGTCGGGGACGGCAAGAGCCCCTTTGATCAGGGGTGGCGCAGCCATGGTGTCGGCTTACTGCGCGCGGAGGCTTCGGGGCTGGTGAGGAATTTGGACGCCCGGGCGGGGGATGTTAGGAGGGAGTTTGATCTTTGTGGGCAGGGCGGGGTGGGGGTGAAGAGGACGAGCGAGGCGAGGGAGGATAAGGGCAGGATTTATCAGGCGTTCATGGGCCAGGAGGTTAGGAGGTCGAGGGCTAGGCCGAGTGTTTGGCGGACGAGGAGTGAGAATGAGGAGGTTGCGAGGAGAGAGGAGGAGGAGAGGGTGGAGCTTGCGAGGCAGAATGTTGAGAGGTTGATTAGGGAGGATACGCAGCGGGGAAGGAGGTATTAGAGGGAGTCAGGGGTGTTTGGTTTCTGAGCATATATTATACCACTCGTAGTTCTAGAATGTTTCTTTCTTTCGGGGCATAAATAGATTTTCTCCATATTCAGCAGGTGATGCAATGATTTGTGCGCGCTGTGTTCGAATGGCGCTGTCAATCTGAGGGCAACTGTTCTCACTTCATGAATTTAAAGCTTTCCTGGTGCTTTTATATTGCTATGCAAGCTCGCATGTAACATGACAACCATTCTCCGGAATCAGGTGATATATGATCCATAGTGCACAGATTTGAAGATGCAGAGGAATGTGATGATCCGGGTGAGATATGAAAAATCTGAACCAGGTGACAGTGTGACATGGCGAAGGCGGATTAATGAAAATGAAACATAGAAAGCACTTGGTTCTGTAAGTTCTTGGAAAAGGTTTCATAAGCGACAGCGCTTTATTCATCTCTATATGCACATTTTCTACCATCCAACAAAGTATATACAAATTCCGAAGAAAAAGCTGGAAGCGAAAGTACCCCAGCATGAGCAAGCTCTACATCCCGCCTGCTACATGTTCCCCGCACCCTATGCTAATAAAGCAATCTAAGAAGGCTGCTGGAAGGTGGAGCCGATGGGACCGAACTTGATGTCGGAGAAGACAACGGTGGCATCAGGATGGTTCTTCTCCACATCCTCGGGCTTACCAGAGTCGATAGCGCAAGTACCACGCTGGGCACCCAACTTGGTGGAATTGGTAGGGTAAGTGGAGTCCAGCCACAACATGTTGACCGCATGGTCGTCCCAGAGCGACATGACCAAGACGTGGCCGCGTGCAAGCGAAGCACCCATCTCGTTGAGTCCACCGAGCGTCTTGAAGGAGTTGGTGTCGCCGAAAGCCGTCTTCTGCGCGGCGCAGAAGGACTCGGTGATGGAGTTTCCGGTCACGCCCTCGATGGCTGAGTCGCTGTTCTTGAAGACCTTGCCGTTCTGTACGTAGAAGCGCTTGATCTCAGAGAGAGTGGAGCCCGAGCCGAGGAATTGGGTGACGACGGTCATTTTCTTGGTGGTGTCGAGGGTGGCGCCGGGGCCGTAGAAGTCCTTGACGCCCATACGGTAGCTCTGTTGGGGGTGTCAGATTGTGGGCTGTTGGGGGTGGGGAGATGTGGTGCTTACGTTGAAATCACATCCGTCCTTGTCGCAGAGACCGCTGTAACGGTTGCTGCCGTCTCCGCAAGAGACGTCATCAGTGCACTCCTGAAGACCCGTGCCCTTGCAAGGGTGAGGGGTGTAGGCAGTGGAGATGGAGTTGGCCTCCCAGATATCCATCTCAGGGCAGCAGGCACCGATCTTGCCAGATCCGGCGTTCGGGTCAGCGTCAGATGGGTTCCAGCCCTCGACGTTGGCCTTTCCGTTGATGAACTTGATGTCGTGGGGACATTGGCTGTCGCAGTAACCGGTTCCGTACTTGGCACCAGCCTTGTTGTTGCCCTTGCCAATGCCACCGTCAGCGGCCATCTCGACGAAGTAGAGAGCACCGTTGAGACCGCAAGGAAGCTTGGAGACGTCGACGTCGAAGGTGAACTCCTGGCCGATGAGGTTGAACATCTGGTACTTGGTGTCGCTCTCCATAAGGTAGGTACGCGAACCAATGTTGGCAGAGTTGGAGCCCTTGGTGACGAACTTGATGCTCAAGGAGTTGCTGCTTGTAGTGATACCGTAGGTGCCTGTTGAGATTAGCATGAAAAGGTCGCCAAAATCAGATATGGCTTACCAGAGTAGTCAGCACCGTCAACAGCGCAGTTCTTGGTGCAAGTAGCGCCATCAGGGCAAGCAGTGGTGTTCCAGGAGTTACCGTCGTAGCAGTTGGTGTATCCGGTGGTGACGTGAGTCCAGCGCCAGTTAGCATCGAGCGTGATCTTTCCGGCCTTGGTGGTGCAGCTGGTACCTCCAGTACCAGTGCAGGTCTTCCAAGAAAGACTGGGGTGGGTCTCGGTAGTGACAGTACCAGCCTGCTGAGCGCGGGCAGCTCCGAAGAGCGAGAGAGAAGCGAGAGCGAGGTTCCTGTACATGGTTGCTGTTGTGAGAAGAACCGTTGTTGGATGCTGAGACTCTTCGGACGAGACAAGATGTCTTATATAGAAGCTTGACAGTCAACGGTGCTCCACTTTTTGGTACATAGCCAGCGTACCCATATCACTACAAATTATTGCCAGACGCAGGGGATCGTCGTATTAGGTCAAACCGAGCATTTTGACCAATCCCAGCGACGATCTACGGCGTTTCGGACCACGAACGGTGCTGTGAGCGCCACGGTAATGAAGTATAGATGAATTCCTGCTACGTCGTGGGGTATTCTGGGGTATTGTGGAGAGATCTGTGCGCCACTCCCCCAGGGTTCTGTTCCCTAAGCAGATAGTGGGCAAGGCGGTAGACGGGATTTTGAGGCAGTTCTTGTTGCCATGTACTATGATGGACCGATACGATTGGCCATTACTCGCTGGTTTTGAGCTCATATGACCGTTGTCGCAGACAGATCCCACTATGGACGGGGGCGAGAAGGACGATCTACGCGCCCATTGCGCATTAACATTCAGCAGATCAAGTTTCTCAACGTAGAATGAAGTTGAAGCATTCCAAGAGAGACCTCCACTGATCTGTCACACAATATTGCTTGTGTCGAATTGTCCAGAGCAAAGACTTCTTGGTGAAAGCTTTGGTGTGGGCAAATATCTTGACTAGCGAGCACGTTTGATCAGGATGTTGCCTGTCCGCGTTAGTAGTTTCAGTACCCGGTTACACTAGATTGCCCAGGCTCGCCAGGCACGCGGATATTGGGGAAGTCTTCTAGAAAGTTTTCCCGGTCTGCATATGGCAGATAGATTGCTGACAGGTCACGAGGCTAATGACCTAGCTGAAGATCCACAGTCATGGACTCATGAAGAGAGATTACTTGCATTTCTCGGGTGACCTCTGCAATGGCAATGCGAGAAGTTGCCACAACGTCTTGAGAACAAACTTGGAAGGTGTCGACAGTGGCCGTCTCCTGAGGCGCTGAGTTAGGGCCGAAAGTAGCTAACCAATAAGAGACAATGATCGTCTGGCGGTTTTACCACCGCCGAAGCCACAAATCTGGGGAACAATCCGTGGCGCCCTAGTAACGAACGCACCCAGGCGTGGTAACAACGTTGGCTCCAAACACGGAACTTCCCTCGGGAGTCTGCTGGCGTGTGCACAGAACTTCTACTTCCGGAGTAAACGGGACGTGGTTCCCGGTGCAATGCTCAAAGCTTGTTGGAGCTTTGTGGAACTTTCGCACTACGGTACAGTGGCGCGGCTCCATGTTTTCGGACAAGTCCTGCAAGGGTGTATATGAAGGCAGGGTCCTCCATGGGATCGTGGATGCGCCACGCTATCACTGCGGTGGCTACATTTGTGCTCAGCTTGGTGAAGACTGGACAATTCGGGCACGATCCAACAGCTGGTGCTATGCCGATGATTTTGCTGTTAGCAGGTGTCGATTCTAGCATTGCTATGTTGGTTTTGGAGGTTCTCCGAGATTTCCTACTACAGGCTCAGGGTCGAGTTGCGGCTAATATACTACCATGCAGTCAATCTAATTTTCTTCCACTCGAGATTGACACAACACCTCGTGGGGAACGATGCACAGATTAGATCTGCTCTGTTCCCGGTAGAGTGCCGAAGCAAGTTGAAATCGACCAATTACGCTCCTTCTCGTATACTACGACCAGGTTTGCGCAGTTGAGCCGCAAGTTGAGCGCCAGCGAGCTGGCTCGCTTTGCGAAATCATATCATGCGCATGCAGCAACTTTGCGTAGATACAGCTCTATCGGTGTTCAGCATTTGAGGATGCCATCTCTTACTTTCTGGAAGTGGAAGTAGACGAGGTCATTTTCGTGACACACCCGGCATTTCAGGAGCAATCGCAGTCGGCACTTGACAAAATCGCACATATTTGAAACGAAGGCTCGTAGTAATCTGGCAGACTAAGCTGCTAGAGAAGGGAGGAGGTATTCGTGGCGAGGCAGCGGCGAATCGCTTTGCAGCAGCGGATCATCGCCGTCGCCGTCAGGGCTGTCAATTAATAAACATGATGCTTGGCGGATGGGTTGGAAGTCGTATGTACCGGTGGAGACGGTAGTCAGGTGGCTCGTCGCGTGCGAGCTTCCGGGGAAGAAGCTAGCGCCGGAAGATGGTTGGCGCTGGAGCTCTTGGCAAGGCGCGGAGGCCTTGTCTCGCGAAAACTTGCTCCTCAATCAGCTTGTATCCCTTCTGACGGTATGTCAGATAGCTCGTTGAAACCTCATTTCTCGACAATAGCAGGTATCTAAGACATGCAGAGTTGAGCCAACGACTAGAAAGCCTACCTATCCAGGTGCCCATCATTCATGTCTTTCGTATTATAGGTTTGGGACACGTGCAGCCCTGCTTCTCTTCGATGCGCAAAATCCTCTCTCTTCGTCCATTCTCTGTGTTCTGGTTTTTTGTCAGGCTACGCACAAGGTATTTTGCATTTTCATGCATATCTTTCTGACGCTTTCTTCGAGACGCAAAAGTAGCCATGGCCGTTGAAAATGAGCTGGGAGCCACATTGGGGTCTTTGATATGGTCTGCGAACACCTCTCGGATCACCCCTAAGCAATGGAAGGTCATGCGTATGTGCCACTCTTGCACTGATCAAACTGTGAGAACACGCACTCTGCGCCATAATCATCTTAAGCGTGTTGTGCGTATACATACTGCATGGCAGGTCTGAGTACGCATTCACTCAGACGCAAAGTATAGGTGGTTGTCCCAGTGATCAGACGTGAAGAAACGTGAAGTACTGAGAGTGTTTACTCAACAACCCCCACCGCGCCATGTTGCCGCAGTTTTTACACCTGCACAGCCGACTTCAAAGCCGATTTCCAGATCGCTTGTACTCCTATCAAAACCGCTGCCATGAGACCAGAAAGCGATTCCCAGCAGGGTCTTATAGTTAAGCTTCCCTTGATGCCGGCAGCCGTGAGGAGCTCTCAATGACCGTTATTTGGTGCAGCTATGAGCCGCAATCTCCAAGAACGCGGCAATGGCACTGCACCGTCAAAGCGACCTCGCCCAGACTCCGCTTCAGCCCAAGGTGGTGCTGTTCAAGTGACCAAGTCAGCTGTAAGCTGTATGCAACGTCGAGCATATATGCGCCAAGCTAACAGCGAAAGCAGAAGAATTCGAACACCCCACTAGTTTCGGCACTTTATGAGCGCGCCAAAGACCAGGTGGTACTCGCATACCTCGAAGAAAGGCTACTAGATGTCCAAAACGCACATGCAGCACTACAGGAAGCAAACAAGAATGCCGCCGTTATCAAGCTTGAACGAGACACTATGAAGACAGAGCTAGATGAGTTCACAGAATGGGTCGCCAACCTGTGTGAGGAACTCCATCGTGCACAGAACAAGAACAGTGTCACCACACGAGAGATGCAGAATTTAAGACACACATTCCAGCCAGAACATCAGATCGCCAGGGAGTCTTCAGACAAGGCCAACCCCGTCGTTATCGAGATGGAAGGTCTAAAGAGTCAAATAGACGACTTAGCTTCTGAAAATACGGACATGGGAGCTGAAAATGTCAGCTTGAGGGAACAAGGCATCACAACGACTGCTGAGAAAGAGAAACAAGCGACCGAGAACCTCGGCTTGACGGAACACATCGCTGATATTGCCGCCGAGAAAGATAGCCAAGCCATCGAGTTCCAAAAGCAGCTCGATATTATGAAGAGCGAGAATGAGAGCTTCAGTGTGGACAGGGAAAATTTGGTCGGGGAGAATGGCAGCTTGGCTGCGGAGAAAGACGCTTTAACAACCGATAAGACCAAACTAGAAGCCGAAGTCATTGAGCTCCAGAAGGCTTATAACACTTCGACGCGTACAAGAAGCGGGTAAAGGCTTTGGCAGAGCAGATGTGAAAGCACCTTCAACTGGCGCAGCACTCATGAGTAGAATGGAAAGGAATGCAGGAAAGGTTCGGTACTCATAAGGCGACTCTAATGGCTGCGGTCTGTTATACCGAGTCTGAAATTCGTCACTTAGCCATTCGGAACTGTTTTTGTTCCATCCTTTATGGTTTCAAAACAGAATATTACCAAAAGCTTGAACAATTCTTGCTTGGATTCGAACTACTATTACAGATCCCTAGTAATGTTAAATGTGAGCCTGAAGAGACTTGATAGATATTAATATCTTACAAAGTGCTTGAAATGCCTTACAATTATCCAGTACTAACTTACACCAGCACAATTGCAATTCGATGATATTCCGAGCTCAGATACAGCGTGCACAGATTTTTAAGCTCACATAGTCTCGCATGGAGAGGTAGTTTCCGTTTGCCATTACCGGGCGCGAAAAGTACGCGTCACGTAATCCGTGTGTTTACTCTCGCCTTCACTGTCGCCGTTTGCTGGCTGCCGCGCGGGCCTTAGCGTGGCGGACCCATTTTCTTCTGGACCTCACCTCACCTACTCTCGACTTTTTGGTTCTCTTCTGAACTACTACCTCTTCATTGTCTTTCTTCCCCTTATTTGGGCGCTGCTGTTGCGCATGACCACGTCCTCGTTCTAGCTCCAAGTATAGGCAAGAATTCATCGGGGCACTCTCACCTGAGTTCCATTGCGCAACGCGCAGCCAACCGCGTAACTTCTCTGTCGCAGCACACGTTGGTCACCGTAAAGCTTTCAGAAGTCTTCTGGACGTAAGCGCATATTCACCCACAGTACGAGCATTAGATCATGTTGACTGAATGCGATCTAGTGTGCTCCATCATTCCGCAGCTATGGCATCAACAACAGAATCGGTCACCTACGGTGAGCTGGTGCAGTATGCGAATGAGCATTTCAGCCAGGAGTTCAAAAGCCTACCACTCCTTTCTACCATCAAAATTCAGAAGTTCGGTGGGAAGGAGTCAGATAGGGATTACGCAGGACCGCCTCGAGCAGAAAACTACCGTGTCTGCATCGCTCGGACTAAGAAAGATGTATTGGGCAAGCAGCCTGTCCGTATTATCATCACTACGACATCCGACAAGATTGCTGAGTATGACCCGTGGTACTCTCAGTACATTACTGCACTGAGCAGACCCTCTGAATACGAGCTGTATGATCCTTTCCATCATGTCTCGGGTTCCGAAGAGCAGTCCTGCAAGCTCCGCATGATAGTACTGTCGCTGTACTACGTTATGCGGAGCGGCCTTGCCACAAGCTGTGTGCTGGACCGTGAGTCTTCCAAGATTGGACTTCTCGAGACATTCAAAGAGGTCTGCAGCTTGGTATTTGCAGCAAAAGCTGCATCGAAGACGGTACTTGAGCAACCTCAAAATGACCGCCAGTATGTCATTCGACTTCGATTGTGCCCCGACCTCTTGATGCAGTTCCAGGATGGGGAAATGTCGCCTAACGGCGGTGTGCCCCAACCTGCGCCCTCTATCCATGATTCAATCGCAGTCATACCAGCAAAGCGAACTCTCATGGGGCTGAGGCCCCGAAACAGCAGAGCCTCGGATCGCGGAGTTCCAACAGCTGTAAGTCGATCCAAGCCCCAACGCCTTACGCTTTACTAACAATTGCGCCAGAAGAGGATCAAGGTGACAGCTCATCCACCAGCCCACCAGACAGAAACCGGCTATACAATCATCAACTCGATGCACGAGATAGTTCAGAAAGGAGAAATCGCCGAGGCAGCACTCACGGAAGCGAAGGAGGCGATCGCTACTCTGATCGCGCAACAGGATGCTCTACAAACCGAGAATAACAATATCAAGATCGAGAACAACAAGTTTAAGACTGAGAACAACAAGTTCAAGACCGAGAACGAACAGCTAAGCAACGAGAAGCGAGCCTCAGAAGTCGCGGCCGCTGAATCAATGCGCAGTCACAACCAACTCGTTGCCGAATACGACACAGCTCAAATCACCATCAGAGACCTCGACGCCCGCATCGCCGCCATAACATCCGAGCGCGCCAACGTCTCCCAGGAGCTGACCATATCCACCACCGACAACGGCCGGCTGATGACAGAGATCGCATCCTTGAAACAACAAGTCAACGCCATCGCCGCCGAGAAAGACGGTCACTTCAAGGAGCAGATTACTGCACTCGAGCGCGACAAGAACATGCTCAACACCCAAAATGCCGACCTCAAAGAAGATCGCGACAAGCTCAAGAAGGGTTTCAGGGACGCGGTGTCCGAGCTCGAAGCCTACAAGAAGCGTGTTCTGGCATTGGGAAATGAATAGTCTTGCGTGGACCTGTTGGATACATACCAGCCGAAGGAGTCAGGTTGGCAGAAGAGCGAAGGCTGGATTACTCCTGGCGGAGATTCGACTGGAGGACTGGCAAAGGCTTTTAAGCTGTGTCATCATCGTAGTTCCTAAATCTCGGCCACCCCCGTTGCAAGCCCCAAACAACTGTAAATTAGCCTCACAATCCACTCTTCAATGCACACTTCAAGCTATGATGTCAAACTTGAATGCCATTTCCCAACCGCGACCTCAAGCCGCACCCGCGCTCTGACTCTATGGATCTACAGAGCCCATTGCCACATAAAGAAAACCCCTCTTCAATGATATGTACAGTTTCTCGTGCTGTCTTTGTTCCGGGATATGATTGGTTGTCTCGCCGCGTGCGCTACGCTTTACTCCTCCTTCTTCGCGTCGGGGTCGGGCAGGATGCCCTCGGCTTCGAGTCTGCGTCGTGCTTCTTCCAGGGCCCAGGTTTGAATGCTGTTGGATCGTCAGTCACATCCTCGTCCTCATTCACATCTCCCCCTTTCTCTCTTCCATCCCCATTTCCTCCCCATATTCCTGTTCCTCTTCCTCTTCTTCCTCCTCTTCTGCTCTCCCCCTCCCTTCAAAAAACGTACCTAGTATCCGGCTTGAACATGTACGCCACAACCCCAAAGACCATAGACCCACACAACCCCCAGTATATCGGACCCTCCCCACCCCTCCTTCTCGTACGTTCTCGCCGGGCTTGACGCCAAACAGCCCATCCGCCGGGGGGGGTCGTAGCTGCTGCCGTGGCCCCGAGCGGCGCGCGGGGACTTGTGAGTAAGGTGCGCCCGGGCGGTGAGGGGCGCGAAGCGCGTGGCCACCCGCGCGTATGGTGGACATTGTGTGTGGAGTGGAGATTTGCAGGTGGAGGTGGTGGTGCGTCCCGTTGAGGGCGTTGATGTGGGAGGCGGAGGTGCGGATGGTGATGGGCGAGAGGTGAGGTGGATGGCTTGGCGTGGGTGAGATGGATTGGGTTTAGCGTGGGTGGGTGGGAGGCGACATCATGGTCGTTTTGTGCGAAGTCTATAGCAGAGATATTAGGAGGGCAGGAAAATATGAATTTGCGCAATGGTGCAGCAGGGAAGTCGGAAGAAGATGGGTTACATGGTGATTGAGAGAATATTTGTGGATTTGTTTCTTGCAAATGTACAAGCATGATCTGAATTAAAGCCAACGAACGCCACTGCTATGCAAGATTAAAAGTGCTCTACAATGCAACATCGTCTAAGCAGGAAGCGCAACGCGCTCTTCTTTCTCAGCTTCCTTCATATCCTCATCTTCATCCCGTTGCACGAACGACAACCTCGAAAGCTCTTCCGAAGCCTTGTCGACCTCATCCTCCGTCTTCTTCTCCTTCTCTTCCTCTGCCTTGGCTTCCTCTTCCTGCTGCTGCTGCTGCTGAGCCTGCTTCGCATGCTGTTCGCTCTCCTTCTGTTTGCGCTTCTCTTCCAGCTCGGCCAGCTCAGCCAACCTCGCCGCCGTCTTGGCAGCTTCTTCGCGCTCTGTCTTCTCCTTCTCGGCTTGTTCGAGGGCTTCGAATTCATCATCAATCTCACCCTCATCGAGCGGCTGATCTGAATCGTTGATGATATCTGTGATCTCCTCCGTGAATGCCATCTGATCCCTGACAGCTTCAACAACACCTTGCACGCCCTCCGCACCGCCAACCTGCTCGTTCAGGCTCTTGAGTGCGTCTGCGCCGGCACGCATGGCTTCTACGATTCCGACTTGATCAGCTGCGGTTTCAAGTTGTGTGTATACGCTTTCTAGTTGAAGCGCAACATCCGATCGTTGTGCGAGAGCACCTTCAGCAAGCTTCTTCGAACGCAGGGCCGCTTTGGCGCGGATCATTTGTTTTGCGGTCACTGCCTCGCGTACTGCTGCATCTGCGGCAGCGATCTTCTCCATGAACTGAGGGATTTGGGCGTTGATTTTGGCAAGTGTGTCACGCAGATTGGCAATGGCCTGGTCTTCGCGTGTTATGGGTTCAGGCGCAGCTTCGTGCTCGGCCTTGAACTTTACTGTTTGCCCATCGAACAGCAGCGCTTGCCTGTCTCGCTGTAGATACTGCAGCAGAAGATTCGTGTCACCCTCACCATATGTGAGCGCGGCGCCGGGGTCGGAAACTCCCAAGAATCGCTTCGAGAACTCTGCCTTGGACATTACGCGATCGGCGGTCGATGTATGTTCCTTCGTCTTCTTCAAAATCTCATTTGCAGCGGCCTCTACGTTCTTCACTACCACAAAGCCTCCTCCTTGAAGCTTCTGTGGTGAACTCGGCTGTCCTAAGACGCCGACCTGTCTCAGGCTCCACTGCAGTACCTTCAATGGTGACGGTATCCACGAGGTCTTATATATACTCTCTTTTGCAGTCCAGAAGTCATTCTGGGGTATCCATTCCCTCTTCTGCGCAGCATCGTGGAAGACTGCAGGCAAGCACGTGGGCTTCCCATGCTGTGGGTGTAATAATGCCTGTGCGAGACCGTCTGTTGCAAGAATAGTGAAAGGGCTACGGGCCGTGCCTCGTACGGGAATGACCCCGGCTCGTGCAGCATTGGTGAGCGCTTTATTCCATGCGGCGATGTTCGCATGGTAACCCTCGGGGTTTACTTCGAGTTGCTGGCGAAAGTCTGCGTAGAGCGAGGAGAGGCGGTGTTGGCTGCGGGAGTATAAGCTTAGGCGGATGCAAGGCACTATTTTGGTAATACATACTTCTGAAAAGCCTCTTCATGCTGGAGGATGTATTCTAGCAACTCAGTCATGTCGCGCTCCGTCTCTGGCTGCCACGGGTGTTTGTTGTGCTTATCCGCGCGGAACAGTCGACGCTGGCGTCGCGCGCCAAGGATCGAGCCTTCTGCATCGTTGGAGGGCTTGCGCTTCAACATTTTGAGCAGGCACCGAAAGCAATAAGTTGATAGTGATTGGTAGTTTTTGCATTGCTATAGCCAATCTACTCCAGTCTTATGAGCGCTCAGCTGCCCGCGCTTGCCTGCCATCGAGCAGTTATTTAGGCGCGCAGTGCTTTCACTACTGACGCGACGCGTTTCACTACCCCACAATGCGGGGTTCCACCTTGTGCCGTTGGCCGCCTACATGTGCCAGCAAAGTGTAATTTTGCAACACATAGAGCCTCCATGGCATTGTCCCCACTCTGGCCTTTGCCTGGCGACAAACGAAGTCATCTAGCCTGGGTCATCATCCTCATGTGTCGCGATACATCAATCGCACAGTTGGCAAGTCATTACTTCTTCACGATGTTTACCCCGACGTCCGTCTTCTTCTCCATGAACCTCCTCATCTCCTCCAAGTCTTCCATGTCATCATCCTCATCTCCATCATTTGCTTTGGTCTTCTCTGCTGCAGGTTTCGGTGCTGGCGGTGGTGCTTGTTGAGCCTCCGGCGGATCGGCCATCTCTTTGCTCTCTTCCGCCCAAGCCTTCCTCTCTTCTTCGTCAAGCTCTTCTCGCCGATCAAGCCATCGCTCCTGTACGTCCCGCGCGTCCATAGTCACACCATCCGATCGCATAGCCATTTGCCATACAGTCTCGTTCGCACCTTCCACTCCACCAAGCGCATATCCTCCAGCACGGTCGATGGCCCGTAGAAGTGTCATCATGCTTTTTTTGTCTTCGACAGCTAGCGTTTCAAAGCCCACAAGCGCAAAGTCCTCCACTAACTCGACGATGGCCTTATTGAGGGCTGAGAACTTGGATGTTGGTTCGTCATCGTCCATGTCTGTGTCGGCATTTGCGCCAGCCGTTGTCGGACCTGGGATACCAGACGTTTGTTCGCGATTGAGGTGAGGGAGGAGATAGTGCAGATCCTGTACTTCGGTGTAGAAGTCGAGGTTGAAAGGTAGATTTGGGTAGTTTTTGAGGTTGTCGATCTTGGTGAGGACATTTAGGTGCGGTAGGTCCATCTGCAGCATACTCCGCAGCGCAAGTAATAGCGATGATACGTATAACGAGGGCCGCGAGAGTATTATGGAGTCGGTCAAGTGTACGACGACGAGCTGCAAGGGTCAGCGTGTTGTTGCTTGCGGCAGGTAGTGGGCAATACTCGATACCCAATTTTTTGGAGGCGGAAGAAGATGTTCCGCAGGGAGCCGTGGTGTGTGAAGAGCTCTACCTGGCCAGGACAGTCAAAGAGAACATAGTCATCTGCGACAAGATCAATACATGGCCACTCTCTCAACACACGTAGCTACGGACCTCCGAGCTCCTTCAGGCATTCTTCGAGCCAGTCAAAATGGTTCTCCAGTTCTTCCAGCGCAAACAGAACCCCGCCATTCGGTCCCAGGGCCTCTTGCTCCATGATATCGTCTATAGTGACCAGATCTCGTACGTCTACGGCGGGCTGATATGAAGTAGAGTCGTTCGCGGGGTCGAGGTTCACCACCGAGCACTTGCGCTCGATTGCGCCCATGAACTGCTGCATGCCATCGCAGTATGTCGACTTGCCAGAGCCCGGCGGCCCTATCACAAGTTGCGCGAAAGGCATAGCGAGGTCGATGCCGTGTGGTGAGAGCAAAGTAAGGAATTACAAGGGGGCTCTGGAGAGCTTTGGAGGGGTGCGCGCATGGACGTGGACATGGGCCACTAGCGGCCGTCATTTGTTTGGGAGTTTCGCGGAGCTGCAGTCAAGCTTCTGGATACACGACACGCCAATCGCGCAACACCGCAAACATGTCAAGTAAGTTCTTCTCTGCAGTCGCTGTCCGTCTTTTCTTTCAAAATATACGCTGTCACATCAATTACCGCTTTGGAGGGCCGCCTTGTGCCTCGGCGCAACGTTGTCTCGATACGGAGTACCCAAAACATACTTGGAAGACAGGATACTAACCTTGCAGGTCAATTCGAGCTTGCGCAAAACCCCTCAGAGCCCATATCGTCTGTCAAATTCTCGCCTACGACGCCAACACGGTTACTGGTCTCCTCATGGGACAGGAATGTCTACCTCTACGACACCCACGCTGAGCCTGGCGGCAAGCTGCTCCAGAAGTTCGAGCACCGGTCGCCAGTATTAGATGTCTGCTTCGGACGCGATGACAACGAAGCATTCACCGTGGGCTTAGATTGGGAGGTCCGAAGGTACGCCGATATCACCTTCACAAGCTTTTGATACAGGCAAGAAGCCTAACGATTACAGAATCGACCTCGAGACTGGCTCCCAGACCATAATGTCGACACATGAAGCCGGCGTCCGCAACGTCATCTATTCCGCTCCGCACAACCTCCTCATATCCGCATCATGGGACTCAACCCTCCACCTGCACGACCTTTCGAGACCCGGCGACTTCGCAGCCATCCGTCTGCCCTCAAAACCCTTCTCGCTCTCCGCATCACCCACCAAGCTCGTAGTCGCCATGGCCAGCAGGGCAGTCAACATCTACGAGCTCGACGGCCTATCGAACGCCGCAAAGCGCGGAGGCGGAGAAAGCGTGGAGCTGGCACCGTGGCAGCAGCGAGAAAGCTCCATGAAGTACATGACGCGCGCCGTCGCATGCATGCCCAACGACGCCGGCTACTCCAGCTCAAGCATCGAGGGCCGTGTAGCAGTAGAGTGGTTTGACCCGTCCGAGGAGTCGCAGTCGCGGAAATACGCCTTCAAGTGTCACAGGCAAGCAGTCGATGGCCAGGATATAGTGTACCCCGTCCACGCGCTAGCATACCACCCGGTCCACGGCACGTTCGCAACAGGTGGCGGTGACGGCATAGTCGCTCTGTGGGACGCTGTTGCGAAGCGGAGGATCCGGCAGTATCAGAAATTTCCCGCCGCCGTGCAGACCATTGACTTTTCGTCAGACGGCAAGTTCGTTGCTGTGGGTGTTAGTCCTGGATTCGAGGACGGCACGGATGATGTGCCCGATGGTGTTATCAAGGTCTTCATCAGGGAACTGACCTCGACTGAAGCACAGGGCAAGAAGAAGTAGGGCTGAAGCAAAAGTGAGCCTGGAGTATGGCGTTACATAGTCGAGGATCTGGTGATCATACCCCAAGTGACTTTGCCGTAGATACACTTCACCTATCTTGGTGGACCTTGAATGAAAAACTGACTACGACGCCTTTTCGTCCGAACTTTGCTCGCACATGTGTCCATTTCCATGTTCTGATTCCTTAAATTCAGTCTACCCTACTCAACGTATCCAGTCTCAGCCACTGACTGTCCCGTTTTCTGCGAGCAATACAGTATGTTTTCCACACCCGCAGCATTGCCGGAAATCAAAGCAAAGCTAGGACAATTCACTGCACACACACACAATGTGCACATCCCCCCAACGCTTGCTCGCCTGCTCTCAGACCTTTGCCCAACCTCCAACCCCGAACATTGCCAATAGTCCAGCATCAGCAAGCCAATGTATACCAATCCATCCTAGAATCTTCCAGGAAGGTAGCTGTAATCAAGAAACACTCCAGCTTCCGCGCTTTGGTCTGGCATACACGACTTGCCAGGTCGATCTTTCCTTTTTTGCGCTGGGTTTCGAGTCGCTGCTGAAGTCTACGTTCTTTACTCCTTTTTTCATGGTGGAATTTGACGGCATTGGGCTGAGTATGCAATGTGCTGTTTCTTTGACATTATGTGGTTGTGAATGAATCAGAGAAGCGGCCGCGCTTTCGGCAACCTGCATCTCCTTCAACACATCTATGCACCCTTATCCACCTCGTATCACATACTCCATCTCGATCTCGCAGCCCAACCACTTCAATGTGCAGCATCATCACCAATTGAAGTACATATATATCAAGTAATTCGACCATCACTTCAGGAAAGTAGTTGCACCTCGGAAATGGATAGCAATCATTTAATGATTCGGCTAGGTCGGATCTATTCGGTCTCCCCTATCCTTTTTGCTGGAGCTTTGATTCGACTCGTTAGTTGAGCGTGTCTAGTCTGTGTCTTTTTTGGGATTGGAGATGTAAGACTGGGGGGTTCGCTAGGCTATATATCGACACGGGAAGTTAATGAGACGCCGTGGCTAGACTAGGGGCTTTTATTTTTGTCGTTTCTGGAGCTTTTGTTGGTCACGGAATATGTGCTTACCCGACAAGTGGTGGTTGATTGGGCTGTGTCACACTGTTGCCTGCGCTGTGGCGTAACTGACTACCGCCCTTTCAAAGACCGATGGACCGGAAAGGTTGGTACAGCTGTTTCAGGTGGAATCAAATTACTATTTTCGATTTTTTCTGGGTATATATGGTATCAAAATTCATCGTTCTTTCAGGAAAGTAGCTACAACTACAAACTGCAAACTGTGCCTACGATCGTTCAGGCCTCCTCATTGTGCCCGATCGGACTTTCCTTTTTGTCCGTGAGTTCGAACCGCAGACGACGTTCATACAATAGTTTATTTCATTTCAATGTTTGTTTTGTAAGAAGAACAGCAGAACGATATATTAAGTAAGCTAGATCTTTCCAACACCCTTGTCTTCCTGATACGCAACGGCAGCAGGATGGGCATCAACAGGCACCGCTTCCAAGATCACGGCATTCGTTGCTGACCACTTCCTGCCCTTGCGAAAGCAAAGGAAGAATGTGCATCCGGCTACAAAGCCCGTGATGCCTAGACCAGCATACATCCACACCAGATAAGGATCCTGGGAAACCGGGCTGAGTGCAATGCAGATGGCAGCTGCGATGCCGATCGTAATCCAGAACAGCGCTGAGATGAACGATCGGAGACTATCTCACATTAGCAAATCGTCAACTGTAATAGGCAGATCATACATACTTTTTCGGCGCTTGCGTAAACGCCAACTCCAACCCGGTAATAATAATAAACGCCTCACTAAACGCCACCAACACATACGCCGGCGCCTGCACCCACACGTGAATACTCTTCTCGGGACTCGTGTAAATATAATGCTGTAGCACACTCGCATACACCATGCTCACACTGACGAGCATGAAGCCCGCGAAAATGCGACTAATTGGGTCAAAGTCGATCTTGAACTTGCGCAGCGTCGGGTACACGACGAGATCGAGAAACGGGATGAAGATGATGAGCGCGATGGGGTCGAGGTTTTGCAAAAGGTCGTTGGGCGTGCCGTGCAGCGCCATTTCGCCGGCTTGCGAGATCAGGTTGTTCCAGATTTGGATCCAGCAGACGAAGTAGAAGGGGAAGAAGAGGAAGATCTAAAGAGGAGCGTTAGTGTGAAGTTCCTTTGATTAGGTTCGTGACTTTTACCTTGCAGCTCTTAACGCCGCGGCGCACATCCTCGACGTAGGTGTCAGTGTAGCGTGTCTCGCGGGAGAACTTGTACTTGTCGTCTCGTCGCGATTCAGCAAGAGCTGAGGGTTTAGCGTTTTGGAAACCTTTTTCACGGACTGCGATGGTGGTGGTTTTGATGGCGTCGACGATGGCGGAACTTTGGGGTGGGACTTTGATGTATTTCTTGGATCCTGTTAAGAATACTGCCAGGGAGATGATAATGGCGCTGTCAAATGATCAGTTTCTGTAACTGATGGTAGATGTGGTCTGCAAACTTACATGAGCGGAATGAGGTATGCAAGCCAAAACGAGTGATGCGCCTCAACATTGACAGTGATGAGTGGCGATAGTGCACCGACATTTACAACCCAGTAGAACCACATGAAAAGCTTCTGGACAGTGAGCTCCGGATCAACTACCACCTTCTCCCCAGTCTTGAGCGTCTTCAACACGGGTCTAGCGTTCTGGTACTGCTCTGCACACATCGGGGTGACGTTTGCCTTGATACCACCAGTACCAAGACCAATTGTGATCATCGCAGCAATCAGGCCGCCAAATCCAGCACCGCTCTGGATCGAAGATGGTGTCGAGGTCGCGACCAGAATGACCAGGCCAACAATGTAAACGGCAGATGCTGCGAGGATGGCCTTGAACTTCCCGAGGTATTGGTCGGCAATTATAGCTCCGATGATGGTGGATGCATACGCCCAGAATTTGAAAAAGTTTCCTAGAGCTGTTGCAACGGCCTGTCCTTTGCCAAGTGCTCCTGGAAGGTCGGATCCAGGGGCATAAGGGTTGCTGTAAGACGTCAGTTGTGTCACAACAACAGCATTTCTTTGGTACATGGCTTACTTGATGTAGTTTTGTATAGGTCCGCTGAGACCAAAGTATGTGAAGCGCTCACCCAGCTTTGCTGAATGTTAGTGAAGCTCTGTCGTAAAAAGCATTAGTATGCAAACCTCGACAGCCAGAATGAGTAAAGCGATCTTGGGCAGCTTGTCGGGAACTCTTCTGAAGCTCACCCATTCCGAATCTGCTATAGGGGACTTCTCCTCGAACGTATCCTGTCGACCAAGGTCCTTGTTCTGCGTCTCAATGTCCGTGGCCATGATGAAAATTGCCGTGATGCTTCGAAGGATGCAGATCAGGTCATGAGCGACTGATGATGAGCTGAGATACCAGGGCCTGGATACCCTCGTGTCTTAAATGTACGACGCTTCATAGATAGCGGCACTACCCCAGATCCATGGTCCATGCTATCGGATTCTGTGGGGAAGTGATAGGGTTCGGCAGTACTAAGATCGGCCAACTTGTCAACGCCTAGCGTGCTTCAGTCAACGCCGCCAATCAGAGCGTCGCAAGAGATGCGCCCCATGTTGTTGGCGGAGCATATCTTTCTTGGTGCATTTGTTCTATCTGCTCATACACAAGACACTTACCGTTTTCTCTAACATCTCCTGACTTTCAGCTTGTAGAATTCTTACGCCACATTTATCACAATGTCTACTTCTACAGTACAAACACAGACTACGACTGAGCCTAGACTAGCGATCAGGAAAGAGCATTTGGCTGGCCTCGACCCAGAATGGGTAGAGTTGTGGCATGCTCATGGGGCGCATATGGTCAGAGCAGATGAACTGTCACTCGAGGAGTATCGTGAGAATCCTGCCCAGTACAGCTTCACACATCCTACGTGTGCAGGTCAGTCTTGCAAGCCCTTTCAGCGAGAACAAGCATACTTATAGATCACAGGTCCCGATGTCTTTCATGTGGAAGATATACAGATGCCTGTAACAACTCCAGTCGGGGAGATAACAGTTAGAGTGTACTCACCAGAGGGTCCGGGGCCATTCCCAGTGCACTTAAACTTCCATGGAGGTACGATTTATCATCTTTCTGAAGACATGAGGAAATTTCTGACCTCTGCACAGGCGGATGGGTACTTGGTGGTTTGAAGAGTGAAGCCGCATGGTGCCGGCACATGTGTAATAAGGCGAACATCAAAGTCATCGATGTCGACTACAGGATGGCGCCCGAATTTCCTTTCCCAACCAGCATCTATGATTGCTGGGATGCGGTCAAATGGGCAATAGCCAACGTCGAATCTCTCAACATCGACCCGAGTAGCGTTTCCATCGGCGGACTGTCTGCAGGAGGTCAAATGTCCGCCGTCCTTGCACATTTCGCACGAGACGAGGGTGTAGATCTCAAGCTACACATGATGATCGTTCCTGCAACGGACATGCGATATTGCATGAAAGGCCTGAAGCTGAACGAATCGAATTGTCCGTACCAGAGTGTACATCTGTTTCACGACGTACCATGGGGTCCTTTGGGTCGCGAACAATGGTTCCTGAAGTACTGGCTCGGTGACAGCAAAGGTACAATTCCTGAAACAAATTCACGATCCAAGTCCGAAGTTAACAAGATGATAGAGCAACAAGAGAAAGCGCTGAACAACTGGATCTGTACCCCAGTGTTGGCTCCTTCATTTCAGAATCTCTCCCCGGCACACATCATAACTGCAGAGTTTGATCTTGAGAGAGATGAAGGCGAGTATTATGGCGAGCTTTTGCGTAAGGCTGGTAACAACGTTACTGTGAAGCGTTATACCGGTATGCCTCATGCTTTTGGTCATTACAACCACCCTGAGCGTGGTTTGAAGAAGAGTTTTGAGTACATAGAAGACACAAGTAGGATTCTGCGGAGTGTCCACTACGGCGCGTAAATGGATAGCGAGAATGCCGTACGTCTGATCAAACATGTCTGGATGACGATAATGTTGTGAGCCCGCCACCCGGCAGCGGCAAAATTCGTGCCTGCTCTGCACCTACACGATATGTTCTAATCGTCTTTAGGAGCGCACCTATAAGTTTATAAGGGAGCCTAAATATATACGCTACTCTAAGGTATCCTTATCTAGTATTGCAAAAGTTTTTAAGAATATCTAAGCTACCTCAACCTCTTCTCGCTGGGTAAGGGCGGACAGTAATTATACCGGCGCCTGGTGGACTGTTCAACCGTAGCAGTTTTCAACGGTGGGGAGATTTGGACTCTGCCATGACTCGCTCCGAATCCGAAGTGCCTTCGCCTGATCAACTCCCACTACTCATGCGTACAGTGACATGCCCGACATTTCGCGAATTGTTACGCGTCTGGATGTGCATGTTATCTTTTGCCCCATGACAAGATAGGTGAGTTGTGGGCCTGAGAACGCCACCAATCAAAACCGACGCCGTAAGAAGGCCCGATCGCCACGCGAGGTCGGACGCACGACGCTTCTCCGACGGCGTCGACGTTCGGCGGATGTCAGTCCGGGGTGTCGAGACACTATGAGCTTGACAATTAAATGAGTGAATCCGCTATTATTACCTGTATCAGGAAAGCGAATTCGAAGCAAGCCCGAACCGAATAATAGAGCAGAATAATGGGCAAATCAATTGTAATTGTTGGGTACGTTCCGGCTGCGGAGGAGTTGCATGTAAACCGAAGACTGATCGTTGCATGTATAGTGCTGGTGTAATTGGTCTAGACGTTGCACTCTTGCTTGCAGAACGTGGCTACGGTTCGCACATTACAGTAGTAGCAGAGCATCTTCCTGGAGACACGTCAATAAATTACACTTCGCCATGGTATGTCGCAGAGTTGTGCGAGCTTTATATCTACTCTTAGAGAACTAACTCAGAGCAAAAGGGCAGGGGCAAACTTCTCTGCCATTTCCGGTGGTGATGCGAATGCGTTGCGCTGGGACAAGCTCGGGTATGGACACATGATGAAGCTTGCTGAAGAGCACGGTGTGGAAGCATGCATATCGAAAACACCATCGTTCGAGTACTGGGATGAGATGCCAGCACGCGCGAAGATCGAATCCATGGCTGAATATCTAAAGGACGTAAGTCAACACAGGGAGGCAGCCAAAAGGGACGCAGGCTTACATCAAGAATAGTTCAAGATCCTGCCAAAATCCGAGATACCAGAAGGATGCCAATTTGGTGTTACATTCACCACTATCACAGTGAACGCACCTAGATATATTCAATATCTCCATCGAGTTCTGAAGGAGCAACATGGTGTCCAATTCGTTCGGGAAAAGTTGCCAAGCATCGAGTCCGCCTTTTGCGATCCATCAACAAAGGTCGTCTTCAACTGCACTGGTAATGGTGCGCGAACTCTCCAGGGTGTGCAGGATGAAAAGTGTTACAACACCAGAGGACAGATCCTACTTACACGAGCACCCCATATCGCCAAAAATGTAATGCGCCATGGAAAAGACTACGAGACATACATAATACCAAGGCCGCAGTCGAATGGTAACATCATCCTGGGTGGTTTCATGCAAAAGGGCGTGAGGTAGGATAGAAAGCGCCGCATTATATCCCAAAATTGCTAACATCATCATGTAGCACTGGAGACACGTTCTCAAGCGAGTCAGAATCGATAGTGAAACGCACCACTACCTTGCTGCCAGAACTGCTCACAGGTGGCATGGAGGTCTTGGCTCCATTTGCTGGCTTGCGGCCGTCGCGAGAGGGCGGTGCGCGCGTGGAAAGGACAGATATCGAGCTTGATGCATGCAGGACGGGTGTTCTTGTTCACAACTACGGCGCTGGTGGTACAGGATTCCAGGCAGGTCTTGGAATGGCGCAAGATGCAATAACAGCAGCGGAAGATGTATTATCTGGCTTGCTGAAGCAGAGGAGTCGTCTGTAAATTGAAACAGAAATCTGAGTTCCAAACGTATTTGTTATCTTGCTGAAGATATGACTTCAATCTTTTGCACCACCGCTCGACATGGTAAAGTAGACTTGGCGGAAAGTGATTTTGGATGTGAGAATGACTAGTGGAATGACGAGTGGATACCAAGACCTGGTGACCTTCCTCAATCGCATTCACATAGCAGTGTTTGATGTGCTTGTATCCATACTTGCAGCTAGTGCATCCTGCACGTGCGGCTGCAGCCGTAGTACCTTGTCGATACCTTTCCAGAATAAGGCATCTATCCTTAGTAGGCCCAATCGCAATACGGGTAACATGTTCGACTTAAGGCGCATCTCTTTTCTAGTCATATGCAGGTCTCGAAACCAAGTAGTTGCTTCCTGCATGTCTGGAGAGGTAATCGCCATCAGTAGATTGAGGAAACAGATGCAAGAAAAGGCCACCTGACTCCAATGCGGCCAGAACATGTGAAAATGCTCCTCCCTGAGACTTTTGACATACTTCGAGGCTGCAGTGGTTGAAGACCTGACTCCAGTCCTCGCGAAGCCGTTTACGTCTTGGTGATTCGTGAGACTGTGAGTGACTGCATCTCCAGTCTCGACTGGACCAGAATTTGCGACAAACGGTCGCATGATGGCCCGAAAAATGGTCATTTGTACGTAATGATAGCCAAGAATACAAATTGTTGGTAGCGAGACCGCGTCTTGATCTGAGCTTTCAGCGGGCTGTGGGCAGTCTTGATGCCAATCGGATAACTCTTGCAGCAGTACTTTTGAGATGTTTAGGGTATGCTGGACATTGGAGGTAGTCTCTTGCACTGCGCGTAAAGAGCTGATGGAAAGGTTACTAGTGGCTTGTTCAGTATGATAAGAAGAACTTACTAGAGTTGCGCAAGGACGTCCCCCAGTAATGAGCCAAGCTTTGCGTAAAGTATGTGGTGCAACCATATTTCTGAGCTCAAGCCGGACTCGTTAGAATCCATGCTTGTGACTGATGTCACTAGCCAAGTGTCGCGCGTAACGAGGGGAGGTCTGCCGAGGCTGGATGCCAACCACTTATCAGTTGTGTATATGGTGCATGAGATTCGTCGGCGTAGGGATATTTGCCAGGGAGCGATGTTCCAAGAGCCTGGGTCGTATTGCAGTCCCAAGTTTTGAGCTGTCGAGACAAGTTGGCCGTGGAGAGACCATTTGAAGGATGATTCGAGCACCAAAGGATTGGTCGACGGACGAGATACGAGCAGTAGCAGTGTCTGCACTGTCGACAGACTGGGATTATGTGTCTCGAACTGTAGAGCTTCGGCCACAAGCCGGAAGAGGGCTCGGTTGTTCAACGTCTCGTAGGCCAGCTCCACGGATAATACATCATCGAATTTGGCAAAAGGTTGAGCTACCATATAAACAGCTGCAAGTAGATGTGGTGGACTTGACTGCGGTCCCGGAAAGTGAGATTCTGAGAAGATGGGATACTGAGACAAGATGAATCTGCGAAACAATGTAATGAGCCGAAGACCTGTATCGGCCGGCACGAGCGCCTCCAGCTCTTCTCTTGCAACCTCAGTCGAGACCTGACGCAGACCCATTTCGTTTCTCGCTACCGTAAATATTTCAGGCCGCGAGACTAGGAACTGGGTAGGGACTTTATCTTGACAGACAGAATGTACAGTCAACTGCTTGAACTTGAAAGTAGCACAGGTGGAGTTGTAGCGGTAATGCTGCAACAGATAAGGGTCCATGTCCCCGCTGTGTCCTAGCACTTGTGGATTGAGGTTGTCGTTAGCGTCCAGCTGGATACCATTCAAGCTCGAACTGAGCCAACTTGGAGACTCTTCGATATCCATCCTAGCCAGAAAGCCTTCCGGACTCATTCCATCTTCCACAGCCATGTATGGCTGGCCATGTTGTAAGTAATTTTCACCTTCTCCCAGCCCATGGAAGAATTGATCAGCAGCAGCGTCTTCGAACAAGAAGCCTGGAGAAAAGGATTCATTCATGGTGTCTTGCTGGCCTGTTTCGTATGATCCCATGTCGGATATGTTGTGCCTCAAAGGGGATATTCCTGAAGGGGTCGTTTGATTGATCAAACGTTCAGGATGTCGTTCCGATATGCTGATAGCACTCGTTGCTGACGATCCCGCTTCAATATGTGGCGTTTGTCGTCTTCGCGGTTGCGCAGCCTCGACAAACGTGCATTGCTTCCCGTGTAATGCACACAAACGGCATGGCAAGTGTCCTTCAATACGACATGCAGTCTTGCGTAACCGACAGAAGTCACAAGCGCGTTGGCGCTTGCTCATGTATTTCCGCGTCGATGCTGACATGGCGCGGAGCAGCCATCTGGTGATGGCGTGATAGACCGCGCGATGAACAGGAAGTGCGAAGTCATGAAGTCGCGCGATGAGATAACGATCCTTTAGCGTCCCAGAGTCTTGGCACTCACAGCAGGTCTATGGTCATGTGTTACTCACTTCACATCACATTGGCAAGAATATGGTATAGTAGCGATATTGAACGAGTCGTATTTTCGGAATACTAAAGCGAGCTCCACTCAATCCTCCAGCAAGAACCTTAGGAATGCCTTTGCAATGATCACTCCATCGTGCTGTTCACCCGATCTGCTCAGCGCATCTCTAGCTTGCTCATCTTCGAAGATGCCCTGCTTGTTCCTCGTCTTCACCAAATCAATCATGATACCTTCGTTGAATTCTGGATGTCCTTGTACTGAGATGAACTTGTCCTTCTTGTACATGCCCTGCACCAGACAACGAGGCGAAGCGCCGAGCTTTTCCACACCTTCTGGGTACTCGAAGACGATATCCTTGTGCATTTGGTGTATTGCCTAGTCGAATTAGCGTGATACGGAGAAGTTCCGGAATCTTTGATCAGCATACGAGCGTATCTCGCTGGAATATCTCTCTGCCCTTCGTACTCAGCTCTACAGGCTAGACTGAGATCTGCCCAGCCATCATCACTGCGGCCCAACCTTTACCCCTAGAGCTCGTCAAAGGATTTGATGGCCAAAGCAAACACCAATGGTCCGGATGCGATCTTGTTTCAGCAGCTTCTCGGGTGAACTCCACTAGCTTCAGGATCCATGGATCATTGTCGAATGAGTTGTGCTCTGCCATGTGTCAACAACCATTGCCAGAATCATTGGTGCATAACGCACTTGAACCAGATATCAGTATTCGCGTCTATCTCATCCAGGTTCGGATACTCTTGCTTGTCCACAACATCGAATCCGCTCAACACGAGGTCTTTCTTCGGAGATAAGCCCAACCCTTCGGCAGCCGTTTCGAGCAGTGCGCTGAAAATGCGATCATATCGACCGTATTTCTCTACAACACTGGGTAATGGAGTGTCGCACTCGAGTATCGCGATCCTCAACGGCGTCTTCATCTTCCGTGTCTGTCGAAATGACTGTACTGTAGATCGCCGTTGATAAAGGAAGGTGGCGGCGAAGTCTAGCCGCATTCAGTTAAACTCAACTCCTCGAAGCTTTGCACCTGAGCTATCACTGGTTCCTCAGGCTGACGTCAACCCAGCATGACTTCTCCTTCGTTTACTTCGACTGGACCTCCAGTGTCCTGGTGGAGTGTTATCACTGGTGACAGTGATCGGAATCGCATGCCTTCAAAAGTGCGCTCGAGGTCACGATCAAGTAGTCGTGGAAGAACCAGGCGTGCTTCCGAGAGAACTCCGCTCCTGCGACGAATCACCGAGCGCAACGAAGATGCTTCACCACCCGAAGATGCGAATTTACTGGCCGCTGAGGTAGCTCAGCAAGGTCAAGGTGGTCCACCAGCGTTCCCAGAACTGAGAAAGAGCAGGAGCAGAAGTAGAAGCTATTCACATGGACAGTTGGTTGCACCCGAAGGCGATGATGTAAGCGCGGAGGAAGGGCGCTTAGTCAACTTTCAAGAGAACGGTCTGCTGGAGGGAGTTTCGGTGTGGAAGTTTAGATGCATCTTTGGTGGCATAATGATGGGCTACTTCATCGCCATGTTCGATTCAACGCTCATGGCTTCGAGTCATCCTGTCATCACATCCTACTTCAACGCCTCCAATTCAGCGTCATGGCTATCAACAGCATTTCTGCTGACCTCGACATCCCTACAACCACTTATGGGCCGTCTATCCGATACTATCGGCCGTAGACCCCTGTATCTTGCTGGCATCCTTCTCCTCACTGCGACCACGGCTTGGTGCGCTGCGGCGAATAGCATTGGCAGCTTCATTGCCGCAAGAGCTATCTGTGGAATCGGTGCAGCCGGATTGCTTTCCATGGGAAACGTTATGACGAACGACCTTGTCAGTATAGAAGTGCGAGGTACTTACCAAGCGTACATCAACCTTTTCTACGGTGGTGGGTCGGCATGTGGTGCTGCATTCGGAGGGTTTCTTTGCGACAAGCTTGGATGGAGAATGACCTTCGCCATACAACTTCCGGTTCTCATTGCACTCTTCATCAACGCATACCTCACTACTCCCGTCACTTTGGGCCCATGCCTAGCGAAAAGCTCTGGGCTAGGCGTTCGGGACGCTATGAAAGGCTTCGACTTCGCAGGCTCCTTCTTCCTCACTGTGTCTGTTGCGTTCCTTATCCTGGGACTCAATCTTGGCGGCAACATTTTCCCGTGGCAGCACCCTTTCGTAATCGTATCGCTTGTTGTTGCTGTCATCGCTGGTGCAATTCTTCTTCGCGTTGAGTCCCGCGCTCATAGGCCTGTAATGCCTCTCCCTATGCTCTTCAGCCAGCCACGGGGTAACCTCGTTTTCAACAATTTCTTCGCGCAGATCGGCATGAACAGCATCCTATTCAATGCGCCTCTTTACTTCCAAGCCGTGAAGCTAGAGTCTGCATCGATATCAGGCTTCCGACTTGCCGGACCCTCAGTCGCGCTCACTATCTGCGGTGTATCATCTGGCTTCATCATGACGGCCACAGGACGCATGAAGTGGCTCATCGTAGTTGGCTCACTGTTCATGCTCATCGGCGCAATTTGTCTATCTTCATTGTGGGACAACATACCTCCATGGCTGGCGACCATTTTTCTCGTCCCTTCGAGCATCGGACAAGGCTTAAGTTTCCCGGCAACAAGTCTCGCCGTGCTCGCCACGAGCTCACAAGAAGACCAGGCTGTCATGACCAGCACTCTTCTTCTCGGGCGCCAGTTGGGCATCGTCATGGGTGTCAGCCTCAGCAGCCTGATCTTACAGAACTCGTTGACCACCTATCTCGAGCAGCTTGTTACCGGCCACAAAAAGAACGAGGTATGTATGAAGCACAGCCTTGCGCTACGTTCCCAACCCAATCAACCCCAGCAATGTGTCACGTCGAACATCATCACTGCCCAACACCTGTCTTCAATGCAGATCCACCGCTGCCCAAGTCACACTTCGAACATGCCTCGCAATCCGCCTGCCTCATCCCACTAATTCACCTCAGATCATCGAACAAGTCCGCAAATCCGTCCGAAGCATCATCGACCTCGACCCTAAGCACCAAATCCAAGGTACGTACTAAGCCTTACGTCCCAAACATCCTCTCTCAGCACAGCCCCCAAACTAACGACATCCAGTCATCGACGCATACAGCCGCAGCCTACGCATCGTCTTCATCTCCGCAATCGCGGTGTATTTGATTGTGAATATTCTAGTTTGGGGGATTGAGTTGCCGAGGTTGGGCAAGAAGGTTGCAGATGATGAACATGAGGGTGGAGAGGAGTAGTGTACATGGCTCTGGTGTGTTGTTTGATGAGCAAAGTATGTCGAAGTAAGTGTTTTCATTTTCGCGTGGGCGTGTATTTGTACATTGATCGTTTGAATGAAAAGCGCATGGTAACAGGAAAAGTGCTTTTGTCAAGGTTAAAAGGGTTTATGTAGAGTTTTCGTCTTGGGAACACGACATATTGAGCGACTTCACATTTACTCTTCAAAAACTCTATTCACATCAACATCCATTCGGATTCTCCACCACACCTCCTTCGCAACAGCCCTACCCGTCAAAAGGCGCCATAACCTCATTTCCCAAAATAGCCTCAACAAACCCATCATTCGCAGTAGTATGACACCAAGGCTTGAGTTCCATTTCTTCCACCATCGCGTCCGCAAAGCACGCCGACCACTGCCCGCGCGGAAACGCAGCAACGACGTTTGCAATTGTCGATTTCGCGATGAGGTGCGGGTTTAGGCCTACATTGTCTGTTTTGAGGGGGTGGTGTTAGCCATGATTCAATAAAATGAGTACACCCTATTGGTAGGTGCATTGCGTGGCATAGGGTCGAGGCAGTCCATAATAACGGGTCGAGATTCGAAAGAATTCTCCACATGCAAAGTTCAACGCTCGAAGAACTTCTCCACATGCGGAGGCCGAGATCCAATACTTCCCCTGATCACCGTGCAGGCGGCGAGTTGCTAAACGAAGTCATCCTCCGCTGTTCTATTGGCGGGCATAATCGAGGAGTACATGCGACATTTTTTTTGTTGAAGTGGAGACTGTCTATGCTAGGGAGTTGACACAGCCTCTGCCAAGGCTTCCGGGCTCCTGGTAGTATAGGCCCGAGGGTCGATATTTGTTATCGATAATGGTGGCGACCGAGTGAAGCTACACATCTTGTTGAACCGGTAGACGATGCGTAGAATACGCGATATGAATTTAAGGAGGCTGTGTGCCGCGGATGCTGGGGCGGGTGGCGTTGATGTGTAGGTTTACCGATTGCGGAATAGTTCCCGCAGCTCGTTTGGGGACAGATCTGCAAACTGCAGTTGAAGGCAAGATTCGATGCGAGAGGCGCAGAGAGCTTGTCATGTTGATGTGTGATGCTTGGTGTTGCGACTTCTTCTCGAACGCGCGGTGCTGTCGCGGATCATCGTAGTCGTGCCGTAGAGGCTCCGTCTCCAACCACACGCGATTGGCCACCACACGATAGTCGCATTGGTCTTGTATCAAGTCCGTCGTAGAAGCAATCGGACCTTGCTGTCATACTCGCCCAAGGCAGATTCTGGGCCAAGGTATGGCGGTGAAGATGCGTCGTACACTCTCCACGCAGTTCCAGGCAGTGCAACAACACTGGCGCGAGAGGAACTAAGGAAAGGCAGAACTTACCGAAAACAGTGCTCAACTGGATCATCATCCCCAGGCTCGACAGCGTGCCGGTCTCACCCAAGTCAGCATGGCGTATGATGGCTTCGCGTGACGGCTTCCGCCTGATCCTGGGAAGCCCCGTTGTCGCGCAAAGGAAGTTGAGTGCTTTGAATGCGCCCGTAGTACTCAAAACGGACATGTGAGTGCCCGTGCATGTTTTCGGCTGTCGTACCAATGTCGTGGAGCAGGCATGTCAGGTAGTATGTCTCAAGCAGAGGTGCAAGATGGGGGAAGTGGGTCTGTACGATTGCTTTGCCTGGTGGATGTCAGCACACCTATTGATGACCATTTAAGCGAAGACCACTTTGGGCAGAGCGTGTGTATGTAGCAAGGCATGGTGGAGTAGACATGTGGTTATTGATACGTACCGTAGTACCAGACACGCATAGAATGGTTGAAAGTCTTCTCTGGCAATTTCTCCTTCGCGAACTCGTGTGTCTTCCTTGCAAGATCAGTACTGGGCGCACCCGCTTTGTCAACCGTCAACTCGGCTTGCTTGCTCTTGTCCACATCCGCAAGGCTTTTTTTGAAACTGCGGGGTACTGCAGTCCATCCGTTCGCAGCGAGTCCGTTGTTCTTGGTATCGGCAGACATGCTTCTGGTGTGTTGTACCCCGAAACAGATAAAGTTACAAATGGATTCTGGACAGGGGTCGGAAGACTTTCACTCCGGCGCGTGCGTGCGGGACAAATGTTTTCGACTGTAAAAGGTACGATATCAGAAAGTAGCCGGATTTGGAACTTGTCGTTGGACGACCTGTTTCTGGACCCAGCGGGACGATCTCAATGCCGGGGCGAGTATGCAGGTACGATTCTTTCAGAACTGCTGGCGAAGATAGATCTGTGGGGGCCAAAGGATACTTTAAAATAGATAATTGCTCGAGTTTGAAAGCAGTATGAGGGTGACTGATCCGTTGTGTTGCTTCATGATAGTTTGCCCAAAGTCCGCCATTTTGTAGCCGCTACTGTTGTGTGAACTCTGCCTATTCGGGCGCAAAGGCGCATGTCAAGATGAGCCGGAGATGCGAAGATGCCATTGTATTGTCAGCTCCGTCATACAGACAACACCAGAGCTTCAATTATGCGCTTCCGCTTCTGCGCTACTGATGCGAACGGTCAAAGGGCGCGTTGGTCACCTCAAAGGTTGCATGTGTGATCTAGTAAGGGCAGACACGTCCTCAGGATGGTGGGAGTGAAGCAACGTCGATTGGTCAGATTGGCTTCGAGTGGGGCGCTTAGTAAACGCCGTTGAACGGTCTTGCAACTTCCTGCATGTCAGCCAACTGAGGGGAATGTACCTCGAAATAACACAAACATTCAGCGGGGTAGGTATGCAGCTATCGCCTAACAATCATAGAGCAGACTCTTCGGTTGCACGATCCCGGTCGTCGTGGAAAAGACCCAGCGCAAGTACCCCTTATCGAATTCATTACCCAGAAATTGGGTCGATTTCGCATTGATTGTACTCCGAGTACAACATGTCGCGCATAGGTATCCACGTGAAATGACAGACAGCACCTACGGCAAATGTCTCACAAGCGCCGTGTGTCGGGACACCTTTGACCTTGGACTGCGATAAGGTCATTGGGAGAGCGAAGAGCCAATCTCATGGTCCATTGGTACCAAGCAATGTCAGAAGCTTGACCTAGCGAGTCATTCCGCACAAGTGCGTACTGCGCGCCTACAGATTGTGGAACAAACATGTTGATGTTGTTTCGAGGCAGCACGGAAGATCTACAGTAACTTGTGGTTCTTGACGGCCTATACACAATAATCCGACCCATCAAGCGAAGTCGGCTGCCCCATGTTGATGCCGGGCTCGGACCAGGACCGATATCCAGACTGCGTTAATTAATTCAGTGCGCCTCCTACGAGGACGATGACGCAGAGCATTCATGATCGAAGGCTGGATCTCGTAGCGGAGAGGCCAAGCTTTCGCGCGCTTGGCTCGCGGATGTTGACGTCTTCGTTCGTGTTGGTCTCGCCGCGGTCTGGTGATCGCCAGGTACGGTGAGGACAAGTCTCGACAAGAAGTACTCGGCGACGGACCGCGAGTGTCTTGTGTGTGATCAAGACCGGCTCGGCAGTAGTCCGGCGCAGGCTGTGTTGGCGGCAACAATGAATCCCGGTGCGTCTTCGACATTATCGAACAACATAAGGAGCGGCCAGTTGAATTACAATACAGCAATGCTGTAGTCGTGTTGGTCGGTGGAGTCTCTTGGCTGGCGAAAAGAAAGTGGGACAGGTCAGGGCGACGTGCAAAGCTCAGGAGAGCAGCCTTGGGAAATGGTCAATTCACGCTGCGATATGACGCCCTGAGACGCCGTGGTGGGTGCATGGCTTGGCTCATAATATAAGTGCCCCGTTCGGAGAAAAGCCTCATCGGGTATGCTCGCGGCGTGCCTTGTCGTGTCACGATTGTTGTCTAATTAGAAAGACACATGGCATCGACCTGCTCGACGACGGCCATGCAGGCACAGTGCAGCATTAGATATGCGACGGGCATGTAGATGAAACGCAGGCTGGATTGCTGTAGGAGGATGGTCAAAAAGAGGCTTTTTCCGCGATGCAGGCTAAGGTAGCTAACCTCTGAAAACGGCCTAGCGCAACGAGGCAGTGCAAGTACAGCCAAGCTCTTGGACCTACAACAAGACGATCAAGACGGGGAGCATCCGCGCCCCCGGTCCATTGCTTCGACTGCCCGAATCCCTGAATGTGATTCTTGGTCCTTGACTCCTACTGCAGTTTCGCCATCTTCGAGCTTCTCTTCCGGTGTACTTTTGCCACGACGCTCCTTGAGAAACATCGCGTACTTGTACACGCATGAGCTCTGCTGCGCCTACTGCACACAGCCTCCCTCAAACCACACCTAAGCTGCCCTAGACCCTCTATCGCCCGTTGCTCAGCTTTGTTGTCACGCTGCGGCTAGCCTTTCGCCTCCCTCTACGCAACCAATGCTCCATGGTGAGTCCCTCGTGCCGGCCAGCGAAGGGTACACGCGCCCCATCTAGAACGGATGGTCGTGGCGGTGCCAAATGAAAACGCTGCGCTGTGAAGCAGGCGTGTATATGTATGCTGACCACGGTTTGTCTAGCTCTAGTATAATCATCAAGAGGACCTGCTCCATTCGGCTCCTGCCGTTTTCTTGTATCCACGACGCAACCACCTGCTGAGCAGGACTACGACTCCGCCTCCTTGTGGCTTTCCACCCGCCTCTTAATACGCCCTGATTACTCGCATGCAGTGCCCGTAGGCTTCACCGGAATATCTCACTACTGTATTCCTTCGCACCTATCGCCTGCCTGAAGACACAGCCCCAGTCCTCCCGCCCCTAAACAGCCACCGGGCAAGCAGGCTACCACTGCCAATATGGCAAACAACAGCGCACCCGACACGCCCGGCGAGGGACGCAAACGGGCTCCTACCATCACCATCGACACGTCTGCTGTCAATCCCAACGACACCAACATGACTGACGCGGTACCCATGGGCCAGATCCAAGACAACCGATCATCTACACCTAATACCGATCATAATGTGTCTCCCACGCAGTCGCGGCAGTCTCCCCAGGAGCTGCGCAATGCGAACTCCTTTGAGAGCAATGCCAGTAGGCCGACTTCGCCTCACAACGTGTCTTCGCCAGCGCAGGGCTGGAACGGCACCAACTTCCTCGCAGTTCCTGGCGCAAGGTCACGGGGCAACTCTATGGACTCGAGCACCGATGTGGGCGATTCCAACTCTAGCGGAGCGACCTACGTGACGTTGAACCAGAACGACATCCCTCAAGGAGAGATGGGCCCGACCGAGGTCCTAGATGCCAAAGACGCGTTGAAGCCCGACCCAGGCACCGAATCTGAATTTGAGGTCGAGAACAACAAATTCGCGTTCTCTCCGGGACAACTTGGAAAGCTATACAACCCCAAGAGCTTAGGAGCCTTCTACGCACTTGGCGGACTAGATGGCATAGAAAAAGGTCTTCGGACTGATAGAAAATCTGGTTTGAGTGCTGACGAACAGACACTTGACGGTGCCGTCTCTTTTGAAGAAGCGACTGTTCAAAGCCACAACCAGAACGCAAAGTCTGCTCCCGAGCAAGGGATCGCTCATACCGATTCTGTGCCCGAGGCTGGCGAGAAGGCCTTTGTGGACCGAAAGCGCGTTTTTAGCGATAATCGCCTTCCTGTCCGCAAGCCAAAGAATATCTTCCAACTCGCTTGGATAGCTTATAACGATAAGGTTCTGCTTCTTTTGACTGCAGCGGCCGTCATCTCCCTTGCACTCGGACTGTATCAGACGTTTGGTGTGAAGCATGAGCCGGGTGAGCCCAAGGTGGAATGGATTGAGGGTGTTGCTATTATCGTGGCCATTGCTATCGTTGTGGTGGTTGGTGCCGCAAACGACTGGCAAAAGGAGCGTCAATTTGTCAAACTTAACCGCAAGAAAGACGATCGTACCATCAAGGTTTACCGTTCCGGCAGACTTCGCGAAATCTCCGTCTACGATATCTTTGTCGGCGATGTTGTCAATCTGGAAGCTGGTGACATGATTCCCGTTGACGGTATTCTGATTTCTGGTCACGGTATCAAATGCGACGAGTCCTCGGCCACTGGTGAATCCGACCTTCTGAAGAAGACTGCCGGAGACGAAGCGTTCCGCGCCATAGAAAGGCACGACAACTTGAAGAAGATCGACCCGTTCATCCTCTCAGGTGCGAAGGTTTCGGAAGGTGTTGGTACATTCCTCGTCACAGCGACCGGCGTTCACTCCAGCTACGGAAAGACTATGATGTCCTTGCGCGAAGACAGTGAAGTGACTCCACTTCAGTCTAAGCTCAACGTTCTGGCGACCTACATTGCGAAACTTGGTGGAGCCGCTGCTCTCTTGCTCTTTGTTGTACTCTTCATTGAGTTTCTCGTCCGCCTCAAGAGCAGCAACACGACTCCTGCCGAGAAGGGTCAGAACTTTCTCGACATTCTCATTGTTGCCATCACTGTTGTCGTTGTTGCTGTACCCGAGGGTCTTCCTCTGGCGGTCACCCTCGCTCTCGCCTTTGCCACCACTCGCATGCTCAAGGACAACAACCTGGTTCGTCTTCTGCGAAGTTGTGAAACCATGGGTAACGCTACGACCATTTGTTCCGACAAGACTGGTACCCTTACCCAAAACAAGATGACTGTAGTTGCTGGTTCGCTTGGCACAGCTCTGCGATTTGGCGACCACAAGCTCAAGACCTCGGAGACATCAGAATCGATGGATGACGGATCCAAAGGCAGAACGATCGAGTCCCCGGTGGAAAACGCAAATGACGTGTCGGCCTCCGAATTTGTCAATACCATTACCAAGGATGTCAAGGATCTCCTGCTGCAGTCGATCATTCAGAACACTACGGCTTTCGAAGGTGAGGAGGGTGGGCCTGATCCATTCATCGGCTCGAAGACTGAAACCGCTCTCCTTGGTTTTGCGCGTGAATACCTGGGCATGGGCCACGTTGCTCAGGAGCGGTCCAACGCCACTATCGTCCAGGTGATTCCCTTCGATTCGGCCATCAAATGCTCTGGTGCGGTTGCAAAGCTCAACGACGGACGCTACCGCATGTACGTCAAGGGTGCTTCTGAGATTCTTCTTGGCAAGTGCGACCAGATTCTCACCAACGCGTCCAAGGAGCTCATTGCTGCGCCCATGACCGGAGACAACCGTGAAACTTTGGAACATGTTATTACAGCCTATGCCTCTCGCTCATTGCGAACAATCGGTCTCGTCTACCGCGATTTTGAAAGCTGGCCACCCAGGGAGTCTCGCAGGAACGAGGATGACTCCAGCTTGGCTGTCTTCGAGGATGTCTTCACGAAGATGACCTTCCTCGCTGTTGTTGGTATCCAGGATCCACTTCGTCCCAGCGTTCGTGAAGCTGTCAAGGATTGCCAGCACGCTGGTGTCTATGTCCGCATGGTTACCGGTGACAACGTTCTCACTGCTAAGGCTATTGCTGAAGACTGTGGTATTCTCGTCCCCGGAGGAGTCGTCATGGAAGGCCCTACTTTCCGCAAGCTCTCGAAACGTGATATGGACGCCGTCATCCCCAAGCTCTGTGTGCTCGCCCGTTCTAGCCCTGAGGACAAGCGCAGGCTCGTCAAGCGCCTCAAGGAATTAGGTGAGACAGTGGCTGTTACTGGTGACGGTACCAACGATGCACCGGCGCTGAAGACTGCTGATGTTGGTTTCTCTATGGGTATTGCTGGTACAGAGGTTGCCAAAGAGGCTTCGGCTATTATCTTGATGGACGACAACTTCGCCTCCATTGTCAAGGCTTTGCTTTGGGGACGTGCCGTGAACGATGCTGTCAAGAAGTTTTTGCAGTTCCAGATCACCGTCAACATCACCGCTGTCATGCTCACTTTTGTATCCGCCGTCGCCAGTCCCGATCAGACCTCTGTTCTTACCGCTGTTCAGCTTTTATGGGTCAACCTCATCATGGACACCTTCGCCGCGCTTGCGCTTGCTACCGACCCGCCTACTCGGAGTCTCCTGGATCGCAAACCGGATCCCAAGTCTGCTCCCCTCATCACATTGAGGATGTGGAAGATGATTATCGGCCAGGCTATCTACCAGCTGACTGTTACGTTCATTCTTTACTTCGGCGGCAAGTCTATCCTCTCTTACGACAGCGATCGCGAGGCGGAGCAGCTGCCCGCGCTCGTGTTCAACACATTCGTCTGGATGCAGATCTTCAACGCTCTCAACAACCGTCGTCTCGACAACCGCTTCAACGTCTTCGAAGGCATCACACACAACTGGTTCTTTATCTTGATCTTGCTCATTATGATTGGTGGACAGACCATGATCATTTTCGTTGGTGGTGTTGCTTTCAAGGTCACCAGGCTCAACGGTGCCCAGTGGGGTTACTCCATAGTACTGGGTTTCCTGTCCCTTCCCGTCGGTATGATAGTCCGCCTAGTCCCCGATGAACTTGTTCGCAAGTGCATCCCCAACTTCTTCAGACGCAAGAACACACCCGAGGTCGTTATTTCCGATGAGGACTACCAGTGGAGCCAGGGCCTGCTCGAAATCCGTGACGAGCTTGCTTTCATCAAGAAGGTCCGTGGCGGACGTCTCAGCAACCTCAAATTCAAGATGCAGCATCCCAAGGAGGCTTTCACCAAGTCGCGCTCTAGCCAATCGCTACCTGGCACTCCTAACAACGGCCCTTCGAACGACCACGATGGTTCTCCCGCACCACCCACCCCCAACAGCCGTCGTCGTGGCAGGTCAAGGTCCAACTCCGCTTTCGGTCCCGCCACCGTCATGGCTGGTATCGTTGCTGGTAGCATTGCTGGTTGGTCACCCATCGACCGCAACGGCGGAGACAACGACTCGATCCGCTTCAGCCGCAACGCGCGGAAGGAGGACTTGGAGGCACAAGACGGTATCGAGGTCCATCCCGACACCAAGTCTACCGAACCCATCCTCGCCCCAGACCCAAGCGAGTACCGCGGCCCACCAAGTCAGAACACGGAGACCACGCCTGAATTCACCGTGGGCCCCTTTGCCAGCCACAAGGAGACGCAAGCAGACCAGCCAAGCAAGACCACAGGGCCTGGTGCATGAACACTCTCTCCCTCCTAGACACCACTTCTGTATCTCCTAATCTATTTCCTTTTGTTTTACCTTCGGTGGCCACGTTGTATATATGCACAACCGTGGGACCACCAACGGCGTTTGGAAGGAGTCATAGAAACGCGCACTGCTGTACATACCCTGCGCATACGGCGTTGAGTTCAAAAAGCTTCGCTCGCTTTTGTTTTACTACTATCCCTTTTTAACAGAACAACTCAACTGCGTGTTTTTATTTTACACTTCTCGAGCGAGGCTTTTTATGTCGGGGATAGGATGGATCGGGATAGGACGGATGTATTGGGTACCGTAAATTAGAGTACGAGTGAGAAATCGAAGCAAAAAATTTCAAAGAAAGAAAACGTGTCCATGCGCGTGTGAATGATGGCCTCGTGGCGTGACTGCTTTCTCATGTAGACATGGTCAGATTTCCACGTGTGCTTGCGCACGATGGTCTTCTGTTCACGTGTAAGAGGCTCGTCGCTCCCGCTCATATCATCTATCCCGGCCATCCAAGCCTCCCTCCGCTCTCGAGCTGCCGGACAGAATCAAAGCAACAAAGACGAACCACGAGCGAAGGGAAAGGAAAAAAAAACCAACTTGACCCTCAAAAAGTCAAAGCTGCAATCTAGGAACCTTTCGGTGGATAACTCTAGACTAGGCCGCGGAGTTTTGGGCATGCTGAATACTGCTTTTACTGCACCCGTGAGCCAGGAACTGGAAAGTGTCACGACACGGCACAACATGCTGTAGCGCACATGCATGCAAGGATATTTAAGGCACAATCATGATTTCGATACCGTATATAGATGGCAGGCGTGACGCCCTAGAAATGCGTCGATCGTTGTTCCGTATACCCATATCGCCATAACATTGTTTCCGTATCCCATTCCGATTTCCATGTCCAACGCCGCGTAAGATAGATCAAAGCACACAATCATTACCTACCACCTCATCCGCTTTTCATTATATACCACTGCGACCAGACCAAGAACCCACTTGGAGATGGTGACCTAGAAATCCCCCAGCCGCTCGAGCGTGCGATCTAGATGTGCCAGCGTCGCCTGCTGGAACTGATTAGCCGCCGCCGCAACCTTTTGCCTGTCTTCTTCGTTGACCTTCTGCCGCTTGGTCTTGAGGGCGTCGGAGTCCTCGGTTCGCTTCCTCTTCGGGCCCTTTTCCGACTCCCGGGGTGGCCAGAAGCGGTGTGCAGGGCGCTCAATGTCCTGGATGTGCTCGTCTGTAATCTCGTTCTCCTCGCGCTCTAGCGCGGATATGTGCTGTGGTAGTGCTGGCAGCTTCCTGATGTGCCTGTGTGTAATCGCGCCTTCGTCGCGCTCTTGGGCGGATATGCTGTCCGCCACCGATGGCAGGTTCATCTGGCCCCTGATATGCTCGTCTGTAACCTCGCCTTGCTCGCGCTCTACTGCGGATGTGTTCTCCCCCATTGATGGTAGGGTCAGCGGCTCATTGTCGAGGCGGAAGAAGACGCGTTGCACAAATTTGGAACGGCCGCGCTTGCGCGACGATATGTAGCGCAGCGACGTGCTACTGAAGGGGAAGTAATTACCAAAGAGGCCGAAATCGCCGTTTCTATCTTCGATCTCGAGCATGTCCCAGCGTTCGTCTGCGAGCAGGGTTGAGAGGTCGGATTTACCCCAGTCTTCGTAGATATCGTTTGGTACGTCGGCAGTGAGCTTCTTCAGGTTCTTGAATTGGCTAGAGTAGCGCTTCCAGAAGCGGCGCCATCCGATCATTTCGCGCTGCATAAGACCTTTTTCGGCGGCCGTTGGGCGCTTGCCGGATCGGACCCAGCCTGAGACGCCGGGCACATCGACGGGATACTGAATAGTTAGTTCGTCGACCATGTCTGCGATCGCAGTCAAGTTGAACGAAGCCTGTGTCGGAAGGAGTACTTCGCGCTTGTTCTCACCTTCGCCTACGAAGGACTTGTAGTCGCCAAAGTAGAGAGAGCCGTCGAGACCCGATGACGGACACGTGTTGGTGCGGTCGCCGATGGAGACCCGGATGGGTATGTCGAGGGTGCGTAGCGTGGCCACCATGGTCCGTATGCGCGACAAAACGTCTGTCTTGGGAAGAAATGTCCGGCTGGGTTCGAGGTTGGCCGGAAAAACATCACACATCATGTTGTCCCATGCGAGAGTCGGCTTCCAGTCGCACTTCTGCGCCAGCCATCGCAGGGCGGTTTGTACTACCTCGTTCGACACAGGGTCGGTCTGTGCTTGGCTGTTGTTATTGTTGTTGTTGCCCTGATTAATATGCATGAATGGGTTGCGTCGCTGCATGACATTGACTAGGTGGAATGGGTGGAGTGTGATGTTTTGTAGACCCCGGATTGGCGTGATGCTGATGTTCGGGTACTTTTTCGAGATAGTTTGCAGGCTCTGGAGGAGATCCTCGAACGACGCACCGACGCCCTGGACGACGTTGTTGCCGAGGGCCATGTGGTCGCGCGTGCATTCCTCATAGGATTTGTCATCGAAAGCCTCCTCTTCTTCCCGGTGGTGAGCACCTTGTGTTATCCGGTACGGTATGGGACCAATGACATCTCGGTCGCGGCGGTCTTCCATCCAGCTCGACAGGCCGATCTCGACGTGGGTCAACCGTTTCCATGGGGTAGCGTCGGTGGAGAAGAGGGAGCGGTACGGGGCGTAGTCGTGGATACGCAGCTTGGTCATGGACTCGGGGCAGTACTTCTCGATACCGTCCACGAGACAGCATACACGCTGATGCACCTCCCACTCGTTCCATGTGCTGTACCATGATGTTAGCTTTTTTGGTGTGAAGCTGCAGAGTATCTTACTGAAACCCAGAGTAGCGCTCCCTAATGGCAAGCAACTTCAGCTTCGTGCATATCGGGAAGATCATCTTAGCAACCGACCCGCCATCTCTCCGCCGCGATATCCTGAATTTCTGCTTGAAGCGATAGTCGTTGTATGAATAGCTGTATTCTATCCGTGAGTGCGCAGTGTAGTCAGCCCAGTTGGCCACCTCGAGCTCTTCCAAACGGCCAAACAGCTTCGGGCAAGCTTCTGCCATCATCTTCCACGTCCACGTCTCCTCGGGCGTCCAGACGAAGTCCTTGATGGCAGATATATCGAGACACGTCAGCGAGGGCAGATGCTCTTCTATCCAGCGAAAGTCGTCAATACTCGCGAAATGGCTCATGGCAAGTTTCTGGACGTAGTTGCGGTTGGCGTCGGTGATGCTTTCCTTGAAGCTCACCCACCGGGTCACGCCCATTCTCCTGTATTTCCAGTCGCCGAGCCTGATGTCGCGCACGTCACTCAGCTGAAGGGGGTACTTGTAAAGCAACTGGTTGACGGTGATGCTACTCTCCATTCCCTTGCACAGCCGCTTCAGACTCCACGCAGCGCTGCCGTCGAGGTAGTCCATCACGCACTTGAAGATGTCGTCAGGCAGCTTAAGCAGGGGTGTGTTTGCATTCGCAGCTGTGGCTTTTGGCTTGGACCTGTTCAGTGGCTCGAACGCCACGGGGCTGCAGTAATCGCTGCTCTCAGAGTCCTCGTGCACCGTGGGCGAAGGCGGCGCCATGTCGAGAAGGGCAAATAGACTGGCAGAGTGTGCGAGGCTCATGGGGAAGGAGAATGAGGGGGGGATGGGTGGGTGAGTGAGTAAGTGAGTGGGCGCGCACACACACGCCGTGGGGAGAGGCTGAGCTTGTGCTGGTAGCTAGGCTTAGGGGGCGCAACACTTCATGAGAGGGAAGATGCAACTGCTGATACACGCGAAACTTATCCGTACAGCTACTGTGAGTGAGAGAAAGTGGAAAGGTGGGTCCTTCACGAGATGGGGGCAGAGGGTCAGCGGAGGTGTCGTCTCCTCCGCAATCGAGCTCCGGAGGGTCGAGCTCCAGCCCGCCAAGCCGGTGGTGCTACGACCGCAAATAGACTCAAGCTTCTTTCACCCCTCCGAATCTTTCTTCTGCGCCAGTCGCAACCTCTCCACCAACACGCGCAATCAATATCAGAGCCTCCCTACACTCAATAATCCCCCAGCACGCCTTCATCATGGCCGACGCACAACTTTTCGAGGAAAACTTCATTGTAACCAAGGTAAACAAGGAAAAGTACGACCGCGTGCACCGCCTTTCTGGTACTTCGACCGACGGCTCCCTCACCTTCACCCTGGACATCAACCACGAGCTGTGGCCCGTCGCTGAGGGCTCAACTATAAATATCGTCCTTGCGACCACGCTTGCGCTCGACGGCACTACCAAAGAGGGCGCCGAGACGAGCTGGCGGAACGTGAGCAGATCCAACACGGCGACGCTTGCGGATTTGTTTGAATACGTGTGCTACGGCAAAAACTACCGATTTGAGGATGCCGAGGCGGGGGCGGAGACTGTGTGAGTCTGGAATTGCACGATGAGAGGGCCGGGCTAACAACCGTGCAGAAAGTACTACGCCAGCTTCGGAGGAATGCTGCTATACATCGAGGGACCATACAGGAAGCTCAACGGCCTGAAGATTGACGAAATCTACATGCTGTGCAAGAAAGCTTGAGCGCGCAGAATAAAAGCATGGGTGGCGTTATGGCGGCATATGTGGTGGTAACAGGTACCATCTCGTCTTGATTTGTGTCTATTTGGCGTCCGTATACCCACAAAAGGAGTCTTTAGATCTGCCTCATAAAGACTTTCAGTCGAGCTCTTGGCGTACCTCTCCTGCAGCTACAACGTTGGAAACTCCAGTCTCCTGTGCAACCTACTGACAAGCTCGATGAAGTTGGGCTCGTTCTCGCTGGTCAGAAAGCCGTGTCTGACGAGGAAGTCGAGCACGACCAGCGCGCAATTCGGCTTGAACTCGCCATTCTCCATAGCTTGCTTGACCTCATCCACTGTCCACAGGTAGAATTCCTCGACCTCGTCATCCCCAGGCTTCGGTATCACATCCTCCGGTAACTCCAGGTCGTATATGTACTGGCACTCTGGCTGCATGAGACCCGTCTCTCCGCCCGCGCGCTCATCGCGAATGTAATAATATGTCACCGTCCCCGCCGCCTTGGTCTTCGACCGCACCAGGTCTTCTGGCAGTGATGCCTCCTCCCCACATTCCCTAACGAGACTCTCAAACGGCGATTCGCCTGACGCAATACCGCCCGCAACAGCATTATCCAGCAGACCCCCATACGTCTGCTTCGTCCTCGCCCTCCTCGGCGTCCAAATCTTGATCTCGCCCGTATCCCCATTCCTTGTGTACGCAGTGAGATGCACCCCATACGTGACGACGCCAAACAGCGGGCTCGCGCTCCTCTCCACATTAAACAGCAGCTCTTTATCCCTGCCATACACCGCATACAGCTCGTTGCGCCACTTCTTCAACACCTCAAAGTGATCGAGCTGGCGCATCGCCAGCAGCGTTATCTCCACGGCTTTCGAGCGCTCCTCGGCCGTCGATCCAGCAGTCAGTATGAGCTCGCGTTCATCGTCGTCGACGTGCCAATTCTTCACGCCCCGGAAGACTTCGACGACGCTGGGCAGCATGTAGCCGAGTGCATAGTCGTGGCCGGAGACACGCAGCTGGTAGTATGTGTTTGTGCGTGTGAGATAGGCGTCGGGGTCGGATTCGGGGTAGGGGAAGCCGTCGCATTGGTGCACGAGGTCGAGGTTGGAGAGCGTCATCGTCGTGTTGTGTTGGGTGAAGAAAGTTGGGACGGGAGCTGGGAGCTTGCGCGTCATAAGTAAGGCGGGATGGAGAACTGGTGGGGGCGGGGTTGTGAATTGGATCCCCGACCACACTTTCCTCTTGTTTTAGGGCGCGAATGCAAACATGCGTAGCTTTGAAACTGACTGACTGTTTTCATTCCACTTAGACACTGTATTCTAATAGTCGTACAACTCCTGTCTAGACCTGCCCAATTGTGATAGTGCCCCACCATGTCTAATAGTTTTGTCTCTCATGTTTTTGCTTCTAGACCAATACACGAAAATATCCAACCCTAGACACACGCAAGAATGGATCAAGAGATGGAAGAATCAGAGGCCAATGGGAACGAGACTAGTATTGGTAGTCCCCAGACAACACGTTAAGACAGTCAAAACAGCTCTGGAAGAGCATGGCCAACTGGACCGAAATACAAAGATCCTCCCAGGAGAGAACATACATGGAAGCGACTGCTCAAAATCAAAAGAGACAGAAAATAGCGAAGATGTCTCCGATAACTCGACTCAACCCGCCATGCGTATCCCAACAACAATCCACTCCAACGACACATCCACCCTCTCCACCACCCTGACCAACCTCAACCTCCAGCACCTCTCTTCCAAGATCACCCTTTCCCAATACACTCCATCCACCACCAGCATAGAAAAGAACCCACTCCGCGGCGCCCTCTCAGAAGTCCTCACCCTTCTCCCCCCCTCCATCCTCAGTGCCCTAAACCTCACACCCCACCGCCTCGCCGCCGCCTTCCCAGACGCCTACTCCATCTACCCCCCTTTACTCCTCCTACCCCACAACGCCTTCTCCTCGCCCCTCTGGCGCGCCCTCCTCACCGCCCATCCCGCCAGCGCCGCATCACTACAACCCTTATGGCGGCACGTCGCGCAGAAAATGGGCGTGTCGCACATTGCCATAAACTCACCGATTCCCCTGCAGAATGGCGAAAACACCATGCGCAGCCCCGTCAACATAACACCGATATACGGCTCCTTCGGCCCCTCTCCATCCCCTCGCACCCTCTCGCACCCCTCCCCCGCTGACTTCGACAAAGCCCTCTGGGCCAGCGCGTGCCAGAACGGCATCACGCAATCCTGGGCGCCCATGTACACCATGTTCTCGCGCGGCAACATCCGCGAGAAGACGCGGATCCTCTCTTTCCCCTCGCAAGATGCCGGCAGCGTCGTCGACATGTACGCCGGCATCGGGTATTTCACACTCCCCTACCGGCGCCGCGGCTTCTCGCCGATTATCTGCTTCGAGGTGAACCCGTGGAGCGTCGAGGGCTTGCGCCGCGGGTGCGTGGCGAATAATTACTCTTATAAAATCTTCACGCGCATGGACATGCATGAGTGGGACGAGGAGGACTTCACAAGCAACGGAGAAACGGTCAAGGATGTGTACATCTTTCACCTCTCGAATACTCACGCGCGCCCTTTACTTGCTCCGCATATTTCCTCGCTTCCACCGGTCCGGCATGTCAATCTCGGGTTACTGCCTTCGTCGCGGGATAGCTGGCGGGATGCGGTGGGGTTGGTGAGGCGAGAGGGGGGCTGGGTGCATGCGCACGAGAATGTAGGTGTGGGGGAAGTGGAGAGCAGGAGGGGGGAGGTGGAGAAAGTGTTTCAGCGGTGGGTTGATGAGATGGATGAAGTGGTTGAGAGTGAGGTAGATGGGGTTGTAAGTGGGAGGAAGGCAGAGGTGAGGCATGTAGAGAGGGTGAAGATGTATGCGCCGGGGGTTGTGCATTGTGTTTTTGATGTGTGGGTTGAGGGGAGGGGGGAATAGGAATGAGCAGGAAAGGGAAGGTGGTTGAGTGTATCATAGTGGTTGTCATTAGTCGTTGATTGTGTCTTATAGAAGACTATACGGACGGTCGCCTATATCGCAGCCCACTCAATGGAGAAGGCTCTGACTTCCCTGCCTTCTTCCTTCGTGTCATCCGAGAACAAGTCTGGCTCTTCACTAGCCAATTGCTTCTTCTTCACTACATCGACGTCTTCGCCCCCAATCATGTATGCCTTCTTCGTTCCTGTGGCCAATCGACCGCCACCAACAATATCCAGCAGCTCAAACTCATCATCCCAGCCCATGCCAGTGGCAGCAAAGTGGCTGTGGTACCGCAACGGATCGCCAGGGTATGAGTTGTAATGGCATCCGAAACGCAGACCAGGCATGTGGTAGTAGCCCAAGGAGTGAAGGTAACGGAAGAGCGGGTAGCTCTTGGGCACCGTTGGAAGCTGAGCACTGGACGCATCGAGTGGGTTGGGAATGGGAGGATATGATGTGGTAGGCGTGACGAAGTGCCTTTGGCCCAGCGAAGGCCTGGCTATGGAGCCGACGACAGATGGAGCCGGAGAAGCAGGAGTAGAATCGAAGAGAGAAGTATCAGCCGTCGAAGCATGACTCGCTGCGGTTGACGCTACTGAAGAAGAGTCGGTGAAGCTCGATCCCTTCATGATGAAGCCCAGGCCAGATGCTGAATCTTCCACAGGATCTGCTGGGACAGTCACCTCACCCGCTACACTTTCCTCCATTCTTCTCCAATACCTCTCTCCTCAAACCCTTCTCCTTCAACGCCTTGTCCTTCCTCATCTCCTTCAAGTCCTCCGTACCCCTTGTGACCTCCTCGCCTCTGCGGTCCATCTCTTCCAACCACTTCAGCCTATCCTCTCTACTCATATCCAGGAACGTCTTCCTATGAACGTCCTCGTCGTCAACCATGTATGCCGCGCCACGCTCCACCAGCACTCGTGCCTCTTCAGGCATGAGCTCGAGCGGAATACCTAGGAAGACATTCTGCTGACTGAGATTTGGGATGGTGCCAATGAGCATACCACAGATATTGTGGTTGCGCCGGCAGTGACTGATGATGTCGATGGAAAAGAGAAGGTAGCGATCCGCGACCCGTGAGATAGGGAAGGGTTCTGTAACAGTTGTCTGGGCCGCTGAGGGCGCCATTATGAGTTTCTATTGCGCAATTGGTTAGCTTTGCGCCCATCAACTGTGTCGAAGTAAAGGTGCAAGTAGTTGTTGGTATCATAGTGTGAATACAAATAGTGAATCGTCATGTCCTGCTTAGCAGGCTTTTCAGGGGATTGACAGATTATTGTGTAGAATCATGTAGCGTGCGTATCGCATCGAAAGTAGAGAGTGGTTGACTTACCTTCACTTGTGTGGTTTCATGATGGAAACCATGGGAGGAAAAAGAGAAGAGCAAAGTACCGCTCTCGAAGTTTTTGTAGTGTCGCTTAGTCACACTAGCGTCCTGGAAGTGGGTCCTAGACACCACCGAAAGCTCCCCGCAACCCCAACGCGACATCCAAACAACGCAAAGATGTCAACAAACCGCGCCTCGACGACGAATGGCGCGCAAAATGGCCAGGAGAAGACGTACTTTGAGCAGCAGCGCGAAATGCTAGTTACTGAGATTGCTCAGGTGCGTACGCTCGTTCGATTGACGGGATCAGGAACTGACCCGGCAACAGTCACTCGAACTCGTCCTGCAGAATATAAATAAACTCAATCGATCGCTCGAGGAAGTCACACAGGTCGGAAACGAGTTTGCGCCCGTCGAGTCTCTGTGGAGTCACTTTGAGAACGTCATGGCCAAGGATCCGCAAGAGGGAGCGCCGGAGGGGAACACGGAACACGAGGGTGAGACGGAAGTAACTGAGGTGCAGAAGTGAGGGGAAACCATTGCAAGAAGGTTGATAGTGTTTAATTGGAAAGTGGATGGAGTAACGTCGTGTTCGAGCATTTATGATACCCCAGAGACGGTGAGGAGCAATACATCACGCACAAAGTCAAAAGAGTGCACAATTGGACAGAAATATGCTTGGATTGACTTCCTGCGCATTGCAGCTGATGCGCTCATACTAAATACCAAATACAATACAAGAGGAAAGAAATGCAATGGCGCTTGGAGGACCAAAGCCTCCGTCTGTATTGCGCGGGCGTCGCTCACCAAGCTCCGAGAACGCCGTCAACCATGTACGTGTAGTGTAGAAACCCCTATGATGTGTGATGGGAAGGAAGGAGAGGTGGGGGAGATGAGGATGCGCCGTATATGGTCATTAAAGCATCTAGATCGTGTCGTCCAGCGTCGTAATCTCGACATGGCGGTATCCTTCGATCGTGAATGAGTAGAGCGCTCAGCGTCTACAGAACCTTGCAGCCGCTGCGCTTCTTCTTCTTGCCGGCTGTGGCGAGGGCTTCCTGGTGCCCTCTTTGTGCAGGTTGGCCCCGTTGCTCTGGTGTCTTATACTCGTCGCCAACGGCCATTGTGACTGCGAGGTCGAAGATTTCCTCTACGCCATCCTGCTCTTTACTACTGCACTCCATGTAGATGGCACCCATCTTCTTGGCAACTGCGCGGCCTTGGTCGGGCGTCACTGGTGTGAGGCCTTGTGTCTTGAGTAGCTCGATGCAGTTCTTCTTGTTGCGCAGGTCCGACTTGAGACCGAGGAGCATCAGAGGGGTCGTGGGGCAGAAGTGGAGGACCTCGGGGTACCACTAGACGGTGTTAGCAACGATACGTCACTGATGAATTGAAGATCCTACCTTGTCCATGACGTTTTCTAGCGAGTTGGGGCAGTCGATGGCGAAGCACACAAAGATGATGTCGGTCTCGGGGTAGGAGAGCGGCCGTAAGCGATCGTACTCTTCCTGTCCGGCTGTGTCCCAGAGGGCAAGCTCGACCATCTTGCCTGTGGGAGGGTGCGGTGTGTGGGTGATGTAGTTCTCGAAGACGGTGGGCACATATTTCTGCTATTATTAGTACGACACATGGCCAAGAGAGTACAGGAACATACCTCTGGGAAGTTGCCAGAGCTGTAGCTGATCAGCAGACAAGTCTTGCCGCATCCACCATCACCGACCACGACCAGCTTTTTCGAGTACGTCGGCGGCTCGGTGATGTTTGTGTCGCGTGTGTTGGTGGTGCTGTAGGAGCTCACGGTGCCATTGCTGTTCCGTTCGCTGGGGGTTCGCACTGGCTTGCGGACGGGTGTGATGGACGACGTGTAGGCGGCCTTTGTGCTCTGCTTGCGACGCAGATAGTCGTAGTTTTGCGAAGGCGCCGTCGACATGGTGTGTGAGGTGATGGATGTGGTGGATGTGGTGGATGTGGTGGGGGTGCAGGCAGCGCTCGCGTCTTCTGTTTCTGCGGTGTGGTGCAGGAGAATAGCGGTATCAATATGGGCAGCGTGTTCGGTGTTGGGTGTTGGGGTGGCTGGCAATAGTGAGTGGGCAAGCTATATGAGGGCGGGTATTGATGTTTGGGCTTGCTTCCACAGCAACGAAGGCGCAACCCTGCTCGCTTAGCCGCAACCCCATGCTTGTTCCATGGAGATGTGCAGAGTGCACGCACCGCCCCATATTACGTCGCGCATCGCATCCCGCCGCCCATGTTATCGCTCCCCTCACGCTGGTCATGAACGCCGTCGCTGTCTCTCGAGCCTCCCTCTCCGCCCGTGACCATGAGCCCTCAGCATGATGCGCCACCGCCCGATGCAGCCCCCGTGAAGAGCGAGCCCCGGCTGGACGCGGGCAACCGACACCACGACCACTGTGCGTGCCCTCCATCTGACGTTCATCTTCATATTCATCTTCATCTTCACCTTCACCTTCTCCTTCGCGGTCGCAAGAGAAGAGACGGGAGGCTAATGCGCGCACTGCGCTGAACAGACGCCCGCAGACTGCCCCAATGGCGCAACAGCCTGCGCAACCACCTCATCCCCATTGTGCGCTGGGAGACGCCGTGGCTGGCCCTGCTGCAGGACAAGATACGGTCGCCCGCGCTTGACTCGTACTTTGCCTACACGGCGAACCTGGGCACCCACACGTTCTTTATGATCTTCCTACCGATTCAGTTCTGGTGTGGATACACCAACGTTGGGCGAGCGTATGTGCGCGACACCGCCAGAGGCCACAGTGGCTGACGTGCACAGGACCGTCTTCATGCTGGCTGCAGGGGTCTACCTGACTGGCTTTCTGAAAGACATGGTGTGCCTTCCCCGGCCGCTGTCACCTCCGCTGGCCCGTATCTCCATGTCGGGTTCCGCCGCACTCGAGTATGGCTTTCCGTCGTCGCATTCAGCAAATGCCGTGTCCGTGGCCTTCTACGCCATCTACACCATTCGGCAGAGTCCCGAGGCCTACCACCCATATGTCTGGATTGGACTGCAGGGCCTCTTCTACTTCTACGCCGTGTCCATCATATTTGGTCGCCTGTACTGTGGCATGCACGGCTTCCTCGATGTCATCGTTGGCAGTGTCATTGGCGCCCTGATCACCGCCTTCTACCTCGTCTGCTATGACTGGCTAGAGTCTTGGGTTTTCAGCGGCAGCTATACTGACATCTTCATCGCCACGCTGGTGGTATGCATCATGATCCGTATCAATCCCGAGCCCGCTGATGACTGCCCCTGTTTCGACGATAGTGTCTCGTTCTTGGGCGTGGTAATCGGAATCAACCTGGGCGCATGGCACTACGCCCAGACGGGCCTGGCACTGGACTATCCCATTCCCTCCACCGTGCCATTTGACCTGGAGAAGATCGGGCTGCTGAAAGCAACACTTCGAATCCTTCTCGGCGTCGTCATCATCTTCATGTGGAGGGCGAGTGCCAAGTCTGCCCTCCTCAAAGGACTTCCGCCATTCTTCCGTCTACTGGAACAGGCGAGGCTTAATTTGCCCCGCGTGTACTTCCTCAACGCTTCGAAATACACTTCCATCCCTACGCTACGTGACGATGATAATCTCATCCCGCCCGCTCGGGAACTGCCCGAGAGGATCATGAACCTTGCCCACCCGCGCAAAAGATCCGTTTCCGTAGGACCGCAATCTGCCGCAGATGCGTATGAGACTCTCCATTACCGTAATAGGCGGCGACGTGAAAGTGTCAGCTCGCTTGACGGAGGAGTGCCAGAAGGCGCGCTGTGGGAACCAAGCCCGCGCCTACAGTCTAAACCACAAACCCCGGCCTTGGAGAAGACCGAACCGCAACTACTCGGCGCAAGCCTGCTTCCGACGCCCATGCAGTCCCGTGTTCACTCTTACGAGCAGATGATGGGTACTGGTCAGGCTCATTCATCTGAGAAAGAGAGAATGACACCACCAGGGAGTGATACGGACACCGCCGGCGACACCGTTCAGCTCAACCAAACCCTAACAGACGAAGAGACTGAGACTGAGAAGAGAGAGCTCTTTAACCAGTTGATGAAGCCTCGTGTGCGGTACGACGTCGAGGTCGTGACGAAGCTGATTGTGTACAGTGGTACGTAGTCGCCCTAGCAGTCTAATTTCCGTACGCTAACATCCTGACAGGCATTGCCTGGATAGCCGTTGAAGGTAACCCCCTGCTCTTCGAACTCGTAGGGCTGGGCATGCCATAACATCTCTTATTTTCCCTAACACTTCCTGCACATAGTCTTCCGCCACATAATCTTCCTACACCTCGCCCTTGATGGGTAGTGTTCTACCTAATAATGTAACCCCGCATGCAAACCTTCTCGCGCCTTTGCTGCAACTGCGTGATCGGGCAAAGACAATTGCTCACGTGGCCGCGTGTAAATTCTTAGCCAGACGTCAGAATCGCGGGCGGCTTGTAGCGCGCCTGTCAGACTTGTCAGGCGTTACCGGTGAGGCGGTGTGTGAAATGGAACGTCCACGGGCGCGCTACGGCGTGTAGCTTCAAAGTTTCCCGTCACCGTCACCCCGTTGCGACGGCGCGTGACTCGCCCAAATTCAACACAACATTGCAACCCTGCTTTGTTAGAGTTTGACAGCTTGATTTTCGTCGTGAAAGGAAATTGCATCGTATGGAGGATGGGGGGGTATATAAGGACCAGATGATCGGCCGATCTGCATTGAGACACAACAACAGCGATCGTCTTCACCATCTACTTCGACTTGGAAGCATCAACAATCTTCTCCATCTTCGTCAAAGTACCCAGACAAACCACGTTCATCATGTTATCCAACACATCACCACCACCCTCCCCCACCACCTCCCCCAAGCGCGTCCGCTTCAACCCCATCGTCTACGAAATCGAACCCGTCCACTTCATCATCGTCAACAACCCTTTCGAAGACGAGAACTCCTCCGAATCCGAAGACGAAGAACCGCACTTCTCCGCCACCTCCCACTATGAGACCATCACCTCGTCATCCTCCAGCCACCTCCAGGACGACCATTTCTCAGACGAACTCCTCCCCTCGCTCGTCTACTCCCACGACGCCCCCAGCGCCGCCAATCTGCAGCACAGTATCCAGAACGCGTATGATGAGCTGATGGATATCACGGCCGAGCTTTTTCCCAGCAGCGCGAGGTCGAAGGGGTTGGGCGAAAGATGCAATGTCTTTCCGAGTGAGATTTGGAGGCGGCCTGCGTGGAGGGATGGCGCGGTTACGGCGAGGGGCATGAGGGCGGAGGATGACGTGGAGGATTTGGATTGAAGGGAGAGGGGGAGGGGGAGGGAGAGGAGGGGGAGTTGGGAGAAGTCGAAGTTTCGGCGAGAATATGTTGCGACACAGATGGCAAGGAAGGATCGGAAAGGGAGAACAGGATGGGATGGGATTAATGGAATTAATGGGATTGTGGGAATTTGCATGGGAAACGGATGGATGGAGATATGCATAGCGACTTGGAGAGGGATTTGGATCTGGATCAAGAGGTGGAACATGCATATTACGGAGATTTTTACGACTTGATTGAGTTACGGTAACGTTAGATACATGATTCATGATTGACGCGGTAGATAGATGATTAGTATGGTAATAAATGAATAACGGCCAGTTTGATTGAAACGAGAATCTTAAACCTCCATGCATCGTGAACGCCGAGTGGAAATTTTGTCGAAACTTTAAATGCACGCGTGGTTGGAGTGTAAATGTGGTGTAAGTGCCTAGTTAAATATGCAGCCCTGCGGTGAGGAGGTGTAACAAGGTTACTGCCGTGGAAGGGCGCATCTTCGCGGGCCGAGAAACGTGCTGGTGGGGCCAGACCTTGTGCAACGATCAACCCACGAATAGACCTGTCTCCGCTACATGGACAATCCTCTGCCTTACAAGTCTGTCGCACTTGTCCTTTCATCGCCTACGCATTGGAAATGGCTGACCGCTACTCGCGGGCCCGTCCCTTGGCCGAATCCTACGGTGCCCAATCCTTCTCCGGCAGCGCGGCCCCGGAACTCAGGTCCCGACAGATGCCGGACGCAAGCTTTCACAGCTACCACCTCACCACGTCTTTTTTGGACGCTGCGCATTTACTGCTGCCATGGCTGATGCGGAAATTACAGTCGATAGCGAAGAGTTTTCCGACTCGGGCTATGCAGAATCCACATCGACGTCATACCTGTCTTCCATAGCTTCTTCCATCCTCCGCGGCGTAGACGAGAACGGCCGCAGATATGCATCTTATGGCAAAACACTGCAGGGCATGCCGATAGATGAAGAAGAGCAGGATCGCAACGACCTGCAACACGCAAAGTTCATGCTTCTTCTTAACAGCAAGCTCCACCTTGCGCCTATCTCAGAAGACCCACAGAAGATCCTCGACATGGGCACTGGCTCGGGGATATGGGCTATGGATATGGCCGACAAGTATCCTTCCGCTACCATAACTGGCGTGGATCTCGCACCTACACAGCCAACATGGGTACCTCCGAATCTTCAATTCGAAATCGAAGACATTGAGGAAGATTGGCTGTATAGCAAAAACAGCTTCGACTTCATTTTCGGCCGGGAGCTTTTGATGGCGATCCGCGATTGGCCAAAAGTCATACAGCAGGCTTACGACCACTTGAAGCCAGGAGGCTACCTGGAGTTGGAGATGACCTACCCGAAGACCTACTGCGAGGACAACAGCATCGACCTTGAGACTTCAGCATACGCAGAAACGGCAAGACTGCTCTTCGAATGCGGACGGCAGATGAACGTACCCTGGGAAGCTTCTTTGGAATGGAAAGAGCAGTTCAAAGCCGTAGGATTCGAGGACGTTACCGAAACTATTTTGCCGATACCGATCGGGCGTTGGTAAGTGACGGCCTCCAAATACTTAATGGATGTCGTATTTAACGTGTGAAAAGGCCAAGAGACAAAGACCTGAAGAAAGTCGGGTCTTTCGAACTCGCCAACATTGACCAAGGATTGGATTCCTTCTTACTACGGGGCTTCACAACGGCCCTTCAGAGGTCAGAAAGTGAACTGAGGATATTAACGGCGCTTGCAAGGAGAGAGCTGTTTAATCCGAGACATCACATGAATGTGAGGTTTGTGGTTGTTCATGGACGGAAACCGGTCGCGACGGCTCAATCTTAGCTTCGAGATGAGACAATGTCTATAGGGTAGACACTTCTATATGCCCGCGCGAATGTTGCGAATGAGGAGCCGGACTCCTGGGTGTGCAGTTGTTATTGCGCAGACCGAAGTGGTACTTGACGACTTTCCTTGGCTCCAAGCCGGACGGCAGCAGGCGTAGAAGCTTCGAGGTTCTTCAACCATGTCCACCACTTTCTTATTCTTACACGCACTCGCAGTGCTCATCAATAGTCGACTTTGTGAAGTTCCGTGCGGGTTTGCACCCCAAATTGGAGTGATGTCTTTTCAAGATTTGATATTTGTACATATATATCCAAACTCTGCAGTATTCCCTAGGACGTGAAGTGAATTGAATTACACACATACACATACAGTCCCTAGCTGCATGCACCCGCACATGATTCAGCCCGCACCACGCTAACCCTCCAAGCGACCGGCAAAGTGGACCGAAGGCGTTAGGGTGCCAACAACGGGTAACATGGCTATCTCGTCTTTAGTCGCGGCATGAACCCCGCCTACATTACTACGCCTGCCAGTGCCTATCACTGGAGCTAAAGAACTCAAAACTATTGATTCCCATCACTGTTCCCAGTCATCCATTCGTCAACCATGGAGTCCTCCGCCATCACCCAAGTCAAGCAGCTCCTCAGCCAAGCCAGCTCGCTCCGCGAGACCCTCTCCAATGGCGAACGCCTCCAACTCATGGGCCTGACCGATGCGCTCAGCAATGAGCTGCAGAGGCCCGATGAGGCGGTGTTTCGAATCACGTTCAATCAGGTGCGTTCTTACCAGCCTGTCGGGTCTGGCAGCGGTACGCCTTCCGGTTCGCTGACAGATCGTGTGCTAGCCGGGCCATTATATGGCGATTCGACTTGCGATACAATGGGGTGTTTTTGATGCTCTTGGGGATGTGGGCGAGGCGGGTAAGACGAGTAAGGAGCTTGCGGAGAGGGCGGGGGCGGATGAGAGATTAGTGGGTGAGTGTGTTTCACGTGATCTTCTCACATGCTGTGAAAAGTCTCGCAACGATTTCACTTCGCTTGCATGGTTGTAGTATGAATGAGGCTGATTTGATTTAATAGCTCGTTTCCTCCGGCATCTCGCAGCGAATGGTACGATTCGTGAGACGGATCTTGATACTTATGCTAGCACCCGGCTTTCTGCTTCGTTTCGCCAGCAATCTTTCAAAGATGCTATATACTTCATGTAAGCTCCTGAACTTCAACTGCATACAATTCATGGTAGGTACTGATTCAATACTCTTGCCAGGTGGGACGACTTCTACAACGTCGGCTGGAAAGTGCCCTCATTCCTGGACTCAATCTCTCACCAAAACCCGGCTGACATCGACAACGGCCCGTTCCAACATGCCTACAACATGCCGAACAAATCTCTGTACACTTACTTTGGCGAAAACTCAGGCATGGGTGCACGTTTTGGTGGCATGATTCAAATGTACAATGCCGGCAAGCCTTTCTTCTGGGAAAGAGGCTGGTATCCCTTCAAAGAGCGTCTAGTCGATGGTGGCCCACAGTCAGATGAAGACATACTACTCGTCGACATTGGCGGCGGCGATGCTGGCGACTTAGGCATTTTGCGCAAGGCTCTCGGACCTGAAGTCAAAGGCCGCCTTATCCTCCAAGAACTGAAGCACATCGTCGACCGATCGGATCAAAACGGATATGAAGCACAAGTCGGCGATTGGAATCAAGAACAACCCGTCAAAGGTACATCTCCCACACTCTGCATGTGTTTCAAACTTGGAACTTAACATCTTCGCAGGCGCGAGGGCGTACATGCTCCAGCACATCCTGCACGACTTCAGCAGCGACGATGCATGCCGTCGGATCCTCAAGAACATCGTTCCCGCAATGACGCCCGGCTATTCGAAGCTGCTCATCAAGGAGCTCATGATTCCTGATCGAAATGCGCCGTGGGCGCTCACGGCGTTGGATGTTAATGTCATGCAGTCACTTTCGGGGCAGGAAAGGACCGAGGCGCAGTTTAGAGAATTGTTGGAGTCGGTGGGATTTAAGATTGATGGCATGTGGGGACATCCGGATGCGGTTGATGTAGTTATTGAAGCGTCTTTGGCATAAGAGGTGGTGGCTTGTTAGGTCACTGATGGAAGGTTGCTGATGATTAATTCACGCCATGGAGCATAAAGTTCCGATCCAAATCGAGTATGTATTGCAGCTAAGAGGAAGCGTGTACTAGAGCAAAAATATGTAACCTTCAAGACAAAAGGAATATGAGTCGCCTCGGTCCTGACTTTATATTGACACAGCTCAGGACCAGAGGTATGAAGAATGCAAAAGATTGCCTCGATACCATCTATCGCCTAGTCTCCATGGACCTTAAGTAGCCGGAGCGAACACAGCGTTACCGTCAGGTGGAGTCTCAGCATCCGCGCGCGCCCTCGCGAACCATCGCCCATTCGGGATGCCACGCTTCTGAACCGCAGAGGGAGACACAGTCGGGGTCTCCACAACCACAACAGGTGTCGCAGCCTCAGTCACGTTCGTCGCAGTGCCATTCAACAATTGCGCTAAAACATCGTTAGTACATCTCTATCACTCATCATCAACCGAAGGGGAAAGTCTTACCAGCACCAGTCCAAGTAGTGTTCAACTCATCGCCCTGGAAGCTCGCGGCAGTCACAACGCCACACTGCGGCGCCTCAATAAAAACACCAGTCTGCGGGAACGGCTCCAACGGTCCCCAAAGGTTGCCCGCCTCATCAACACCAACACCCTGCGTGAGCCACGGCATCTGGCTGAAGTCATTCGCCGGAGGAAACGTTCCGGGGATGTTTTGCTCCGCGTGGACCCAGACGTTGATAGGCTGTACATAAGTGCCCGCGAGGAGACCATTCTTGGTAGTGCGCGTCTTGGGGATACCATTGATCTCGGCCACGACGCGGTACTCTCGTGCATAACCACTGAGTATGTCGGACCGGTATTCGAATTTGTTCTGCTCGTTTCGCCCGCCGCGCAGACCCATGGCGGCGATGATGCGGTCGGTTACCTTGCCGGTGCAGGGGTCGATGTCCATGGCGTACAGCGCGACCGTTGTCCTGGGGTTGGAAGCGAATCCGACGAACTGACTCAGGTTAGCTTCCATAAACAAAACACAAAACACCTGTATGGTAACTGTGACTTACGCGAGACTCTGCGACTTCAGTGTTGGGGCTGACGTTGTCGATTCCGAGCAGACCAAGTTCCATGCGCACATAGACTAGGTCGCCCAAAGTCGTGATCATGACATTCTGCGCGACGATGCTGAAGGCGATGACTTCGTTGCCGCGGCGGATCCCGGAGAAGGTAATGAAGTCGCCTGCGAGGAAGGGCGCCATGACGAGAGGGTCTGGGACGGAGCTAGACCTATGTTAGCTTTGCCTTACCATACCATACCATACATCCTTCCATCGGCGCATGTAACTTACAAAGTGCCAGAGCCCTGGAAGGGCCGATTAGTCGCCGGGCAGAGTGGGTCGGATGCACTTCTGGGGATACACATGGGGAAGCCAGAGAAGGAAGAGATGCTGGGGCTTTCGTCGTCCGCGGTGAAGAATGGCGCGACATTGTTTCCGACCGAGAAGACTGCGTTGGGGTCGCTGATGCGGATGGTGGGTCCGGAGGCGATCTTGATGCTGCCCTCTTCAAAGTTGAGAGACTCGATGAAGCCGCTGCTCAGGCCTTCGAAGAACTCGTAGGCGATGACTTGTGCTGCGATTGGCTTTCCGTTGATGAAGTTGCCAATGACGTTGATCTCGTAGCCCAGCATAGAGGCCTTCTCTGCGGTGAAGTCCTTCCATGGAACCCAAGCTGCGGGGAATTGAACTTGAAGGTTCTTGGGGACTTGGATGTTGAAGCCGTTGACAGTGATGGTACCGCCGGAGTTGTAGGTGTCATCTACTGCAGTGGCGTCCTCGAAGCCGCCCTGTACGAACAGTGGAGCATCTTGGCCGAAGACCTGAGGAAGGAGACACAAGAGACGGAAGCCGACAAAGAGCAGCGAGAGCATATTGAACTGAGCCATTGTAGAGAAGGACTGAAAGATGACGGTGGTGAGGAAGAAGTGGTGAGATATTCAGTGCCTCTTATACTGAAGATATGTTCAAAGGAGTTCAGTGCTTGTCCTCCTGACGGACAGGTTATCTCGCACCATGCTGCTCGATATCCCGCGGAGCATCGAAGCAAGGTCTTGCTTGCCCCAGATTGTGGTGGTCTCATCTCCAAGCTTTCGATATCGAGGCTTTTCACAGGCCTTACTTCATTCCTACCCTCACTTCCGTCTGCGCGTCGAGACCATGCTGTTCGAAGACCACATTGACTCAAAAGAGGAGTGTTGAGCGCAGTGTTTGTGGAGATAGCCAAGAAGAAACGCATCCACACCTACTGTATACCCATTGGCTTTGACGCACGTTCCTTGCCCAGCGACTGGGTTTCGCGTCCACAATCGATAGTCCAGAGTTTCTTCACCTAGATGGACTCAGGTGCGCGCGGAAATGACGCGGGATGGTATTCCCCCGAGGAGACGGTCGTAGTAGGATAGCCGGGTGGCGGAAAGCTGCCCGAAGACTACCGGTATGGCGCCATGGGTCATTCGGCGAGAATGCTGGACTACCCGTGCCTGCATGATCTTCAATGTGAATCGATAAATCAAGCGTGTACCAGATTTGCTAGGCACATCATAGCCAAGACCGAGCAAGCCTCCTTGTTCATTTTGTCCAGATTCATGGCGCCTAGAGATCCCAACTGCAGGTCTTTGGGTTACATCGGCCATGCCTGGAGAGGAAACATCTATCAAAACCTTGTTTATGGCATTTGTTTTACGCTCAACAGCATAAAGCATCTTTCAGCTTGATAGTGTTGTTGTTCTGTCTCAGTGTCGTGCGGCGAGTGAACGCCAAGGAATGAAGTCGGACATGACCGCCAGACGCACTGACTGCTGTGAAGACCTCGCTTGCGACCGGAGCATGGATAACCACGTGTATATTTTTACGACCGTTCCTGACGGCCCGTCCATAAGGTCCGATTAATCGAGGCCGCGCCCGCTGCCAAGCATGCAGGTGCGGGAAGCTCTCCGCGTTTTAGTGCGCCAATAGACCCAGTCCCAAGAACAAGACATAGTCAAGGGTCAACAAGACTACAGAATGGAGTATGCAGGTCCGCAGTATAACCGCCGAGAAAATGCGTCCGGTGAACCGAAAACTTGGCATCTTCCCCACGCCGGTCTACAGCCGGACCCCTAATGGACTGAGGTCCTTCCAAGAAACTAGCGGAGTGTCAAACTACGGCCAATGACATGATGTGTGTTCTTAAGAAGAAGGTAGGAGTCTGGAGACTCCACATTGCACGGAGCTTGTCAGTAGCTTGTAATTTCAAGGGATCGGGAGGAATGGGCCGCGACTAGTGCATAGCCATGGACGAGTCAAGTGACCGACGAAGCTGCTGAGTCTTCATGTGTCAGTGTTAATTTTCGACAGCATCTAGCGTTCGGCCCCCTATAGTATCCGACTAAGAGAGTAGTAGTTTGCGAATGCTCATCGTACTTCACGGGCCATGGCAATGCGTTGCATGAAAGAAACAAGGCTCACTGTTTGATTAGATCTACTATTTCCAGTGTGGCAAGATAAATATAGCTTGTGAACGACTGGGCACCAGTAAAGTGTAGAGCTATGCTATCACAATCGACCCAGGTGTACAGGCCATAATTACACAGCCAGGGAGTAACCACGGCTCATAGACTCATGTCTGGCTTAGAGTACGGAACCAGAGTATCTGATGACCTGGACCTTAGTAGACGCCAACGGAAGCTGTAGATATACGATATAGGAAGCTTCTCCGTTCTTCTACACCACCTTCACGCCTCCCAGTGCATGTGATAAGAGTTAGGTATGCTTGGCCAGCAATATTGGCACAGTAGGGCCGCCACGACTAGACAGATTGGTTGCTCAACACGTCGGAGATAGGAGGTATGCGAATATTCATTTCATGACTGATGCTTAGCGAGGTAGTGCCCTCAGTGTGTCGTTGACAGGACAATGATGAGATATATAAAGGGGCGGTTGGTCCACGATAGACAGCATCCAGCAAAGATTCAACCCTCTCTGGACATCCTCCAAGCATCTTTTGCAATGGCTTCTCAACTACTACGTGTGGCATTCGGCCTATCTCTGCTTGCAAACGCAATCGGCGTAGGCGCCGTGATCGAACGTCCTGCCAAATACACCGATGAGATCCCTGAGGCGGAGAAGGTGGCTCTTGCATCTGTCGTCGAAGACAATCCAGATGACATTGTAAGACTGTTCAAGGACTGGGAAAGCCCAGAGTATCCTTTGATCTATCGTCAAGCCCTTCCCATTCCGCCGGTCAAGGAGCCCAAGTAGTAAGTTCAGTGATTCATTGTTTGGCCGTTCGTTCACTGACAGCAAATAGCAAGTTCACGAATCCTATCACGGGGAAAGAGATCTGGTATTACGAGATGGTCATCAAGCCTGTATGTGGTATCTACGCACAAACTTAACGTAAACCAGTCACTGATGTTGCGCTTCAACTTCTAGTTTACCCAGCAGGTCTACCCAGGACTACGTCCAGCGCGCCTGGTAGGATATGACGGAATCTCGCCAGGACCGACTATCATTGTTCCTAGGGGCACCGAGTCTGTCGTTCGCTTCATCAACCAGGGTGATCGTGAGAGTTCTATCCATCTGCACGGCTCACCATCCCGCGCTCCATTCGATGGATGGGCCGAAGACATGACTTTCCCCGGCCAGTACAAGGGTAAAATTCTGCCCCTGTCAAGTCACCCGATACCACTGCACTGCTGACCAACGGTTCTCATAGACTACTACTACCCGAACAACCAGGCCGCCAGGTTCCTCTGGTACCATGACCACGCCATGCACTTTGTAAGTTCGCTTATGCACAGTCGTGCACCACAGATCATGAACCCTGCTCACACGTTATAGACGGCGGAGAACGCCTACTTCGGTCAAGCAGGTGCTTACCTGATCACTGACCAAGCCGAAGACGCTCTTGGCTTGCCCTCTGGATACGGGAAATACGACATTCCATTGGTGCTCAGCTCGAAGTACTACGTAAGTCCCCGCTCTATGATTCTTGTATCGAAATTAGCTGACCCCGCTTTCTTGGTGATAGAACGCTGATGGCACACTCCAATCCAGCCTCAATGAGGACAACAGTCTGTGGGGAGATGTCATCCACGTCAATGGTCAGCCATGGCCCTTCCTCAACGTCGAGCCTCGCAAGTACCGTTTCCGCTTCTTGAACGCAGCGGTGTCTCGAAACTTTGCACTTTACTTCGTCACATCAGCCAACACGAATGCAAGACTGCCATTCCAAGTCATCGCATCTGACGCTGGTCTTCTCACGCACCCAGTCCAGACTTCGGATTTGCTTGTCGCAGCGGCAGAACGCTACGAAGTTGTCTTCGACTTCTCCAAATTCGCTGGTCAAGCGATCGAGCTGCGCAATCTTCCCAAAGCCAATGGCATCGGAACAGATGACGACTACTCGAACACTGATAAGGTCATGCGCTTCATGGTGAGCAGCGACCCAGTCACCGACAACTCGGTTGTTCCAGAGAAACTGTCGCAAATCCAGTTTCCCGCCGACAAGACAGGCATCGATCATCACTTCCGTTTCCACAGGACCAACAGCGAGTGGCGTATAAACGGCATCGGCTTTGCTGATGTGGAGAACCGTATCCTAGCCAAGGTGCCGCGTGGAACTGTTGAGCTCTGGGAGCTAGAGAACAGCTCCGGTGGCTGGTCTCATCCCATCCACGTGCACCTAGTCGACTTCAGGGTAGTAGCACGCTACGGAGACGAGGCCACCCGCGGAGTCATGCCTTACGAATCTGCGGGACTAAAGGATGTGGTGTGGCTTGGCCGTCACGAAACCGTCCTAGTCGAGGCCCATTACGCTCCATGGGACGGCGTTTACATGTTCCACTGCCACAACCTCATCCATGAAGACCAAGATATGATGGCAGCTTTCGACGTCACCAAGCTCGACAACTTTGGGTACAACGAGACGACTGACTTCCATGACCCTGAAGACAAACGCTGGTCTGCTAGACCGTATGAGCCATCTGATCTTACAGCACGCTCTGGAATTTTCTCCGAAAGTGGCATCCGGGAGAAGGTGAACACTCTGGCCCTCGAGCAGCCATACAGCGAGTTGGACAAGGTCACAGCGGCCCTGGACTCTTACTACAAGACAAACCAGAAGAGAGAAGCAGATTGCGCGAACCAAGCGGCCGGCCCAATTCCCCGTTACCGCCGGTTCCAAGTCTAATGCTGTTGAGATGATAGCATAGCACGAGGTTTTATCCCCGTTGTCATGAGCGATTTTCGTGGTTCTCTCATTACACTCGCTAGGCTATCACGTGTTCTCCTAGGTGTTGCGCTATCCTTGCTTTGATCTTATTAGTACATATTTTGGTAGATCTTTATGAATTGCATTGCACCATTTATCTACATTGGATGCATTACAGTTCACAAAAGAATCACCACTGATACATTTCAACCTACAATTTTCAATTATACTGAGAGATTTATGTACCTGATGTGACGTTTTCGCACGTGGCTTACATCCGAACTAATCGACGTGCGGATATCTGATTTACAGCTTTTGACACTGTCAAAGTGTCCCTGTATCGCTACCACATCAACGCTCCTTTGATGCAATTTACGACAAGCTTATGCTCAGTGGTACCCAATGTTCAGTTCTTTTCCGCCTTGAAGTTCAGTGCACTAGATTTAGAGAGTCATTGACTTGAGACGGCCTTTGATGCGTCGTATTATTTTTTAGATAAGATACCTTGACCTCTGATAAGTATGAGTGCGTGTGACCGATTCAAAGAAAGTAAGCTCCAAAACGCCTGATCCATCTATATCCCACTGCCATAACTAAAGGCTCAATTTCAGACTTTGCCAACTACTGTATGTTCTTCCACTTAGTTATTGTCCATTACACAAATGTACTGCTGAAGCCTCTGATCGGCGTCAGGAACATGCATCTCATTGTGCTCGGCAAAGAGAATCTCGTTATGTCTCTTGACTCTGAAAGCCCGATCTTCAACATCGAGCGGCTGGGGCGAGACAATTATCTCGACACTCTTCAACAGGAACTTGCCGCCCTGCACATCTGACTCCTGACGATGCCTAAGTCACTTGCTGGAATCTGGAACTTTGCCGTCATTGGTGCATTCTTTACCATTGTTCCTACACCTGCTCCCATTCAGGTCGCACCAATTATTGAGACCTGCGTTGTTAAACACATTTATGATTGAGCAAGGGAACCTTCAGTCGCGGCCTGTTCCTTTAAACATTCTTTTGGGAGTCAAAGAATTTGCGGATGACTCGGCTCCAGGCTGTTGCCTCTGTTTGTGTTCTTCAAATATGGCAAAAAGCTGCCATGGTAGTGCCATAAAGTCCACCGTTATTATACTCTTTCTTGACGCATCCATTGACTTGACCGCTCCTTGTCATAAATGGTCTTACTTCTTCTCAACTTCCCCGAAGGTAAAACTCGAGAGCATCATGTATGCATCTTGCATTTTGAAGAAGAACTTGTCCAGCTCACAATCCTTCTCATCATCTGCGTATACAAATAGCAGTCCACCAGGCATTGTTTTCCTGTTTTCTGCAACTATAACAATGAATCCTGTAGGCCGACATTCAAGATCAGCAGCTGCGCCGTCATCGTCGCGTTTGTGTTTGCCTTTGTCTAGGGCGATATGAGCTTTCAAAACCTCTCCCAGAGTTTCGAATTCTACATTTGGCACTGCGGGCCGCGCAATGTGATTCTCATTGCCCTGTTCCATTTATTGCTTCTCGAGCGCAGACGCGACATCTAGAACTGAGATCTTTTTTCCAAAGAGGGTATAGAATGCGAAAATTGCGACGTCCCAGTTGCAGTCGCCGTACTGGCCAAGCTCTGGGGCTCTAGCTGTTAGGGAAAGACCGGGAGCCATCTTGGTTGTCAAGCAGTGATAGATTGATGATAATATTGGTGGAGTGTTCCTAACTTAGATCTCCTGCCGCAAAAATGCTGCGATAGTGGTCAACGTGAAAAGCTCCTGCTCTCGCAATAATGGCAGTGCAGCCTATTTTCGATACGGTCTGGTAAACTAGCGCAAATTGAAAGGCCTCCAGCAAGACGTCTGCAGTGAGATTATGACCTCATTGGCTGAGTCAAGTGACATCATCTGCCGACCCTTGATGCCTGTCGGGCTGTACAAAAGGTCGCCTTGCATTGTAATGTAAATCAGGGGTATGAGTATGAGCGCGCAGCACTGTATCGTCGAGATAAATCACATTAGTAGCAGGTGGGGTCGAGTTGTTGCCTCTGCCGAAATGATGAGATCAGTACGCTATGGTGCGCCTCGAAGTTAACCTGACCATCCATTAAAGCCGCACATCTCAACAATCATATAATGGACTTACCGTTCTGTAGATGGCTTATTTGAAGTTCAAACGACCAACGCTCGTTCCTTCATCAGTATCTCCAAACAGGACTCGGAGCCTTTTGAGCAGAATTTATCGTCCCAGGCTTAAGATACGTGCTTTTCTCATGCAGCAAAAAGTACCTTCCATGTCTTGTAGGCAGCTTAAACCCGCTCATCATCACCTCTGGGCTTTGGATGAGGAAGATATTAGCCACAGCCGATGTGTAACTTACAAACATCAGAACCACCTAGGTATAGATCAATACATGGCGTAATTGAACACGCCTGTGAGAGAGGCCTATCTCCTGGAGGCGCTCTTGGTTCCTTCCGCGACCCAGACTTTACCTCTGAGTCCGCTATTATCCAGGTGTTCTGTGTTCGCACCAAAGATCTCTGCGGTCGAATAAACAGTGCATTGTCAAGTGACAGTGTCACCTCGAAATGCTCTTTCCAACTATGCATGTCCCTGACTATTGGCTACGATTGCTCAACACTTGTACGTTTAGCAAGCGCATTCCTTATCTGTGGCGGCCAGGAAGGCGTTCAGCAAGGCGCACTCACCTTCGATTCGGCAACATGAAATTTGCATGCATTCCCGGCATGCAGGCTGATAAAGAAAGTACTCGAAAGTCTCCAACATGCACATAATATGTCGCGATGGTTACCCCGCCATGCTCGCCTGCGCGCATGCAGCCTCATGGTGAGGGCCAAACACCACTAATTGGTCAAGATAACGCATCCCCAACACAGCCCTGATTCACCGGTCAAAGTTCGCGCTGTCCAATTTTGAAAGGTCTTTAACATGACTTCCCGGTGGTATGTATGTGTTCATAAGATATTTTGCACCTCTTGCACCTTTTCATCATCCCATCAATCCTACATCGTACCATATTTACTTCAATGAGCGGGTTCGAGATCTTCGGTGCCATTGCAGGCGGTTTTGCTCTCTGTAATCAATTAGTGAAACTGGGGATCGCGGTACGCGAAGCTATACAGAGGATTAAAAACTCTAGGCAAGACGCTTTGGACCTCTCTGACGAAGCCGTTATTTTTGCCGGCTTATGCACCCAATTCTTACAAGTCTGTGACGAGGACCACAACAAAAACAAAGCTATCCATTCCTCGATCCATCGTCTCATAGGCTGGCTGAAGAAACTGGAGATTGGGCTTTATGAAGTTTTGCAGAAGGCTGGCGCCCTCTTACCAGATCCGACAAACAAACGCTCTATCGAAAAGAGATGGATTGCCCGCTTGGAATGGTTCGGAAGCAAAAAAGAAGTGGAAAGTCTCAGGGCTTCGATGAGTATTGCACGCACGAGTATTGATGGATTCAGTAATCTTATATGCATTCGGAAACTCAATGAGGAATTAAAGATGCTCAAGCTTGCTCTAGTGGATGCGAAACTAAGAGAACGTCTTGAAAAAAAGTTTGGCATGACATTGAACGAGAAGATCGGGAGGGTCCGGCAATCTGTGTGAGCTGATAACACCCGATATATATACTGCAGGCTGACCATTGGTAGTGGCTTGCATTGCTCCGTACATGAAGTCAAGGAACGGGTTTTGAAAAGTGCTATTGATGTGAGTCTGAAGGAGCAACAGAGTAAGGGAACGTCAGAATTCGACATTACGCGGCGAGATCTTTCAGTCTTCACGAAGGCTTTCGAAACATATGGGAAGCAGATATTACCGGTCTCAAAGCACCCACGCTATCGCTCAGGCTCCAATGATGGGACGATTTCTGATTCAGAAGCTACCCTATTACAAGCAACTCCTCGTAACTCACGTTCTCGGAACCCCAATTCCAACTCTACACTTGGCCGGCCATTGCACACATCACGCAACATAACAACAATCTCTGGCCATACAAAATTATCACAAACGCCTTTCAGTACTGTGCTTGATATGCCAATCGTAGAAGTGAGCATTAGGCCAGACGCGGAACCAGTTGTATCACGAGCAGAGGGGGAGACGACCAGGCAGGTATCAACTAAAGAAAGATCTGACCAGAAAGAGACTATATCAGCGCCTCTATTACATGGCCTATTCAAAAGCATGGACATCAAGTCTAGGGAATATATCAATGATCCTGACGGGAATATCCTGAGCCCACCTAAGGTCAAATCACCTCTCAAGAACCCTCTTACGAAATTACAAAAAATAGGACGCCATACGATCATGTTATCTGCGACAGAGTTCCGTATCAATGGTCGCAGCTTCGGCATGTCGAGCTACGAAACTGCGGATGATCTTTTCAGTGCTATCTTGCTGCAGCGGGACCTGGTTGATGAGTTAGTTAAAGTGGTGAATGGAGGTTATGGGAATATATTGTGGGATGGTATACCAGGCTGGTTCGCATCACCAGGTAAAGTGACAAGACCATTAAAGAACTCGGGAATAAAACTCCTGCAGGGTGGACAGAGTGGTGCGTAAATTTGGTTATGCTTACAGACGGTAACACCTTGGTTGATTTCTAGTGTGTATACTTTCTCCTATACTTTTTCAGACTATGGACGGTGATTCACGACGATCTTATGTTCAATATAGCACAAAAGCAGACAACCCTTTTCATAAATTTCTAATTGGCATCTCGACTTCGACTTGTAACACGTCCTTCCTTTCAAATGTTGCTCACTACAGCCTCCAGTACATCGTACAACGATGGTTCTATTTCCACATTGAGGGGGTTGGACTGGTCTCGCTAGTACGAAGGTAGTCGGACTGACCCGATACTGGTGAGAGATGTGCACACGAGTGTTGAACCAGTCTAATCTTGAACCAGTAGCATGAAGAAAATATTGATGCTCTCCCAAAGTTGATCAAACGTGGTTTTTCAGCAAGAATGCGACTACGTCAGAGATGGTGTACTATAGTTAGTCTAAGAAGGTTGAGGAAGGTGGATCTACGTGTCACGCTAGTACATAACAGGCGAGTACATGCGGGGTGTGTCTACTACGCTTATCACCCGACGCTACCTGTCATACACTTCAACACATACTCACCTCATGATACCAAGTATTTGAAGAGACTGTCGGCTTTGAAGGCAATACTTGCATCGCGAATACTCGTTTCATTTCACTTCCGACCCCATAACAATGGAGCAACGCTCCCAAATCCCCGTGGGTCCGCCCGTGAAAGATCCATTACCATCATACTGGCATGAACCCAAATCTCCTCTCGCAAATGTCATAGAGCCAGAGACTGAAAAACCAACTCAAAGCTATGACTACGCCATCATTGGCTCCGGGATCTCAGGTACCATGATTGCCTACAATCTTCTCAAGTCAAATCCAGCATCGCGTATCGTCATGATTGAAGCACGTGAGATATGTGGTGGAGCAACAGGTCGCAATGGCGGCCACACAAAAGCTGCAAGCTATCGAAGTTACCTACAGCATGTGAAAGAGCTAGGAAAAGAAGAAGCATTGAAAATCGCACGACTAGAGTACGCAAATATCGTAGAGACGCACCGCATGACGGAAGAGTTGGGAATCGACTGTGAAAGCGAAATGTGCAACACCCTCGACGTAATCTACGACAAAGCAACATTCGACCTAGGCGTCACAGCCATCTCCGCCCTCCGCTCCGACGCGACACCCGAAGAAAACGAACAAGGCAAAATGGCCTTCTACAAAATCCACTCCAACAACCCCGAGACCCGCGAGAAATTTCACATCGCAGCATCCAACTCCAACCCAACCATCCAGGCAGAGGAGAAGGTCGCCGGCGTCTTCGAATACCTCGCCGGTCGCATCCACGCATACCGCTTCACAACTTCCGTCCTCAAACACTGCGTCGCCAAAGGCCTCGTGCTGTGTACGAACTCGCCCGTGCACTCCATCCAACCTTCTTCTACTTCCTCAACGTGGTCCGTCCACACGCAATACTCCACGCTCCCAGCGCAGCACGTCATCCTCGCAACAAACGGGTACACGCCATACCTGCACTCCGCGCTGCAATCCCTCATCGTCCCGATGCGCGGCCAAATCACCGCGCAGCGACCGGGTAAGGGGAAACTACCTAAGCTACTAGAGACGACGTATTCTTTTATCTATCGCGAGGGGTATGAGTATATGATTCCGCGGCCGGTGGAGAATGGAGATGGGCAGCATATTATCATCGGTGGGGGATTGGGGAGGTTGGATGGTGGGGGGCAGGGCGAGTACGGGACGGTGGATGACAGTCGGCTGAACAATGATATCTCGGGGTATCTCAAGGGCAGTTTGAAGGGGTATTTTGGCACGGAGACGTGGGGTGACGATAATGATGAAGACAGAATTGTGCAGGAATGGACGGGAATCATGGGCGCGACGGCGGATGGGAGGCCGTTTGTGGGCGAAGTGCCTGGGAACAAGGGGCTGTGGATATCAGCGGGGTTCAATGGGCATGGGATGGTGTTGTGTCTCAAGAGCGCGGAGGCGCTGGTTGACATGATAACCGGCAAGGGCGCGCCGGGGTGGTTCCCGACGAGTTTTGAAATCAGTGCGGAGAGGATGGAGAAGGGGCGGGGGACGTTTGGGGGGAGGATGGATATGCAGGTTCCAGCGTAAAGAAGTAAACAATGATATAAAGCAATCCATCTATCCTACCAGTATCACTTCTGCCCCCCTCTCCCCCACCGCCTCCCTTTCCCCACAAGCGCAGCCTCGTCATCACTATCTTCCGGCGTCCGCTTGACCACACCCTCGCTCTTGATCGAGCTGTCGATGCTCTTCGTTCTCGACGTCCCCGTCTCCTGAACAACAATATGCGGCACGCCCATTGTATACGCGCCTGTCCCTTCCGCCTTTGGCCAGGTATTCGGCTCATTAGTAACCGTGACCTCCTGCGTCGTCTTAATCTGCCTGCCTGTCGGCGTAAAACTCTGAATACGATTGGAGTCAGCCACGCCGTCGGCATGATACGAGACGATACTGGCGAGCTCGTGGGCGGACTGGCGTTGCGTGGCGGCCGACGATTTCTTGGCGGTTGACGAGATGTTCGATGAAGATTTGAATTCGCCGGCGAGGGATTGCGCGCCGGTGCGGCGCGAGGCGGAGACGGCGATGCGTTTGATTAGGTTGGCCATTGTCATTTCGATGTTGAGTTTGACGAGGTAGGCGAGGGGGTGGAATTGGATGTATCTGGGCTTGTCAGAATATATCGTACTTGGGGGTTAAGAGGCAGCGAAGTGGAGCTTACACGAAAGAATTGGGTATAGACATCGCGCCGATGATCATCACGTCCATCAGCAACGACACCATAACAATGCGCTGATTAAACCGTGCAAGCTTGTTGTACTTTGTGAGACCGTTGCTGATGAGATTGGCCTTGACTGTTTTGAGGAAGTACCAGTTCAAACCCGCATCGACAATCAGGTAGAGGCCTTTCTCGATTCGGTCCCAGTACTCGTTGATGATGTGGTACTTGCGGCTAACTTGCAGACGGGCTGGGAGCCAGATGAAGAACACGGAGACATTTATGAACGTGACGAAGACCGCGGTGCCGATCATGATTCTCCGTGAGCGCTGACGGTCAGGTACAATGACTCGGATGCGATTGATGATGATTTGGAGGAGGAGTTGGACTTGGATACACCACCAGAATACTAGGTTGCAGTAATTAGTATCGGATACATTAGCTATCCCAACATGAGCGCACTTACAGATTGTGAAGTAGAAAGCGAAACCTATAAACGATTAGTGTGGTTCAAGAATTGAAAATGCGTGTTTACTTACTCGGTTGAATGAGCTTGAGAAGGTGCAAGAACGATTCCAAGCCCATCATAAACGACGCGAAGAGTTCCAACCATATCATCCACACGTAGACACTGCGTAGGGGAGCACGCGATACCCGTGCCTGGGCAGATGCGAGCCATACCGCGATTCCAACGTTGATCAGTGTTAATACCCATACAACCGACGCTACTATGATGTCTGCGTTTGTGATATGCATATCCTTCCAGTTGGGTGAAACGAACGGCCCCCATGGTTTGAAAGAGACATCTGGTCGATATTCCTTGTTCATTGCGTGAGATGAATATTACCCCCAGCTTTGGTCGTGTCCAGAATAGGCAGATCAGACACGTGCCTACCGAAGGACAAAAATAAGAAAAAACGGAGTATCATCTCAGAACTACAGCGATGCCCCAGTCTTTTCATGTCCCTTCTTTCCCAAAAACGACGGCAGCCAAACAGTGGTTCAAAGGAGCGCGTGCCAAGGCTTGAGTCAAGAATAAAGTTTCTGTAAAGTTACTTGTAGATAATCAAGCTTGCGATGCGCCATTCGCCAGTTCCCCCAGAAGAGATTTAAGATTTCGAGTACGCGACAGTCTTCCCGCACATGGCTTTGATGCTAGAGAACTGGGCGGGATGAGTCTGCCGGATCTTAAGCTTGTGGATGACCTGCGGTCGTTCCTAGTGATTGCTCACCTGGCGAGATGTACGCAACCCAAGCTGATGAAGATTTGTTCATTTGAGACATGGATGCTACCGTGAATCAAACGAGGCTCGACTAGAGACTCCCTTCGACCAAGACCTTGAAAGTGGCATACATCTGGCTCTACCCTGCTAATGGTACTATCCAGGTAGACACCGGTCTTAGGTGGTACTTTCAAGGGATCTGATCTACCAATAGACCAGATCGACCCTCCAAGTTCCCGTCGAGCTGCTTCGACGGCATCGAAGATTCCGCAGTCCGTGGCTGGCAGAGCTGGACTCTCGGAAAGTATGGCGGACTCTCCGCTCACTATGATTCGCTAAGCCCTTTCCCAACGCCTCAACGCAATTGTTCGACATGTTCTCTCGGACTAACCTAGAGTTCTTAGCCTTATCCGTCCCTTGTTCCTAAAGCTCGGTCCTGATAGTTGTAAAGCTCCCGCTACCCTACAGGGGGAAGTTGAAAAACCACGTTTGCTCCGCCCACACAACACACCTAGTTAAGTAAGGTGAATGGACAGGTAATATAAGCACTTCTCAGCGACCCATCGTAGAATCGTGAACCACGCTGTGGAGATTTGGCTGCACCACGCAAGTCAACTGCTGGTCTGAAACCAAAGATCGGCACCCTGACCTTAAAGCCCGCTGTGGATCACTCCGGCAACAAGGATGGCGCTTGCCCTCCGTCAGGGTGAGAGCTAGAATCGCGTCCGCAATGTCGTATGATTGTTGCGCGCCATCTCGCTTAAAATCGTCCGATCGGACATCGGTGGCTGCAGTAGCTTCACAAATAGAAGGGTAAGTTTGGCATGCTTTGTTGCAATGCCTGCGGAGATTTACATGTGGAGGATCTGAGATAGAGTCAAGACGGCCCTTTTGTGGCTCACGCACAGATTGGCATTCATCGCTGATGCCATACCGGGCGATGAAGCTGGAACCAGACCTGAGACAGTAATGATAATGTCAGAGTGATAATGGCAAGATGCGACCTCGTTACAAGCTCAATTATGGTGCATTGGTGCTGACATGTGTAAAAATCAAACAGGGGATCGTTGCTGCCAGCTTTGTTCGCCGAATAGTGTCAGGCTCGTTGAAGTAATCAAGCATCAACGCAGTCTACTTATTTTGCCTCCTTCAACAGTGCGGCAGCCGTGGCGTCTGTTTGGCCTATGCTTCCACTCCGCTCGGCCGGCTTTAGCTCGCCTGTTGAGGCGCCTTCCTTACTCGCAGCGGCCTTCTTCAGCCTCTCGCTATCAGCAGGGTTTGTGTCCTTGGTCTTGTTGTCTTCATCGTCGCTATCGCCTAGACTGAAAGGGTCATGGTCCTCAGGCTCGGGATGAGGCGCAACCGAAGTCAGAGGCTGCCATTTCTTGCCTCCTGACTTTCCCTGGCTGTTCTGCTGGTTGTTGGGCGAGGGGTTGCGGTATAGCGCATCTACTTCATCCACAGGCCCGCTTTGGGGTGGGGAGACGGGAGTGGGCTTGAAAAGATCGGGATTCGCGTTTGGCCGGCTTGATGTTCGCGGTGGGGGGCCTGGATCGTCAGTACTGCTTCACATGCGAACTACGGTTAATGCTGCGGTGCATACCATCGTTGTCCCTCATCTCCAACTGCGCGAAGTCGTCCCCAAGCACCCTGTTGTCTGCGTCGTAGCGGTTGTGGTCGGCAGATCGGCGCTGTTCCGCCGACTTGCGAATGCCATAAAGTTGTTCTGACTGCGATGGGCCAAAGTTTTGCCGCTGCGACCCCGACTGTCCCGGCCTCTGCTGGTCGCGGTGGACGGGGTTGCCATATCGATCGTATTCGTCGGGCTCGCCGTCGCCGTCCAGCTTCTTGGTGAAGTTGGAAATCCAGCTCGTGACCGTCTTCTGCGTCTCCTTGAAGCCCTGCTCGATGTTCTTACGAATTTCAGGCAGGTCGTCTATACTGAGTCAGTCAAGCTATGCAGGCAACAAGAGAAGGAACGCACCATCGAAGAAGCTGTGCTCGCGGTCGGCTTCATCCGGTCGCTGACTGGGCTGCTGCTGCCTGCGTTGGCCCTGGCTGGAATGGCCGCCCTGGTTCTGGTAGTGTTCTGCGAGCTGTCTCGCGTAGATCTCGTCCTGTTCAAGCTGCGTACGCTGTGGCCTCGGGGGCTGTGGAGGAGGGGCTTCCTCGGCTTTGAAGTTGGGGTCCGACATGCCTGCCACAGTTAGCTCGCCATTCTCGACTCAAGCTTCAGGCTCCAGGCATCAACATACTCAGCAGCGCATTGAAGGCAGGCTCGACCTTGCCGCCGCTAGCGACCAACACAGCCTTGATGACATTGCTGTCGATGTCAGGAAAGGCCTCGATCAACGTATTCTGTGCCTGCTGCTGGGGTGACATGGGTCGCGGTGGCTTGGGTGGGGGAATGTCTGTCGTGTCGTCGGTGAAGCGCACGCCTGGCTTGGGTGACTTCGCCGGGGCAGGAGGCGATGTGACTGTCTCGTGGGTAGCCGAAGTCGGCGCATCGTTGTCGTCGTCAAAGTCGAGCTCACGCGCCGTGGTTGGGCTCTCGGGAGGCTGCAGCTGTCAGTTTGGGGGAGCTTCACACGTGCTGCGGGGTAGTCTACCTTGTCCGTGGTGGGCTTTTCAGACATGTTGGTGTATGCAAGTGTGTATATGGCTCTAGAAAGCAATGGGATGTCACGTCCAAGTTGTATGGGGAAGAGGCGTCGTCGTGGTCGAGTATCTGGAGCTTGCGTGGGTCGCCGCGCATGAAAGTCACAGCCACAGAAGCGCATGAGGCGCATGCACCATGACGAATGCGCCAAGACATTGGACCCCTGCTGTATCACGTGTCTTACTTTGTGCAGTAAGACATCTCACGTCCTACATCAGTCCGAATCTACACGCGCTACGCCGCAATTACGCCAGATCCTGCGTGTCATTGTCTCGATGGGACCGCGCACTTCTCACTCTAGTCAGCGAAGCCTTGCGTATGCCGTATAGCAAGTATCCCATGCCGACTGGAACATTATACGAACTGGAACATTAGCGGTGCGGTGCTCCACCTCAGGCCAAACGCGGTATGATCGATAGAAAATTCAACCCGGTCGCCGTTGACGGGTAGTATTCGAGCCGGATAGATAACACAGAAAGCCGTTCTTAATTCACCAGGAACTCGCTGTCATGTCAAACGTTGGTAACTAGAAGTATCGTTTCACTGATTATATTTCTCCAATTTTTGCCATAGCCGTGTCAGATGCGTACTGCATTCGCGAGGGTCCGATGATTTTGTAAGCTTCACAATTCGTTCTGTGCATTGCACCCCACCCGACTTTCGAGGCCATATCGTGGATCCATTCCTTCGGTCCGCCACAGATACGGACTGGCTCATTCCTCGTCGATGGTGTAATTATGGGATGCGTTCGAGTGCGGTCTGATCATCGAGCTATGTCAAGCTCGATAATCAAACCATTCATCGAAAGAAGGATTACACTCATAAAACTCGAACCCTACACCTCCGCCAACACGAATGACGCCCACTTGAGACGACCCAACCACTCCATCTCTCGCAAAACCTTCAAGGCTGAAGTCTTCCCTCGATATCTGCATGCAGCTAAAGAAACGTCGACTTTCCTTGACGATCCTTGGCTCTCAATGTGCCATCTCAGTAGTCTAATCAACGGCTGCACGCGGGCTAGTATATGGACCAAGCCTTCGTATCGAAATATTAATGGAAAAAGGCTTGGGGAGCTCAATCCGATGCTCAGACTATCCATTGGTAAGATGCGCCAGGTATGAATCACGATCCGAAGTCCGAAATTCGACACGAACTTCTGTTTGCAATGGATCAGCGGAGTAAGCTGGGTGTCGAGATATCGACGATCGAGGAACCTGCCGGCCTGAATGTGATTATCTCCATGGATCTCGAGGTAGGACAGCATGCAGCCCGACAAGGTCACCCCAGTGCTGAAGAGGTCTTTGGCGAACATATCACTCAGTTCGCGAGGATGAACCACTGCGAAGTGTGGATTCTTCTCGCAGAAATGCTCGACGAGTTCGATTCGAAAGATCTTGTCGATGACCCCGGGGAGTAGGAACTTCGGCCATTCTGCTTGTGGCGGATGGTACTGCGCAGGCGCCGCATTGATGGGTTCGAATGCACCGTCATGCACTTGTTGCATGCTGTCCGGGTCCAAGATATACGAGTAGACCATGTGCCGCAGCTCACGGAGTAGACCGAGTAGGGCATCCTGATCGAACGGAAGCATACTGGCTATTACCAGCGTTGTCGACGTCTTGAGTGGACACATATAGGCCTTACTCGACCGACATGCAAGGAAAGATTGAGGCAATCTTGGTGAGTTGATGGTGAGTTCATCGGAAGTTGCGTCCTGGGCTCGTTTCCTTATGAGAGAAGAAAGTATTTTTGAATTGTACTGCTCATATTCATAGCTCCTGGACATTCAGGACTTTGAGTTCGGACGACAAGCGAACTATTAGGCTGCGACCGAACCGCCTCCAAATCTGCAATTCACTGATGTACAAATACTACACCGGCGCTTCGAAACCATTCCATTCTGCATACGCCTCCGGCAACTCTGGCCACTCATCAACACCATCTAAGATCACAACGCCCATCCCACCAGCGAGATGCGTCTGGATATGGCAATGGAACAACCACGCGCCCGGAGAATTGGCGTGATATCTCAACGCCAACCATGCATTGTTGTTCACTCCCTCGAGCGTCTTGAAAGTGTCTTTGTAAGGTGGGTCGATGAAATTGAACGTTCCCCGTGGCAAATGCTTCTCTGCTTCCTCAACGGTAGCCCAAGGGAAGAAGCCAACGCCTCTCCCGACGATGAACGCTTTGTTACCGTGCTTGTGCATAGGGTGAGATTGCGCAAAGGGTCCTTCGACTTCGATGATCAGGTCAACCCATTCATTCTTCTTCGTTGTGAGCATTAACTCGCTAGTTTCGATCTGCGATGGGTCCTGGAAGAGGAAGGGAGACGCGACGTCCTCGGTGGTCATGTTGAGCCCCTCAATACCGGACATTGTCCACTCGTACGCGCCATGTGGTTGAGCGAGTTTGCGCACCATGAACTTGTGCGTGCGATCGGCGACAGAGGCTGGCGGCTTGGGTGGGTAAGGCCGAGTGTTGAACTCATCGAAGACGCGAATGTTTTTGACCAAAGAACCGCCGGCGTAATTCATCAACGGCTTTGGGTGTGGAGGGTCATCCATCACGCCGTTATACGACAGTGCAGCGAAGCCACCTAGAACTTGGCCAAGGAGATCATTCGCGATTCGAATCGTGTACCGTCCGACTTCTTGGTCGAGCTTGACGAATACTGAGTATCTTTCGCCATTGTTGACAAGGATTTGATCGACGATTTGCGGGTAGATGTAGTGGCCGTCAACTGCGAACACATGCATCGGATGGTTGTCAATAGTGACTTTCAAAGGATATAAACCACCGGGATTGATGAAAGTAAGTGCTGCCCATCTATTGCTAGAGTGTACTGTCACTGTGTGGTTCGCGCCGCCACCGACACCCGGGATACATTTGCGAAATGCTTCTGGCGGGAGCGTATCAAGATGCAGCGAGTAATTCCCTTGGAATAATCTGAGAGGAGGTACGCATCCTTTGTCGGTGATCTCCTTCTCATCGGTATGACTGAGGATGAACTTGACCAGTGGATTGGTGTACTCATTCAACAGCTCGCGCTCCAGACAATATTCCGACCCCTATTTCGAACGTTAGCCTCATTCAAACCCTCCCAAAGAACTTTGATCATGACTTACAGCCCCATTAACAACAATCGCATCCATGCAAGTGAAATCAATATTCGCCTCCCTCTCCACCCCCATAACCTCCCCAAAACTAAACTGACTCCAATCACTAATCATAAGCGTCTGCACCTCCCTCTCCGCCTCCCTCATCAACTCCCAATCGCTCGCCTCATGACTGATCATATGAAACGGGCTTGGCTCATCCTCTCCCCGCTCAATCACAATCGCACCATACATGCCATCCATCAACTGCCCCCTCGAATGCGCATGGTAAAAGAACACCCCAGACTCATCAGCCCGCCAACGGTACAAATACGCCGCGCCGGGCCTTATCGGGCGCTGCGCTATTCCTGGCGTGCCGTCGGCCCAGGGCGAGAGGGATTGTGTTATGCCGTGGAAGTGCACGGCAGTGTCTTCGCGCAGGTGGTTTCGCACGAGGAACTCAACATTGTCACCACGCGACAAGCGTAGGGTTGGGCCAGTGAACGTCCCATTAACTAGTATAACATCTCGGAAGCCAGCGCCCGTGGGGTTGGCGCGGCCGGGTGTGAGGTGCACTTCGAAGCGCACTGGGTTTTGCGAGACATGGCTGTTGCTTGGTTTGATGCAGGATGGGAAATAGGTTGATGGGAGGGTTGAGGATAGGCTCAACAGCCCGGTTAGGAAGTTGAGAATGTTGCAGGCCATGGTAGAGCTTCCATGGCGTGCGAGCCCAACGGTTGCGATAACATGTGTGTAATGCAGTGGCGAGGCTGGGGGTGCGGGTCTCGGGGAATAATCGCCGTGGGTGCTCGGTGATTTGAACGCCAGAGACATACGCTCGCCGTACTGCTCGAGGTTCGAAAAGCCACTCACCACATCAGTTTGTGGCTAGAGTTCGCTTTGCGTGCCAACCATGTGGGTTCGAGCTCTATGCCAGATCATTAGCGTGGTGAATACACGTGACCATGGCGGCCACCTCGAAAATTGTTTCGAGCACAACTCTTCAACTGCATCGAAACGAACATTCCAACCAACAATAATTTCTCAGAACAATCTCGCCAAATTATCCATCCATCATGAAACTCTTCACACTCCTCCTTCCCGCCCTAACATCCGCCCACTCTCTCTCTACCCTCCTCTCAACCCACCCCACCCTCTCCACCCTGCATTCCCTCCTCAAGCAATTCTCCCTGCTCGACGACTTCAACACACTCGCCAATATCACCGTCATTGCACCCACAAACCAAGCCTACCTCGACCTCGCAAACTGGGGCTTCAACGTCAGCCAGATCCCCGCGCCCGTTGCGCGCGCGCTTTTCCAATACCATGTATTGGACGGCGAATGGGAGTCGGAGAGTATTATTGGGAAGGGGAAGGTCGTGCATACGTATCTCAAACCGCCGGTGCTGACGAATGTGACGGCCGGCGCGGCGGTGAAATTGTCGAGCGTGGATGGCACAATCATGACCGAATCTGGGCTCGGGGTGGCTGGTGGTGTGGAAGATGTGAATTTGAGGTTCGACGGAGGAGTACTGCATACGCTGAATGCGAGCATGGTACTACCTCATAACATCACGTTGACGGCGCAGATCAATGGTCTGGGCAGGTTTCTCGAACTCATGAATAGGGCCGGCGTGGTTGCAGAATTCGAAGGCTTGAAGGACGTTACGGTATTTGTGCCGCATGATGATGCGCTTGAGAAGGCGGATGTGGGGAAGATGAGTAAAGAGCAGTTGGCGAGTTTGTTGAGGGGACATGTTGTGCCGAATCGGGTGTTGTATGGCGAAGTGTTTGGGAAGAAGGGTGGGTATAAGAGTTCGAATGGATGGGAGATTCATGTTGGAAAGACGGCAGATGGCACGCTGACGGTGAACGGTATCAAGGTGGTCAAAGAAGATGTCATATTGTATGCTGGGGTTGCGCATGTCATTGACAAGGTACTGGTGGCGGATCGTGTTGAGCACAAGGGCGATCGTTCCTACCTTCATCTTGACGCCCAGAAGCCTTTGAGATGAGTCGAATTACCTCTGAGACCATTCTGCGTACATGTACAGTCAATCATATCCTCTTCCTCAGATGCTCGTGTTGTATAATGAGGCAACGTTGCCGAAGTCGTCGAATAATAAAGCAAACACCGTGAATCTAAGCCATGAATATTTCGTAGATGTCTGTAGTTGCCACTGAGATACTTGAATAGAATATGCGTCAATATTAAGGCATGAGAGTGTGTCCTCGAATGACAGTAGCTCAGATTGCTTTGCCCGACTTTTTTTCAGCGTAATCGCCGACCAAGTTCATCACCTTTCATACCACACTATTATGATGTCGATTAGGAATCTTGTGCCTCAGTGTTGTACGTTAGTATCTTGCAGCTCCATAGGGTTGCGACCCAATATATTAACTTTCGCCCTATGCAAGCAGATCACGCTACGAGATGCGGAAGAAGTGTGTGTGAAGCAGCAATGTTTGATGTATTATAGCTAAGAAAGCCATCGCGTGTTGCGAAGCGATGGAGAATAATTGCACATGTGTGCGTGTAGATCTAAAATGACCCTGAAGTAACGCCTAATCTAGCAGCGCAAGTAAAAGCAGAAAGAGACCGCCCACAAGATACTACCAAAGAAAGTGACCAAGAAAATTCCCCTCTAGCGCCACGCAATCCCAAGGAAGCTTCTGAACGCCGCGCAAGTAAAGGAAAGAGATGTGTCCGCTAGAACGCCGCACATAACTAAAAACAAGCCCGTCAAAACACATCAACCGAATCTAGGCAAGCAAGCCAAGCGTCTTCCTCAAGAAGCCACCGAGTTGCTGCGCGCCCTTCCCTCGCATCATACTGAAGTGATGTTCACCCTCCACAACATCGATATCGATATGTCGTCCCGGGAACAAGTCGGTCCACTTGTCTGGACCAAAGTCCGTCCTCTGCTCCGTCAAGAACTTCATACCCTCAGTATCCTCACCAACCATTGATGCTGGTGGAAGCGGCGCATACTTGCCACCAAATGCACAACCACCAGCCCAGATAAGGTTGATCTTCTTGGGCGCGTTGGTAGTAAGAGGCATGGGCGGCGCGCAGTAATCGTGGAGCAGTTCGATTGTAGCTTCGAAGTGTGGCATGAGCCACTCGGGAAGTTTTGCGCGCTTGTTGGAAGGGTTGATGGCGCTCATTTCTCCACCGAAAATTCCAACTGCACTGCAGTGGTCAAAGAAACGACGGGGTAGCCGGTCAAGGCCATCAGTCGGAGGTGGAGAGTCAATGAGTGTTAGAGTTGCGATCTCCTCGCCTGTTGCCATGAGTTCCTGAGCAACGGCATACGCTAACACGCCACCTGCTGACCAGCCGGCAAGGTGGTAGGGACCGTGAGGCTGATGGCGTTGTAGACTCTCGACGTATGATGCAACTATGTCATCAAGCTGCCGATCAGCCATATCATGAGGGTTTCTATGTAATGTTAGTGTCTTGCATGGAAGCTGTGATGAAACTTGGACTTACTTCATAAAAGGTGAATTGAAAGCAATAACTGCTGTCGAAGAAGATAGAGTTGGAAGCTGAAGGTATGATGTGGCGGCACCGCACCCATCCGGAAACAAAAACAACCTTTTTGTCGCGTTGCGTGGGGACCCTTGGAGAACGATAGACCAAGCTGGCTTAACTGGAGGAAGGATCTCCGTGATTGATGCCAACGAAGTTGTGCTATCCCTCGAGGGTGTCATTGACGGCCGATTACGTCCGATTGACATGAATGGATCGGCTTTCTCAAGTGGCGTCAAAGCCACTTCAGCTACTGCGACCAAAGCTTCCTTCTTCGAAAAAGCCAATGGCTGGAAGTCTTCAGAAGTAGTCTCGACCTCTAGACTTGGCGAAAACACACTCGGGACATCAGTGGTAGCATCTGAATCACTGAAGACAGAAGGAGATCGTGTGCATCCAGTGATCCTTGCCTTGAGGCTGGCCACGGTCGGATAGTCGATGAAAAGCGACTGCTCTGGAAGATCCAAGTCGAACTCGTCCCGGAGGCGACTAACGACCACGAGTGACAACAAGGAGTCGACACCAATGTCGGAGAAGTAAGTGTCGCCTGTTAAATCGCTCACATCTATGCCACTTTCTTCTGCAAGGATAGCCAGCACATTGGTCCAAACGCCAAAGGAATCCCCGGCAACTGCAGATTGGGCAAAGGATGATTCTCGCAGCTCTGTAGGTGTGATTTCTTTGGTGACAGTTTTGGTAACCGTGGTAAATTGCTCAGTCGTGCCTGTGAGACCTCGAAGGAACGTTTTGAAGCTTCCGACTGTGCGGACCTCCAGGAATGCGGCGGAGTCCACATCAATACCAAGCTCGTCCCTGATTCTGCTACTGACCATGATGCCCAGAAGCGAGTCAACACCAATGTCGTCAAAGGAGGTATCGTCAGTGAGGTCAGCAGCTTCCACGCCACTTTCCTGACTAATGATGCTGATGGCTGTGGTTATACTGCGGTCCTCCACTGGCGCTTGAGTGACGAGCTGTTTGGTCGTTGTCTTTACGACAGCGCTGACGACCTCAGGGGCTGTTACTCTCTGAGTCTGTGGCTCACCGGCGGTTCGAGGCGCGACGCCATTTGTCCGTTTGCTAGCGGCATGGACAATATAGCTCATCAAGCGCTTGGGAACACCCTGTAAAGCGACACCTCCAAACACACCCACAACGGCTTCCCCGTCGAGTATGGTGATGTCGCCCGTCCATAGCTTGTCAGTTCCCTCAGTCATCTTGACGTGCGTGGTGTAGGTCTTGGTGGGGTCGATAGCCTCAAGAAGTTTGAGTGATGCCCAGCCGTGATTGACGAAAAGTTCCTTGTCTAGATCCACCCCTTCATTTCCATTCATAACAAAGCCACCCAACTGGGAGAGTGCATCGATGTAAGCAGGGTTAGTGTGGAATTTACCTTCAGCCGAGACCTTAGTGAAGTTGACTCTCCCTAAGGCTTCGAGCGCATCGCTATCCAGTGTGATCTCTTCCAGAGCACGGTACTTGGGATCGAAGTCTGCCAGTTGTCCCACCATCTTGTAGATCATTGCCTTGCTGTATCTGAAGGTGTTGCCAAATTCATTGAGCTGCAACTGAAGTATCGAGATACGTGACTTGATTGCGGGAGCCGATGACTTGAGAGCGGTGCGTGCAGCCTCTACGTCAAATAGCTTAATGAGACAATTCGAGTGCTGTTCTTTGACCTTTCCAGCATCGTCAAGGGTGGAGAATGTGCAATAAAGCGACTTTTGCTTCGCATCATACGAAGCATGCGTGCGCAGCATCTGAGGCTTCCCATCAGAAGTCGCGACTAGTGCGCTCTGGATGTTCATGTTCGCGATTTCCACCCCAAGCTTCGTGGATCCCTCTCCAGAGAACTGTTTGGCGTATTCACCAATTGTCAGAGCAATGTCTGCGTATACCGAAGGGGTGCAGAGCGGGACCCCATAGACCTTGTGTCCTTGTACCATCGGGTGTAGATCCTCGCGGCTGAGATCTGCTTCCACTAACAGTTCGCCACCACTCACGCCAAGTGAGTTGCTGACGACTTTGTGGATACAAGTGCCCTCTAGAGTGGTACGTTCGATGACTAGTGGAGCATCTCCTTTGCGTAGTGACCAGTCATTTACATACTGAATCCAGTACTCTTTGAGATCCCAAGCATAGGCTGGCAACTCAAGAACAACCTGTGCCGAAGGGAAGTCGGCATGGTAAGCCGTCCACTTAACGTCCGTGCCTGCAGTGTAGAAGGCTGACAGGGCGGAAGCTAGGATGTTCAATGCAGGCTCATCCTTGCGGCTTGATGCGAAGGTCTGAAATGCAGGTCCAGCAACCTCTTTGACCATCTTGATGACAACGGGCTCAGGTCCAAGCTCGATGCCCATCATTTTCTCGTCAAGAAGGCTCATTTGCCTTGCTGCTTGTAGGGCTCCAAGCATGTTGACCTTGTTCCGGCAATGCTTGACAATGAAGTCGCTGCCGAAGTCTTCGGACTGAGTGAGCACAGTACCGAAAGCGGGTGATATTACAGGAATGGCAGGCTTTGCGAAATGAACGCCTCTAGCTACTGCTGCCAGAGATGCGAGGATTGGTTCGACCTGAGAGGTGTGATATGCGTATGGCACCTCGAGTACCCTGTTTGACATCCGACTTCTTTGAAGTGTTGGGCGGATCGTCTCGATTTGGCTCTTTGTGCCACCAAGCACAACGCTTTCGCGACCATTGTGGCATGACAGCTCGTATGTGAGACCTGAAGGGCCAAGTGCAGCTTCCAGATCCTCAGCATTGGACCGGACGGCAAGCATAGTGTGGCTACCTTGTTCGCAATGCTTCTCGAGTAATTGAGCTCGCGAGCCCACGATATTGATGACATCAGCTTGCGTCAAGACGGAGGCAGCGTATAGCGCAGCATATTCTCCTAGGCTATGGCCGACAACCGCACTCGGTGTGACGCCCAATGTTACCCACATGCGGTAAAGTGCCATTTGGAAGCAAACCATAGCTAGTTGTAACGTCGTAGGTGTGGCATCGCAGAAGGTGGTCGGATCCTCAAAGAGTTGCCGGACAGGAGGGAAATTCAGTTGTCGGCATATCTGATCGTAGCGACTAATATCTGCACGAAAGCCTGTGAATTGTGCAAATAAATCTGCACCCATGCCCGCATACTGCGCACCTTGACCAGTAAAAGCAAAGACAAATCGCGGCGTTCCTTTGGGACGAGAGCTGCCTTTCTTGAGATCAAGTGCCGTACGCAGTGAAGCTTTGACCGAGTCAAGGCTGGTTGCATTTATCATCACCCTGTGAGGGTGATGGATTCGGCGTGCCGTGGAGGTGTACGAAAGGCGTGCGAGGGTAAGGTTGCTCGCGTCGGACTTCTCGTCAAGCCAGGCTAGCATGTTCTTGACATTGTTTTCCAAGGAGGCAGGTGTCTTTGCCGATACCGCAACCAGATGACATTGTCGGATGTCAGGCACATCTAAGGTCGGTACCTCTGGTGCATCTTCCAGAATGAGTGCCGTGTTACCGCCGGCAGCGGAGAAGTTGTTCAGCAGGACCTGTCTCTTTCCGTTTACCGGTCGGGGCCAGGATACGGCCTCCATTGCAATGGCTGTATTTCGGGACGGAAGATCTGGCAACTTGTGATTGATCTTGGTCTTTATGCCACAATGGGGGGGAATAGTGGACTTCTTGAGCATTAGAAGAACTTTTGCTAGGCTAGTCACACCAGCTGCAGCTTCACCATGGCCAACGTTTGACTTGGCTGCGCCGATATAGAGTGGCTGGTGTTGCTTTCGGACGGCGTTAGGAGGCTCAATAGGCGCCAGGCTTTGCAAAACCGAAGTGGTCTCGCCAGCGTCACCAGCTTGTGTGCCAGTTCCATGCATCTCGCAGTACGATATGTCAGTATGCTTAACTCCAGCATCGGCGAGTACACTGGCAAAAAGATCTTGCTGTGCGCCAACATGGGGCCTGGTGATGGATGCAGCCTCGGCAGAGTGATTAGTAGCGATTGCCAGGATGCAGGCTTGCACGGGATCTTTGTCCGCGACAGCATCGTCAAGACGCTTCAAGACAAGAGTAGCTACAGCTTCACCGCGGCAGTAGCCATCCGCCCCATCATCAAATGTGGAGCAGTTTCCGGTGCGCGACAGAAAGTGGCCACGATCAAGGCCGACGGTCATGTCTGGGTTAGTAAGGACATTTGTCCCTCCAACGATAGCCGTGTCAACTTCACCCTTCCACAGAGCATTGCAGGCAAGATGCAGCGCTGTAAAGCTTGAACTGCAGGCCGTATCAATCGTGTAGCTCGGTCCTGAGAATTTGAAGTGGTAGTTGATACGCCCAGGAATGAAGGCTCGGTTGCCTCCAGGAATGAAGTAGGTATCAATATTCTGAGCGGAGTTGGTCTCCATCCAGTCGTTGCTTGTGCTACCAAAGTAGACACCTACACGATCTTTCTGGGTGCTCGAGGTGCGACCGGGTACAATTCCAGCTTGCTCTAAAGCCTCTGTTGCGGTCAACAGAGCTAGCCGCTGCGCCGGATCAACCTGTGGCGCCTCTCTCGGGGACATGTTGAAGTAACGAGCGTCAAATTGGGCAGCGTCATGTAGCCAGCATCCAAAACCAGTACCGCTGGTGTTCTTTGGCAGCTCTTTCAGCGATAAGTCACCAACATGAGTGCGAGTGTTCCACCGAGATGCGAGGGCCAATTCGTGCGTGTCGATCCCGTTCTCCAAGACGTGCCAGAAAGCCTCCATGCTAGGTGCTTGCGGAAAGCGACCGGACATGGACAGAATCGCAATTTTAGCCTTGGCTCTGGGGGTTGAAAGCGCATTCGGGATGCTTGTGGTGTCATTTTGGTCTGGAGCATTCACTCTGCCCGATTGAGACCGGCCACCAGCTTGGCTCAACGCAGTCTGAACGGCCAGAGCGAGGCCGTCCGGTGCCGTCGCGATGTGGCGTATTGCAAATCCATCAGCGTGCTGAACATGTGAGGCAATTCCCGGTGCAATGAGATCCGACCGGATCATGAGCTGTAGACAGGCTTCAACTGCAACGCGTAGTGCATCGCGAAAAGTGGCCGACGTCACGACGGTGCCCGTGCTACTTGAGACGATAGGGATGATTGTTGTGGCGACAACATCATCCACGCCGCACAAGATCGTGTTGACATTCTCTGCCGTGTACAGGTGAGGCGCATGGTACGGAGCAGTGATGGGCAGGTCGAATTTGATGGCTTTTGATAATGCCGTCGTCTTGAGCAGCTCGTCGAGGACGGGCGGCGGCGCGGAGACACTACACCGATTGGCGCTGATTCTGGCGCTTACGTAAGGCCTTGCAACGACCGAAAGATTCTAGACCACAGTTAGTGACATCAATTCTCCCATGTCTTCGCACTGTTTCATCTCCAGACAATCGCACCTTTTCGACCGCAAACTGCTCGATGATAGCCGACACCTTTTCTTCGCTCAGTCCTGCCAAGGCGACAGTCCAGTGAGGGAATTGTCGTGGTGTATCCTGCACCGCGAAAAGAAGACTTCCCACGTCCCATGCACACGCGCCGACCCTGAAAGCCACCACGACCGTTCGGAGCCCCAATGCAAGCAGAGTCGAAGTGTCACTGGAGCAGCTGACAGCCACCGCCGAGATGAACCCGGTGCATCTTGCTGTGAGACAGGCATTGTGTGCTGTTGGAAATGGCTTTCCGCTCGTCGCATGTTCACTTGATCATTGTTGTCAACATTCTGTCTATTCGAGAGAACGAGGGTACTTACTGTATAAACGTGCCGACGTGGCATATGCAAGTCAGGGCTTGGTCCAAGGCAGGATTCAAAGTGCCGTTGCGCCAGTGTGGTAGCAGATCTGCAAGCTTCGAAAATCGGGGGCATGCCAAACGTTGTTCGTCTTTCAGGTCGGCCACTTCCAGCTGCAAGGTACGGAAACATGAGTCGAGGAAGCTTGACAATATGATATCGTCGTGGGTGTGGAGCAATCGGAACATTAGTTCGCTCGCGTCATACGATTGGTCGCCGAAGACGAACACTTGAACAAGGTCTACCATATTGAGATAACGCAAGTTGAGTGACGTAGTGGCTGAGACAATAATAGCTTCGAAGGGTGACTAAAAGGGTATTAACGACTGTCTGGTGAATATTCACACAAGGATGTTGAAACGATTGCGCTGATCAGAGATGAATCTGGATAGACAGCACCGTCCATACCGTCATATTATATGGAGCTGGTCGTCACTTTGGCACGGGTGAAAGTATCATGGCACTGATGATCGAGAAGCTAGCACCACCATCGAAACGCTCCATGACGAAGTTTACTCAACACTGTACTGGCAACTGCGGCCAATTTTGGCCGAAAACCTGGTTGTAAGGCTTTCATTCCACTCATCATAGTACTGAGCATCGATCTAGCTGGTCGCGATCGAGCTTCATCCACTGGCGATTGGTGAGCCGGCACTGGCCGCTGGCCCCATTCCAGCTACCCAAGACCACCATGGGTACGTGTCTCAAGCCATGCATCTGGGTAGATCGAGATCATCACTAACATCATGGTAAAGCTTACGCGCTTGTCAACACCAAGCTGTCCGCTCTCCGTGATATTGGCAACTAGATCCTCTACTAATACATAGTATGACGTGCCTCAGCACTGTACATCGAGTTTACTGCTCAATATCGTAGATCCTCATGTTCTCTGCCGTCTTTTCGTCATCAAACTCGGGGCTGAGATTATAATGATAGCCTCTGGCGCGCTTTCGAGCACCGGTGCACAGAACCTACGCTTCTCATCCACGGTAGTTCGGTGATCACACTTCATCTTTACGAGATCGCTTCAGCAGGTCTCCGACATCAACTCAGCAGGCCATATTGTGTGGTTTCAACCGGATACCGTAAAGTGTGGATGGGGGAAGGGAAGAGCTCGCGATGTTGCAGCTGCATCGGACGATCTATGCCCTCGCTCCGAGGCCGCCTTACAAGTATCAATGGACCTGACACCTTTTTCAGTAATAAATTCGTTGATCACTTCGCACCGCAAACATGGCAGCTTCAACAGGCCTATCTACTGTGCTCAAGGAAATCGTTCAAGTCTGTCGTGAGGTGGAATCCCACCTTGCCACAGAAAGCCATCTCGACAGTGGCGAGGGCGCCCCAGGAAAGAATACTTTTCCAATCGGGCTCGAGGGGCCGCGTAAGCAGCTGGCAAATGCGGCTGCTCAGCTTTCGCAGCTCGTCACGGATCCGAGAGAGTATCTCGAGCAGCTCTCGGCGAATGTCAGTGTGACACTCATCGCTAATCCCTCACCACGCCCTAATAACGTTTTCTAGAATCAACACCTCGTCTGTCTTCGCTGGATCGTTAATCTTGGGATCCTCCAGTATATCCCACAGCACGGTTCTATTGCCTACACCGATCTCGCAAACCGAGCAAGTGTGCCAGAATCTCAACTAAAGTCGGTTCTGCGTATGACTGCAGCTCACGGCTTCCTGGCCGAGGTGACGCCACTGGAAATTTCTCATTCTCCCACCTCAGCACTCATCGCAACGAATCCAAGTTTCTACGACTGGGCCCGCTGGCTTACCAATTACTCCGTTCCTTCTGCCTACCATTTTGCGGATGCAACGCAGAAATGGGGAAGGACGGAGGTCAAAAACGAGACTGCGTTCAACATTGCCATGAACGTAGAAGTTCCGTTCTTTGGGTATCTCAAAGAGAACGCAAAGATGAACAGCATGTTCTCCTCGTACATGCGTAATGTGGCCAGTTCCGAAGCCACAAGCTTCAAGCACATGATATCCGGATTCGATTGGGGCGGTCTTACTCCTGGATCGAAAGTGATTGACGTTGGCGGTTCTGGTGGTCACGGAAGCCGCGCCCTTGCTAGCGCGTTTCCCGGGCTTAACTTCGTTGTCCAAGACTTGCCAGACACGATCGAAAACGCTAAAGCGGCCTTGAATACTGATGAATCGAAGCTGCATGCAGATCGCGTCAGGTTCATGTCACACGACTTCTTCACGCCTCAGCCAGTTGTTGATGGCGACATCTACTTTCTGCGCATGATCATTCATGACTGGCCAGATGAGACCGCCATCACCATTCTCGCTCACCTACGTGATGCCCTGAAAAAGCCAGGAGCAAGAATCGTCATCATGGACACCATATTACCTCAGCCTGGCACTGTGTCACTTCTACAAGAGCGTCAACTCAGAGTGCGGGATCTCACGATGATGCAAGTCTTCAATGCAAAGGAGAGAGAATACGACACTTGGAAGGCGTTGGTCGAGAAGGTGGGACTCCGCATCATTCATGTGGAGCAGCCTGAGGGCAGTAATATGGGATTGCTAGAACTCGGCCTTGCCGATGCCACGGACTTGAAGGCGGGCGGGAATGCTCGGCTTGTATTTAACGGCAACATGAAGACTCCATCGGTGAACTTGAACATTAATGGCGCCTCAACCATTAACGAGTTCGCTCACGGAAGCACGCCAGAGACCTTTGCGGTCAATGGCATTCACACTACCGACAAGGCCAGGCCGAATGGCGACACTACGCACTCGGGCCAAGCTTCCATTCCCAACGGAGTCAGCGCCAGAATATCGACGCGCCCGATGTATGCTCGTGATGTTCTGCCCGTTCTCATTATCGGTGCTGGCATCAGTGGCCTCTGTCTAGCCCAATATCTTCACAAGCACGCGATCCCGTTCGTTGTGTTTGAGCGAGATCCTTCAAGCGAACATCGACCCCAGGGCTACCGGCTGAAGCTCGAAGCTGATGCAGCAGCCGCTCTCCGAGAGAGTCTTACAGCAGAGGTCTACTCAGCTTTCGAGGCCTCATGCGCCGAGTCCGCCATTGGCGAGACGGATTTTGATCCGATCAGTGGTGCGTGCATCAAGAGTCGAGCTGGCGGTGGGCTAGCCGGCGCTCAAGGGCTACGTGCATCATACACCGTTGACCGAACTGTTTTCCGAAGGATCTTAATGACCGGTATCAGTGACAAGATTTACTTTGGGCGGGAAATCACTCGCTACGATATCTGCGAGGACAATGTGCAATCTTATGTCGTCGCAACGTTCAAAGACGGAGCCACAGCTGAAGGAAGATTCCTTGTTGGCGCCGATGGAACGAGGTCTGCGATTCGCAAGCAGCTGGTCCCAGAGCACAAGTTCCTTGATACTGGCGCTACATGCATCTACGGCAAGACTGTAATGACTCCTGAGCTCCTTGCTCGCTACCCAGCGAGAGCACTGCGCTGGATGACCGTAGTAGCTGACAGAGCGCCACTGATCCAATCAATCCTGATTGGCGAAAGCCCGCTCACTCTCCTCTCAGAGCCCATCAGATTCTCGCGAGACGAGCCTACTGCCTCGCTTCCCGAAGACTACGTCTACTGGGTCCTTATCGGCCGCAGAGAACTGTTCACTGATGCCACCAACACGTCCGCTTCCTCCACAGGACATGGAGTGAACTCTGACAAGGCATACAATACCGAATCTGCACAAGCCTCAGCAGCCCAATCTCTCGCGCTCACCGAGGAATGGCATCCTAGTCTCCGCTCGCTTTTCGAGCTTCAAGATGTGTCTCAGGCATCTACCATGCGGGTTGTATCAGCGCCCCCAAAGCTTCCCGTCTGGCCGTCTAATTCGTGTGTTACACTACTAGGCGACGCCGTCCATGCTATGTCACCATGTGGAGGTGTTGGTGCGAACGTTGCATTGCGGGATGCAGCTGAACTTGGAAAGGTGTTTGCTAGCACTGCAGCTTCAAATGAGGAGGATGCAATTCAGAGCGTTGGTGGAAAGGCATCAGATCAGCACGATATGGCTCAACAGATTGCTTCTTTTGAAGGAGAACTGCGCAAGCGTGCTTTTGGTGGCATAATGCGAAGTTTCGTTGGCAGTAAGGCCATGTTTGGTCAGAGGACTTTTGAGGAACTTGATGTTGCCGAGCTCTAGCTTCGTCTACAAGTGACTAAATCTTGGATTTACATTGTGGTGCTTGTTAAAATCGGTTATCCAATTTGTATTTGCTAGACAGGGTTGTGAATTTGTTTGCATATCTATCCAGTTTTGTTGGGAAGTCAAGCTGAAGCTATACCCTGTGATACACACCACATCCATGTCCGTATTCCATCCCTAATATCGTTCACGCGCCTTGTCCCCGTTATACGCAGCCGGTATGTCCCATATCCGTGGTAACCCCATGAAGCACTCAAGATGCATCATCGGTGATTGCATGGTCTGATTCCAACCTTGTCTAGCATCACACCCACTTACCACTAGTTTGGGGCGTATGCAGAACAAGAGAGTCCCCGAGTACCTGGTCTGTGAACACCGGCGACTGTGAGCATATGACGCATGGTAGTACATGCATGCCACCTGTTTGAGTGATTTTGAGAGTTCTGTATCGCATGATAAAACCTCTCTAGTCGTAAGTTCAAAGCATGTTGCGCCCTGGCAGATACGAGTGGCATGGCGCACGCGAAGAACATGGAGTCACCGAATGTCAAGTGAGACTTCATCACCGGTGATTGTAAGCGAAGAAGAAGGAAACATGCTAATCTTCCAGACTTCCACTTTGAATCGAGCCGAGCATTTTGAACTGCCCAATTAAGATCGTATAACGAGCATGAAATGGCTCGAAGCGTGTTACATGGAAAGTCGTGACCCCATAACTGTTTTCGGGTCCGTGGAATGCATATTAGGAAGTTGTGAGTGAGGCACTCTCGGGCATGGGGTATGCACGCAAGCTTGCCTGATCACTTCGATCAGCAATACGCTGATGATCCTGTCACATTCTCATTGTAGTGTCCTATCAAATACCGAGCAATGCCGTAACCAAGAACTAAAGCCTTACTCGGGGAACAGCCTGACTACGGTGGTACAAAAGTCAAAGCCACATATTCACGACATGGGTATCCTTCACCATCGCCAATGGTAGCTAAGCGCGCTAGCGACGGACCCCGCGCTACGATTGGCTGCCACAAGCCCCGGGTTAATCTTACCAGAAAATGACAGTACGGTGATTAGTGTATCGGCGAATCAATACGAAGTGATATTTTGGTAGCACCGAAACTTAGTCGGCTTCCAACCCTCACAATAATCCCCGCCCTCAGCCACACCTTCGGCTGACGTGGGACCGAGCATCGGGACATAGCACTTCAAGCATCACAATCTAGAATTCAAGTAGAACCGCCATAAGCCGCATTTCGGTTAACTTTTCAGCATACCCAACCGTTGGTCGCAATCTATCTACACATGCACTTTTGCATGAATGCGCTCCGTGCGGGTCTCGTTCTCGAAGGAAGCGGTGGCTATGGTGCTGGCAAAGGATCGCCGGCCAACGCATCCACGGGCCAGAATCAGAGATTACGGCTAGCGATCCAGCGCTGTGCCCGGACGGGAGTAACCGATCGAACAAAGTCACTCGCGGAAAAACCGTAATCCAATCCTTCGGGTATCGCCCCGCATACATATCGTTCCTTGGTCCCTGTACAACCTCAAATGCAGGGCCGGGCGGCTGGCAAAATCGGTCCCGCTTGCTTGCCTCTTTCAGCTCGGCTCCGGGTGGCCTGCTTTCTTAATCATGCGCACGGTTAACTATTGGATAAAGCAAGCAATTGAGGTGCTGTCTTTAAACTTGGATACATTATACATTCTATTGCAAATGATCGTTATTATGTAAAATTCGCAATGCGTGCTGACGTAGATCACCACGTGACTACCTAAGTATGGTACGAAGGACCTCGCTCTTGCCTTGACTTCTCATTGCAGTACTCTTGGCACGGTCGGACAAGGGCGGCAGCAATTAGGGCTTACTTGCGTTCCTTTCGCTGCCTAGTTTCGGATACTCTCCACTTTCCGATTAGTTGATCCTACGGAGGACTTTTCCACCTCGCTTGTCTGGCTGTCATAAGTGGAGACTTCATTATTCCGCGGAACCTTCTCAATGTCGCTTGATTGGCTGTCTTCGCTCGCAATTTCTCCCGATTGCCTCAGAATCGCAGGCATGGCCAGGTCGACGTCGCTCGATGGGTGCTGGAAAGGCATAACAGTGTTGGCAGTCTCTGCATCTTCCGGAGCAACCGCTTGTTTGACGCTTAACCAAGGGATGAGGATCGAGCCAGCCATACTCAATCCAGCAGTTGCAACGGCAACGTAGAACGTCTAGAAGCCATTAGCTTGATTCATCCATACGGTAACATGAGGAGATCAACGCACTTGTGTGATGCTATCGTTATAAGCTAGCTGTAGTCGTCCGAAGAATTGTGGTTGCACTAGACCTTGCAACTTGGTTGCTCCTACGGAAAGCAGTGCCGCTGGGTCTACAGGTATACCGGCAGCCAAGATATTTGACACGAGCTTGTTATTGAAAACATTCTGCGCCACAGCGATTGCGATAGTTCCGCCAAAAGTCTGCATGAAGATGACTACAGCGGTGCCTTCGGACTTCTGAAAGTCTGGCAGTGCAGCCTGAATAGCTATCAGTGGTTGGTTGAGACCAAAGCCACAGCCGGCTCCGTAGAGGACCTGGTAGCCGATCCACTTGGCCGCATTGGAGTCGACTTCGAGCGTCGAAAGAAGACCAGCGCCCTGTTGCAGTCAGTCGCAGCGCTCTAAGTATACTTATTGATGACACATACCACTGCTGCAAGCACACTACCAAGTATGCAAGCCCAAGTATAGTAGCCCAGTCCGAAGACCATACCACCTGCCGCAACTGAAAAGATAGTGGTGCCCAATATGCTAGGGAGATTGTGAATCCCACTCTCGGTCGCTGTGTCGCCTTTAATGGCTTGAAACCACAAGGGAAGAAAGTAAGCGACAACGAGGAAAGAGCCAAAGAGACAGAAGGAGAAGATAGAACAGGCCCACACGGTGCGCCTCTTGACAAGGCTTGGAGGAACGATAGCTCTATCGCCCTGCCAAATCTCTATGACAACGAAAGCCACGAAGAGCACAAACCCTACAACGAACAAAGCAATAATTCGCGCGTTGCCCCAGGAGTACTTTGTACCGCCCCACTGAGTAGCCAGAAGAATACATATGATGGTAGGAACAAGCACAACAAGGCCGTAAAGATCCATTTCTTGAAGCTTTTTCTTCAATGGCAATCCTCGCCTGCTGTCTCGTCCAGAGTCGTAATTGTTTGGAACAAGAAGGAAGACGATGACAGCGGTGACCACTCCGAGAGGCAGATTGATGTAGAAGCACAAACGCCAGGTCACACGCTCTACATGACTTATTCAGCTTCATTGATTACGCAGAACGCGGAAGGATACACGTACCAGTGAAGGCTCCTCCCATGAGGGGGCCGGCAACACTTGCGACCTATTGAACATATAAGACACAGTTCTAATATGGAGGTATGTACTAGACCCACTGAGTACATGGCCCCAAGCATGCCATTGTAGAAAGCACGCTCGTTCAATGGTTTGAACTCTGCCACAAGCAGTATAGCCTGTGTGTCACTCGTCAGCTGTAGATCCTACAAACAAGGTTGCAAAGCACGACTCACACCGGCAAACAGTCCTCCAGACCCAATGCCAGCAACCACTCTGCCCATGATCAAGCCCACAGAGCTCGGGGCGGCACCACAGATGAGGCTGCCAATCTCAAACAGCGCCAAGGCAATCAAAAACACCCATTTGATGGGGTATAGGTTGTATATCTTGCCATAAGAGAGCTGAAAGGCGCAGGCAGTTAGAAGATAGCCTGAGCCATACCATCTAATCAAAGTTAGCAATTGTCCTTCCTGGATGGTTTGAAGTCTTCCCCAATGTCTGTCAGCGAATTGAAGTCATCGGTAATCTTTGGGATGGCTGTGGAAATTATGGTGTTGTCTAACGCCTGACATAGCACAGCAAGACATAGAGCAAAGAAAAGTGCCCAGAATTGAAGAGCGCTATGTGCTATTTTGGGTGTTGTAATAGTTGAGATCTCGACTTTGGTGCCCGACATGGTGATGAGAATGGTAGAGTCTTGCGAGCTACACTATTGCCTCAAAAAGGAAGGTTTGTTGCAAGTCATAGGGAATGAAATGCAAAAGATCGGTGATCGAGAGTGGCCGCTGATCGACTTGATTGGTCTTTGCTCCTGTCATCTCGTTGCTGCGGTATTCATGACTGCTTGGACCGGCAAGCGCCTATATTACACAAAGCCGAGAGTTCGGGCTCGAGGTCGTCAATCATGTGACCGAGCCTCCGCAGAAACTGCGGCGGTGAAGCGGTGAACATGAGGTCGCCGCTGCATACAATTACGATATAAAGCATAATTCAGGGACGTGTTGTGAGAGGAAGCCAATTCGCACAGCACCCCAATACAATCACCATGTCTCTTCTACAGTTGACCGCTTCTATCACAAAGGCTGCAGCCGACTTGGACGACGCTACGAACAACGCAGCGAAGGCATCAGAAATCGAGTCTAAGGCGAAAACAGCACTCCTCGACGCTGCCGAGCGCTTGGTCCTAGCCTACCGCTCCCCACGGCAATGGCTCATTGATCTGTCTTTCCAACATTGCGCCACAGCATCTCTGCAAATGATCATGAAGTATCGTCTGCACCATGCCGTGCCAAAGCAAGGATCAAGGTCTTTTGCTGAAATAGCTGAAATAATCACTACGCCCGATCAGCCGGGCAAACTTCCGGAGTCCCTGGTAGGACGTTTGCTGCAACATGCAATGTCCTTCGGCCTCTTCACACCAGCTGCCAGCGGGCGGGTCGCTCACAACGATGCGTCGCTTCTGTTGGTCACTGATCCTGACTTGGAGGCATGGGTGTACCTTTGCTCGAATGTTGCCTACCCTGCTGGTGCACAGCTTCCGAAAGCTATCGAGCAATACGGTGCAAGCTCAGAACCGAGCGAGACGGCCTACTCCGTGTCGATTGGAAGACGCATCTCACAATTCGAACGCTTTCGTGAGCCGGACGGCCATGCAGAGCACGAGATGTTCGCTCGAGCCATGAAAGGGATCTCGGCAGGTGGCGCATACGACGTCGGGCACGTTGTCGATGGTGGATATCCATGGCACGAGCTTCCCGAAGGAACCTTGGTAGTTGATGTTGGAGGCGGCCCAGGCCATGTAGCCATCGCACTAGCGCGCAAATACCCCCAGCTGCTGTTTGAAGTTCAAGATCTAGTAGAGACAGTCGAATTCGGCGCGAAGAACTGTCCCAAGGACCTGCAGCATCGGGTTTCTTTCCGCGCACAAGATTTTTTCAAGCCCCAGCCACAACGGGAAACCGATTCGCGCACAATCGTGTACTTTGCAAGGTTCATCCTCCACGACTGGAGTGACAAGTACGCCGGTCAAATCGTCGAGCCTCTTGCACAGGCCATGAGACCGCAGGATCGTCTGATTCTGAATGAAGTCGTCGTTCCCGAGCCTTCGGTGGAGCAGCGAATCGAAAGAAAGAGCCAGTAAGTTCGCAAGCCGCTACTTCGATGCTCAATTTTGCGTCGCTAACAAATCTCGAACAGCGATCGCGACCTGCTTATGCTGATGAACCTGAATGGCCGCGAGAGGACTCTAGTCGCCTTTGAAGGATTATTTGAGGTGGTGAGCCCAAGACTTCGGGTGGAGAAGGTCCATAAGCCTACGACAGGGGGAGAGCTGTCTCTAATTACAGCGTCGGTCGATAAGCTGACAGGCAGGAAGAGCGCAGGTGGCGATATCTTCGGCGCGAACGTGGACGAAGCATAAATGCGCAGTGTGTCCTGTGACTTCATTGGGGAGGGTTAGACGCCTTGTCAGCTTATCAGCCTTGTATATGCACTGGATGAAGAAGGTGGGAGGGTGTGTTGTGCAAGGGAGGACGAGATAGGTTAGGCAGGATGGACTTGGCGACGCATGGCAGTGGGGCTTTTCATCCTTGCAACTCAAAGCTGCCATCAGCACAATCCAATTCGCTACCACTTTACGTTTGCATGATATAATGACAACAAGCGGACTTCCGACGAAAGCGTTTCTTCTAAACTGCGCGTTGGTGATGGCTGTAATTGAGACGGGCCACCGTCGATGTAGTTGACGTGCAGTGGCAGGGGCGCCAGGACCTCAAGCTTCGCCACGGGCCATCCCGCATGCACGCCAACACTTCTCTGTATCCTTTCAAGCAGATCTAACTTTGCCAAATAGTTCTGGACTGATCACAAGTCTGGACACGGCCTAGCCCGAATGCTGACGCGAGAGCCTACGACATATGCCTAATGAAGCGACAGCACATGAGCCCTGTCTTACACGACGCTGCCGACGTCCCCTCCGGTGAGCCGTGAGATGCGCTACCCATGTCATGGTCTACGCTCATTTGGCCCCAGAGTTCGCAGGTCAGACGTGGGTCCGTAAGGCGTTCCATTGATCCTTGGACATTCCACAAGGTCCTCTCTGCGGGCCAAGCCGATTACATATGACCTGCGTTCACGTTGCGGCTCCCCCGGCAAAACATCTTAACTAATCGTCACCGTTGCACCGGAGTCGGGGCTCTCAGGTACAAGTCAATTGTCTGGCGTTTTACGCTACACCGTACGAGATCTAGGAAGCCTGCATGCTAAGCCTGCAGACCTGACGCCAATCCAAGAGCCTGGCTTGTAAAAGAGAGCCAAATGCGTGTTCAAATCGCTAGTTCAACACTCCACCGGTTTCAACCCACCTAGATTTCATCATGGCTACACAATTGCCTTCTCCTACTGCAACAACCTCACACAGCGGCAACGAGCCACGGCGCGTCATCCGTGAATCGTGTAACAACTGCAGTGCGCAAGTAGGTTGACCCATGACGGCTATACCTACGTGGCGCAGACACTGATGCGTTGCTTCTCTTTGCAGAAAATACGCTGTGGTAAACAGCGCCCCGCCTGTGCTCGCTGTGTCAACAAGAAGCTTCAATGCAATTACAGCTACTCACAGCGCTCTGGCCGACGCTCCTCATCAATGAATACCCAAAGGGGTGGTCCACATATCGCATTCCTACCAGGAATCCCGGATACTCCTGCAACAATGCCCGATGCCAATGCGATGTCAGCCATGTATGGATCATTGACAACAAGCTCTCCAGGTCTCCAAGGAACGACCCTGAGTCCTTCTATTGAAACATCATTAGAATATGATCAGAACCCTTTCGAAGACCCGAATCAATACCATGACCTCACCTTCGATTTTCTCGCCTCGCCGCCAAACACAGAACCACTACATTCTCGCAGTACTTCGTCCAATACAGGAACCGACATGGGCGACACTGCCATGGTAGACTCCGAGGCTTTCTGGCACAGCTTCCCTTCCATGCCACCTCAGAATCTGGACGCTCTCAGATCCGTTTCCAACCACCCTATATTTGACCAGGATCAAGTCGCTTCATTTCGGAGATCCCTGGAGAAGACCGTGCAACATGGGCATGATTGCATGGCACTTGCTTTACAAGTGGTAAACGACTTGAGTGTGACGCGAGAACCATGCCTGGTAGCCACATCGAACCCCATGACCGGTATCGAGACCCACCAGATGCAAGCTCGGGATGTGGATACCGTTCTCTTCATCAACCGCGATGCAGCACAGTCGGTCAAAAAGATATTAGACTGCAGTTGTTCAAGTGATCAGGCTGTATCACTAGCTTGCTATCTCGCCACGAGCAAAATTGTTGACTGGTACGGAGCCGCGATCGAAGCAGTAGGCGAGCGAACGGAAGACTTTTCCAAGAACGCAGGACCCAAGACCTCTCAAGGTATCATGGCTGAGCGCATCATAGCACGGCCTATCTACATGGGAAAATACTGCCTGGATCCAGAGGTGCAGCGAGTCGTCCGAGCTCAGGTGGTTCTCGGTGAACTCAAAGAGCATGTTCAGCCGCTCCTCAACTCGTTGCCCCGATTTCATATCACTGGCTTGGAAGCAGAGAGCGATTCCAGCGCCAATGGTCAGCAAGCATGCATATTGCGCAATCAATTACGCAACGTCATCCAAAGTGCTAGGGATCTGAACGGCACCGGTTCCAGCTAAAAGGCTATACGACCTACAGAACCGCTTCGGATGCTCACACCGCTCGCTTATTTCCAAACAACTTCGGTTTTTACTGCAGTATGCAGTCATAGTTCGCCCTTCCATCTCAGGCGGTGTTCCGATCCCCGAAGCCCGGTCATCGAAAACCAACCACACGCAGATTTCGACAGTCAAATTCAGGGCATATTTTCCTTTTGGCGTCTTACCAACACCCGTAGCATCGGGTCATGCATTAATGTAGCGAGACGGCATCGTGGCATTTCTCACGTGGGCGTCAACCAAGTGCTGCGGTGCCATGTTCATCCCCATATTTTGCGTCAGCACAACCCCGCCGGTCCAACACTCTGCAGGGGCGCAAGTGCATTAGTAATTCATGTCAGCTACGAAAGCTGGCGCAATTTTTTTCGGTCTTCTTGCGCATCTCATCTGTCCTCGGGACAGTTATCTTCACTATGTCGAATCAAAAATCACCTTCTCGGAGCCACGGCTCTGCGCATTTTTCTTGACACTGGAGTATTCCTCAGAACTAAGGCAGAGGTTTTTATAGACTTAGAATTGGATCATGGAAGTTGCGGACAGCTAGTCCATGGAGTTTTAGCTCCAGATTCAAAATCAATAATCCTTCGTTGGACCACTGCTTGCCCAATCAAAACATCAACAACTTTTCGGTCATGGAGGTTAACATGCCTCTTCGTATTTTTGCCAATTCGGTTGGCGATGCGTGTATCGATTGACCAGCATGCTGCAAGCCATCGCCTGGACGGCTTGATCATTGCGGTGATCAAGATCGTAACGTCTATCGCACGCCGGTCGCATGAGGGGACCTTTGAGTAGAATCATCCCAACCTCGCGATGCATTTGGAATGTTCTTTGTCTTCTACGTGATCTCCCCTCGCTCTCCGTGACCAAGTTCTTCGCGCGAACGTAGCCATTGCTCTGTGCACCCGCACTCACTATGTATAAGGTAGCACAGGGTGATGACGTAGACTTCATATGCATACCAGAGACCATATATTTACAGTGTATACCTTCGAATCAGCAGAGACAGCAATATTCATTTCAAAAGATGCGCTACCACTCAATTTCGCGTACAACGAGACTTAATGGATGTAAAAATGTTGATACAATAAGTTGCTGGTCCTTCATGTAAGCCAGTTCTTCAGCCCTCTTCTGGCTTTCTCTTAATGGTGTTTGACATATTTCTAGACTTCGCAGAGTAGCGCCCGCTCTACACTGCTCAACTACTCCCGGATTTCTGATACCGTATGTGGGGTTTCCGCTCAATGAGTACATGAGACTCAGTAATGAGAAGGTAGAGGGAAAGAACAGGCATTCAGTTGATCAGGAGTGGGAGGACCAACGAGACGCGCAAGGGGCATCAGAGAGACAAGCGGTGTATTGAGTTTCACCGCTGTATAGGTGCGCAGGCACTACGTGATAGTTTTGGATATGGATCTATGTTACGGGAAATGATCGGAACGAATTAGGGCAGCCTTTCCAGTTGATATCCAGAATTACGCGTGAGCGTCATTGCATCTGCTCTACACAGTGCGGGAAAAATTCAACGTCACTGAAGTTTCAATTCAGACTTCTAGCTACTCATGCTAAATTTACAATCTCTACAGCTCCATACTATCTTCGTCCATCTCTGATAGCTTGAACCCGCCAGGAACCTGCTTCTGGAACATTCCAGTGGGGTCATACTCCTTACTCACTCTCCACAACTCCTTCAATGTACCGTTGCTCCTGCTACTTAAAACGTCTTGCCAGCGATCGGCATACGTCAACTGCAGAAAGTCTCTTCGCAAGCCCTTCTCTCTCGCCTTTGCCTCTGCACGCTGAAATAGATCCCTTGTGACCTTTTCGAATTTCCTGTCGGTCTCAACTTCGCTGCCATCGACGCTCATCGCCCAGTGAATATAGAACATATTACCCTGGGTTTGTATTGGACCGAGTGAGTCAACCTCACCGTACCGCTCGGACATGAGGGTTGGCAGTGGTTGATAAGCGACGCTAAGCAGGAAGCCCGGCAAGGTAAGGAATGGTTGGATGGTTTCGTTGGCCATCTGGAAGAAGTCCTCCATCATCTCAGCTGAGTTGCCAAAGCTGATGGTGGCGAACTGCCAGCGCTTAGGATAGACGTTCAGAGCTGCATACTCCAACGTAAAAGCAGTGTGGTTATCGACACGTAATGTGTTATCTGGTGCGCCCGGGAAAAGCGCAACACGCGGAATGTCGGTAAAGGGCTTGAAGGTCTCCGGGAACGGAGTTGGGGGGTCAGACTTGGTGTATTGTAGGGAATTTCCGATGAACCAATTTCCGTATGAGGCATTCGTGATGACAATAGTATTAATGAAGTGGGCGTATTTGTCATAAGGTACGGCTGCGATGAGATTCTCGAGCGCATGGAAGTGGTCTTTACGCGTGCTGATTGGGTGGAAAGTCTGACCACCCCAGAATTTACCCTGCGAAAACACACGCAGAGTAATTGCTGTGACTATGCCAAAGTTGTTGGAGCCGCCGCGAAGAGCTTTCCAGAGTTTGCGATGGCTAGTAGCGTTGGCGTTCACGATGTCACCGTTGGCGAGTACAACTTCAAAGTTTTCCACCATGTTGCATGTGAATCCAAAACGTGGAGAGAAATAAGAGACGCCACCTTTTTACAACCGTCAGCTCGAATGACTGACATTGTAAATTTGACATGGGAATACTGACATCCTGTCGCCAGACCGCCAACTCCCACCCCACCTACCCGGCCTCCTAAGGTCGCGAGATCAAAGATATCAAGCGTCGCAAAGACTTGATCCCATGTGGCGCTTGGAGAAATAGTAATAGTCTTGTGGTCTTCAGCTAGGCCTTGCGAGGGCATGTTCGTCAAGTAAACGACTATGCCATCTTCAATGTTTGCTGCACCAGCAAAAGGGGTGTGTCTAGCACAATGTAAGAGGAGAGCTTCAGCCGCATCAATGCACGTCTACATACCCTGCGCCTCGTATAGCATATCGACACCGATCTTGCCACACGTGTATACCAGCGGATAAGGTTTGCACGACTTGCGAGACTTCATCCGCAGATTCCGGTAGCACCACGCATCTTGGCTGGATGTCTTGCTCTTTCAAACTATAGTAAGAGCCTACCGATGTTGTGAACTGCTGGTTATTTGGGAAAGCAACTCTGCTCTTCAGTTGTTTTGCAATAGCCTCGCACTATGAAAGTTAGCATTGCTTCTTGATTTCAGCGTATATGCAGGTGTGAGTGACCTTACACATGAGTTGGAAACTCTAATTGCTTCAGCGACGACAAGTCTGTGATCAACATGCTTCACCGAGTTGGAAGGATTCAGAATTGTCTCACTATGACCTTCTTGAGAAGGCGCGAAATCAGCCAAGAATAAGACCCACTGCCTCAATCGCTGGATGAACATCGTGAATTGTCAAGGTTCGAGATTGGTCGCACCGAACGCTACTAGAAGCATCTCATTTCTGTATTAAGCTAGCCGAAGGAACGACTCGATGACCGACTCTCGGCCAGGAGCGCTGACATCGAATCCTTCATGCAATCCCACCACCTGTCCCAACATCGACTAGCCGAAATCCGGAGACCTTAAGATGAGATGATAGGAGTCTTGGCCTTTCAGCTGACGATTCGCGCATATCGAGAAGCCGTAGCTCGATACAGGCCCAAGTGGTAGAGGAATCATGGACGTCATCTGTCAAAGCAAAGCGCCAATAGCAGTATCAGACTGAACGTCTTAGGTGATGATGGACGGATCATGGTTACGGTGATTACTCTTTTCTTGATCTCGGTATCAGGCACCACGTGTTGGGTGGTCCGCCTCCGCATGAACCCAGCCCCGCTATTGATGTTAGCGCCATTCTGCCGCCTCCGCAACCCGTCAGCCCTACCCACTAGTCTAAGGATGATTGTCCCGTATTCTCTGACCCTGCATACGCAGTCTACGCTGACACCGGGTACTTCCCCACATGGTGCTTTGCAATCTGGACGCATACACAAGTAGCGTTGCACAAAGCTGCGCTAATATCGACGAGTGAATTAGTTGCTTACTGAGGTAGCTTCGGCCGCAGTGTAAACTCGGCGAAATTCTCAGCCACTAGAATGAACACCGGCTACTAGACACTTCAGCCTTATCTCCCAAATGGACGAAGTCTTCAATTTCCGGGCGAGGTCATTGCTCTGTGACCACTTACTGCAGATTCAACACATACTCGAAGGAGAATGATACACATCGTATGAAGTCGTTGGATTGTACTTCAGTCAACACATTGGGCCAAGTGCGTCAAAGAGCCGCAGGTCCTTACTCGTTCACGGGATTTCCAAGACTTTCGTGTCGGCGTAAAATGATTACGTCTTGCCTGACATTATCCACAACGGTTACCGATTTGCAACGGCATCATCTTTTGTGGAGTCATTACACAGCAGAACGGAAGATCGATTCGGGTCGCCGCGTTCGAGAGTGCGCAGGAAGTGCAATCACCGAGCCTTCGAGCAAGAGATGAGACTTCAGTCTAAGAAGACGAGAGGATCTTAACAGCAGAGAACAACTATATAAACCTCTTCGTCTTCCGTCCAACAGCTCCTCACCCAGCTCATCACTTCACTCACTACCAACTACTTCAACCAACACTCTACTTCACTTCTTCACCGAAGCCAACCACCAAACCATCAACATGCAGTTCTCCGCCATCATCCTCGCTGCTTTCTACAGCCTTGCCCTTGCTGCCCCAGCTCCCGCCGCTGAGGCCGATGCCTCTGCTGCTGTTGAGGCTGCCATTGCCGCCCGCCAGGCCTGCCGCGACGCTACCTACCGCTGCGGTGGCAACAACCCTGAGGTCTGCCAATTCGGCATCTGGATGCTTGCTGCCCGCTGCGGTGGTGGCCAGAAGTGTGTCATCGCCAACGGTGCTCCTTACTGCTTGTAAACGATAAGCGCGAGATAGTCAACCGACTTGTAAGCATTGCTTTCTTCCTACTCTTCGACTGGTAATTAATTGAACTAGATATCGCGCTTGCTCAACCAAGTGCGAGACAGGACATGAAGTGGAGGAATGGTGAAAGAAATTGGTACCTGGGATGATGCTTTTGACGGGAAATCGGACACGCTCACTTGAAGCTTGGGTTTACCACTGGCTTGCCTTTTGATAGCTGAGAAATTGAAACTTGTTGCTTCCAAGCCTGGTACCTCTTGAAATACACTGCGACTGACGGTCTGCGCCATATGTCCTCGCCAGAGATTTCTGCGACTGGCAATGGCGATGATTCGACTTGCTTGGTCCAGGTACCCAAATTAGCGACCCGCTCGAGCCGGATTCCTCCTGGCGAGTGCATTCTCGAATTCGCTGGATAATGCTTCCACTAGAAGTTGCAACAAGATGGTATGTCGCGTAAAGCTAATCCACGAACTGGAAAATCGTGATCATGCCGTCAATAAAGTGCAGGGTACGCCGTGAACTAGCTTGTAGCCTCAGTAGTCAATAGTAGTAGACCGTATGAGTGATAAGAGCGGAGAGAGAGGAAACCGAACTTGAAACGCAGCCAAAATGTTCGTCAACCGGACTGATCAAGTCGGACTCTAGAGTGTCATTGTGTCATATGTCGGGATGTTAGACAGCTTGGTCACGAGCAATTAGCAGAGCACGTAGAGCATTACCCAGGAGACCACACAACGATGCAAATTTTGATGTGACCAGTGTAAGATGCTCGATGTTGGTCAGAAGCTGTTGGTGAAAGGAAGAAGACAATCCCGAAGATGTGGAGAAGCGGCTCTCAATCTTCGCCAAGCCCACTAACATAGAATGGCCCCACAGCATCTGGCAGCGACGGCCACCTCCGCCTCCTTCATCTCATTCCTCCTTCCCCTCATTTTCCACCTGATAGAAGACGAGTACCATGACCAACGAAACGTACTCGATGTGGGTAGATGGAAAGGAGGTGTCAGGAGGTGCGGAGCAGTCAGTTAGCGATCCCCGGGCCCCTCACCGCGAAGTTTGCTCCCCACTGATGCCATCACAGACTCGCGATTGAAGATCCAGCGACTGGAGAAATATTTTCTCACTGCCATGCTGCCTCTTCGACAGATGTCGACAATGCTGTGCAGACGGCACAAAAAGCGTTCAAATCGGGCATCTGGTCCAAAGCTCCACGTCACGTGCGCGCGGATACGCTCGACCGTATCGCAGAACTCTTGGTCAAGAATCTGCCACGTCTCATCGAGTTGGAGGTGCGCCAGACTGGTCGAGCGGTTCGCGAGATGAATGCACAGGTTCCGACCCTGGTGAAATGGTTCAAGTACTATGCCGCGCTGATCAGGACCGAGGAGAGATCAGTTCTGCCCACCATGGGCAGGCTGCACAACTGGGTCGACCGGGTACCACTCGGAGTTGTTGCTCAAATCACGCCTTTCAATCATCCACTTCTCATAGCGGTAAAGAAGATTGCACCAGCATTAGCAGGGGGTAATTCGATTGTTCTCAAGCCAAGCGAGCTGACGCCGTTGACGAGCATCGAATTGGGCAAACTCATGAAGGAAGCGGGTTTACCTGATGGAGTTTTCAATGTTCTGCCTGGAGATGGGCTCACGACTGGAAAGGCACTTGTCGAGCATCCGCTCATTAAAAAGGTTGATGTTACTGGAGGGACACCCGCAGGACGAGCCATCGGCGCCATTGCAGGCCGTAACCTGGCGCACTATACTGCTGAGCTTGGCGGAAAAGCACCACTGATCGTGTTCGAAAAGGCTCATCTGGATCTTGCCGTCAATGGTATTGTATTTGGCAGTTTCATCGCCAGTGGCCAAACCTGTGTGGCTGCAACGCGCATCATTGTTCAGAACAGTATAATCGACAAGGTTGTAGAAAAGCTTAAGGACAAGGCACAAAGTATAGAACGGAGGATAGGATCGCCTAAGAACGTAGAGTCGATGATGGGACCTCTTATATCCGGAAAACAGCTTGGAAACGTATCTACGCTTGTGAAAGACGCCATCGATGCCGGCGTTACGGTGGTTACTGGTGGCCAACGGATGAGCGGAACTGCGGCTTTGGACGGTACCGAATTTGCCAAAGGCTACTTTTACGCCCCCACCATTCTCACTGACAGCCAGACGAAGAAGATAGTTGATACGCGAATTTGGAACGAAGAAGCATTCGGTCCAGTCATCGTAGTGGTCGGCTTTGACACGGAGGAGGAGGCGCTAAACTTTGCAAACGACAGCGAGTTCGGACTTGGCGCAGCGATCTGGACCCAGGATCTATCGCAGGCATTCAGAGTGTCAGAGAGTGTCGAGAGCGGCATCTGCTGGGTCAACACTCATCATCGCAACGACCCCAGCTCTCCATGGGGAGGAATCAAGAGCTCTGGTGTCGGAAGTGAGAACGGAATTGATGCATACAACGCCTACACGACAACGAAGAGTACCATCATCAACTATGCTACTGCCGAAGATGGTCTCGCAAGTGACGACTGGTTTAGAGAGGAAGGTGGCGATGTCAGATACGGGTAGGGACGTTCTATTGGGCGGCCCCAACATTTTGAATACAAATTGCTGCATACCACGACGCGGCCCACGATGCATCATTTCCACAGACACAGTGCCTGCAAAACGCTCAGTGCGGGTTTTAAATTTCCAGCTGCTTCTCGTTCTCGACCTTGTCCTCGATTTCGATATAAGCCGGCTACAAGCTTTCGACGGGCGGCCCACAATTGATGCGGACAGAAAGAAGGCTGCACTATGGGATCAAGGCGATGCAAGCTTTGCAATCTACCTTACCAAGTGTAAAAGAATATTGCACGACTGGTACTATTGCCTTGCAAGTGCTGATAGCAGAGCCGCCATTGCTATTGATAGGTGTGCTTTGAGTGCAAACATGTCGGTGGTTGCATTACAGCGACGCACGTCCGCGTCCACTCCGCATTATTAACCACCGGCCAATTCGTGAATCTCACGTCTCGCAGCCATCACTGATCGTATTCCCACATCGTCGGGCTTGTGCGTCTTTGGCCACGGTAAGATCATCATTGATTCCCGGTTTCTGTCAACAGTACCGTAGTCTAGTCCATCCAAAACCTGGGACACACTTCTCGAGCTCGTATGGATGAATCGCTTGAGCTGCACGATATAGTGATAGGTACCGTAAAGACGAAGACAGACGATGCTAATCATGCTCGCGGCGACAAATGCTCTGCGGTGGGCGGATGCCATGACTTAAGGTAGAATGTCACTCTGTTCAGCCTGACCCAGGGACGACATAAAAGACTTCGCATCTCAGCTTCGAAAAAGAACAACCAGTAGAAGTTCATCCGGCAATCACTGCAATCTCGTCCCTCCTCAAACTCATCATGTTGTCACTTGCGACTGCTATACTTGCGATCCTTTCCGCTGTTGTTGCGGCACCTCAGCCTCACATTGAGGAGAGGCAAAATAGCTTCAATGCGATCCAAAACTGGGCCAACGACTTTGCGGATGTCACATTTAAGAACAACGCGGGAGGCAACTTCAACGTCACGTGGGACAACAATCCTGGCGGCAATTTTGTGGTTGGCAAGGGATACCGACCTGGTCGCGATATGTGAGTATTTCAGTGCACACTTTGTTCTGAACATCACGTCGCGGTTGAAAAAGGAGCAGCAGGCTCGTTGCGTTTCATTTCTATCGATTTGTAAATCTCGCAGATACTGACAAACCTACGAACCAGGCTTTTCAACTACACCGGGACCTTTAAAGTCAACGGCTGGGCGTACCTCGCGCTGTATGGATGGACCACCAATCCGCTAGTCGAGTACTATGTGATCGAATCCAGTAAGTATCGTTCCCGTTTCAATCTCCAGGCGCGCAGTACTGATCATCTTGTCTCAAAAAGTGGGCAAGCACAACCCTTCAGACAACGCAAGTGCCAACTACTTCGGCACGCTCGACAGCGACGGCGCGACATACGAGATCTGGCAAAAGGAGCGCACCAACGCACCGTCCATCATCGGCGATAACACAGATTTCCAGCAATATTGGTCCATTCGCACCAAGATGCATTGCGGAGGCACCATCAATACAGGCAACCATTTCCGTGCCTGGGAAGCTGCCGGTCTCAAGCTGGGGAAACAGAACTACATGGTTATGGGAATCGAAGGCCAGCAGGGCAGTGGCGAGGCTGATATCACGGTGGGCCAGAGACCAACTGTAGCCGTGCCTGAGACGACGACGAGTACGTATAGAAGTGTCAGGAGGACGAGTACGAGGCCGACTTCGACAAGGGCAGCGGCTACCACAACGAGAGTAACGACGACCACTAGAGCGGCTTGATCTTGTCGAAACGCCCTGGTTCAAGACTAGGTGTAGCGCCATGGAAAGTCCAGGGCCTCGGAGCAAGACGTGAGGTCATTTTTCCTTCTTTCTGATTGTTCTCAGGTCATGCCGGCCGTCCTCACTTGCGAGTATTTTCCTCTACCAAACAACGATGATGGGATGGCACGATGCATTATTGCAGTACATCTTCAATCAAATTAGCATAGCTCAACGTTTGGATCCCCAGTAGTCGCGCTTACCCATTGCGATGCCAGAGTATCTGAAAGAAAGCGACACAATAGCTAATAAACAAAAGCGCAAGCAGTGCCATGCCTATTAGAGCCAGAACCCACGTGACAACATGGTAGCTCTCTGCGGTGTTGGTGTCGCAGTAGAATGTTCCAGCCTGACAGTCAGACGCCTGCATAGGGTCCGCGATACCCTCGATGATCTCAGCGAACGACTGAATGTGGTACGGTTCCGCGTTTGGTGCAGAAGGCGCTGCAAAACATGTCGCGACAAGTAGAAAGATGCTGAAAAGTATGTTGGAGCAATGCATCGTGCACGCGAGTCAGGACTAGAAAGAAGGAACTAAGTAAAACGGACATCGTATTCATGTTGCGTGTGGTTTACTTATCACTTTTGAACACACCGGTGACCGAGTTACCTACTCTGGCTAATGGCAATTGCGCACCCTTGTATATCGCAACCCCCGGCCAGTTTTTGCCGTGGTTTCTGGTAGCGAGCGAGTGGTCGGGAACGATTGGGAGTTGGCCAACGCCACTATCGACATGCCAATTCACTGTTTTCGAACCAGCCATTTGGCGGCTCAGGCAGCATATATCGAAGCGGTCGTGATCTCATTCTTTCTTACTGATATTCTCGACAAGTCTTGGTCGTCCCAAGCTGCTGCGTGGGCAGCACGCAGCGGTGACAGACAAACAGCATTTCGAATAGAGATGGAGAGCGGCAAGTAGCAGGATGCTGTGCCACAGCTTCACCGGAAAAAGCGGGTCATCGCCAAGATCATCAGTGGGGACATTCTGAGGTCCAATCTCCCATCCTTCAGCGATCGACATCAATGAATGCCATTCACTTCAATCGCGGAAGAATTAATTCTAATGCTAGAGGTCTAGAATATTCACGGCACACAACGATCATTACAACGCGTACGCTTTGAGCTCGCCCTCCGTCCAGTCCCACAACATTTGTCGCAATTCAGCATCCTTCAAATGCCCTGTTGGTTCGAAGTGCTTCCCAATCGGTTTATACAGCGCGCCATTGATTGGAATGTCAGCGGTCGCGGCCCAGAGTTGATTGTACGCGCCTTCCTCCGCTGACCACATCATTTCTCCGCGCATCCACGTCGTGATGGTGATAAATGTCTTCATGAGCCAGCCTTGGTTCGTGAACAACTCTGTTTTAGCAGCTCCTGGATCGATGGACACACACGTGAGCTGAGGATTGCGTCGCGACAACTCATCTGCGTAAAGAATATTTGCCAGTTTGCTTTGGCCGTAGCGCTTTGGTGGACCACCGAAACCCAGGTCTTGTTCTGAGTGCAGAGAGTTGAACTGGATGCCGCCTTTGGGCGAGAAACCGAAGCCTGGAGATGTCAAACTGACAATTCGCGCATTGCCATGGAGTTTTGCGGTTTTGCGAAGCATCTGTAAGAGCAACTTTATGAGCAGAGCATGTCCGAGATGATTCGTTGCGAATTGGATCTCGTATCCATCTTCACTCAGTCCCTTGGGACATGCGACGACTCCAGCGTTGCACATCAAAATGTCGAGGCGACTGGACTCTGATGCCACCTTTCTCGCTGCATTTCGGACTGAGCTGAGGGAGCTCAGGTCGCACTCGAGAACCGTTACTGGTGCTTCCGGTACGTGTTTCTTGATCAAGTCCGAAGCCCAGGATCCTTTGGAGATGTCTCGAGCTGCCAGATAGATCTTGCCTGGTCTCTGTTTTGCCAGGGCTAGAATTGATTCACGGCCAAGGCCAGAATTTCCTTTTTCTCGTTAGTCTTGCTTTCTAGCTACAAAACATCGAGCAAATACCTCCAGTTACCAATATGACCTTGCCCGAAAGGTCGGACATGTCGTTACTGGGGTTCCAATTTCCTCTACCCATGATGCCAAGCAAAAGTAATTTCTGGAAAAGCTGAGATTAGAGCCGATCATTTGCAGTTGCAGATTTCATCTTATGGCTAAGCTTCGCCCTTCAGCCTATCGCGATTGTGATCTTTGCAGCCAGGCCGCCTAAGACCGCTCAGCGATTCTACGCTTGCCGACCAGGGCCGTACGCGCCGTACCAAGACATTCACAAGACTAATCAGCACTAGACCTGATCGGAAGTCCATCACGGAACTCAGATCGGGACATGAAGACAGAATCGAAAGAGGGAGCTTGTCATCACTTCAGGTCCACGAGAAAACAGCTGAGCGTTGATGACTGCCGATGATCCAACACCGAGAATCCATTTGCGGGATGTTTTCGCCGATGAGAACGTGCGACGAGCTACGACTAAAATGCGATTATATCAATGTGCTTTGCTGCATTGACGAGAAGTAGTAAAGGAGTATAGCCATCATGTTCACACTACGTTCCTTGGCCATTTTGGCTGTATTTGCCGCAACAGCTTTAGCCTCAAAACAGAGCTCGAATGACCGAGAACTTGTCGTCGCCATATATGGCGGTGGTCTTGCCAGCGCCACTCTTGCGCAAGCTCTTAAGGGCTCTTCAAATCTTAACGTCCAGTACTTCGACCCAGCACTTGATTTGACACCAACATCGTTCCGACTTTTCGGATTCGACCCTAAGGTCCATGATGCGCTGGCGCTTGTGAATGAGGAAGCGGGAGGCGCGATTGAGCGATCAGGATGGTATCCGGAAGAGCCAAGCGTTGTCGTTGTTGTAAGTGATCATTAGCGCTCGCGCTGCGAAACACACGAAGCTCATGCGATTTGTACAGGGCCAAGGTTCAGATGCAGACACCGTGGTGCTGGATTGGGCACAGCTCAAAAACACCACACATCATCCTCAAGTCACCGTTGTAGATCCGAAGCCGTTCCTCCAACAGATGCTCAACGGTACCGATGAATCTCGTCTTCATCCAAACAAGACGTTGGTGTCCATCACTCGCAAAGATCTCTCCGCAAAATACCCACTTGAGCTCAAGTTCCAGGATGGCAGTATTCAACATGCTGACGTCCTCATCGGCGATGACGGTCCTTTCGGTCAGATGCGCTCCGAGGTTCTTGGGGCGAAGCATCCCGCCAATGCACCCGTGTTCATGAACTTCTTGTCCGCAGTGGCTCACGTTGCGCCGGATGATGCAGAGAAGCTTCTTGGCCAAAAGTATGGTAACCGCGATCTTGGTCGACGCTTTGAGCGCGTTGGTATGGGAAGCTGGTTTCTCAACGCATACCTCGAGGGCTTCTCAACATGCCTGGGAAGCTTCTACACTGAGGAGGCATATGATTTGTCGCAGTTCACTCGCACAACCTCTGTAAAAGAACTCACTGCGCGTTTTAGTAACCTCAAGCGTGGCGAAGGTATCACTGGTGTAAGTAATTCCCTATTTATGCATCTGAAAGCGAAGCTGACAATTCCCAAAAGATCCTAAGTGGCTACTCCGGCCTCCGTCTCATCCCGGAAATCGAACACTCTCCCGCACCAACCTACATCAACGGCCTCGTTGCCATGCAAGGTAACGCGGCTCACTTCATGACCAACTTCCAACAACTGGGTCCCTCTCAGCAAATCGAAGATGCCATGATCCTCGGCACTCTTCTGCGCTCTGCCCACAGCCGTGCTGATGTGGAAGCTGCCTTATATGCCTATGACACTGTGCGTCGCCCGCGCTCCCAGTGGGTCAGCGAGCACGGCAAGCGTCTTGGCTGGCTATGGACCGGCATGGTCGAAGATGTCGGAATTGATGCGAAGAAGCTCAAGAAGGCGATGCTGCAGTGGAAACAGGACAGCGAGGCGTTTGATCTCAAGGCACACAAGAATGAGGCGGTGAAGATCATGAAACAAACCATCAAAGAGAGATCGGGTAGCGAAAAAATAATCACTCAAGAAGAAAAGATCAAGGCGGGATTTCAGGGCCTGTGGGAGGCAATGAGGGAGAAGAGTGGTGAGCAGGTCGAGCTCTGACTACACGATCGTGGGACAGGACATTCAGAACTGTAATTTTTGAATGGAAAAGCATAACGCCGCTCATTTTCTTCTACTAATACATCTTATGAAAGCAACCGCATATGAGCCTGATGACAGAACATCCAGATACTCGGTGCCGTCCTATACCTCGCCATCCGCCCGACACCCAGTTTGGTGGTGCCTGCCAGATTGGTATAGTCTCCACCTCTTTTCTGGTCCGTCTTTTTAGACTCGCTTCTCGATGAGCTGGCCACGCTCGCGATGTTTTGGAACATACGAATCGTCGGCGTACTTGCTACGACCCATGAGTCCGCCGGAAGACTTCACTGTCTGCGCCGGTGTGGTCGGCGGTATCTTGTTTACAGAAGCCGGTGTCGAAGGTGCAAACGAAGGCGTTGAGGGGTTGAAAGCTGGTTTCGTCGACTTCAGGACATGCGATGCCGGTGATGCGCCATTCTGCATCGAGGGGGCTGGTGAAGTATGCGGCATTGGAGAACGAAAGACAGGAGAGGAGTCGGGACTGTCTCGTAAACTAGGGTTGCCCCGCTTACATGTCTTAAAGATATTAGAATTGCCATTATGGTGTTTAAGAGGGAACATTGCTTACCTTGAGATGAGTATGGTAAAACCACGACGACGCCGATGAAGCAAAGATACGTTTGCAGTTCAAGCATGTGATCTCCTCTTGTCGAGACGTATTCTGCTTTAGTACCACAGGACCAAGACCAACTTTATTGAGAGTTTTGTCCTTGCTCGCCTGATCCGCCCGCTGAAAGTCTTCGCACCTATCGAGGTGGTCCTGCTTCGATTCCAGTGACTCGTCGCTGAGGAATTGGAAACCACAGAAGCATTTTGCGCCGATCAATGGAAGAGGGACATTCGACTTGGGCGTCGAAGCTGTGACGGTCTTGGACGTGATAACATTCGGTTGCGATTGGGCAGGAGGCAATGCGACTGAGGCTTTGGAGACAGCAGGAAGCAATTTGTCAGTAACCGACTTGGAAAGTGCGGCTACATCTGGATACCTCGCGGTCAACTCTCTGCCGAAAGCGCGGAGGAACTTGTAGTGATGTTCCCAGACCGTCTCGATGTTGTAACGCGCGCGACGAATCTGCAACGCGACACTGTAACCTACATGGTATACTTTCGGTCTCACTGCAAGATTGTTAGTGAAGTTATTAGATGGTTATGTTGAGGTGGGAACTTGCAGTCTTCGTCGCTCTTGATGAGCTGTGAAATCTCCTCGCTGCACGGGTAGAGCTTCTTGCCGATCTCCGTGCAAACTCTAGGCACCTGAGAACCGATCAACTCAATCGCACCAAGGAATTGATCCCACTCGTTCGCCACAGTCTCAGACTCCTTGGCAGCCTTATCGAGGTGTTTGGTTTGTGACTTGTACTTCAAGTCCAGAATGTTCAAGTTCTTCTTCACAGTGTCGAGCTCTTGAGAGCTGCGATCTTCGGAATTATGCGATTGCATCTGTGATTTGTAACTGGCGTGTAGGTCACGAAGTTCACCAGCGTGAACCTGCTTTGCCGTGGAAAGCTTGTCTTCTAGTTCACGAATCTTCTCGCACGCCTGTTTCTCTGATGCGTCGATGCGAGATTGGAGAGCGGAGATCTCACTGCCCTTAGAAGCGAGAGCAGTCTCCTGCTGCTTGCGAAGATTCTGAATTTCGGCATCTTTTCCGGCAATGGACGAGTCAAGTAATTCCTGAGCTTTCCTCATTGCGTTGTCCTTGATCGCAAGAGCAGCTTGATGATCGCTCCGTAAAGACCTAAGCTCGTCATTCTTTTGCGCGATCGCGGACTGGTGGTCAGCATGTGTAGCCATGGCTTTTGATTGACTCTGATCCAAGAGCAGTTGCTGCTTGTCGCATCGAGTGCGCAATTCAGTGTTCGTCGCAGTGAGACTTTGTGCTTGCTTAATGAGCTGTGTCTGCTGCTCGGTCGCCGTTGCGGTGAGCTTCTGGGTCAATTTTGCTTTGACCACCTCCATTTCGGCGTCCTTGGAAGCTGCAGAAGTGGAATGGGAGTTATGTAACTCTTTGATTTCGCTCGCCTTCTTAGCAAGTTCGGTGGCGTGCTGGCTACGAAGCTCTTGCATCTCTCCCTCTTTGCTCGCGACATCCAACAGGTACTGTCCTTTTGCCTCTTTTTCTTCGTCTTTCTTCTGCTGCAGCGCTTTCACTTTGGTAGATAGTTCCGAGTTCTCTTCGCGCAATTTGTTCATTGTCTGGTCTTGCGCGGCCATCTGGTTTCTTGCCTTCGAAATTGTCTCATCACGTGTTTTCTCCTTGTCTTGCCATCTTGAAGCAGCTGCATCAAGCTGTGCTTGGAACTCGGAGTTTGTGGTGGCAAGGGTATTGTTGAGCATTTCTTGTTGGACAAGCTTGAAATGGGTGGCGTCTAGGCGAGTTTGAACATGCTTCATACGACGGCGGAGAGAATTCTCAGTTATCCGGTGCAGGTCCTTGCGCGACAGAAGTGATGCGATCTTTCGCGCATCGGCCAGATCGAGTTTATGGGCTACACGCCGAACCAGTTGGTTCGTATCGCGGGTCAACGCACCCAGGTTCTTTGCTCTCATCAGGAAAGACCATAATGGTATCAGGTAGAGAGCGAATGAAGCGATATTGAGACCAACTCCAAGGACGTGAAGCGAAGCCGGAAGGTCGCCACTGACAGACACAACGGCGACCTTGTATGCTTGGAAGATCGCGCCCACGTAGTCGAGGACAGAAAACGCATAGCGCGAGAGCGGGTACTGCGATATGAGGAAATAGGTGACGAGTGTAGCCCAGGCCACCAGGAGCGTCTCGCCCGGCGTCATGGCTGCGGAAGTTCACAGGAGTGCCAAACCTGCGGATTTGATTGAGGCAATGAAGTGGGAGGAATAGAGAGTGTAGGAAGGTTATGGGTATGATTGAGGGTCGTGGCAATCCAATCGTCGATTCGCAGGTTGGTGCGGTGTGGAATTGGGTAGAGCGGATTTGGGCAAAGGTGGTGGTGTCGCGAGAGGAAACCTCAACATAGAAAAGCCCTCGTGCGGGCGGCTCAGCTAAGCGAGAAAATGTCGGAGACCGGCGTTAGTAGGCTGCGGTACTCACATTGCTAGGAGAGATGGTCGATGGAGTGAATGTCTGAAATCTGCGGAGAGAAAAGAGAGAAAAGTTAACCGCGGAGTGAGACAAACAGCCGAGAGTGAGAAGTCAAACCTCAACGCTGGGAACACTGGACATAGATATTGGGTCGAGGAGCTTGCGAGGCTCTTACAACTACTGTGAACAATCTCGATGCTTGATAAAAGTGCATAAGACCTAAGGGACGCTGCTGAGAGCAGGAAAGTGGAAGAGCAAAGTTGATAGCCTAGGCGTAAACAAACTAGTGCTCCAAAAGGGCCTTATTGAATCAATATAAGCATTTGAATTAGGTCAATGGCGGTTATAACTGCACTTCTGGACACTTCAAACTCTCGCTCATAGCGCTTCTTCCGTCTTTTGAAAAGATCAAGTAATGATGTGATCCTAAACACATTTTCTAACGTTAGCAATGCATTTTCACCCAGGACCATATATGTAAGCATTAACTTGAATAGTTAGCCACGGCTCACGATGCTGGGATCTTGTATAACATCTCTTACTTCTTTTCACCCCGGTGACACTAGGTAACGCGGCGTTTCGTCCGCGCTCTGATTATTCTCTAACTACTATAAGAGACTGGTTGTCATTTCATATGAAAGCTAGAATAGCCTCGATGTGTACAAAGCAAGCTAGAAAGTGCTGAGAAGGCCTTGAAGTTCGACAGCCCTGTTTTTAAAGTTCACCACATGCGCCCACAGATTACTGCAGCACCTGCTGGCTGCCTCTATCTAACTTCTTCAAGTAACCCAAACAACTTTTTCTTTCGCCAGGTTCTTGGTCATCTAACCCTCTCATCCGAACGCGGGTCTTGCTGAATACGATCCTTTATGGCTCAAGTGTTCCTCACCTAGGTTCTTGCAGAGTATTATCTCAGGGAAACGTCCCTTCCCTTGGTTTCGAACATCGGCTGAAATTTAAAAGACACATTGCTTTCTTGTATGACGAAGACTGTGTCACGCGTGTCAGGAATGATCGAAAGTAGAGGGCGCGACACTCACGCTCTACATGCCGCCCCCACAACGGCGCAGGCACGAGATTACGAAACTCGAGTCGAGCATAGCTTCACACCAGATCGCGCCGGTAAGAGCTAGTTTTACATGCATATACACAGTAAGCAGAAGCTGAGCTGAGCTGTGTTGATAATGGCTGACTTTCAAGTTTTGAGGAGGGGTCGCCTCTCAATACCCTCGCCACCCCCGCCATGCTCATGACCAGCGGTTAAAATTACAACAAACATCCAACTATGATTTTGATCGATACGAAGACTTTGGCCCTGCACGTTCGAGATTATGCAGATAGTAATCAAGACTATGCGATATTATCGCACACCTGGGGTCCCGCTCAGGATGAAGTTACATACGAAGAAATGCTGGTATCGCCAAAAGATCGACCTGAGAGGACCTTGGTGAAGCCAGGATATAGTAAGATTGTTGAGACGTGCGCGAGAGCTGCTTCCTCTCGTTACAAGCTACCATATGCATGGATCGACACATGCTGCATCAACAAGGCTAGCAGTGCAGAATTGAGCGAGGCCATCAATTCGATGTTCCGATACTACAAGGAGGCTGTAGTGTGCTTTGCTTATCTCGCCGATGTCACAGACAGCGGATACTCGTTCAATGCGTCGAGGTGGTTCAGACGCGGCTGGACTTTACAAGAGCTCATCGCGCCCAAAGATCTTGTCTTCTACGGTCGCAGGTGGGATTTTCGAGGCACCAAAGCGACCATGGCTGGCCGGATCACAGAGATAACTGGCATACCAGATGCTATCCTCAAGCACGAGGCAGAGTTGAGCGAAATTCCTGTTGCACAGCGTTTCTCGTGGGCATCCGAACGTAAAACCACCAGGGAAGAAGACGTTGCGTACAGTCTGCTCGGTATCTTTGACATAAACATGGCCATGCTGTATGGAGAAGGCTCAAAAGCGTTCATCCGCTTGCAGGAACAAATTCTCAGTGAGAACGCGGATGACTCAATCTTCCTGTGGAACGAGCCATTTTCCTATCACAAACTCACGGGGATTCTTGCTACTCATCCGAAGAGCTTCCGTCAGATGCGTTCGATCATCGCAGAGCCAAGCTTTCGGCCTCGCGACTTTCACCTCACGAATAGGGGTGTACGCCTCAAACTCGGTCTTGCCTGGGATGATGACACGGGACTTGCCATATTTCCTGTCAAACATTCACTTGGTACTGCTGGTAAACCCGCTGGTGTGTACCTTAGAAGAGTCGGCACAGATTTGTTTGTCAGAGCACGGCCGCAAGACTGCCCTACCGTGAAGGCTGAAGTGACCTACACTGAGTTTACTGCGGTAAAATCACTGACGGGCAAGCAAGCCACGACGATTCTGGACACAGTCATGCGAGTAGTAAAACCCGCTGATGTCCGCATCACCCGAGTCGTTCCACAAGGTCTATGGGACCCGGCTTCGCAGTTCCTTCACGCTACTCATACTGGCGCAATCCTAGGATACCTGGAGTTTAAGAAAGATCCATATCCCCCGTTTGCATTCATCTTCTTCTTCAGGAATGGCCATTGGTCTGCCACAGTGGTCAAAGGAGAGGAATGGCTATCGATACAGAAAAGCAACTTTTACAGCCATTATAAGCACAACTTAGATGAGCTAAGATATTTTGACACTATGGGGGATGCGAGAATGAGCAAAATCGAAAGAGTACCGCCTAATTCAAAAGTACTCACGGTGCACATGCGGGTTGCGCGAGGTACAGGACGACCACATCTTGAGATACAAGAAATAGAGAGAAAAGGTAGAACGTCTTAATCACCAGTTTGACAAGTCATCATGATGCTGAGATTGTACGATCTTCGTGAGTGTTACGAATTGGAAATCCTCTCCGAAGAGACTTCCGGGTCCTCAGGTATAGCTATCATCAATATGACCAGCAAGTTTGATCATTAGTCGCGCTTCTTCAGTCAAATCGTTTCGTAGATTGGTTCAATGATTAATTCTGCGTATCTATGCGAAATGCCCAAAAAGGCTTCTGATGGTGTAAGTAAGTCGATTTAACTGTTGAGCAAGAGCCCTGCTAAAACGACCAATACCGGCATCAAACCATCTTGAAACATGACATGCACAAGACACGATGAAGTGCCTATGTGTTGGCAAAGAATGAGAAGTGCAATGAAGAATTGCGATAATGGAAGCTGCGCGTACTGTGAGTTAGACCAAAGCAGTACGTTTGCAAATCAGCAATTACAATGAGGTGTAAGAATATCATACTCAATGGCGACTGCTACATCTTCTCAAATTTGTACTGGTAGTTGTCGGCGTATCTAATAGCAGAATTAGGTGAAAACTTCGGTGACCTTTCACTGAAGATCCTTCTCGCAATTGCATTGGGCCGCCCAAAAAGAGCAGTTTTTGTGATGTGCAACGTTGCGACGTGACGAGGCGCCATTGAAAGAGGAACAAAATTGGGATCTTCCGCGAAATTAATGACGTCATCCTTTCTGATGCCATCTTCCTTGTAGCATCAGGTATTTACACTCTCTCTTCATTCTCCATCTCACACCGACCGAATAAAGCTTATTCGCGAAGGTCGTGGACATATCAGGGTGAGGAATGACATCACGAAGTCGCATTCCTTCTTGACTTTGCGCAGCTTGGTTAGCCTACACGAAGTTCAGCAATGAGCGTCTTTACTTGCTGACACGAATCAACACGAGTACGACTGAAACATCGATTAGCAACCTCCAACCACCCGAACATGACATCCTACCAATGCGATGGTAGCATTGTAGGATTAGACATAAAAATTTTGCTCTGTACTGGAATTTGCACCGGCGACTGCCGACACACGTGAGATGCTCATTTCGCAGTCGTGGTTGGTCCGCTCGTGTAGCACACGCTGGGGCTGACGGTCACGATACGAGGAAAATTGCTTTTTCCCAGGTGATAATGCAACAGTGGTACATGAGCTGATGCCGTTTTGACGCCACCGGGCTGAAAATACATACTGCGCCACGAAATGAAGTTCCAGCTGCTGATTTATGATAACAAATCGGCACAGAAAGCGCACGTACACAATGGTAGGAACATACATCCGGCGAAGTATATAATCTTCATCTACTGCCTGTGTATTAGCATTCATTCTCAGTATCTGTACTGAACCTTCTCTTCTGTGCACCAAATCCTAATCAACGCATCTTCAACATGCTTCAATCAATTATTCTGTCCATGGCCTTGGCCCTGCCAGCCTTATCTGTTCCTCTTTTTGCGACGCGCGCCGTTGAATCATGGTCTATCCCCACCATGGATGTCCACTTGATGGGACGAGACACTGGCATTCCTGGCAACACTTGGCCCGACAGCCGCAAATTCAACACGACCCTCGACTTCACACTAGTACTTCCGTCATCGCAAGTCCAGTGCTCCGCAAATTGGAAGTACCAGGAAGTCTCGACTGCTGTCTGGCCTTGCAGTGAAGACATCAGCTTCCAGCTGTCGGATGCGGGTGCTTTCTCCGATGCGGAGTGGACGCTGACGATCACGAAAAAGGGTGACGATGGGTAAGTTTTTCCATTCGAAGTTAGGGAAATGAGTGCCTCGGTACTAAAATGCTCCACAGTATATATGTAGCCAGCCAGGTTATTGAGAGCAACAGCCCTGGAACTCCAAATGGCTACCTCTCGTGTATCGGCGGCCCTCCATATGATGGACTGAGATGCAAGCTGAATGGCTGGGCTGGGAAGCAAGGCCCCATCCTTCTGACGGCCACGAGCCAGTAATCGATTTGTTTTCTTCTGACTCTGGTTATCGCGCGTATTGGAATAGCGATAGACACAATAGTAATATTAGACCTTTGATTCTACTTTTAGGCTCAGAATGCTTACTAACAGGTGTTCATTATCTACCGTTGGAGGTATTTGCCCGCATTCGATGGGTGATGCAGAATGGGCATCAGCAGCGCACCGTTGGCGCCAACGATGTATTTGTGCGCACCTTTCACACCAGTTATGACGCACAAATCAAATGCTTTGTTTGATGAAGATGTTTAGAATTGCACGTTGCACTTGCAGAAAATATGGGCGATAGATGCATATATGGATACGTAGGTGATGCATATATGGATATGTAGGTGATGCATGACTTCTTTATATAGGAAGGTACGAAGAGCCCTCGTGGTGTTATATAGGTTATTTGGGGGAACAACTTTTACACACAGCTACAGAATCACCATATTTGTACCAAATTTGAACATTGCAATGCTCCAGATCTGCACATTATCAGAATTCTGGACACTACTCTCTCCTATATATGCTTTAGCAAAACCTCACCATGAATTGTATAAAGAATTCTGGTTTGCGAAAGTAGCAGGTGACCGATGATGCTGGATCCAAGCTTTGTGGCTTCAACCTGGTCTATCGTCGTGACCCTTAGCGAGTATGACGATGATCATAACTAGCCTGATGATGGCGCAGACAACGATGAAGGCCACGCCGATAGTTTTCATTGCGGCTCGGTTTGAAGAAGATGGCGAGATAAATTTTTCACAACAAGACATGGTGACTTATGCTCGTCTCTAATTATATAGGCGTTGCCATTTGCGTTGGTGCACACAATGTGCGTGGTCATGATTGTTGACAACGTGGCTCCGTTTTGAGACGTCTTCAGTCACGGGACGAGCATTACTTCCGGTGCTGTCGAGCTCGTTCGTCGCGCAAACTTAAACCAAACAACGTAGAAGCAAGGCTTGTTGGCTTCCAAGCAGTTTCGATATCATAATGAACTGCAATTAGTGAGATCTGTAGACGATGAAGAAATTGAGACATGATCTCAACATTGACTCGATTGACTCCCAGATAAGCTAGTTCATTCGTGCGGCAAATTGGTTCACGCAACTCAGTCACTCGTCCTGGAAAAGCGGTAGGAAACGACGAGCACAATTGTTTTATCATAATTTAGACTGAAGTATTCTTCGATCTAGTAATGCATCTTTTTCTCCCTCAAGTCCCACAAACCATCGTCCTTGCACATGTAGAACATGCCAGACTAATGGTCCTCATCTTCTACTTTAGGGCATGAATAGCAGCGCTGGTGTCCACAGACCTCGTTCACAAGCTGACCCATCTTGTTCTTCACCTTCTTTCCAGTGATATTGGAGCACCTTCTCGTTGAATAGGGATTGCTGCGTAAATGTGGTACACACCTCGAGTTCTTACAGCAGTTCCAATCAGTAGCCATGTCCTTAGAGTAAGTTTCCATATTTCTCTTCCTCTTGCGTTGTGGTACATTCTCTTCCACAGGCTTCACTGGTTGCGATGCGATAGTGAATGAAGGATTGCTGCTTAGTCGAGACAAAGCACGTTGACCTGGCAGAAGTGGTCTTGTAGCTGGTGATGAAGATCTGCTGGGATCTTGAGGCTTGGCCTCGTTGCTGACTTGGTTGCACCCACTGGGTTGGGCTACCTTGCTGTTGACTTCCATAACCCTGTTGTTGTCCATACTGCCCCTGTTGCTGCGTTTGCTGTTGGCTTCGATGACCCTGACTCTGGCTTCCTTGTGCGGCAGGCAATTGGTTTAATTGATATCCTTGCCCTTGACTCCCCTGTCCACGACTTTGTTGGTTCCGAGTTGCTCCTATTGGTGGTGGATCCTCGTACAACTCCATGTCATTGTCGGTGCGTGGTGAGGGTGAATTCTTCGGCGTATTTCTTCTACTTGGCGGAGAACTCGACTTCGTTGTCTCATCTTTTCCCTTTCCTTTCTTATCTTTGTCATCTTTGCCTTCTCCTTTCTTGTCTTTATCATCTTTCCCTTTCTTTCCCCTGTTGTAGTTTGTCATTCTGGGAAAGCCCATGGTGCTGGCTGAAGTCCGATGTGTCTTGGTTGATAGGTCAAGATAGAGGGTTTGTAGAAGCCACTGGAATCGAAACAGTCAATAGTCCTGGGTGCTGAGAATAGCGTATAAACCTGTCTCGTGGAAGCTTATGTATAGTTGTCTGAAGAAAAAGATATGCAAGTGCCTGCGAGCTATGGTATATATGGAGTACGATAATATTGAATGAGGTAAATGGAATTGCAGCCTGTGATGAAAGGCGGTAAAGGGTGATCCGTGACATCCAAGAATGTTTGCAGTGTGAATATATGGTCGAGAATACACTCAATATTTCATGTTACTTGAGCAATCAGTGACGACTAGAGTACCTTGATGTAATCCGTGAACAAAAGATACTGAGCGCTAAAGGCACCTCCCCAGTGAATCTGGGCCGAAATCATGTATATCTTGTCGGGCAGAGTTAAAAATTTGTGCCCGGACACTGCATTTAACCTTGTTGAACGATGATTGCGTCCATTGAGTCGTTCCGTCAAAGAGCATCTAAATACAGCTGCGGCAGTATTGTTCAGGATGTCAGGATAGTTCATTTGCGCCAATACAAGACATCGCCTTTTCTCAAATTTGGATGCCTCAAAGCGTGTTCGTGATCATACTGTACTGAATTTTGTGCATCTTAGAGGCTAGGCAAGTCGGAATTCAAACGCCAAACTGCAAACATCGTGCTTGAATGACCGGATCCGCCACCCTTCACATGGTGCAGGCCTTTTTTTCTTTTTGAATAGGTCAATGAATCAAATTGTTCTATGGTCATTTACGGAATAGCAGAAGAACTAAAAGTCTGGTCAGTTCAATCGACGCAGGTATGCCAGCTCCAATTAATCAAGCAGGAGGGAAATGCCTGGAAGACATTGCCACATTTGCACTCATAATGAGATGTGAATTCAATGCTTGTCTTTTCATACTTGTGTGAAGCTCCTATTTCACCGACTGAAAAAGGTTGCCGAGTGTATAATTGAGATGGTCTACATAGCAATTCTAAACAACAAGCCACACCCTTTCAACCTTCTCCGTAGAAGCATCTTCCGAATCAGACTCTACTTTACTGCTATACAACCTCCACAACGATAATGGTTACAAACATCTCCACTTTGTCCCGCGTTTTCACAAGCCCTCCTTTGCCTGAAATTAGAATGTCTGTTGCCACGTAGATTACAGTGACAGCAAATCCAAGGATACTTTTCAACCGGTGCTTTAGGATAGCTCACTCTCGGTTTGTCGGCCTTTGGCTTTTTCGGTGGCGGTGCCAAGGAGTATGTCGACGACGCAGGCCCTTGGCCAGCCATGGGTTGAATAGGACGCTGCGGGGCCATGGCATGCGTAGGTGCTGGCACCAGGTTCTGCTGAGGTACAGGTGGTCGATACGGACTGACATAAGGCTTGCGTACTCGGCCTGCCCTTGGATCATCGTCTTTCTTGGGTGGTTTTGGAACGACAGGCTGACGCTCACGGGTCGGACGTACACGCGTTCTAGCCTGCTCAGCCTTTCTGTCCCCTTTGATCTGCTTTTCGGATCTGAAGTTTTTGGGGTCCAACTTCGTACGATTTTGGAATGGATCCTGTTGATCGTATGGCTGAGAGGGAGCCTGTGTTGAAGCTTGAGTGTTACCTTGATAATTCTGTTGACTTGGCGGTCCAACGTATGAGTCGCGCGAAAGCGGCGAAGGCTGGATGTTATCATTTAGCAGGCTCGCATAACCCGGGTAGGCAGGTTGTGTCGAAGCCTGAGTATTTCCCCGGTAGTTCGCCTGACTTGGCGGGCCATTGTAAGAAGTCTGTAGAAATGGCGAAGGTGGGACATAGCCCTGTGGTCGGCTCGCGCTGCCCGAGTACTCTGGAGCGCCGTTCGTTGATGCCGGAGCTTGACCATATGTTGCAGCACGGGCCTCCTGGACATATTCAGGACTTCGACGTGTCGAACGTTCAATTGGATGAATCGCCGCCCCTTCATGAGGCTGTCGAGAATTTCGATGATTCAATTGCGACTGTCTGGATGATTGTTCATGACCTGGTGATGGGGAATGCATCGGCGTGTCTCCAGTACTTGGAGGAGTACTGTTGGTAGCCTTTCTTATCGAACTGCCCTTTTTGGGTCTGTCCCAAAAGCTCATGATGTCTGCTGCGATTGACTCGAAATCCTGGCCAGTAGGTGTGTCGTGTCGAAGAGGGAATCGTTCGAAGATTGGCAATGGTATGTAGAGAAGTCGAACTTGTCGGGATTCTTTAATGCTGGTGTTGATGTGTACCTTTGTATCGTGTAAGGGTCTGTAGGATTGTCTAGGAAAGGAATCTAAGTGCTAGCGAGCCACGGTATATATGGGATGCTGCAACGTTGAAGTGTGCGCGCGTGAATCAGATACATATGACATCTAAGCAAGTAATGATCGGAGAGAGCCATAGTGTGACTGAGAGTCGAAGACTGCATTGAGTGACATGTCTTCACGTGTGGAATTAGTCACTAGTAATGTATACGGACAATTGAATCATGCGAACGTAAGGAACGCCGATCGCCCAAAGTCACCTAGCCCAATGTGACTCCCTGCCTCAGTGCAGCGTCCTCAACGTCTCCTCTACCACGACACCGAGACCTCCAATGCCCAAAACAGTCCACAGCCACTTATTGCTCAGCTCCTCGGTGCGCGGCCAGAAGGAGTTTTTGTCCTCGCGGAACTTCTCCAGCTCGGCAAACTTTTCGGGGTGCGAGGCAGAGTAGCGGCGCTCTTGATGCTTTTCCTTCTCAGCGTCGCCTCCGAAGTATCGCAAGAATGCGTAGTTGGCGATGGGACCGAGGAGCTCGACCGGTGCGAGCATATCGGAGCCGTAGAGCATTACTATGAAGGAGAGGTGCACGAGAGTATCTCCGAGGTAGCTGCAGGATGTTAGTCGCAAGCTTCACCTAGAGGTGGTGAGAATCCTTACTTGGGGTTGCGAACGATGCTCCACACGCCTTCTCTCAGAATACCGCGGCCGCCTTCGGCTTTGTACTGATCGAGTTGGTAGTCCGCGAGCGACTCCATAGCAAGCCCCGAAGAGAATAGTCCAACGGCCAGCATTTGGATGTACGGATGATATCCCATCATGACAGCGCCTTCATGGCGGAAGGGAGCCTATTGCTATTCAATTTATGTATTCAACAGCTTCTTCAAAGGGGCAGACTCACTGTGAAGGGCAGAGAAATGATCATCTGGAAAAACGCCTCGGGGATGAACACCTTGTACCAAGCGCTATCCCAGAAACCCTCCTCCTTCTTTGCAACCTCGTATCTCGGATCGTCCGCCCCTCTCTTCACCGAGCGCGACGCAATGCGATAGAACAGTCGTCCACCCCAAAGCGTCACGCCCGTTAGCATAACCCGTTCATGCCAAGACAACCGACTGAACGCCTGCGACACAGTCAAACCAGCAGCAACACGTCTTCCCACCGCCGACCACCAAGCATTCGCGACCTGTCCAGACGGCCACAGCCAATCCTTCGCTTCCACGCGATTAGTGTAGCGAGCGGCGCCATACGCAATGCCCGCAAGACCAGCATGGAGCGTAAACGAGGGAATCAGCGTATCCTTCAAGATGCCGACATCGAACAGTGACGGAGAATTGACATGTGTCTTTGAATGCGTGCGATCAACATACGTCGCATTGTTCCCGCCCGAACCACTAGGCTGGGAGTTGGAAAGGTAGAATTCGGCGGCTTGCCGGTCCGCGACTTGGATGCGGATGTCGGGTGGTGAGGCTTCGCTCTTGGGAGCGCTGAACCATCCTGTCGCCATGATGTTGTGGAGAAGAAGGGAACTTGCTGCGAGACTTGTCGTGTGAGATGTTCTTTATTAGGGAAAGATGCGGGTGGAGTGACTTCCCCGCATTCTGCGTAATGTAGGCGTAGCTTCTGATTCGGTCGGATCGACGTGGCGTGTGTATGTGAATGAAGACATGGCGGCCGGCGAATGGGAAAGAGCGGATTAGCCAGGGGTTTGTGGTAAGCTGTCTTGTGCTTCTATCCTGTTTGCGAGGGTCGTTGGTGGATGGGAATGCACCGTGACGTCATTGATCTTCACATGAAATCAAATCGCGAGTATCTTCAAACGAGACGTGTAAAGTTCGGCTACATTAGACTTCGAGAAAACTATCGACATTTATCAGATCTGTATCCTAGATCAATATGGCTTCCGCCTCCTCTAAACCCGAAGCGTCCAATCCCCCAAACGTCCCAACACCCCCGCCAACATACTCCCAACTCTGCGTCACACCCATCCTCCCACAATCCAAACTCATCACGCTTGCCGGGCAAACAGGTCTCCAGTCCGACGGTTCCATCGCTTCCGACATCGAAACCCAAGCAAAAGACGCCTACAAATCTATCCTCGAATGCCTAAAAGCTGCCGGTGCAACACCACGTGACATCGTCATGGTACGGCACTTCATCGTCAAAGAGAGCGGCGATGCCGAAAAAGACAAATTGGACGTTGTAGACCGAGGCTGGGGAGAAGTATGGATGGATTTCATGGATCGGGAAGCGCAAGGACACAGGCCGCCGGACACGGTAGTAGGCGTTGCAAGCTTAGCGAAGAAAGCGCTGCTATACGAGTGCGAAGTTACTGCTATGGTGTCATAGAGCGATGAGCCTTGATGCGAACGAGGAGTTTTTTTACTTCTTCGACTACGATTTCGGGCCTTCGGATTGGCAAATCATGCCCAAAGTCTCCGTAGTATCTGAACTCTGCATTCTTGGACAGTTGACATTGCGCTCTCTCAATTTGATCGTGGTATAGGCCGAATCGTTCGATGAAGTCTCTCACAACACGTCTTTCTTCTTGCGTTCCGTCGCCGTTCGCAACGCCGGCATCGTAGAGCACTTGACAGTCGTGGGTTGCGTGGAAGCGGAGAACAGTCAGGGGTGTTGTACCCATGATTTGCTTCTCGAATTGACGCTCTTGCGCCAGTTTATCAGCACCAGCGTGTGTATCTTCACGCCCGAAGCTCTCGTTTGTGCGTCCCTGTGCTTCGACGGCGTAGTCCCATTGTTCCTGAGTCATGCCCGACTCCTCGCGGAGATGGGTGATTGCTTCGTAGTCCACATTTCTTGTTACAGCTTCTAGTTCTAGTGGTGGAAGACGCTTATGCATTGCCATCATGAGCTCTGTGGCACAATCCAGCAGTACCATTCCAGCGATGTTTGAGGGAGTGAGGGACAAGAAGCAGCGTGCCGGTATTCCACCAAAGGAGTGACCCATCAGAAGGTAAGGCGGGTTGAGCTGTGTCAAAGACAGCAGGTTTTTCAGATCCTCCGCCGTATCTTGTGCAAGAATGTCCTTCTCGCCGCCCGGCGACTTTGGTGGTGGGAGTGTGCTTCGATCGTATCCTGCGCGATCATAAAAGAGTACGCGGACATTTTCGCTGAGCTGTTGCTGCAATGTCACGTAGATTGCTAATGATACAGCTCCGCCCGTGAAGAAGATCAATAGTGGCGCATTGGGCAGGCGGATAGGACCTGAGACAGAAGCCCAGAGCTTGTGGGTAGGGAGTTGCACCAAGGCAGAATGCCGCGACTTCGTGAGCCAGGGATTTTCTGAGTTCAATCGCATTGTTAGCACGTGGGGTGCGCTACTCGTACTCTACTTGACTATATAGTGTGTAGAGCTCTATCCATGTGGTGGTTGCCTATGTACGGAATTGGCAGGTTCATACGTCATGCTTACGGCAGGGCCACCAGGCAGCAGCAAAATTCGTGCCCGCTCTGCACCTACACGATACAAGCTAACAGTCTTTAGAGGCATACTCATTATAACCTTATAGAAGCCTGATGTATACGCAGCTCTGAAATACTCCACCGGACTCTATTAGAAATCTTTGAATATATACAGGCTACTTCGTCGCTTCTTTTTGTCTGGAAAGGAATTTCGCCGGCGACTGGTGGGGCGCCGTACATTTGCAACAGTGTGCCAATGAGAAGTATCAATGGTGAAGACAATCGAAAATGTCGAAAGTAGATTCGACGCGACCACCCTTCACTTTGCTCCAATGACCAGGTGCCCGGGCCACCCCAAAAGATACAGCGTAGGCAAACACAGCCGCGCGAAGTACTCAAGTCCACCACTCCAACGTCTACCACCCCCTCTCCCTAACCTCCACCTCCCCATATCCCTCACTCCCATCCTTCGGTCCTAAATACAAAATATCGTGTAAACACTGTCTCCACACCTTCCCACCATCGCCATGTTCCTCGCGCCACCAATACTGTACTTTAATCAACAATCCCTCCTCACTCTCATCCCACAAATCCACGCGCATGCCCACCCATCCCTCGTCTTTAGCTTGTGTAGCCAGTTGCTCAGGCGTCTTGTTGATAGCCGCACAACTCTCTTGAGTGCCGAACGTAACGGAGAGAGGAGGGATGGGATGGATGGAGTACAAAAGCTTCGATATCTCCTTACTTCCCTCCTTCGTTGGAGTCGTATCATCTCCAAACGAAAGCATCCCATCGTCCGCGTCTTTCTGATACCGCACAATCATTTCCCTTGTCGTGGCCGCAAAAGTTGGTATGGGCCGGCATATTTGCATGCATGTGGGTGAGAAGAAGAGCCCGGAGTATGTGGGGTCCGGGCGGCTGCGGTATGTATGGAAGAGGAGTTTGATGTGTGCTTCGGTCATGGCTGGTAGGGTGCAGATTGTTTTTGCTTTGAGATTTAGGGAGAGAGAGGGATGTGTATGCGCCAGGTGGCACCGAGGTTCGGCGGAGGAAGGAGGGACGCGAGTGTGAGTCAACCACCAGTGGGTCTAGAAAGAGGGTATTGATATGTTATGCTATGCTGCGGTAAGAAGATTTGCTGATTTGGTATATACAGCGCTGAGATAGGAAAATGTCATCATTGTTTCGGGAGCCATCGGGCCCAAGCACAGATTCGTGGTCGCGTGAAAATGAAGTATTGATCGCGTCATGGCAATTCACCATCCAAACCATTACATGCTCTGCTTTCCCACGAGCTTATTGGGTAGCAGCGCAGTAGTCAATACACACCCAAGACTCACGCCACCAGCCAGATACAAAACCGAATTGATGTCCCTTTCGCCATTCGGCGCCCCGGCATACAAATGATTCGCGATAATCGGGCTCACGATTCCAAAGAGCCTGCCCCAGAAACTCGCAATGCCACAAGCCGTACCCCGAATCGGTGCTGGGAACGCTTCTGGGGTCCAGCCATACAAGACAGCGTTGAACATGGACTGGAAAAAATACTCCATGACGTTGAAGCCGATGTTCGATGCGGCTGAGTTCACAGCACTGAATAGAAAGATGCTGACGCCCATTAGGGCGGATGAAATGACCATAGTCCATTTGCGGCCGACGCTGGGGATGCGATAGGATGCTGCACCGAGAAGAACTGCGATGATGCCTGGGGAGTAGATGTATAGATAGGAGCGGTAAGTGTAGCGGAGCGAAAGATTGAGTGCACCGTTCTTGTATGCTAGAATCTGCGGTAGGAATGAACCTGTTCATAAAGATCAGTACGGCTTACAGAAGAGCATCAGGCGTCGCAACTTACCAGCGACGGTGAAACCCCAATAGTCGAAGATATACGTCAGCCAGACCAAAATGGTGAGGCGAGCCATTTGAAAGTTTGAAAACAATATTTTGAATCGATCGCCCTCTAACTGCAGAGACTCTGACCAGGTGGTCTGGAGTTGCTTCGCCCCACCTCCAAGCATGGGTTTGTTGCTATGAATCGAGTCGTATTCGCGTTCCAGGGCTTCGAGGTGCTCTAAAGTGAGTGTGCAGGCTGTTTTGTTGAACTTCGCAACGTTGTGTAAGACCTCGATGGCCTTTGCGTCATTGCCGCGATATAGCAGGAACTTTGGTGATTCCTGGAAGTTGAAAATGACGAAGCGAAGAAAGAAGACCAGGAGGGTGATTCCACCCAAGGTAAAGAGAAGGTATCGCCAACCCATGTTGCTTTCCTTCGTACAGCAGGCTACTCCGGGGCCTACTCCGTGACACGATGGCAGATGGTCAGGCTCTGAAAAGTTTGGACTGCAGGAGTAATTTGGAATGAAACCGTACGCGATCGCGCTGCAGATGACAACACCGATGGGCTGAAAGATTGACAAGAGGGGGAGCATGTACCGCCTGTTTTGTGGTGTGAACTCAAGAGTTATCGTCGTGTCAATCGGGATGTTACCGCCAACTCCAAATCCAGTGAATGCCGTCAGGACCAGGATAGCATTGTAAGTGCTTGGAGCGCCAATGCAGAGCCCAAAAGCGCTAGCAATGAAGACAGTGAGGTTAAAGGCCCACTGACGACCGATGATATCAACCAAGACTCCCCAGACAAAGGCTCCGGCGGTAAGTCCAGAGGAAAATGCTATCGAAAGATTTCCAGTTTGGTCAACTCCAAAGCCGAGCTCCTGTTGCATGGGCGATAACACAAGTCCAAATGCCTGCGCCCACATCAAGTCGATCATATAGCCAAAACCACATAGCGCCCATAGGTACCACTGGTATCGTCCCATTCCCATTGCGTCGATCTCGCGGTTAATAAGAATGCATTTCTTGTCGTAGAGGGTGCTGCCTTCGTCCGGCAACTCAGAGGCTAAATGGTCCGACCGTTCTGGGGAGGATTGGTCTCCATTTGTGAGCTTCTCATGGTCATGTTGTTCTGCTGCGCTTGCCATATTGCGGGGTCGTCTGTTATCTGTTGAGGAGTACGATAAGCGTGAGGAAGACGCAAATGTATCCTCGGGGTTCAGAAGAGGTTCTGCCTCGTCTGGTTCCATGACGTTGAGAGGCATCTTAAGTAAACTATACGCTCGGACGCCTCAATAGACTACTAGCAGTGTCTGTTGATCGTTGACATCTAGTCGTCTCAAGCGTGGGTAAGTGTGAGCCAAGGCACGCTAGCCTACTACGTCACACACTCTATCGCAAGGCAGCTAAGCTGGCTACTGCATCGGCTAAGCGAAGAAAGGTAAGCACTTGACGATATCAAGGTTCTTGCAAGGGTTGTTGAAGGATCAACATCCGTGGAGAAGATGTGCATGCTCCGCCATACAGGCGTAGGTCGAAGACCGTTGAGATCTATGGAGGACGGAGACTAGCGTGTTGTAGAAGGGCGATCGGGGGACGAAGAGAAACAACGCTCAAGTGCTTTGCAACAGGGACGTCTCCAACCAAAGATGGGATACCCATGTATGAGATCGGAACAAAATGTTCCGCCAGAGAAAAGTGGAAGAGACGGGGAATGCTCGATTCATGGACATAATGGGTGATGGGTAATAGGAAAGTAGTTTGCCGATTGACAATCATCGCGAAAATGAAATCACCCGCGAACTTGCCCGGGTCTATTGCAGTGACCACGTGCAGTGTAGTCGTTCAGCGCATAGTGACTGTGCTGCTGTAATGAAGCTTAGTTACACGTGGTGGAGTTGCGCCTCAGTGTCTGGTGTTAAATCTACGGTGTGTGATGAGCAAGACGCGTTAGGCGTTAGAGTGTTCAGTGCGCGAAAATTCATGAAGCGCATCAAATCCTGTTGGAAACACAATTGATGATGGAAGATGACAAAGTGAGAGTGATGTTCAGGCCGTCGAATGCCAGTCGTGATGGAAGAGGCGTCTCCACATTTACCCTTGCCAAGAGCGGGTCGGCAGAACCAACCGCCGCTCACTGGAACTTTTTTTCTGTAAACTCTAGCAACACAGACATTGCGCCAAAGCAGCGAGAAGCAATTGCAACACCATGGCTCCCCGCAGAAAAAGACAGCGACTTTCAGAGAGTGGCGCAGAAGTCGTCACTGCGACCGCCGACGCCGAGACGCCCTCCACTGCCGCCGCTGCGACACCGAAAGAAGTCGCCCGCAGACAACTTTTCGTTCGCGGCCTGGCGCCTTCAGTCACCACGCAGGACCTTACCGACTTCTTTTCCGAGTCATATCCAATCAAGAATGCGCTCGTTGTTCTCGACAAGGAAACGAAGGAGTCGAAGAAATTCGGGTTCGTTACATTCGCCGATGTCGAAGATGCGCAGAGAGCGAAGGAGGAGATGAAGGGCAAGGAACTGCAGGGCAAGAAGATCGTGATGGACTTTGCCGAGGCGCGACAGCGTGAGGGCGAGCCCAAGGACCCGAAGCTTGCGAACAGGTTCAAAGTGCAGCGCGAACAGGAAATGAAGGATGCGCAGGCTCCCAAGATCATCGTTCGCAACCTGCCGTGGAGCATCAAGACGCCGGAGCAGCTGGGCAAACACTTCCTGAGCTATGGAAAAGTCAACTTCGTCACACTGCCCAAGAAGCCATCGGGCGAACTGCGGGGCTTCGCTTTTGTCGCCCTTCGCGGAAAGAAGCATGCCGAGAGGGCGATACAAGGGCTCAACGGCAAGGAGATCGACGGCCGGACCATCGCGGTGGACTGGGCGGTCGATCGGGATACATGGCAGGGCCTGCAAAAGACCGAGCAGGACGGAGACGATGCAAAGGCAGGCGCCGAGGACGACGACGAGGATATGAGCGACGCCGAGAGCTCTGTGGTCAGCTCGGAAGACGACTCTGACGCCGAAGAGGGCAGCGAGGACAACGAAGATTTAGACGACAGCAACACCGACTACGAGGATGTCGACGACAGCGATGAAGAGGGCGGCGTCCAACTCGACGACGAACGACCGAAGCGAGAGGAGTTCACAGTCTTCGTGCGCAATCTTCCCTTCACCGTCACCGACGAGTCTCTCAAGGAGCACTTTGAACAGTTTGGCGGTGTCCGCTTCGCTCGCGTTGTCCTCGACCGCGAGACAGAGCGGCCAAAGGGCACAGGCTTCGTCAGCTTCTACGGCGAGGAGGACATGATCAATTGCCTCAAGGGTGTCCCCAAGGTCAAGCTCCAAAGTCGTAACGTGGACAAGAAGGACGGCTCGACAATCACAGTCACCCACTCTGTGCTCGAAGACGCGGATGCCGACCCGTCGGGCAGATACACACTTGAGGGCCGCATTCTACAACTCAGTCGCGCAGTCGACAAGAGCGAAGCGACGCGTCTCACAGCAGAAGGCGCTGCATCGCGGTTCAGCAGAGACAAGGACAAGCGTCGCCTCTACCTGCTCTCTGAAGGCACCATCCCATCTAACTCCCCGCTCTACCAACAACTATCCCCCTCGGAGATCAAGATGCGCGAAGAAAGCGCCATGCTCCGCAAAAAGCAGATCCAAGAAAACCCCTCCCTCCACTTATCCCTTACCCGTCTCTCCATCCGCAACATCCCACGCAGCATCACCTCCAAAGATCTCAAACAGCTCGCACGAGCCGCCATCGTCGGCTTCGCTGCTGACGTCAAAGCCGGCAAGCGCAACAAACTCTCCCGTGAAGAAGTCATGCGCGGCGGCCAAGCCATGCTCGTCGCCGAAAAGCAGCGCAAAAAGCGCGGCGTCGGCATCGTCAAGCAAGCCAAAGTCGTCTTCGAGACCCCCGCCGGCTCCAAAGTCGGCGAGGACACGGGTGCCGGCCGATCGCGCGGCTACGGCTTCATAGAGTACTACACGCACCGCAATGCGCTCATGGGCCTGCGCTGGCTCAACGGCCACGCCGTCGACTACAAGATCAAAACCGAGCTGCCCAAGAATAAACAAAAGGCCAAGGAGGCGCTGGAAGACAAGCGCAAGCGCCTGATCGCCGAATTCGCTATTGAAAATGCCAATGTCGTGTCCCGCCGCTCGACGCGCGAGGACCAGGCGAAGGACCCGAAACCGAAGACGGAGAAGGATGCGGGCCGTGGGCAGAAGCGAAAGCGTGGGGACGAGCCGAAGGAGAAGCCTGGGAAGGCGAGTCGCAAGGACAAGGCGGCTGCGAAGCCCCAGGGGGCATCGGGTGCGGATACGAATGAAGCTCCCGCTGGGTCCGAGGACAAGGATAAGTTGGCGCAGCGGACAAGAATCATTGCGCAGAAGAGGATGAAGAGGAAGGCTAAGAGGGCTGGAAAGTGAACCTAGTTAGCTTAGTGGGATTGCATTGAGCGATGGCGTTGGCTGGGCAAAAAGTAGATTCTATCGTCATGTCGTTTTTGTTCAATCTTGCTTTCATATGGCTTGCACGTGTTCGGTATGCCGGCGTCAACGGCTCGGGTGTGGCGGTCGTTTCTCTTGGAACTCGGGCGGGAACTTGTGAGTTGAGAAACGACAAAGTGAGCAAGTCAGTCGGGCTGCGTGCATCCATGCTCGATCAGCGCTGTGGTATCACTCACTCAGTATCACTCACTCAGCCACTTGCTGCAGGCTGCATGTAGAGTGGTTCGATCGTCTCTATTCCGGTGTTTCCTGCACAGTGAGCAAGGGTGGGATTTTCTCTTGTTGGATTCAAGATGTAAAAAGGAGATGGGAGAGGGTAGATGCCCGGTTTTATTTTTTCGTATGATCGTTGTGTTGGGTTGCAGATAAAAAAAAAGCCCAAGTCCTTGTTCCCTTTCACTGTTCGACGTTGAATCTTTTGCTCGTTCTGTGGCGTGGCAAAATTTGTTCCTAGGTATTGTCCGGCCTGATACCCACGGATGACAATAGTGGCAAACAGCTTCTTGTCGTTACTCAAGCGCCATGAGGAAATCTGCCGCAAGTGATTCCATCTTCGCTGCCTGGTGTCCGTAACCGACTTCCACACAGGGCACAGCATCTCAAGCGCAAAGATCAAACTCGGCATATCCCACGCGCCAGCCGGTACTGCATCTCGGGACCGGGACCGGGGTGTGCACTTCCGGATCCTTGGAGCAGATATCTACATGTCGCCGTTGTCTTCAATACGAGTGCCCGTTCTGTGCGACAACTGCTGACAGCCCCACGCTGGGTCTCGAGGCACATGTGAGACCCCGAGTCAGGTCATGTTCTGCCTGAGACGACAGCGAAAATCTTTAGTCGAGAGTAGTCTTGTGCTACTGAAGTCAATGGATGATGTGGGGGGCTGTACCTACGTTCCTTCGGACGGTTACATGCTTGACGCTCAAGATACGAATCGAGAGCTGCAGGTCTGAAGTCCCGGTACCAGTTCTACTTTTCGAGTGGGGTGGGGGAGTCCTGGGCGTGGGTCGCTTTTATCGCAGCCTAGAAGGTTGGTATAGATGAGCAGGCCTTCAAGGGCCATTTTGCTCCCTGCAGTCGCTCAAGGCCTCGATTGACTGAAGTGCTGATGTGCTACCGTACGGCCGTCTAAAATGTCTGCTTCCTTGTCAGAACCATTAAGAGCCACCAAAGATAGAGTCAGGCTTTGGTACGATTGGTATAGACCGCACAGACTGCTCCCTTGCTGCCTTGAATAGTGAACCAGTACACAACGCCGTGTAGCACCCCGTTCTCGCATGTATCTGGCACACAAGACTGCTATGGCTCGACTGGAGGTCGATCTGCAAAGTTGGGCAAGAACTCCTGTGGCACAGGCAGCATGTGTACCTGCCCCCATGGATGATTTCGCACCAAAGGTCGACTGCGTCTACCGTGCACGAAGACCGAATTAAGATCATTGGTGAAGCACTTGTACCGCAAGCGGAAGATACTGTGGAGACACTTGACCTCTGGTAGAATATCATATCATCCGACATGAAGCGAACACCGAGCCGATTTCCCTTACCGTGATGATTCGGTGATTTTGCTGGACTCTCCTCCCGGTAGAGAGGCAGCTTTGGTGTGACATGAGAACCTTCAACCTCGGCTGTACCAGTTTACCCAGGGAAATACTCTTCAGAAGCCTTGATGTTCCGATCTTGCCCAGATCCAGGAAGAGTTTTGCGGAAAATACACTGGACTGTGTGTTTGTATGGTATTACACCATCACTCTGATGTCAATCACGAACACTTCGATTGTAATGGTACGCGGTACAACAGCAACAAGGGTGTTCCAATAGACGACGAAAACCTGCAGAATTTCCAGGGCCGTGATACTGTTCTTTGCGTATTGTGTACCAAGACCGTCCTCGGCTCTATGTCGTATGCTGTAACGTGGTGTTGTCGAGTAGTAATGGGGTACGCCTTGCAAGGGAGCCGGGACGGAGCCGCTGCTGCATCACTTCGACAATGGAAGTGAAAATGCGCGTTGACTGTGAAGTGTTTCGTTGGTTCAGTCCGGGCTGAATCAATATCGTTGTGGATCCAGAATTTTATTGTGGTTGCTTGATAGCTATCATGTAGGTAGCGCTAAAAGGTGTCAGCTATCGCGGGTTGAACCTGATCTTTCCCCTCGCGGCTGCTTCAGAGGTTTTCGCAGCACGTGTCTTTGATCATTATGGTATATTCCCAGAGATACTCCACATTTCGAGGCAGGTCGTCTTTGGTGCGAAGGGCGTGCGATCAATGACCCTGATCCCACAAAAGATACGTCGACTGAGTGATATAGCCGTCACGCTTCCCAGTCTTTGTCAATGCAGCGATACATGGCATCCCAATATGTCCGATCTGCAGCCGCCAACCGGGGATCAGCTTGACTCTCCAGGTTTGTCCAAGGTCTTGATTTCTGTTGTGCTTCACGCATTGGCAATAGTTGCTGCCTGGTCGGGCCCAAGGGCCCCAAATGTTTGCCATAGCAGCAGAAGATCCACTCTGTTGCAGAGATAACCCGCACCAACCCCAGCCAGTTATAGAAAGTGGTACTTTACCTTCGCTGGCCGATAATACCCAGGTTTCACAGTGTGAAAAAAAGGTAATCTAGAGCCTGACTCATGTTCTCCAAGCTAGACTTCACATCCATAAGCAGCAAGACCTTCGAGGTCGAGGAGAAGGCTTAATATCTGCTAAGAGTCCGGATTTTGCATGCTCGAGGATCGATCAAAGGCGCTCATAAACTGAAATCGATGTTCTGACCGCAGCCCTGGTACGCGGTTCACGTCGAGAGTACACCCTATTGAACAAGATTTGTAGCACCTCCAGTATCATCTCGTAAAACGCGATGGTGCTTGTGGCTCTAATGAACTTTTTTTGGACCAGTACGTCTCTGAACCTTGTAGCTTGCTCGGCGCGCAAACCTTGGCGACGTTGTTTGCTCCTTTAGTTTCGATCAAATTCGATGAAGGCGAGTCTTTACGGATGTCGTACCGCTCCCAAGAAAAAAAAGCGGGGATGAGGGAGTGTGCCACTAGTCCTTGGTACGTTTAGCAATCACGGTTGACCACAACAGCTGCAGTCTTTGATATGCAAGATGAAGGCTTTGCAGCACAGACCTAAGGACAGTGCGGTTGCAGAAGAACCGACCGAAAGAGCATGGCAAGCATTTGTCGACACCACATAAAAGGTTGTCAAGACACCTTGACATGATCGTCCCTCAAACATCTCCGAATCTGCACTCAGCTCGCACGCAATCTTCACACAGCGCGTTGCCCAGAACGTCGACCGTTACGTACCGTCTCCTCACTCTCACGCCAGGCTCTGTCATTCATCTCTTCGGTATGCTCCCCACTACGAATAGAGGCACAGAACTGACAATCAAGTTAGCGAAACCGACTGTGAACCGAATCGAGTTCAACGATCATCTCTGAAGAAATGTGTTACTACGAGCAAATCACCTTTGTTGCTTGCGGCCACAAGGAGAAGAGACTGACGCAATACTGCCATTTCGCCCGAAATGACCCTGGTCATCAATGCTTTGGCGCCTGGCGATGGAGTCGCCAGTGGGAGCAGTTCAATACCAAGTGTGGAAGCTGTACACAGGGAGATCAGTTCCCGATGACAACTGGTACCAATCGAGACAGTAGATCATCACACAGCACTACCAGTGGCAGATGAAATGTGTTGATGAGGGGATTCTCGGCATGTAGCGCAACGGGAGACAGGGTGCCCATAGAAAGCAGTCCTTCGGACACACCGATCGTGTCGCTTGCGGAGTGGGTGCGTTTGGTTTGGTTTTCTCGGGTCATCAATTGGTTCATATCAGCACTCAAGTTGTCTTTTCGAACGAAATTGCATTTGGTGTTGGAATACAGCGCCTCGTCATGCACTGGTCGACAGCGGAGCCTGAATGTTAGTTGGGCGGGAAATGTCAATCTGCGAAGGTATTTTAATCAATATCTTGTAAAGGATTTGTTCAATGACTTCACATCATCTTTCAGTGCGTGACCCGTCCTTGTCGATACTTACGCGAACCTATGCTGCTGTGGTGTGCTGGGAAGGTTGAATCCATAGCCCCGCATAGTTCTCGCTGATGATCAAGTGTTGCACCAAGCGTGGAAAGTTTCTTGCACAGTGAGCGACCGTCCACAGGAGATATTGATGTGACGTGGGAGATTTGCTGTAGATTGAGTGATAACGTATCGCTGAGCTGGCCCAGAAGCTCGGAACAGTAGCTACTACAGATTGGCGGCACCTTCCGATTGTAGTCGCCCCACAATATTGTACCGCTTGCTGAAGAAAGTATGCCAGTCGTGCAAGGTCTGTTTCTCCTTATCAGATAGCGTTGAGAAGTCTGATATGCAATCCTCAGGTTTGAGCGACGACAGGCCCAAAGCTTTGTTCGGCTCCTTGCCGGCAAAGACTGAGTAGGCATGATCAGTGTCAGGCCAGATGCAATTTCACTAAACTTTGACGAACCGTGGTAGCCTTTGCCAGGTGCATATGTCTCTTTGCCGCTTACGTCGAAGACGTCTCCCTGATTTGACGTTAGCTGCATGGTCGCTCTCGATGGTCCATCTCAAAAGACCTGCCTTGATCGCTACTAATGTGGGGTAGCCCTCGTTGGTGCCTACTAAGCGTCAGAAACCTGCGGAACGAGTACAAGAAACCAAGTTAGTCATGAAGCGTACCGTCACATTTCGCCAGGTGGTCGCGGTCGATTATGTCATCCTTGGGAGGCTGTAGGGTCACCGGCTCTTTGGGTGCAAACCTCTCCTTCTTTGGCTGTTCGGTCGCGTCTGACATGACTCTGGCAATAATGGTTGATGTGAAGGATGACAATTGCTTCGGGTTGAGACGGGAAGTGGCAACGCTTGCCTCGGTTAGTGGGGCAACTTGCGCCATCGTGCACGTACCACACAAGTCGGCCCATAACTCATCAACACGCTTTGCCACGCATATCTCACGCTTCACTGATTATACAGCGCCTCTATGCGCCAGCACGCGTTGTAGAATCGAAATTGCTTACGACACCGCATCGCCGATGTTCAACCTGTTGTACTACGAATAGCCCTCGAATTGAGTTACAAGTATTTCGAACGACAGTACCAACTCATCCAGGCTGGCTCATTGAATAGTTCCTATATTCCATCTCAGAGATTTATTCTACTACTAACAGCAAATCATGCAACAGGTTTCTTGACCATTAAACCTATCAAGGCCAGGGCTACTTCCGCGGCAGCCAATACTGTGGTCTCTCCTGGATTATCGTAGATGGGTGCAACCTCGACTGCAAGAGAATTAGCATGCCAACCAAACAGCTACTCTAGAACCTGCGCTACTCACCAACATCTGCGCCGACCACTTCCAGACCTTCGAGACCGTCTAGAATTGACAAAAGCTCACGCGTAGACCAGCCACCAACTTCGGCTGTCCCCGTAGCTGGTGCGAACGCTGGATCTAAGACATCGATGTCTACACTGATGTATACCTTGGTGCCAGCCACCCTCTTCTTCAATGTGTCAATAATTCCCTGCACACCGACCCGGTCAATATCTCTAGCTTTGATCATCTCGAACCCACAACGAAGATCATTCCGTAGATCCTTCTTCGGGCGCATGAACGGTGCACGAATACCAGCATGGATCGAGGTGTTGCGAACCAGTCCCTCTTCATGGGCAATGTGGAGAAAGGTGCCATGGTTTACACCTGCGTAGTGCGAGATCCCCCCGCCTGCTACACGTCAGAACTGCTCGCAATGCTTCGACGATGCTACTAACCTAAGACCTCTGGGTCCCATGTGTCTTGGAATTTATTATCAGCAAAGCCTCTCAACACATTGAGTCACCATACCTAAGTGGCTATCGAAGTGGATGACACTGACAGGACCCCAGTGGTCGTGTGTGGACCGTAACGCCGACAGAGTCGTAGTGTGATCCCCACCCAATGTCACAATCCTCGGCACCGTGTAATCGCTCGAGTTAGTGCGCTTTGCGGATACGACCTGTCAAGATATCAGGCACGAAGACGGGGCGAGACCGTGTGTTACAACTTGCCTTGTGGGCCTTGTCCAGTTGTTTCAATGCAGCGGTATTGTCCTTGCGACACATCAGCGACTCGTCCAAAGTAACTTCGCGGGCCAAACCTACTAAGAAAGTCAAAGGAGCATCTCCGCAATCAACGATCCTCGCCCAATCTAATAAAACGTTCTCTTCTACGTTGTGTTAGTTGGCCATGCATAGCTCTCGCTTCGAACACCATTGCACCACACACTGCCGTAGGGGATAACAACGTGCTTCCCACTTGTGCTACAACTGACGAAGCACAATGAGCAAGGGCAGGCCAATGTACTGTATGCTTCAATAGCAGTACAGCATGTGGTGTAAGACCCGGTTGTGCGTGTGCCACCGAAAGCATCTCAATCACAACTCGAAATGTATCCGAAAGGTCGAGCCCCAACGTACCGGTATATATGCTCCATCCAGCTCCCGGTGCAATTCTTCGTGAACCTTGTCGGATGCCGCTTGGACCAAAGCGAGCCCCAGGTCGTCCTGTCACACCCTGACCAAGTTAGTTCTGAGAACCACCTGTATGTCCGATCCAACACCATCAAGCTGACGGTAAGTGTCGCATATAGACTTGCGTGCTACTACATGATACTGAGAGATCATCTCCACACTTGAATGTCTTTGCTAGCGCATTCGGATTCACTCTCATCTACGAATGCACACAAAACAAATGCGGCGGTTACGACTCCCGTATCCCCGCTTCTACATTCTCTTCTCCTGTCTTGCAGCGCACAGCGATGCCCACGCTGCCAATCATTGACTGATACGACGTGTACACCCTGGGGTTGCACCTGATCACATCATACAGGAAGATCTGACGCGTCTGGGGAAAATATACTGACAGTATCAAACGGCGCGCCTAAAACGGCTATGTCGAACTTTTCCACCTCTTCGCCTTCTCCAGCCAAGCAATGCACGTACGGCAGGTTCGCGTAGGTATTCAGTCCAGCAAATTTGGCTTGTGAGATGTCCGGATCATTGTACCCGCTCAGTACAACTTGGTCGGTTGTGTACCCAGACGTGGGTGGGAACACAATTTCGCGTGCATTCGACAAAGCGGCGAAGGTGATGAAGGGCAACAAAGCAGACATTTTAAATACGGTCGACTGAATGAAGGGGAATCTGCGGAACGTCCGGGGATCGAGACTTATGAACTCTTGTATGTTATCGCAATACATCGTTGCTAACGGCCATGACAACCTCGCTAGTGCTGCAATGGGCAAGTACAGCCGATCCGCGTACCCCTCACCATGCATGGCTTGTCGCTCGACTACCATTTCTATGGATGTTTTACAAGGATGCCGTCATCTCCCATTCCAGATAGAAGCTCAGGACGAGACGAAGTCCTTGCCGCTTTCACTACGTTTTCAAAATGCAGTCTGACCGAAATGTTTTGCCGGCAACTGTGCAGCAAGTTTGCGGTCGCGTGCAACATGCCCATATTGTAGAGAGTACAGTGATAGGCAACAACTCAATGGGATGCGAGGTACAGCAGGTCATTGGTGAGATTTGTGATGCAGCCCTGGAGGTCATTGACGAAGTACACTTAGGTATGCTCTCACGGGTTAGCCTTCTTCAGTCTGTGGTAGTAGTATATGCTATTGAAGTAGACACATCGCTGATCATAGCGACACGTTGCGTTTCGTTTCTTGTCATCACAAATTGAATGACAGAGATTCAGTTTTGGAGTTGTGTGCAGTTATTGAATATGCGGCCAGTCGCACGAAAGTTTTCTCTCCGCGACAGACCTGAGGATGCACCCCAGGACTGCGTTACACGCCTGCACAAGCCGACAAGGTGCAATCAGGCCACCGTGCACATTTGAGAACCGTGTCAAGTGGAGTTATCGTGGACATCTTAGGACAGCGGGGAGTTTTCCAGAAGAACGGGGACATAAGGCGCGTGTTGATGGTGTTGGGCGACTAGCGCGCCAAGGCTCGGCTAGTTGTTTCTCCTCTGCCCGCCCACGTTCGCTCGTCGAAATTCGACATCACGACGCCGATTCTTCAATCGACAACCGCTAACCCGCAGCAAATTCCAAGATGAAGTACATGTACGTCTTTCCACGATGGCGATGAGTTGGTCGCCGCTTCCCTCGAATTACACGCACGAAACACGCAACGCATCCACGATCAAACTTCCGACAGCTCGCATCGCAACACAATTAGAGACTTGGATGGACATGGGCTGACAATGGGAACAGCCACTCCGAGGAATTGCTCGACATCCCCGAGGGGGTCAAGGTCGCCATCAAGACCAGGAATGTCGTCGTTGAGGGTCAGTGGACAACTGCGCAAATGTCCGGATGATTGTGTGGCTAACTTTTTGCAGGTCCCCGCGTAAGGCGCACTTCGCACAGTCCGGACGCACAATTGCTCACAATTCGCAGGGCAAGCTCTCAAAGTCGCTCGGCCACTTGGCGGTCAGCTTCACTCACGTATGTTGAATTCCAGATTGCGCCTTGGATATCATAAACTAAGACCGCAACAGCCCAAGAAGAACGTCATCAAGATCGAGCTTCACCACGGCTCCCGCAAGAGCGTCGCCACTCTCCGCACTGTCCGCACTCTCATCGTACGTCGCAATCGCTGGACGAGCCGGAATGTTGGCAGCATTGGGCAAGGACTGACATGGTGCAGAACAACTTGATCATCGGTGTCACCAAGGGCTACAAGTACAAGTGAGTTGAGCCGCAAGGAACATTCCTCGGGAAATATGTGGCTAATATTGATATAGGATGCGTTACGTCTATGCCCAGTACGTCTACCATGCGCGAATCCCAGCGACCGTTTACCCTCCCGGGTCCGCGATATCTCCCGACCTACCACTAACATCGTTTCTAGTTTCCCCATCAACGTCAACATCGAGAAGAACAAGGAGACCGACCAGTTTGAGGTTGAGATCAGGAACTTCGTCGGCGAGAAGCTCGTACGAAGGGTCACCATGAGGCCCGGTGTCGATGTCGAGGCATCAAAGAACACCAAGGATGAGCTGCAGCTCACCGGAAACGTACGCATTTTTCAACCTGGATGGGAAATCAGGACTAACGTGTATCCAGTCCCTCGAGGATGTTTCCCAGAGCGCCGCCGACATCCAGCAAATCTGCAAGGTCCGCAACAAGGATATCCGAAAGTTCTTGGACGGTCTGTACGTGTCGGAGCGGGGCAACATTGAGGCATAAGCGTGTCGCGGGTTATGGGTTTCTTTCACGGCATATGAGCACATGAGCTTCTCTGCATCACGGACTGCGGTTGGCGCCCTGGGGTTCAGCTCAAAAAGGATGTTTGATAACAATACCACCACTACCGGATGGACCAAACTGCGCGCGCCAGCTGTGATGACATGACTCACTACATAGCACGAACTTTATGATAATTCTCAGCAACCGCCCTGAGCAAATTGCATCAACCAACTGGGACCAAAATCCGTCTTAAAAATTGATATTCATGAGATCTTGCTAATCAAGCGCAGTTGACCGAGAATCTGTCGATTTGTCCGAACATTCTACCTGGCAAAGGGGATTCTTTCATTGCTTTTCGTTAACCGACAAAAGTCGTCTAACTAGTCTCTACCATGGCGTCCTGAACCACGACAAGCTACGGCGTAACCCCTACGCACCGCGCCATGTCAAGCCTTTGTCGCGACGCTTTGCAGCCAGCCCATACCACACCACCCCAACTATCAGTGTACCATCCCCAACATCTTCTGAGCGCAGAGCACCTTTCACATAATACTTCTGCTGCATGAGGCGTTGCTCCCATATGAGCATGATTTGGTACTGCGCAACATTACCCCGTACGTCCGTCAGACGGAACTCCATCAAAGGCATATAATCGATGAGGCACAGCACATCCACGAAGTCGACGCGTTCCAATTTAATATGTATCGAGTCCGTCAGCTTCGTCATTGGCTTGATGAATGTCGTGCCTGTGATGAGCGCGGAGAGATGATTGTTGTAGACAAGGGCCCACTGGGCTTGGAATTCAGCGTTGATGTGCAGCTTGATAGGCAGAAGCCGGCGTAGCACGTGAGATCCGGGGCGGTGGGGAGATGGAAGCTTTCTGGCCCTGCGCCGGGCGGCGCTGGGATTTGAAGGCGCGGGTGTTTTCCGGGTATCACTGGTTTGGTGGTTGAGGCGATGATGGAGTCGTAGACGTGGAGACGGAGCTCGGTCGGCAAATTGAGGAAGGTTGGCATGGCGATGGGTTGAACAACTAAGTAACGATAGATTCGTGCGGTTGAGAGGAGGTGTGGTCGATATCGAGGGCAGTGTTGAGGCACTGGGTTTATATTAGAAGGGAGGCTTGCGAAGAATAGCATACTTCCATGGTCTCCACCATGTAGCTGCCGCTCCGAGCCCAGATACCCTCAATATATCATTTGGTAGCTTGAATATATGCCTAGACTCCTTTCGCCGCGCCATCTGAGGGACTCTGTTCGATTCGCTTCTTCCACACACCAGGTGGTTGAGGTGATGGTGTTGTAGTAGACTTGGATATGAAGTTTATCGGGAAGATCGAGGAACATTTTGTATTGATGCCTGTTGTCACTTTTATCAAGTCTTAGACTGAAAATTATTGACCAAAGGAAAAAAAAAGAAAATGGCAAAGGTTGAGGTAGCGTGCGTACCATATCCACCAATTTATCAATTTGATGTATCCTTATTATTGAGTCGATAAAGCCACTTGTAGCATCTTTCCTATTCGATGCTCGTGCAAAGATCCTACAACCGTCATCCGAGGGACCCCCACAACTCCTCAATCTGCGCACTTCCTCCTTCGATCATCCCTCACACCTTGATGCCACAAACTCGGACATGTCGCTTTCTAGAGCGACTGCCTTGATAAACACAGGACTCGGATCGCAGATCGCGCTGACGGGCAGCAAGGTGAAGATGGATGAATGAGACTCGTCGACTAGCGCGGATGGGAAGGAGTTCTGTGTTTCAAACCTTGATGGTTCAAATTCGGACTTTAGTTGTGTATCATAGAAAAGGAGGGTATGATAAGGACGTAGGCCGTGAGAGGACGAGGCTCAGGGGAGTGAGGATTCGGGTTGGGTCATTGTGTTGGCGGTGATGATGGCGCGGAAGATTTGGAAACGGAGTGAGGCGGGGTGGGATAGGAGAGTGCTGGGTTGGGGTGGGGATGCAGTCATGTTGGATACGCCTTAAGCAGTGCCCGTGTCGGCACTTCCCGTTCGTCATGTTCACGCGTACTGAGCGCTCAAATCCGGAGTACCTGGATACCGTATTCAAGCTGCCATCTTTACTTTACAGACATGTAGAAGGTGAAGATGAAATGCAGGTAGGCGCAAGCAATGCCAGCGATAGCATAGCTTACGCTTGGAAGGGACTTGCCGATAGGGGACGGGCAAGCAGTCAAATGTGGAGAGGCTTGCATTAGTCCGGTATGTGTGATTCCAGAGACATGGATGATGGTTGGTACGAATGAGCGAGAGATGGTGCCATTGTCACGCATTCGAGTCGTGTCGGATCAAGCAGAGACTATGAAAGCTGGAGAGAGGAGAGCACGGTAGATAACTCGAAAGAATGAACATAAGAGTTGCGAATTCTAATCTTCGGGTTATTCATGTGAGAAACTCAAAACAGTTGCCATGAAAGTGTGTCGTAGAACCGACGATGTGCAGGTACTGGTGCTGGCATGACTTATATCCGCACCACCTTATGGCACGCGTCATCACCCTTGTTTTTTCCAGCAGTATGAATCAATATAAACGTCCCAGCTGTGTGCGCAGAAGGCTCCTTGACCGTGTACTGGTCGCTCATATGTCCAGGTGATGTGCCTTGCTCATCGAAGAGAGTATTCATCGTGTAAGCGCTTTGATGTGAGCATGTAAAATGATTCGAAGTACGTACACTAGGACTTGTGCACAGAACAAAGAACAGTTGAGAAAGAGAGACACATTTGTGGTGGCGTGCAGCTGCGAAGAGATGACATGGAAAGATGTTGTGACTATGTGAGCGGAACTTGCCGTCGTCGCTCCTGCTATTGCCAGTTTCACTAAGACCGCGCTTTCAACGACGCGTCGACACCCACCCGATTCTGATTTTCCAATTATGACCAGTCAACATTATAAACCTTCATACGTACATCTTCCCCGCGGACAGCTTCGCAACAGCAGCAATAATGGATGACGCACGCTTGGCGCGGCATAACGTGCCTACACCCCGCATCACCCACCGGCAATGTCGAGCTATCGCCGCAAAATCCGCGTTGAACAGCGATTCACCCGTCGCTGCTTCCTAATTGGGACCATGACGAGCTGTAGCTGCAGCTATAAGAGGATGGAGTGTCTTCAGAGGCGCATTGCTCAGTCAAAAGTCTCCTCACCTTGACCTCCACCCTACATCGACAGATACGCAATCATGCCAGACAAGCTAGACGTCGAGGGCCTCCTCAAGGAGTCGAAAGCCGAATACAGGCGCTTGGGAAATAGCGGCCTCAAGGTTTCGGTGCCCATTCTGGGTGCCATGAGCATTGGCTCGTCGAAGTGGCAGCCGTGGGTCATTGAGGAAGAAGAGTCGCTACCGTTGCTGAAGGCTGCATACGACCGTGGTCTGACAACTTGGGACACTGGTACGTCTCTGGAGAATGGGACTCGATTGCCCCAGTCGCTAATGTATGCACCACAGCCAATGTCTACTCCAACGGAGTCTCGGAAGAGATCATTGGCAAGGCGATCAAGAAGTACGAACTACCCCGCCACAAGCTCGTCATCCTCACCAAGTGCTACGGATACACGGGCGAAGACCCAGGTCTGCGAACCATCCAGTATGGCACGGAGCTTCCACAACTCCGAGACTACACCAACCAAGGCGGCCTGTCGCGTCAGGCCATCTTCAACCAGGTCAATGCCTCCCTGAAGCGTCTCGACACCGACTACATCGATCTCCTCCAAATCCACCGATTCGACCACAACACACCTATCGAGGAGACAATGGAGGCGCTGCATGACCTGGTCAAGAGCGGCAAGGTGCACTACATTGGTGCCAGCTCCATGTGGGCCGTGCAGTTTGCGCGGATGCAATTCGCTGCTGAGAAGAACGGCTGGACCAAGTTCATCAGCATGCAGAACCACTACAACCCTGCTTTACCGCGAGGAAGAGCGTGAGATGAACAGGTTCTGCAACGACACTGGTGTTGGTCTCATTCCGGTATGTTACCAGACACGTCCTATTCTCTTGAGTTACTGACAGCTTCTAGTGGGCACCCCTCTGCCGTGGACATCTCGCCCGCCCCTCCTCCGCTTTCGGCAGCACCACGCGCTCAGAAGGCGAAGAAAAGGCCAATGCGCTGCAGACCGGCCGCCAGAACAATGACAAGCAGATCATCGAGCGCGTGGAGGAGCTTGCGAAGAAGCATGACTGGAAGATGAGCCATGTCGCGCTCGCGTGGATCAATAAGCGCGTCTCGAGCCCCATTATTGGCTTCTCGAGCGTGGCGCGTATGGACGAGGCGCTTGATGCACGAGGCAAGGAGCTGACAGAGGAGGAGGAGAAGTACCTCGAGGAGCTGTATGTTCCTGTCAGCATTGTAGGTCACTCGTAGTGGAAACATAGCACACCAGAGAGTAGCATGGATGGAACAAACGAAGTCTGTTCAATTGAAGTGTCACAAATCAGAGTGCACCACTATAACCAGATGCTTGAATTGTAATTTACCTTCGGATCATGTTAAGCTCCGCGCTGGAATGAGTGGGATGCGCATCTCACCTGATCGCGGTGACGTAACCCGAGTCGCGTGAGCTCACGTTACCATCGTCCCAGAGCTGCCTTCGCGAACAACAACATGAAATTGAGGCTCAGACTGATCTAGGTAGCTATCCGGAGGCTCAATTCCAGCCAGTTTAGCTTTGCCATCTTGATGTTCCCGCTCATTGCCCATTGTTCCCCTCATTCCAGGAGCGTCTTGATAGCTCCTTCCCCGCACTGCACCCCAGACGCTCGGGCCCATGAGTTCACGGACACCCGTTTCATTGGATTGGATGACCATGGTGTGCTGATCAAGTGACATGTGCGAAACCCCTCATAAACCGCGCCCTCCCTTGCTTCTCCTCCTCTTCACACTCAACTGTGCCTTGCAATCTCTCGTACCTTACCCTCATACTCAACCATCAAGCATTCAGCTTCTCGAAGCTCTTCCATTGATCCAACCCCTTCACAATCGCAACCATGACAGACACACTCTCCAAGGTCGATTCGGCCAATGACAACTTCGTCAAGGCTACGGCTGAGGAGGTCAAGAAGGGCCACCGCAGAGCTTCTTCCATGGCCGCTGATGTCTATGCCATCGAGGATCTTGGTCAGTGCGACGATACGACCCCAAGTGAGGGGTTGGAGGGGCAGGTGGGGCTGACTGAACAACAGAGAAGGAGAAGAAAGAAATCCAAATCTCAATTGAGACACAGAAGCTCGGATGGTATGTGGAAGCTCCTCACCTTGATGTCTACTTCCGCAACATCCGGGGCGTTCGGTTGTCGCGGCAAGCTGTACAAGAAGAGCTATTCTGACTGGCATCCACAGGAAGCTCAACGAGTCATCAAGCAAGGTCGAGGACCCAGCAGTCTTGAAGCTGCCATTGTGCTTGCCCAAGCTGAAGAAGATCACCCTGCACTTCCCGCTCGGCCTGGAGGTCACCGCACGGAACATGAAGGGCGTCACCATCAAGGACGCATTAGACGCCATCCACAAGCAATTCAAGAAGCGCGTATGTGTTCCTTCTCTTTTCAGTATCCGAGCCGCATCTTCCGATGCCTCACAATCACATGCACCCACCAGTCTCCGATGCATCACTTCTAGCAGCTTGCTAACTTCACCCTAGGCAGATGACGAGATCGAGAAGCCATATCTCGCTGGCTTCGAGTGGGACCCAGAAGAGTGCTACACCCGCTTTGTCGTCCATCAGTCTAACACGCCAACCTCGTCCATGTCGGGCGGCGGCGGCTCCGGCGGCAAGAAGAAGAAGAACAAGAACACCATCCCCGAGGAGGGTTCCTAGGTGAACGACTCGCCCCCTTCCCTGCTATCGACTTCACACACGGCCCCGATCGTATCCAGGCTTCGGCATCGGTATGGCGGGTTTGGCATGCAATCGGGTACTGGCATCTACAACATCGAAACGGGAAGAGCGAGCGCACTCGCTGCGGACGGAATAGCTGGTGATTGCTTCGCTTCGGCGGGCGAACACACGGCAACGATCGTTGGGCGGTGCATGTTCATTGGAGGACTACTCGCAGGTTACGTGCTGGTGGAACTGGCTGTACCTGTTTATGTACGTTAAAGGCATCTCTATCGGGTCGCTGGATAGCGCTCGACGTAACGAGAAGACCAGAATATCGTGAATGCGTTCGTCAGTGTTGCTGTGATGTCGTGGAAGACTTTGGCGCGGGTAGGGATTGAAGACCCACTGCGGGCGGCTTTTGCACACGAACCGCCTTAAGCGAAGGGGCACACTGGCATTACGACCTTTATCTTGCAGGTGTGATATTAAATCGTGATTTGTTTATTATCGCGTCAAGGTGCACACTCTCTGATTGAATGCGTCCTGTCCGAGCTGAGATGGAAGGCCTCCAGAGCCTATCGACGCCCCTGGAGGTGCCATGAGGGGCGGCATGCATGACCGTGGTCGCAGGTGCAGCTGTCTCACTACACTTCTAGCACGTCTCCACCACTGCACGTCTTCCTACCTTTCATGTCTTTGTACCCTCAATCCTTGCTATATTCTTTACTTTTTGTGCATGCCCAACATGGAGACGTCTGCGCTCTTTCCCGGCTGAGGCCATGATCCTCGATTTGTCACACCTCCCCGCATACCCAACTACATGAACTCGGATGGTCGAGCGCATGCCGTTAAAGCTCTTACTAAGCATTTTCACATTGCTACTCTACGCTGCCTGCCTCGGGTGCCCAGCAAAGAAATCCTGAAGGATGTTCTCCAACCTGCAGATACGCCCGGCCAAGTCGCCTCGGCGAAAAACCAGCATGGCCACACGAGCAGGAGTCAACAAACGACGCATCTCCCAAGTCATGACCAACGTCAACGACATACCTTCCCTAAGTTTCATGGAAGATCTATTTGGTGAAGAATTCCCAGAGGCATTCGGCACTGGCGAGATGAAGAAACGCAAGACCATTCTGGATCTGCCGGCTGAGCTATTGGCCATCATCTGCGAAGAGCTTTCGAGGCCAGACATCAAGAGACTACGACTGGCGAACACGTATATGGCCAGGAATGTGGATCTTCGCATCGATCGCGTCTTCATCTCGCCCAATCGTGCGAACTTGCAATGTCTGCGGAAGATTATGGACCATCCTCGGTACAGGTTGGATGTTTTGGAGGTAGTCTGGGACGATGCGCAACTAGACGAGTATCCGGATTTGGAAAGTTTCTGTAAAGCTATTGAGGCAGACGAAAAGGATCAGCGGAGAGAGACGGAGAAGATGCTGAAAGAGCTCATACTATTCAATTGCGAAGACCGGGGACAGTACATGGCGCATGAGCACGATGGCTATTTTGACGAAGACGGGAAACTCACAGAAATGGCAAGTGAGATATTACTGCGGTATGATAATCAATCAGCGAGGCATGTCATTGGGCGACATGCGGGGGCCGTGAGCGTTGATGAGAGTTATGAAAGATATCAAGAGCTGTATGAAGAAGAGCAGGAAGCCATGGAGCGAGGGTACGATGCAGCAGCACTTCGACACGTACTGGAAAGCTGTCCAAAATTGGAGAGGATTGTGTTGACGAGTGAGGTCTGGAGACCATGGCATCTCCAACCCGTGTACCACACACCCTTCCATCGTTCACTACCACCCGGCTTCCGCAAACCATCCGTATGGCCATGGCTTGGCTACAGGCCACATAGCACATCATCTCAGACTGCCCATCGAAACGACACCATGTCGCGTAAAATCCAAGACCCCAAAGCGTCTCTCCCCCACGAGTTCCGCGGTTACAGCACTATTATCTCCTCCCTACTCACCGCCCCCAACCCAACCATATCCGACTTCATCATCTACACTGGTCACGAAGCTATCGGCATAAGCCACCAGCTCTTCGCTGCCCCCAACCTCGACCTCACAAACACCATGCTGATGGCCCGCTCCATCCCCCTGAAGCGCCTCCAACTCACCCTCAACTCCCACGGCTCCCACCTCGAACGCAACAACACTGCGCACTACCTGCGCTCCCCGCACCTCCACGCCTTTCTGTCCGCCCTCACACATCTCGAGCATCTAGACCTCGCGCCCAACTGCTCCACCCGCCGCTCAGACGTTCCCGATGTCATAGACACCGTGTTCGGCCCGGGCATCAGCATCCCCGCCGCGCTGTTGCCGCGCCTGAAAACCTTCGCACTCCGCAACGCGCTCCTATCCGCCTCCTCGCTCCTCTCCCTACTCACTCCGCAAACTTCCTCCCAGCACATCACACTCGACAACATCCGCTTCTCCGACGGCGCGTTTCCCGACTTTGCGCGCAGTTTGTGGATGCATTATGATCGGCACGTCGATGTTAGCAGGCCGGTGTACGAGCTTGTTGTGTGTGAGCGCTGGGGGAGGAAGACGAGGCTGTGCGAGGAGTTTTGCGCGTGGCTGTATGCTGGGGAGATTGGGGATGAGAGCGTGTTTGGCGAGGGCGTGGGGTGGGTCATGGATGATCGGGATGAGAGGGTGTGTGTGGGGAAGGGGGAGTGGGTGAGGAGGATGGGGTGGGTGGGGTAGAGATTGAAGGTTTCGTGGGGTGTTTGAGCGGTGAGCATCGAGGGTATGGAGACAGGAGGACTTCTTATGTTTCGTTGTGAAAGATGGGGGTAGCTGAAGTCCGACACGCAGCACTCATGCATCAGCATTTCCCGACAATTTTCGTGCACTTTGTCATGTTCTGCTACATCTAAACCCACACACTACTTCCGCGATATCCAGACTGTAGCATTCGTGCAACTACCGCCTACGGGACGGTGATCCAACATCAGAACCTCTTATGTTTTGCCACGCGCCCCATATACTACCCTTCCTCGACGACTTGCACATCATAGCTGAATGCATAAGATCTGTCTTCCTAGCCCACGCGAATGCGCGGGGTTCTGTGTATGTTTGTAGAAGGGATATAAGTAGGATGAAGGCGTCATTACGGCATATCAGCATTGCTTGCGAAGGCTTAGAAATCACGTATACATTGTTAGCGCGCACTGAGCTATACGTTAAGTCGGGGTGGTGTTTCTGCATCGGCCTTGATACAAGTGCCCATTGACTGTAGATGTACGCGGTTGTATATGCGTACAGAGAAAGTGTGTGCGTGGGCAAAAGCTATCTTCAGAGCGTAGTTACGATACGTAGAAATTATACATCCATTGTAAGCGCGCAATGAGCTGCATATGCAGTTCTGAATCGACTCTCTGTTCGGTATCATGATGCGTGTTAGTATACAGCATCGAAGTAGCTTTGAAGCATAGTTCTGATAGCCGAGAAAAACATAAGCATCATCAACGCGCTGTGGAGTACATGGAGGTTGCAGGCAGTATTCAGGATCGGCCCCTTGTTTGGTGTCAGGTTGGTATGGCGTTTAGTTTTGTAAAGGGACTGAGCAGGGGCGTCGTGTCGAGTTCATGGACAATGCTTCGGGATGTCTCTACCGCATTGCGCGAGCGTGCCATCCTGTGGCTATTATCCTGGATGTCGATGTCGCTGGAGGATCTGCATCTGGAATTGTGCGCGCATTTACATTGCTCCGTAGCGCTTCGCAAGCAACGAGCTGTATCTCAGTGGCGTTGAGCACTGGGCTGCTGAGCTCCGAGACAGAGAGACCTACCGGCTAATGATTATTCAGATAGAAGCTACAAATCGCTGGAGTGGTATTGAATAGGGAATATCAAAGATAAGATAGAATGATTCTCATAGAGTGCGGTCATGCATGTGGATTCGAAGGCCTACGGAACGAGACTTCAACTGTGCAAGAGAGAATTTTTTCTGAGGTTAGAACAGTGTTCCTGGATCTCTTCGACTGTAATGCAATGTAGAATCGCAACGTACGAGATAATTGTATGATTGAGGCTACCACAAACATGCTCGCGCCGACCATCTAATGCAGACGTACCATTCTCCGCGACCAAGTATTACTTCTCGCATTTTGCGATATCTTCTAGACCTTCTGCTGGCTGTGCGTCTTTCAGAACATGTATTGGGTAACAATACTGCGCTACTGATATTCGACATACTTGAACATAACTAATCTTACGACTGGAATCATGTTGACGTGCCTCTACAATTGTCTCGATGTAATGTTCGACTACCTAGAAGTCTTGGCCCGTTTTTTAATGCAAAAGTGTAACGTACTAATTCAGCGACACGACAGACGAACGCGACTTCTCATCACTTACAACGCTCTTGCATAAGTTCTCGAGCTATGCTGCAGCTTCCGTGTTCTCAGCGATAGTCGTGATCTCTGAAATGCCACTCGTCTGGTGATTTGCATAGCTATATGTCATGAAAAAGGAATTCGTTCATGCGAATGAGGTGCTTTTCTGTCGGTATTTGCTACTATCGTCGCAATGTTCGCATTGCCAGGTTTGAAAAACAATATGGGGCAGTTGATTTGAGAGCTGGAAGAATGCCAGAGCGGTCGTGATAGACATATGGTCTCTTCAAGCGGCATATTTGAATGGGCTCAGAGAAAGTTCAAGCCATTTAAGCTCAAGGGACTGGCAACGACCGTCTTGTGTGACTTCGCGTAGTATGCAGTCACCATATCATCCGCCCCTCGATAGGCGTGGAAGAGTTCGCAATTCTCCTCTCTCCTTCTTGATAGACTCGTGGTTTTTACTGGCAGTGAATCGCTCGAGCAGCTACTGAACTTGTGTAGACATGTGTCTTGTTCAGCTGGAGTGCAATGCTAAAGTGGGACTCTGCTGCAGTCAGCTTCCATCAGATATCCAGATGGTTGGCCAGCCGGATCCGATCTGTTTTGGGTCTTCTAGAACTTCTGGTCATTACCTCATCTGGGCAGCATCACCAATGGCAGTCATAGGCGTATACACTACAGTGTGCTATGCTTCTTTCATCAACATTCGCAGCATGTTTCTGAGCACCTGTTATAGCTGTAGGCTTCGTTATCTACATACAGAGAGGGATTGTTTCAAAATTGGAAAGAGATTCGTCACCATGAGCTCCTGTGTGCAACGTGCTTCGCAATCCGTGATGTTGCCTGAGAAGCGAGGAATGCATTCCATCAACACCTCACCACAGGTTATCGCAAAACCAACACCACGATTCGAAAGATACGTACCTGGATGAAATAACTGCCAAAGCATACCCAAAACATGTCCGGCATTCTGATTCCTCTGTCTGAGCGGCAGTCTCGACCATCGCAGCGGAATGTCTCAGACCCCTACAACCTGGCCATACCTCCAAGAAGTCAGCGGCGCTCTACCTACCAACGCGCAGATACACCGACACAATACCTTGATCCACCAGATGAAGTGAAAGAAAAGAGAGGTACGCCGTACTTGGAGATCCCAACAGCGACAATTGTTGTTACCGAACGCCCGCGACCACGCACGCTGAACGGCAGTTCACAATCCATGATATTTCGCCACGAAAGCAAATACGATCCCAAGAGGTGGGAGAAGCCAAGGAAAAAGATAAATGACCGAGTGCTTGCATTTGCAGTAACATTCGGTCTCGCCGTACTCCTGGCAGTTGCAATACCACTTGCAGTGATTCTGCCACAAAAGTACATTAAGCCATTACCAATCAATGTACTGGTACCATTCTTCGTGGACACAGTAAACGATTCTTGGGAACGATTAGAAGACGCGTATGTTGGCTTCTTCAAGTGACATCCCGATCACCTAATGCTGACCTTACGCACAGCATCATCAAATACCACGACATACACTTCAGCGTCGTCGTCAATCCGAATGACGGGCCAGGCAATGCCACATGGCCATCCGCCACGATGATAGAATCTGTCCAACGCATCAACAAGTTTGCCAACGTGCAGGTGCTTGGTTACATCGATACTGCCAACGGGACCATGCTGAACGCAACCGTGCGAACTCAGATCGCGACGTACGCAGGGTGGTCGAATGTAACAGAAGACTTCGCGTTGGACGGCATTTTCTTCGACCGAACACCGTGGAAGAATGACGATGAAGGCAAGGTGCAGGCTTATTTGCGCAATGTGAGCGCGACGGTCCGAACCGCCGATGGCTGGGCCGACGGTCGGAAAGGCTTGGTCGTGCACAACGCTGGACATATACCAGATGCGGACTTAATGGATGAGAAGCCTGATATTGTGGTTATGTTTGAGGGCGCTTACGATGATATGCCGGAAAGAGAAGCGCTGCATGCGGAATTAGCCGCAGCAAAAGGTGAAAGAGAGAGCTTCGCCATGCTCGTGAACTCAGTGCCAAAAGACCTAGGACGAGGAGGACTACGAAGAATTGTGGAAAGCGTTCGGAGGGATGTGGAGTGGTTGTATCTGACGAACTTGACGGATAATGTGTATGCAGGGTACAGCTCGTTCTGGGAGCAGTGGCTTGATGTTTCTTGGTAATATCTGAAGACAACGAAGGCACCTTTTCCAGGCTGTAAAAAAGCATCAAAGCGTTCTTGTAAAAAGTTCCGACTAGGCACACCAGACTTCTTCGTGCATGTGCCTGGTTGTCCGTGCTTAGTCAGCGGTTAAAGAGCGGGTGTACGAAAGGACACATAAGCTCTTCCTTAGACGCGAATGCAAGTATGTCTAACAATATGAAGGCCACAATCCTACTTCCTCTATATGTATACCCGAATCAAGGCGCATGGGATCCAATCTACACAGCGTAGATATGACTTTGCTTCGATCTCGGCGCCTAGGCTAACGAGTCCTAGCATTGAAGCAAATCCTAATCTAGACTTCATCGTTATAATCAATCCGAGCAATGGTCCGGGCGGGGCCGGATGGTGGCCTAATGCAGACTATACCCGCGAGATACCGCATCTCGGCTCGTACTCCAATGTACGAATTGTCGGTTACGTACACTCGACGTACTGCAACAGGCCAATAGAAGATGTGTTGAAAGACGTTCAAACGTATGCGGACTGGGCGCTGGAGGATGAAAAGCTTCAGATGCAAGGCATCTTCGTGGACGAGACGCCGAATCTTTACACGCCGAAGACTAAGCAATACCTCGACACTATCAATAGCGTAGCGTGGAAAAACGCACGAATCGGCGGAGAACGACTGGTGAGCCAAAAGCCTGTAATAAATTCTATTGTTGAACTGACATGTTCAAGATGATTCACAATCCAGGCACTGCGGTCAACAAATCGCTAGCGGAGCCTGGCCCGGATATTACGGTGGTGTCTGAGACTTCATATGACGAGTTCGTCAAAGAACACTATCAGAAATGGCTAGCGACTTCGCCGTATGATCGCTCGCAAACGTGCTACATGCTGAACTCGGTTCCAGAGGAGGATATTCAGGACTTGACAGTGAGATTGCGAGAAAGGGCAGCATTCTTGTTTTTGACGAGTGCGAAGACAGACTTCTACCAAAGCTTCGACAGTTCGAGCTGGCAGGATTTTGTGGCAGCAATGGCGTCGGAATAGGGGGCTATGCTATGGAGGGTCTCTGCTAGAGAGGCAAGGCGGGCCGACATTTTCGTTGGCGATGTTTGGTAAAAACATCGGGATGAATACAGCTCCCTGAGATATTGAAACTTCTGGCCGTGATCGTTCATGTGCACGGAGCACAGATAGCATAAATGTTTAAGCATCATCGTATCTTGATGCGTCGGTGCCGCTGTTGCTCTGTCCGTGGAATGGCTTTTCAAGAAAGTCGTGCTCAAAGGCCTTCTCGACAATGCTCCAGATCCTGCATCGATTCCAGAGTCCTAGCGGCATGTTGTCTAGTCGCGGGTCATAACCTGCGATAGGGAACTGTTTCGTTGCCAACAGCTTCGCAACACTTCTCCAATCCCAATCTGTAGCTAGGGGTACGTTTCTGGGTCCTTGCTCCAGTGCCTCGATGTCTTTCGCGTTCAAGTCCCACAAGTGTGCATGTAGGCTCCCAGTAAAGAAATGGCTACGCCAGAAGCCATTGTCTAGCCGCACCTTTTGGATCATTGTTTTTGATGTGCGATGGAGCTTGATGATGGATTGAGTCGGGAGGTAATGACAGATTGCATCGAGCAGCTCATTCGGGAGTCGCTCGATGCCCCGATATTCTTGCTCCGAATTTTGAGGGATGCCTTTGGCCGGCACTTCCGGTGACGATACCGAAAGGACATCGTGAATGAAGTCCGCGATGTCCGAAATGTCAATCGGGTCGGCATAGAACCTCTATACCATGTCAACCGAGCTCAACGCTTGTGGAAATTACACACATCATATCCTCCACCCCACCACTCAGCCTTGGTCATGGCCAAAACACTTCGTGGTCCGTAAAGTCCCGACTAATGACATAATTCGAAGATGTCGTTCATCAGTTTAGTCTCGAGCTCGACCATCTCGTGTCGATTCGAGTAGCGGATGTTCAGGAATTGATACAAAGTTGCAAGAGTGGGTTCCAAGTTCGTGTCTTCCATCCGAAAATGTACGTTTTGTATAGCTCGACAGCTTATATCAATACAGGCTTCATGTAGTGGAAACAGCGTATTTTTAGAGTTGCTCGAGTGGCAAAGTGTGTTGTACCAAATGTCGTCTGTCCTCGTGTCATCTAGGACACGAAAGGCGCCATAGCCTGCAGTTCGGAACGCGGCCCTCTCCGACAGAAAGATGTCCTTCTCATTCGAAGTGTTTACTGGCCTTCTTTCTGTTTAGTGAGCTTGCAACAACCAAACTGGACTACAAACCCACTGAGATGGACCGCTTGTGAGTCTGTGTGCACTTAGGGCCTCAAAATCACCAAGAAGCCGCAAATTTGACAGCCACTAGTACCTCCACGTTAGCTCAATATGATGTGCCGGTCGAGGATACTGACTTTGCATTGTGGCTTTTTCGGATCCAAATTGTATACGTCGCCTTCGATGTCAAAGGGGGCACCACAAACAACACAGAATGCCCCTGATTCCATCGCATAACGCGCATCACTTATCCATTTATCATCCTGATCGTCAAGCTCTGCTGATGACCAGATGCTACCCATTGAGCTGTCGAGAAGTGAGACAGTGGCAGGGAGTGTGAGGTAGCACTAGCTCGCAAAAGATGATGAAATAGTATTGCTAGGACTTTGTGGTACTGACATTACTACCATGAGATTTCACAGGTAAGACGGCTGGCATTTGCGATAGGTCCAGATAATATCAATGACGTTACCAACGCCGTCTTTTGCGTAACCCAATCAAGCTTGGCTTATGTCATCTATACATCTTGCTGCACTCGCGCCCATTGACACTGAGCTTAAAGCCCTATCATAGCGTTTTGGTGATATTTTAGTTAAGCCTAACACGATTCGTAGGCTTGTAGCGACGTGGAAAGGTACTGGAAAACGTTTGAAGTAAGTGCGGTGTGATGACGAGCTCAAGGCCTCAATTTCATGGGGAGCAGGAAACAAATCATGACTTTAGCCTACATTCGGCGGCATCGCGGTTAACACAGCGAAGGGTCCAATTTCGACATAGGAAGTTGAGATGAGATGGCCGCGAGCGTTCTCGCGTGTCTCTGTCTCGTGTGGCTCTCACGCTGATATATCAGCCTAGCTAGATGCGGTGTTAGCGAGGTTGGTTGAGCCGCAACCAGGCTGCAGGAAGTTATCAGCAAACATTGACTTACATACTTCACACACTCACAATATTTTGCTCAGGCAATGGAACAAGCCTCTCCGTTGTTGCGTCTGCCGCGCGAGCTGCGTGACGAAATTTTCAAATACGTCTTCGACATCTTCGATCAGGAACGGCTGCAATTTAGCCGGCATCACGATGTGATGCAGCAGACAGTAACACCGCCAATCTGCGCACTACCACCAATCTGCTGTGTATCGCAACAGCTGTACATTGAAACGACGCCATATCTCATCAGTCGTGTTACGCCTTTCTCTTCAAGTGTCGCGACAACCTGCTGGCTTCGCAAATGGCTGGCAACTCTCCCCAACGAACTCGGCTATCGCTCCATTCAACACCTAGCATTCCGCAACTTCCACGGACCTGAGCAGATCAAAGGCTTTGAACTCATCGCGCTTTGTACGAATTTGCGGCACCTGAATGTCATGCTTGGCGATGAGTACTCAGATCCCGGCACCGTTCCGTCCTTGGCGATTAGCTCGCTCAGTAGCTCTGTCAACGCATACGAAAGCCTCGATAACATCATCCTGATGCACCAGCTTCATTATCTAATCGACATCCCGAAGCTGGAGCTTCTCGAGTTCGGTTTTCATGATTGGGAGCAGCCCGTCAGCTGCGACCGAGCACGTCAGGTCAAGGAATGGCTTACAGTCAAGTTTCAGAATAAGGGAAGGGATGTCAACGTTGTTTGCAAACAAATGCAATGGGGGTGGAGATTGCTCGATCGATGATGTGGATGAGATATCTCTCTGCTGGTATTCGGCTTCATAATCCTCTCTGGCACCGCTCCATGTGTCTTTCTCAGGCAGCAATTGACCCCGCCCGAAAGCGTAAAAGTGTAAAGGCCTATAGCAATACAATTATCTTCTCAGATCGTTTACCTCCACCATAAATTGATACAGGTGCAAGTAGACAGGACGTCATATACGCTAGGCGACCACATTACTTCCCTTTGTGTATTGAGTGAAATGGGGATTACCTTGATCGATGCCTTGCTGATTCGAGAAATTTTCCGTTATCTACGCCACGATGCGGAGGTGTTTTCTGTCGTCCGGATAATTATGCATACGGAACTCAGAGGAGTACCTTGGCTAGCAGGGGTAGTACCACGAGTGGCGTGGTTGCAAGTTATAGTGATTAAGCGATGTGGCACAGCTGGAGACCTGGTATAACTTCCACAAATCCAATTGAACTCAACCATACGAACCGGCGAAACAGTCAACATGACAAGCAATCGTTCAACTGCCCGCGCGTCTCGCTTGGCAGACTCAGCGTATAACTCGCCATACTCACATGCTGGCGCGCCATCTCCACATCCCAACACCGACCCCTATGCTCCTCTTCGTACGAAAGCGCTTGCCACGCTTGAAGGTATGGGATACGACCCGAAGACCATGGTCGAGCGTGGAGTGCTATGGGCCGAAGATCAGGACCCATTTGGTCATGTCATGAACAGTCGTTACATGCAGTTTCTGGGCACAGTCATCTATCGAGTGATGGAATGCTACGATGAATATCTCAACGAGGAGGAGTATGAAGGCATGATTACAGCCAAAACCGTCATACCTGTCGTTAGGAAGTACGAACTCGCCATCTTGAGGCAGGTCAAATACCCAGATGCTGTAAGTACAATTTCCGTTCCAAGAAGGTAGAATCGCGAACTAACCGCGAGATAGCTCATTGCTGCTCATCGCCAGGAACACATGGAGCCGACAAGAACAAACGGAGTGACTTCTCTCTTCTCCCTTAAGCAGCAGGCCATTGTTGCTGAGCTACGAGGCTCCGTCACATACGTGAACGCGAAGTCTGGCCGTCCTGTGGACATTCGAACGCTTGGTGGAGGATGGCCGAGCCTTTTTGAAGGCTTCACCAAGAAAGCAGAAAATGCCCTGGCTTTGAAAGAGAAGTGGGAGATCGAGCACCCCAAGCGTATTAAGCCGGCAGAAATTTCGAAGATCTAAGGCTACTGTGATTTTTAGCCTGGTACGTAGTCCCGGAGAGTCGCTCGAATAGTCGCTCTTTGATGATCATACCTGGAGCATGGCAAACACTCGGTGAGAGCCAGAATGCTTCCTGTTCGTACATGCAGACGCCATGAATAACTATCATAACACATGCGAGGGTTGATTGTAACACGTGATGTCCGATTTCTTTATGATGTCGTTGATGCAGGCAACACGCGCCCGGCCAATGCTTGCGACAAGCTCTTTCATTTTGAAGATGCAAGACAGCTATGCGATATGACCTGACGTACATCGGCGTACGTCAAAGATGCACCTGTGTTACGAGGTCACGTTCCGACGCGTTACGCGAATTTTGGACCAGGGCCAAAACGCGCTAAGAGATTGCTGACGTTCCGATCTCACTGCTTTTACGTCATTCACTCCTTTTCATCTTGTCACACTTCCACCAGCTGCTAACTCTTCGCGTCAATTCCCTTAAAAGTCACGTCGGCAAATTGACAGCTCTGAAGCGGTGGGACGCAATTATTAGCAGCAATCGTAACAGTACGATCAGCGCACGCGCACGCCATCAAACACCACTGTGTCAAAATTTCACGACAGGGTAAGCAAGTATCAGTATGTGAAAAACCTAGTGTGTTTCGTGGATACATCAGCCCGCTTACGCATGGCCAGATATAGTCATTCATCGTCCGCACTAGACTTCATTTTCTTCAACAAGCTTTTTCGCATACCTTCAAGAATTCCAGGCGGGTGCATTTCGTGAGAGGGTGCATCAAATCCATCATTTGAGATGTCGCTTTTGAACTTGAGCCCAGAGTTGCTACTTCTTGTCGCGTCTTACGTGCGTCAGGTCGATCTGCTCAATGTCTCACTGGTGTGCAAACAACTGCACTTCACGATTGAACCTGAGCTCTATCGTGAATATAGCAACCCGCGGCTGTATACACGCTCCATCTTGCCATTTCTTAAGAAGATTATCGAACGCCCTGAGCTTGCGAAGCATGTTCGGCAAGTGGATTTACATGAGTGGGAGTCGTTTGATCACTTCTATCCACACATGCAGAATGGAAGATCAGAGTTGGACATTGACAGATACCGGAAGGAAGAACTCACCCGAGAGGAATACTATACCCTTGCAGAAACTGCAAAGTGTGCAGGAGTTATAAATGCGATCGACACTTACGAGTCGTCTAGTCTTCTGCTCGATAAAGTGGAGTCAATGAGCAAGGACATAGCTGTCCATAATTCTCCGTCCTGTAAGTTTGCACCGGCGCAACGTTTAACGTGCATGTCGCTAATCACCCCGCGACCTCAGGGTATGAACACTTGTTTGGCAATGAAGTACATTTCAATGATGTGCCATATGATACCAAGTTCTGCCAACTACTTCGCACAGGTGTTGAGGACGCTCAGGTTGTGCTTCTCCTTGCAATGCTGCCCAATCTGCACGAAGTGTTTCTCAGAGGTGGTCCTCATGATGTAAAATCGCTGGAGTGGCGAGCATCCCACAAATTTGCGTCGTTACGCAAGTTAACACTGTGTGGTGAAACCGGCGACCTCGCATGGCCTCTTGGATTTTATAGCTTTCTTTTGAATACAACACCAAGACTTGAACAGCTCAGAGTCTGTTTCGGCAGCTCTTGGTATCGGAATTTTGGCGATAGCTTTCCTGAGCCCTCAAGCGTCGTGCCATTGACTTTGCCGCCTGGATCGCTCAGTCAACTCACAACACTTCAGTTGAAGAGCTGCTGCCTCAAGATCAACGATCTACAGACTCTCATCCAGGCTTGCCCGGAACTGAAGTCATTCTACTACTACAGCGGGGAAGATGCACAAGGTCCTTATGGTCCATCGCCCGCAGGGATGATCAGAATATTGGAGCCACTGAAGGATAGTCTGGAAGAACTCTGGTTAAACCTTGACACTCTGGACGCGGATCTGGACGACGATTTTCGCATTCGCTCCTTGACGCACTTCACTGCTTTGAAGACTCTTGATACATCTGCCGATATGTGGGAAATGGTGGAAGATCTGGATGTCCTTGACCCTTACAGGGACGAGGATACAATCGAAGACAGTTACCGCTTATGCTACCGACTACCCAAAAATCTCCAGCAGCTCATCTTCCACTTGTCCGCAGAACAAGCAGAGCCATCCATCGGCCAGATCGTCGACCTCGTGCAAATGCGTCATACTATGCTTCCGAACCTACAATACCTCTGTATCGCCACTGAGGACGAGGAGTTCCACGAGGAATTGGATGAAGCTCTTTCTGACGATCTCAACGCCATGACTGCCGAACCCCAGCCTTTCGAAATGACCTTTGATGATGATATCCTCGTAACTGTCTTCGATACGGTGCTTCCATCCCGCCATCAGCCAGATACGCGATGGTATGGCAATAAGTACTCGGTCAGATACCGCAAGCCCACTAAGCTGGATCGCGCGCTCGATAAGATAGGCGAAGCGTATGAGGCAGGATACAGAGGTGAGACCCTGTCGGATGCCCTGGCAGACGAGCCGGAGTTGGCCGAGGTGCTCAAAGCAGACCATCCCAGTGCTGAGGATCCTCCGGAGTATTACGACACTGATGAAGAGGTGGAAATGCTTGGCTAGGCTGGTTTGGGTACGTCATGACAGGCATTTGACACATAACGAACGTGTTCCTATCAACATCAGCTACAGAATTGGGCAAGTTATGTTGCCTGGGCGGCGCCACTGTCGCCAACAGTCACGACTATATATTGACAACGCGTCCTCAAGCTATACGAGCTCGGCCGTTTTGCTTATCGACGGATTGTCGCCCTGATTTCGGTTTCCAGACCTAGGATTGAACGGGCGGAACAGGGCTAAGTTTTTGCAGCTTTCGTTCGACTCGACTACTCAACTGTCTCTTCTGAAGGTCACATATCCGCACATTTCGCACTATGTTTTGGTGAACTGAATCGTTCTATTACATTTTCGTTACTATTCGTCTGTACTAGTTATGCTACCAATACAGTTCGTGTTTCCCGAAGAAAGTTGTGGTTGCCCGCAATTGCTATCCAGTCATCGGACCTTCCTCCAGAACCTTGTCTTGTGCTCAATCCTTCTCTCCACCATTCAAGACGTCCATCTCTTACGCTCCACCTGGGTTGCAGCGGCTATTCTCCACTTCTCCCTTGACCCACTCGCCAACAGGCGTACCCTTTCGCTCATCCTTCCGCGGGAATAGGTGACTGTTGAACGTCCTCAGTTGCTGCTTCACCGGACTTATAGCATGCGCGGGATCCAACACAGCCTTGGGCGGTGCCAACTCCTCGCATGAGCTCTCACGGGAAAGATCACCAAGTGCATTCCGTATGTTTTCCCTGGACACGATGCGGAGCATCTCATGATCTGGATCTTCACGCTGTCTGGAGCGTGGGTTGCGGATCTGACGCTCAGGTGACTTTGCAGGAATGGGAGGAGGGATGTGGACATGTTCGGAGTCGGAATGGAGGAATTTCCATGAACTCTTTCTGGCTTTGGGTGATGGGGTGTTGGGCCAAGGTACGGCTTTGGGCAATGTTGAGGGCGGACCGGGCCATGCGACCTTTTGCGCGGCTGTACCCGGCTGAACTGGCATGCTGACTAGCTTTGGAGGTGGCAACACAGTCTGGGGTAGCTGGAACTTGGACTGGCCAGGCGTATCTGCCGATGCGACACGAGGACCACTGTAGGGAATAGGAAGGATTGGCGCCGGCAGACGGGTAGCAGGCGTCCTAGTACGAGCTGGCTCTGGGTTACGCATCGTGTTCATGCGGCGCACGTGCAAGTCAGTAAGAGAGATCTCTTTCTCCCACTCACTACCTTCATAGCTTGGGACGCGAACGTCGTGGTACGACTTCCTCTCGCGGATCTCCGGACTCTCCTCGAGATATAGCTTAAAACTGCGAACCTCATCGGCCTCAGGTTGCAAAGGACGTGGGATGGCGCTGAGCTGTCCCATGGGAGAGAAGACTGAATCGTCGGAGTCGCCACGCGCACGCTTGATCTGATCAGCCAAGTCTTCTATGAAAGGGTTCGAGTTTCGGATCGAGGTGAAGACGCTTACGCCGGAGGTCTCGCGATGCTGCTGGGGGCGAGGCAGCGGCGTGATCCTCATTGAATCGCGCAGAGGGTCATAAGGCTGCGATGAGTTGCGGTCCGGGAAATGTAGCTGACGCGTCACGCCATGGAGCGGGCTCCTCTGGTCCCCTCCTCTAAGAGAAGACACAGCGTTGGTCAACGTGCGCTTGAGGCTCTCGGAGTACTGCTTGATCGGACTTCCACCATCTCCCACACCACTAGCTGATCGCTTATGCAGGTCCTGTCGTCTGGGAACGCTGCCTTGTGGTGACCGTTTGACGGGACTGCCACTGCCATTCCGCGACCTGATGCTTGGCTGGAACGAGTTGACCCGCCCATGGTTCCCAAGACCTTTGCGACTTTCGGCTCGAGCACGCTGCTCCGCCAACCAGTCCTCCATCTTCTGCTTGAATTTGGGACGCTCGACGAGGCCACCGTACTGAGGGTAGACATCCCGCAGCTCCCTCTCGGTCGTGTCGTAGTTCTTCGCGGTCAGGACACCCTGCGCGAACTCCTGAGCATAGTATGGTGTCGCGCCCGCAGTGTTCGCTGTCTTCTTAGGTATCGACACAAGACGGTACGGAGTTGGACTCAAGACTCCACCTTCAGGGACGGCTACGTTGCTACCGGGAAATGCGAGCGCTGAAGGGCATCTCACCTCGATGAAGAGGGCGAGTCGGCCATAGTGTCGGCGACCCATGGAGCTGTATGAGGTACGAACTGCGTTGACGATAGGAATGAAAATTTCTTCCCACACCGTACAGACGTTCTTCAGCTCGAGGCACTCGAATCGCCACGGGTTGTAACTCTTGCCAACCTTGAACTCCTGCAACAGCCAAGCATATAGATGCTTCTCATGCTCCTCAATGCGCCACTTGCTCTTATCGATGACGCCATACAGGCTGGTATCAGTCGTGTGGTCGATGTTGTACCTGTCTGCTCGCGGGTCATAGCGCAAAGTGCCTTCGTCGAATTGCGTATAGAACCAGAGGATGTCTAGGCGGGAAACTCCATTGCCGCCGGGATCTCCGCCGATGGGGATGATTTGGGTGGTGCGCGGCACAGCGTCTGGTGACAGTAGATACACAGAGTCGCGAAACACGGACCATGGGCGGAGAAAGGCATCGGTATCGAGTAGACGGTCTTCAAGTCCTTGGTAGCCATCCAGACGGAGTAGAGTAAGCGCGTGCTGCAAATCAGGAGGGACCTTTTCATGGTGGTCACGGGTGAAGAGGTCGCGGATGTTGGCCATGTTGTTCTTCGACGGAGTGCGCAACATTGCTAGCAGATGGTCAGCTCAAGGACCAAAAGTAGTGAAGTTTCCGGTGTAGTTGGGCGATTGGCTGCTGTGTCGGTGTCGGGAAAGGGTTTAGAACAAGTGACAACGGTGGCGCTGCTATAGCGACGCGGCATGGCGACGGAGGGCGCAATTCGCACAACGAAATCTCGTCTGTGAAATTTTCGGAGCGCAAACGGTGAATTACCACGAGCCGCCGATCTGCGGACTATGTTCTAAGCGGTGGGTAACTACATAACAGCAATTTGTTGGGCTTGATCCGCCTTCACCTTGACCGACATCGCTCGTCTCGTCTGGCCCGATTGCGCTGGGCTGGTTTTATATATTAACCTGCCACCAAGCTACAATCTCCCTTCCCCCGCTTTATCTACCCTCAATACAATACATCACCAATATCCTCACGTCCTGCAATGATGCAGTATCTCAAGCTAACCCTCGCCGTCACTGGCATGCTGGCAGCTGTCATCATTGCTGCGCCGACAGAGATTTCGACGCCTGAAACTTCAGCCGTCAACATTGGCGAGCGTACTCCCCAATCTCAGTGTGGTTATTACTGGAAGATCGAAAAGGACGGTCGTATGCCAGCCTATACGAATGGCCACTACGAGAACATCGAGGGCTCTACTCATATGAACAGCTTCGACAACAATAACTGCGGTATCTGCATGGTCTTCCGGTAAGTTATGATTGCTTATGCTTAGATTGTTATCTAACGTAAACGATCAGTGAGCGTGATGCTCAAGGCGATATCTTGTGGTCTGGTGGTCCAGGTCAGGGCGCCACTGACAAGGTGCGCGGTGGCCAGAGCTACTACTGCATTGATAGTTCTCTACCACCTCGCGTTGGTGCTACCGATTCTGATAAGGTCGTCTCTACTCGTGATCCTATCTCGCCAATGCGGATCTGTGGAAACTACTGGGACGACAGACACCAGCATCCCCAGGATGCGTTTGCCAACGGTCACTACGAGAACGTGGAGATCAACACCGTAATGTGGGGTTTCAACAACTTTGACTGTGGCATCTGCATGGTCTTCGCGTGAGTCCACCACAAATTTCGAAGTAACATTTCGCTAACAATGTCCGCAGAGGTCGTGACGTGCAAGGCGACCAACTGTGGTGGGGCGGACCTGGCACGAGCATTTCGAAGCAAGTCAAGGGCGCTCAGAGCTACTACTGTATCTATGGAGACTTACCTCCCAAAACCAATGCCACTGGTATCGTCAAGGCTATCGCTACTCGCGAGATTGTATTGCCTTCGCCTTTCACCACTCGTGAGACTGCAGTCATATCGTCCCCGATCAAAAACTTCACCAAGACTGTTTGCTCTAAGACAAACGGCCTTGAGAAGCGGGATGTCTTCTGCGGCAACTACACTGCTGTGATCCCTGGCGTCGAAGAGCAGGTATTCTCCATTGCGGCCAACGGTAACTACGAGAACACCATCGACCACGCTACCATGACTTCATTCTCGAACCAGATCTGTGGCTTCTGCATTGTCTTTAAGTAAGTTTCATCCTCCCAGCAGATCGTTCAAGAACAACATGGCTAACCAAACGCAAAGAGGGCCTGACTGCACTGGTGAAGAGATGTACTGGGGCGGACCGGGGGATCACACCAACAATGTGAAGGGAGCTCAGAGCTACTTCTGCTACTAGACCATGGTGTGATAAGATGTAGACTTGGTGGGAAGATTATAAGGTGGAATTACGGAAGGCTCAGGCAAGATGGTGGCTAAAGGAGGTGTGCATTTCCAGATTCGGGATAACATTTCGACTGGATTACCATGAACCTAATCGATCATCAGAGAATCAAAATTAGTTGCTTCACATCACTCTCGATCTCCACTTCTGATTGCTACATTCTACCAAAATGTGGTTTAGCAGCTAAGCACATGATTCCACCTGAGGTGAGTGAGGCTGAGATTTCAATAGCTATTGGGCTGGACGTCATAACCTCACTCGCGCTCATCACTAGACTAGCCATTCTACCCATTGCTATCCTTCGCTCTCACCACCGATTACGGGTGAAACCCTCCTCCCTTCCCTACGAGTACGTTTGCATGCCACAATATAATTACACTCACTTAGACTGCTCACCGCTCCCCACATTGTTTGAGAAGATAAGTTTATGGAAGGTATGTCGTTCAGCAGTGCCATGGTTACCAGTTTTACTTATCACTTTCAGTCTCACCTCGGTCCAGGCCGCGCTGCTTCACCCTTCACCCCAATCTCAGCCTGCACAAACACAAGGCGATAACCAGTCTACAATAACTTCATCACGATCTTTGACGCCGAACTTCAATACCTCAAGTAGCTCAACACAATCAACAACAACCGTCCAGCATGTCCACCCTCCAGGAGATAAACAGCTACCTGTTGAAAGAATGCCCTGATGAGTACCCTAAGCTTCCGGCCACGGACCGGTTCACATTCATTAACACACCGTGTCAGCTTGCTGACGGAGATGTTGGAGACAAGCGCCCAGAACACCTTTGCAATTTCCAGCTTCGACTCGGAGTGAGTGATGGAGAATACACTTCAGGGCGTCCGGTGTATCTATGCCTGGGAGGTGCCGGCTACAACGAGATTTTCCTGAGCTGTGAAGCAAGGCTGTACAAGCTCGCTGTCGAAAACTTGAGTCATGTGCGTCTTGAACAAGCATATCGAAATCTACTTCTGTGTGAGATGGATACACGGGCTGCTGAAGAGGTGGAGAAAAGCAGATTGAAAGCATGGGCATGCTACATGTTCCTCAGAGCTGGACACATACCGACTCTACAACCATATGTCAGGTTGCTGGATGAACTAAGGTACGCATGCACCTGGATGGCAAGGGAATATGGTGTTAAAGTGAAGACTGCACGCCAGAAAGCAGCCGTGCAACGCAAAAAAGAAGAAGCTGCCGAATCAAGGTTGGCAGAGCAGGACCGCAGCAATTCCAGTGCAAATAGTTACAGCCAAGAAGACCCCACGGACATCCAAAGCCCTGCAACGACCTCAGGTACTCGCGATCAATCAACGAATGCGGCCGAACAGCCAGGACCATCCGCCGTCAAGCGCGAAAACGATGACAATGAAACCGACAACATGTCATCCCGTAGGCACTCATTGAAACTAGTTGATTGAAACTGTTACTGACGATTATTCAGGTCCTCCTAAGAGACAGCACCTCGATCAGAGCGTAAGTTCCCCACCCCGATACTCAATGAGCTAGTGCTGAAGTGATAGTTGGCGAAACTTCTTGACCGCCATGGAGCGCTTGGACACGATCTTCAAGCATTTGAGCGCGAGTACGCCAGTTTTGGAAATGACACTGAATTAGTGGGTCAGCTCAAGCACGACAACTCACAGCACGTGGCGAAAATTACAAAGCTCGAGCGACAGTTGCTTCTTCAGGTGAAGGAAATAGAAAAGTTGAGAACAGCCTCGCGGGAAATGGAGGAGAGTGTCCGTTTGGGCGTGCAGAATACGGAGAGAGAGAAAGCTGCTCGAGATGCTGAGGCTGAACTCAGGAAGAAGGCAGAAGATCGGTTCACCGAGTACCTGGACGCACAGAAGAGGATGACGGCGAGATTTGGTTGACGTACCCATGGATGGATCGAAATGGCGACGAGCATTGCGATGAACCTTGAAGAGCGACATAGGCATCATGGAAATTCTCACGCTCATGAGAAAACACATGTAGAGAATGTAAACGATTTGTCTGACCCATCGGTGACGGTATGCTTGCTACTTCCGGTCACATGGTAAGCAGTGAACAACGACAGTAACCACGGTGAACGTTCACGAGCATTCGAAAGCAACCTACATTCTACTTGTCACACAAACCTCTGGTCCATGTAGTACAGACTACACCCGCCAAGAATATCGAGCAACTCGACGACGTCACCACGAAAAGTCTCTCCCAGTCCAACATCAAAAACATTCAGCACCAACACCGAGATGACCAGTACGAGTGCTGACTGCGGTATCGTCCTCGCTGCCACGAGTGACCAAGCCATGGATCATACCGCCTCCACCACCTCCTACCCCAAGAACATCACCCTAGACATCGGCGGTCGCAATTTCAAGACCTCGATCGACACCCTTCGCGCTGAGTCCGAATACTTCAGAACGCAGCTATCCGATCGTTGGACATGGCCTCTCGAAGACGACGGATCCTACTTCTTGGATGCCGACCCCGAGCTGTTCGCTCATCTGCTCACCTTCATGCGCCGTCCAGGGACGTTTCCACTTTTCTACGATACCGCTAAGGGCTTCGATTTCGACTTGTACAACAAGCCTGAGACAGAGGCGGAGTACTTCCAAGTCGATAAGCTGCACGAGTGGATCAAAAACAAGAAGTACATCCAAGCCGTCAACACGCAGCTCACTTCGGCCACTTTGGTGAACATTAAGAGCGCCATGCAGCTGCAAGCCGAGATCAGCAAAGGTGGAGAATTACACATCACTCCTTGCACTAGGAAGGTGTATCTTTGCCCGCGCCAGATCACGGCTCATCGCGGTCATGCTGAGCAGTGTGGTGGGGCGTGTCATAGACGTCAGGCGGAGAACGATGTGGTATATGAAGATGAGCCTTATTGGCAAGTCTTGAGCTTCGAGAAGAAGACTTTGCTCGACGAGAAGGTGTGTAGGATTGGATGAGATGCCTAGGGGTTAGAACGTACTACATGAAGCTTTCATTTGCGATGGGGTTCGCAAGGCATCATGACGATGCTTAGATAATAAGCTTCGGATGATAAGAAATCACAGCGATCAATTTCACTTGATGGTTCGAGGTTGGGGTTAGGCAATAGATGGGATCAATATACTCTTATTCGATGCATCCTTCACTACCATACATCCATCACAGCTTATCCCACGGTCGGCCGCGATGGTATGCTAGAACGATCTTGAGGCCCGTCTTCTCAAGCTCAGCCCAAACCGATCTTCCCCCAGTGAAGCGTGGTATAAACTCCGCCTCCTTCCCATCATCTTCATCTCCGCCCGTCTCTTCATCCTCACCCCCAGCCCCACGTTCTTTGCGCTCCATTTCGTCGCCGTCATTGTCAGTCGCCTCTTGTTCGTCGTGCGACTCAATGTTCATCTTAGGCTCCTTCGGCTCAGCGACGTCGTAATAGTCTTCGTAATCCTCATTGTCCTCGTCCTCGTCATCCGAGTCAAACTGCGAAAACTGCAAGCGGAAATCTTCAGCAAAATGCGACTCACCCTCATCCGCCACCCAAAGCTTGATGACTTCCAGCTCCGTATAAGTCTGCAGGCTGTCTCGGATATGTCTTGCCCATCGATTGATCGCCCTAGTCGTGCCAACTACTCCAATCTCCTTGATACCTGTCGGAAGTACGCACGCAGCGAAGGGTTCATTCGCATTGAAGAGAACTTCCTGATGAACGACGAGCTTTCGCAATATTTGGAGCGCGGATATGTCGCTACAGGGCAATATACTCCTGAAACAGTCGTTTGCTTCGTCGAGTTTGTAATCGTCGAGACCCGTGCCTGTTCTCTCAACAGCAGAGCTGTCGATCACGAGAGTCTGGACTTGCAAGGGGCGAACGCGGTGTATGAGTGTCTGGTAGCCTCCCCTGTCGTAAAGGTCCTCATCTCGACCATCTGGCATGAGCTTCAGGACGAGATCGGTGAGCTGGGGCGCGCCTCTCACTACACAAGTCGGGATAAAGTGCACACGACCAAGATGAACGTTGGTGTCGTTGATAAGCAGGTTATTGTCCGTCAAGATCGTGAGCTTGTGAAGATTGTTGGCGAAGTATGCGCGAGCTGTAGGCTCGTCCCAATAACACAGACGGAAGGGATCCCAAGCCTTGATTTCGTCTCCGTGGAAAGCATGTAGCTGCAATGTCTTCAACTTCGGCAACTTGGCCATACACATCGGGGGCAGGCAGTCGGCGGATAGGTGTTCGAGTTTTGCAAAGCCAGGAATCCGGTTGATGATGTCTTGGTGCTCCATGGTAAATAGTCCAAACATCCTCCAAGGATCGAGCTGTCCGTACAAGAAACTGTTTTGAGTGTAACCTCTTTCGATATCGGGAAACCCTTTCACTGTGCTGACACCGCGCTTGTGGATGGTCAGTGAGCGCAGGTTCGGGAGACAAGCCAGCAAAGCGCCGAGGATGGCGGGCTCTTTGCCGAATCGAATTCCTCGTAGCCACTTCTGCTTCAGTGTGTCCAGTCCAGCGAACAGGTCGTTTTCGGTGAGGATTTCTTCGACTCGACCCGCGGTTGACAGCCAGCCGCAAAGACAGTTCTCGAGTCGCTCTCCCGTAGTGAATGGACAAGATTCGTTGTGGCCAACCCTGTTGCTTAAACCTATGATGGAGATGTCCAGAATTCTTACCCGCGGGGCGAGTTGGGGTTGTCGCACAAGTGTGCCCAGAAGGAAAGAGCCACCGAAAACGGAGTCACCTCGCTTGCGCGCTGAGACGATAGCTGTGTGGTACAAGACTTCGTCTACGACACCTTTCAGCCTAGAGCATGTCTGCGCGAGACCGACAGCGTCGTGCTGTGCTTGAATACGATCGATATCGTTGGGGAAGCGAAGTTCTCTAGCAATCATAACGAGGAGCTCGTCCGAGCACGAGAGGAGGTTAGGCATCTCGATGCCGCCTTGTCTTCGAATATGTGTTGTTTTGTATGATCTGTGGGCGTATACCAGTGGAGGCGGCTACAATGGGTGTGTATCAGTCGATGTAGCCTATGAACGGGTAGAGGAGAGAGGGAGTCGTTGCACACGTGCCTAAGGGACTAGCAATTATTGCCATGCTTTGCGATCTTCGCTGCTGACCTTTCACTAAATAGGCGCAGATAACAAATCCGCATACAACAGCTTGCGACGTCATCTTGTGATAAATCAAGGGTATCATTGTGGGCCATCTGGGTACTTCCTATTCACTTCGTATGTAGCATGGTACAAGTCGCCGCCACGGTGATTGTTGACCACAATTCTGTTCACGGACGATCGCCATAATAATCCTCCCGTATCTCTACGCCCGCAAACGAGAGAGTGTCATGGCACAAGTTTGTCTCAGCGGCAGCGACGAACTTCTTCTTCCACTTCAGCAGCGTGTATATCTCCGGCCTATGGCCGATTCCGCGTCCTCACTACTATCGTAGCCGTTCCCTTCTCCATCTGCAACCCCAGCTCCCGTTCCGCTTGCATCTTGTGCCTCGCCTGGAAACCTCCTGCAATGTTCGACTGCTTCCTGATGATGATAATCGCGTTTTCTACCAAAGCGCTGATCCCACATGAAGTGGCCCATCGTTTTGGTCGTATTCTTCATATCCCTAGCTCTTCGATTGAGGCAGGGAGCTCGCAGACAATCAAGTCTTTATCGATGGTGAAGAAGGCGTTCTGGGCGGCTACAAATTTCCTGAGATTTGAGAACGCACAGAGATTTCGCGCAGGCCCTAGATTCATAGCACAACGGATCGTCATCGATGGTGGTTGGGGCCAGTCATCATACTCGTCCTCTTCGTCGTGACATAGGGCCTTGACATCGGATATTGATGATGTGTCTAGTTTAAATGTTTCAATCTTTGCGGATTGGAATTTGCCGACGAGAGATTGGAAGTCTGCGACATGAGCATCCTGCCCCCATCTCGACGCCCATACGTTCGAAGGTTCCTCCATCAAAATGACGTCTGGATGAAACAGGTTCGAAAAATGGTTCAGGACAGTTACATTATACTCATAGCATTCGTTATTCGAAGCACTGCCTGAACTATCCAGAGAACATGCATCCATGGTAAGCCGCAATCGATTCGGACCCTCGGGGGATTCGCGGACATCTTCATAGTCAGGAAGGCGAATCTCCTAAGGCAGGCATAGAGATTGACCATCTTGCAGCGCAAAACACAATTCGCGGACCTTTGAAAGCTGTAAAAGCTACGGCGGGAGAAGACAATTGGTTTTCAGAACCTGAATATTTGCCAAGCCTGTGATCCATCCCAACTCAAAGGCTTCATTCTCCCACATAAGACCCAGAAGATCGTACATGATGATATGATATGGGTTCTTGGGTATATCGCCACGATATGTGCGAAAACTCGACCATTGATTCAGGGTCAGCTACCTCAGATGTGATGTGCAGGCGAGAATGAGATCCACGATAGCGAGCGGTTCGCCTTTTTCAATACAGAAGACCCAATACAGATCTCTAAAGGCCGGTATTGTAGAGGGCGCTGTTTGCTTGATGAATCGCTTGCAAATTGCCGTAGTACCACTCCAGTTGCATGTGCAGTGGCCTTTCTTAAGTTTGTGGAGCCATAATCAACATTTGGCTCTGTGACCAATCGTTCTCTTTGATACGTCAAGCTTGAGGGATTGAATGGCGCATGCGGGGAATTCGTTTGATCAATGTACGAACAAATGGCTCGAGGGGATTTCCACCTCCCGACTCGTATTCGTTTGCCCAGTCGTGACATTCGTCGTATTGTGCCGCGTTGATCACGACATTACGATATAGCATGTGATGAGACACCACTGGAAACTACCGTGAGACCAGTACCAGGCTCTTGAGATCTCTATAGCGATGGCGCTGGTTCAGCTGCGCCTCCGCTATCACCATGTCCAGGAGCTCTCGGGGAAGATCTTGGAGTTGAGGCATTGTGGTCGAAGGCTGAGTGCAGATGGAGAACTTTTTGCAGTGGTTGACACCTCCTTTATGGGAGGAAAGCGCTATTTTGGTGAAAGGCGGGCGCCGCCGAGTGGAGACATCCCCAATGCTAGTGTGCACAGACCTAGGCTGTTTGTGATAGGCTTACCAAATTTGTCCAGCTAGTCTTGTTTGTTGTCATGTGTAAGGTGAACTCCGTCTGGTGGTCTCATTGCCGGCGTGTAATGTGAGCATGCACTGCACGGGGCTGGGCGGACCGGGCGTCAATGAATTCTTATTCGTCATGGAGTGAAACATGAGATAGCAGCCTGGGTATCCTTGAGTCGGTCTCTGCTTCTTCGTGATAACTCAACGAGGCATTGCTGCTGTGTCATATTAAAAGGTGGTCGTGAGAAATATGAGCCATCCGCGAGATCGTCCAAAGTGAAGACCAGAAAGATCGATGCGTGATGGCTGCGCAACTATATCTCAATAACGACCATCCATCATCCGGCAGGTGGGCAAGTCAGGCGAAGCAGGCGATTCATCGCTGTAGGGCGAATAGTGCGAGGGCGCAGAAGTTGCTGAATGAGTCCTGTTGTGCCATTCCTCCTTTTCTTCCTCTGGTGACGACAGCTCTAGCAGCTTCTGAGGGGATCCGACGGCCATGCCCAGGGTCGCTAGTTTCTCTTGCAATATGTTCAGTACTGCTGGATTGCCGCCGCGGAATCCGGAAAGCACGCGCGATAAGTTGTGGATAAGGTCCCTTGGACCTATACCGAAATGCGACTCGTGGTTCATCGAAGGCATGATGATCATTACATCAGCTAATGAATTCGCAACATCGAACAGCTTTGACTCCTGTAGCAGGGTCAGCTTGGCTAAAATGCTTATCGAGCCAGCGGACCTACCATACCAGGCCCATGCGCTTCTATACTTTGTTGCGAGAGACTGCTGAGGTTGCTGAGGACGTTCTGCGCTACCTTGGCTGGGAAGGAGAACGAGAATTCGTCGTCAGCATTGGCGCTGCTTAAATTGGTAACATTGAGAGCGTGCTGCCATAGGAAAATGCGCATCCATTGCTGTGTCATGGATATGTCTGCACGCTGCAGTTCATTCTCCAGGCTGAGTGGTGCTTCATCGGAGCTCAATTCTTGCTGAGCCATGGCGAGTGCGATCCTTGCAGTGGCAGGATCTGCGGTGATGGTGACATCGAGTATGTTGAACAGCTTACATAGTTGAACAAATGCTGGCGTGACCGAACCATCGTTGTAGTTTTCCAACCTGGGAAGGTCTGGTGCTCTTTTGAGCGTTGTTGGTACATCATGCTGTATCGAGTGCGCTCGTTCCGTGATGAAGAGAAGCCAATATATCCTCAGAGTGTGTTGCACCTGCTCCGGACTCATTGCCTCATAGTATGTAGTTTTGTGCAATCCAAGGACGTGGGACTTGTTGATGGCCTCGCCAAGCAACACTGTCGACGCATTCATTCTCCCGACGTTGGCGGAGTACACGTGTAAGAAGAAGCTGCTCAGCACCGATTTCACTGTGATATTTTCCAGATGATCTGAATCCTCGCGCGCCTTTTTGGATTCCTTCTCGAACATGCTGCTCGATACACGGTAGTGTCCTTCTACTGGGCTTCCTGGCTCAGCATTGATCGAGAACTGACTGACCACAGCAGCACATATTGCTGTCGCCAGAGCATACGCTTCGAGATCATCTGGATGCGTAAGAAGCCGAGCCGTTATCTCCTCGGCATCAACCACAGGCCATATGCCATATCCCCGGACCTGGTAGACGTCCAGATACTGCGATATGCAGGACGTCGATATTCGTTGAGGCTCATGCTGCGCGGCTGTGAAGGTTGGACTCAGGATGTCCGGCCATCCGGCAGTTTCTAAGCCCGCATCACTCAGAGATGGTAGTGAATCAAAAAAGGGAAGTTCTGTCGTGCTCGGACTCGTTGCGTCGAAACTGGCCTCGCTGTTACTCCTTGAATCGTCGTGGGTGCTTTTGCTACGCTCTTGCAGCCTCCGGATGGCAGCTTCGGTCGTTCGCCTCGGTCCTTTCGGTCCAGACTTTCCGTGCGTCTTGAGATAGGTACAATCCCAACTCGCTACCTCGCATCGAGAACAGGGCTGATTGCCATCGCATCGAACCTTGCGAACGGAACAAGGGTCACATGCTCGTCGCGTGCCTTTTCGAGGAGCTACGTCCATCGCTTGGACTATCGAAATGACCAAGCGGGTTTCAGAATGGCGAATGAGGATGCGCAGGAGGCATCGGGTCGGATCGTTAAACCGTCATTGGAAAGCTTGTTCGATAATGTCCGACAGCAGAGAAAGATGATGTGGGCCACACAGGAAAACGGAGAGAATTACGGGGGAAGTTCACAGCCGGGTCTTCCACAATAATGGCGAGTATTCCCAACGAACAGATGCTGATGTCGTAATGATAGAACTTGCAGCTGACGCACAGAAGAGGCGGAGGTGCGGGTGTTTCTCGGCGATCCTTCCCTGTTCAAGCATGTGCAAGCCAGCCAATTATGAATGTTGCGGAGGACGCCTCCTAGACTTGTGGCGTTGTTGGGCTCGCTACGATGAATCGCGTCAGTTTAGAAGCCTGATGGAAGCCGAAAAACATTCCATGAACCCTGCAAGCCCGCCATGATGAGAAGCCTTTGGGGACGATATCGCAGTTGTTAAGTTCAAGGGCAAACTCGTAACCTTGCAGGCGGTGAGAACGACAAGGCGCTTTGTTGGAAGATGGGTCGGGCCAAAGAGCGAGTCCGGCTTGACCTCCTCGGTCGTACATGGGTCAGTCCAATTTGAAAGGCTGATGCGCGTCGCCTACTATGAGCGGGTGGTGGCAGTAGTTAGTTTATCGCCGCTATCCGGGGGTCCGAGAAGCATGGAATGTGTGGAATGTTCCGACGCATTTCCTTAGAAGGAGCTGGTCTCTCAACGAATTGCTCCAGAGAGGAACGGCAAGCCTTGCTAGCGCTTCGACGCATTACGGCGGCTCAAGCTTGGACCGAGCCGATAGCGGTTGTTGCGCCGATCATCATACTGTGAATTCCTCAACACCATGACAAGTTTTTCTTCGTCCTCCACATCGTCCTGCAACGGCCGTAACTGGTCAGCGCGAATCGCGGCATACACTTCAGTGTTGAGACATGTTATACGCGCTACCTGAGACTCCACTCATTCAACATGCATATACCTTCACTTTGTTTAGCTAACCTATCGTCTCTTCAGTCAGCTGAAGACCCTGTCGTCAGAATGGAGGATTTGCGAGCAAGTAAATTCCGCGGAGGCACAGTCTCATCTTGGAGCTGTCTTCTCTTTGTGGACAATGAGCCGATCTGTGCCGCGCTGTCATCAAATCCCGCAAAACGGCACATATTTCACGAGTCAACCGGGATGCTGTCGATCGCATAGTCGCTTACCCTGAATGTTCCCAGAAATGCACCACACTCGAGTCCATGGAACCATAGAGACTGAAATGCTTTCCATCCATATCGATTGCGAAAAGCAACATTCGAAACTGGAAACCCTACAGCAACCACAACTCGTTTGCATGCGTCAAAGTACTTTCTCCCATACATATACACCTAGCGTCGTCAACTCCTTCCTTTTGGGTCTGTCACACCAGCCCTGGGTCCCACAGACGTCTTGGACATGATTCGACCAAGCCCACTAGGTAATGTATCTGCCTTCCTCTGCCCAGCGCCACGGCACCTGAACAACACCGTTTGAAGCATTAGCCAAGAATTGACCATCAGGCATCCGAGTACTGCATTAGGCTTCCTCGAGGTGTCCCACAATGTATCGGGCCTTGTAGTCTCCATCCTCCTAGTTGGCTCGTGGTTGGCATGTACTGCGCCGGGGTCTTTTCTTTGGCGTGAAGTATTGGTCATATTTAGTTGGCATGGTCCGTCACTACCGCTCCATTCAGGGACTTACGCGAGATCAGCTACCATCTAACTCATCGAAGCAGCAAGAGCGGCGATCAAGTTGAATATTCAGGACGTTTACCTGCAAAGTCAGTCTCTGTCCGGGCCTGGCTCTCCCTCGTATTCTGCCTTCCAGATTGCGGATTGGCTAGGTGTTTGACCACAATCTTGATAGCAATGTTTCTGCAAGCCTTGCGTGTATGAAATACAGCCTATATGCAATCTCTTCTACGTCAATCTTTGGCTATTACGGGCCTACTGCTCCGTAATCTTCGACTGCTCCTAACATGGTTGCATCAGTAACCATTCAAGATCTTGATGGGGGCAAGAGTGGCAACAGGGCTTTTCCCACATCCATTGACAGACCGGCTTCATGTTCACGGCTGCGGTATTATCGTGGGACTTCCTTGAGCCGCAAGCGAGGCTCGGACAACACTGCAGCCTTCGCGAACTTGATCTATTCAGGTGTTTTGATAGAACGATCCGGAGGAACGTATTTAGCGCACGATTGACGTTCAATAGATAATTTTCCGACGTCCGGAAAGACTACTCAAGCACACGCCACCGGTCAGTGCCGAAGTAGGAGACGCTAAGCAAGCTCTGCCAAGAATCTGGCCTTATCGATAGTGCCATCGATAACGCGCGTCACCTGGCGCTGGGTAGCTCTCACACGGTTGACCTGCAGTCATTGCTGTGTTCGCTTCAATCTGTCGACAGGATATGACCACAACCCCAACTCAGGCGGCGAGCAACGCTTTTCGGCAGAATGGACGCCATGATAAGCGTGCTTCGCGGTTGTCTCCTCAAGGGTGAGGGAAGTCACCCTCGAAAATCGAAGACGGAATTTGACCGAGATCAAGTGGTCGCAACAAGAACATTACGATACATTCATATTCAACGCTTCAAGGTATGTTGCAATTAATCTTGAGGCAGATCATCACTTTGGTGCGACGGGTGTTTCCTACATTGTCACAGTCATGGTCCTGCCACAGGACAGGCACGTGACCAACAAATGGCTGTCAGGGACGATCGCACGTTATAGAGCGGAAAATCATGTGTTCGTCGATCAGTTTCTCACAGGCGTCATTTTCTAGGGCGCACTGGAAGGGAAAGTCAATTTTGAGGCGGATGCCAAAGACAATCTTTGTAGCATTGGCAACATATGGGTCGACTTCACGCTAGAAACTGTACCTCCTGGCCCATATGCGCAAACAGATGGTCGATGTTGAGATGTTTGACGGCTTGAAATTGACTCATGTGGTACTTTTATGACCGCTGTGCAGCCGCATACATGGTGCAACGTTTCTCTCGTAACAAGCGACTTTGCACTGATGTGATTGAATCTGTCCAATCCTTCCCAACCTTTCCAGCTCAATAGGACCGACTGTCAACATATCAGTGCTCCTCTCAGGTCTCGATTGAGGGCAGGCGCAAGTATCGACCCTCCAACCAAGGGGTGGCGAATTGTTATGAAGGACAACATCGACCTGCCCGGAATCAACACTACTTTAGGTAACCGTGCTTACCAACAGCTCAACTCAAGCTGACTTCACATTCCACTCAGCCTCTATGGAGGCAATGAACGCGTCCAGTTCTATCGTGGCCCCACGGAATATGACCTGATTAGTCCCAGTATTAGCCTTGTTCGATGCGAAGTGGATGAGGTCATGTCCTGGCACACAAAAGCGTAACCGGCTAGGTGAAGTGACCAAAACGCCAAGACATGTCTCGCAAACGAAGTCGAAGCAATGGTTGCAGATTGAGGGAGACTGTGGTGCATGGACTTGGTGCTGACACATGTCGCAGAACCAACCGTTCAACAGGTCTGCGTATTCGATGAGAACGAGTGCCTCTTCGAGTCTGCCTAGGGCCAAAAGACACTGTCCCAGGCACTGGATCCCTGCATCCCTGAAGTAGCCGCCTTCACGTGTCATTGAGCAGCACCTGGTTATGTATGGGCGAATCGTGTCTCTGGCGGTTTCCAAGGCTCCCGTCATATGCTGCATGTGTGCGAGATGAATCAACGAGATTTCTCAGAATCTTATTCTTTCTGTCAAATCCTCCGGCGTAATACCTGAGTCTATCATATCGCTGACCTTGCGCACGTAAGCGCCTGTGTCTGTTTCACACTCTTGAGCTTTCAACATTTTGCGTATGGCTATTTGACAATAGTCCCGTGCAACCTCTCGTTTGCAGTCTTCGAGACCGGGAATGCGGGGTTCATGTGGAATACTGGCCACGCCGCCAATCTCCTCGATGAGTGGCTCAGCCGCCTGATAATCGTGCTGGTATGTTGCCAGCAGCTTGGCCAATCCCAGCTTCAGAAAAAGAATCCCCATGTGGCTTTTTGTCGACGCATCGCGAATGGCGGAACCGTATGCTGTGATGAGCCAGGATAAGCAGTCTGTCTCTTTCGCAGCTGTCGCTGCCATATAGAAGAAATTGGGAGGAACTTCGTTGGGCCACATTTTCCGGTGTATGTACTTTGTCAAACGATTCTGGCCCCCGGAATCGATGCTACTGTCTAGCAGGCGTAGTAATTTGATGACCTCTTCCCATCGTGAGCTATGGGTCGACTTTGCCAGTGCTGCAAGATATTCGCGAATTTTCTCGTCACTAATTGCCCCTGCTTCTACAGCTTCACGCCAATACTTTAGAGCCGCTGTCTCGTCCTTCGCAAGTCGATAACTGTTGGCAATGATTTCGTAAGAGAAGGACAGCTGCTCCCGAGTGTTCGCAGCATTATGAGAAGCCTGGGTCTTCATACCCATTCTGTTGCGCAGGATGGTGGTATTAATGAGCTCGAGGTCGATAGCTTTTGTGTAATATCCCCGCACCTGATAGGTAAGTGCTAGACCGTCGCGAGCTTCCACTAGCTCATGGTTCAAACTTAGAGCATGTTCGTAGTGTTCTATAGCTTGTTTGGTATGTCCAGACCTCCGGTAGCAAATAGCTACATTCCGGTGCCATCTAGCGTCCGGCTCAACCGGAATATAATGGATCGCCTTCGAAATGGTGTCCAAAGATAATTTGCCGTCGCCTGATAGAGTTTCGAGGGTATCGTCTCCCTCTACCAGAGCTCTTATCTGGGCAACGACACTGAGCGACTCCAGGGGAAACCAGTCGCCATGTAGACTTTCCATAGCGTGGATCTTCGCCACTATATGGAATATTCTCTGCGGGTGCTCGATAACACTTGAGTACCATTGAAGTACTTGATGGGGAAAGTTGGCCCGGTCGTCTTTGATGACCATGCCGACGCACTTCACAATAGAAACCGCGTTGACATCCGTGAAGATTGACCAAGGTACACTATGTGACCACTTACTGACAATGGTCTCATCATTGAGAAATTCGAAGATGAGATTTGCGGTCTTTTCGCCCCCTAAGCTGGTAAGGATTGATCTCTTTTCGGTAGAATCGGCAGTGTCAACTGCATCTAGAACACCTCGGATATGGTCAATCCACGAATCTTTAACATATGGTGTCAAAACCTGGGAGCTTTGTGACCATGTACCAGAGCCGGGTTCTACAAAGATCTCTAGACATGTTTGAAGCATTTCAAACTCTGCTTCTTTCTTTGCTACTCCGAGGGGAGTTGATGTCCTTCGCTTGGCAAACTTTCCTGCCCCCCTCTTAAAGTATTCCATTATAGACGCATGAGAAAATGCCACTGCTGTTGTTTCTGGTATCGAATTGAGCGACATGTCCGCTACCTGAGCGTGTATCGACGCCGTGGACTGTCCATCGTCCCGAACAAGCATGATAAGTGTAGCGTAGGTGTTGCGAATCTTGTTCTCAAGAGAGAGTACGGGGCTTGCAGATGGTGACAGTCGCCTCAGTGCGGCATCGATTTCCGCAAGAGTCAGTGGTCGGGAGGCACAGGATAGCCACGCTAATATTGTATTAAATTCCTCGGCTTCTCTTCCCTTTAGCATGGAGCTGTATACCTTCAACATTTCGGTGATCATATCGTCAATCCCCGTTGGCGCAGTATCGAGACTGTCGCGTATGTCGTTCTCGGTTGTTTGCCACTTCAGGATCTCCAGCATGAGATTCGCCCACAAGAACATGCCTTTTGCCTTATCCTCGATGCTTGATTGGATATAGCTCTTCAACTCCTTGGATGCACCATCGATTTGCAACCGACGCGATATTCCTTCCTCCACGAACTTTGATAGATCTTCCTTGGTCTTGTGTGCTTCAACTTGTATCATTGCCATGGTTGATGTCAGATTGTAAGCAGCAACTTTGATAGAATATGTGAGATGTGGGCGGCCAAGGAGCAGAAGACTAATGTGTAGCCCTGAGTTTTCTGACTCATTTGTTAGTCACTTGTACGACTGTGAATGCAGTGCCCCTCATTCAAGTGCCGATCATTCAAAACATGGGTCTGTGAATGATTCTCCAAATTCGTTCGCACACAACAATCCATCCTATAGTAAATATCAACACATACCTTGAAGATCTGACAGGAGTTTGAGAAACTCCGAGCGTCCATATTCACCATCCTCCTCTACTTCATCCAAACCGTCTATTACCAGATAAAGCGGAGTCTTAGACTGCCCACCGAAGTAGCTCACAAACAACTTTCGCCATGCACTTGGGAGAGTGTCGATATCCGTAGTAGAGCGGCAATTTGAGGTTACATGGTCAGCGTAGGAGGGGTTCAAGCGGGTGATCTGCCAGGCGATGTCCTTGAGAGCTTGGTGGAAACCGCCGATTCGAGTGTACGCATCGTTCTTACTAAGAAAGTAAAATCCCACAACACTATTGCGAAAGCCGTCCAGTCCATTAGCGATATTCGACTGGATGGGAGAGATGAAAGCGCTAGTCAGGAACGTTTTGCCACATCCAGGACTACCGCAGACGCAAAGAAGTGAACGGTCCCGTCGCAACCATGATTGGAATGCGGGTTCTGACAGAAGCCAGCAGCCGGTACCAGCGACACGATCGCGCAAGATTCTTTCCATCTTGTCTGTATTAGTTTGAGACGGCAGTAAAATGTCGTATACGTCATTATCGCATTTGGTTTGATGTTGCTTCTGGATGAGATCCATAATGGAATGGGTCAAGGAGTTCATGTTGCCGATATCAGCACCGATCTTGCTCGTATGCTTTTGGATATCATCCACCCTTATTGCGGTCTCCGCTGTATGATTTACGACTGTTCCTACGTTTGTGTGGATTTGCTCGACGACAAGTGAAGTGCCGTGACGGACTAGTCTTTCCAATCGCCTGCGTAATTCAATGATCTTTTGGTCATCGCCTTGTAATAGCCTCGCGAAATTTTCCTTCCATCGTCTTCGCGTGATTGCTTTCGTAGAATATCCGATCATTTCGAGGAGGGTAGCGAGGATGTTTGCGAAATTCTCCTCAAGTTCGGGAGACGTGTGCTCTAAGTCGTGGACATTGAAGCGTTCCATAACGGCCTAAGAATGATAAGAACTAGCCTGCATGTGGTGGTGGTAGCTTAATGAGAGCGTCTCGAAGAGATCGAAAATGCGGCCATAGTGAGAAGACACATTCTGCGCTGATTTTATCAGTAGTGTAGCTGCACCCAGGCAAGCTCCCGCAGGCGGGCAGCCAGCGGAAGTGCCTGCGGCAAAGATGGTGCCGAGCTTTTCCACTGGGGTGAACGTTTTAGTCAACTGTTCGTAGATTTTCTTGTCTTGCTCTCTAAAATTTGCGAACTTTTTGTTCTCCTGATCGATGTACGCGCGCAAGTCAGTCACCTTCGTCCATTGCGCAAAGAGCGCGACATCGAGCTGCTGCCCGGTTTTCTGCTCATAGCGCTTCCGGCCTTCCGCAAACATGACATCGAATTTAGACTGCTGTTCAGACATGTTGGTGACCTTGAGTGAAGCTTTTGGAGGGAAAAGTGAAGAGGGAATAAGGCTCCAACCGTGAGAGCGGCAAGGTCATCTGAACACGCTGTGCATCGTTGAACGAAAGCGGTGCGATGGTTGAGCAACGTAGGGACCCTCGCGACTGTTCATCAACTCCTAATATCTGCTCGCTAGACTCTCAAACCTTTCCTTGAATTATGTGAGGATACATCTTTCTGCTCAGAACTCGGCACGCCGTGTTACGGTGTGGTGTTGCCTAAGATGATTGGGGCATATAATGAAAAGAAAGAACTTCATGCTTTCGTTCTCAATAGTGGTTAGTTGTGTCATCGCCGTCAAATTACCACAATAACAACGATGCTAGAGTTGTTTGGTACATATGTTTACCATAAAAAGACATGGAGAATTTCTGATTTCTGTCGGCCGCGCCAAACACGTTCAGTCAATTTAATCGCGTATTTAGCTAGTGAAGAATACTTGTGACCACCTGGGCAAATTCAAAATGTGTTTATCATAAGCTAGCGTATCTCGGAGCGAGAAAGGTGATCGGATGGTCTTTGGTGGTGCAGCGATGAGAGTAGATGAGTACATGTATTGACTTCTCCTAATAGTGTTGTGAACTTCTTTGTTCCGAGCACTTCGATATTTCTGAGCTTTATAGTAAGCTAGTCAATGATACCTGTCTATCCTCATCCCCACCCTACACGTCTAAACACCTCGCAAATCCTCCCTCAAGATACCATTCAATCCATCCAGATATCACCATTGCACGAATCAAACCTCCCGAGGACAATCAGGACAACACAAGACTTTTCAAACAAGTAACGCAGAATAGATCAAGGTGTACTTCAATTCATTCATTCAATCATCCTTTCTCTGATAGCATCTACCCCGGATCTCATTCACCTCTTCCAGTCCCATATCTCATACTCCGATCCCGCTCCCTGTCCATCGTCAGCTTAGCACTCCGTGCAATCCGCAACTGTCTTCCTGAGGACCCTGACAGCGGCGAACCAAGCGCACGTACACACCTCACCGAAAAGGTGCACCTCGTTGAACTCATGGTCTCCATAGCGGCAGAAGTCGAAGTTTACCACGCAGTACGGGGTGATGCGAGGCAGCGACGAGGTCGAGGACACGTTGGTGCCTGAAGGCGATGATGTCGGAGACATGTTGTCGGTTGTCGGTTGGTGCTTGGTGTGAGTTTGCTTTTGAAGCTGGTTAGCGTTTGTTGGAGGTTGGAAGGGAGTTGTGCTTGTGTAGCTTGGAAGACGTGTTGATCGTCGTGCCTGTGTGTATGTGAAGGCAAGTTGTGAAGTTGGTATTGGAGAGATGAAGTATGATGAAGCAAGGTTATTTATGCCTCTCCAACACGAGCTAAGAGGCTATTGTCGTTGGAGGTATAATAGGGTTTGTAGACATAATGGCATGTCAGGCATCTATGTAGCTGGTTGCGAAGATAATAGGATTTAACGGCATGAATATGTAGTGACGCTGAAGCTTGATGGGTGCCTGCGAAGTTGGCATGCTTATTGTAGTTGGTACAATAGGTACTGTTGATTCGAAGCCGCTGCCTGGATCTGGCTCCATAGGCAGGTGGCTCGCGACTTTTATGATGGTGACGGTGCTATAGGCAGTCTAATTGCTTGGGCTCACGTGTAGAGAAGTCAGGTAGGATCTGATTGCGATTGAGTGCGTGAATCACTTGTGCAGGAGCTGAAGTTAAGACGTGTATTCGATTATGACCTCGGACTTGAAGAAGAGCCGGATGTATGTATTTTCGAGGGTGTATCACGGAACAGTGTCGTGGCATTAGTAGCTTTGGCGGGATACTGTAAGATCCGCGGCACTGAGCATTCTGGGGGAGTTAAGAAGGAATTGTGTTGAAAGAGACTGAGACCCGCATACGTCGAAGTTATCGCGAGGGGAGAAGAATGTTTTTACATCTAACCGTAGATCTACCCATATAACTGATGATCGAACGTTGCTCCTGAAGAAGACCTCATATAGACTTTTCCCAGCCTGTCAACCATCCTTATCCAGCCTTGCATACAATCTCTTCAGCCCAATGATGCCGATGCAAATGTCCAAGTCTCACTTCGTCTAGCTCCCCCCGTCCGACTCCCTGAGGTCCTCATGACTCGTCATAGTAAACACCACCTTTTTCTCTATTCCAGTGCGATCCACCAACTCTATACCGCTTCCCTGACTTATGCGTCCTTCTCCGCCTAGCTCCGCGTCGATCGGTGGCACGTCCGTCGTATTGGTGCGGCGTGGTCCACGTACTTTGCTGACTAGGGTCGATTTCAGTTGATTTAGTACCGTGAACTCGGTGCGCAGCTTGACGGCGTATACTGTGACGGTATAGAATCCCTGCAGAAAGGGATAGTCTTGTTGCGTGTAGAGAAGTCCAAGTCGGGTGCAGTCGATACATATGATGAATGTGTTGACAGAGAGAAGACAAAATAGGACACGTCGTGTGGCTTTACGGTTGGCCCCGAGGGAAACGCGGTTCTTGAGATATGTGATAGTGGCGTAAATATAGAGGAAACCGATCGCAGTTTCTTGTACGAAGAAGGCAGTGAGTTGGACTTTGTCGAAGATATCGTACACTCTGAAAATTCCAGGGGAGTAGCCCTGTTTTTGTGAGTGAGTAAAAGATCGCAGGCGGAGAGAGAACGGCTCACGAGACTGTTCATGAGCGAGGTGATGACGGCCGGGAGCCCGGCAAAACCGGCCGTGAAGATGATGGTCCATAGCACGTAGCGACAGACGCGTCTATTCTTCATAACCAGGTTGAGCCGAGAGTAGAGTACCATGGATTGCGCAACTTTGAATGTCCACCAGGTGATTTCTGTAACCACCACCAGACCACCATTGCTATGCGGAGCCATATTCGTGTTGACTAAGAAAGAAATGACGTATAGAGCGATGGCCAAAATGTCAACGGAACAAGCCCAGAAGTACAGGCTAAGACGCGTGCATCGGAGAAGTAAGCGCACGATAACCTCGATGCACAGGTAAATGCAGACGCCCACAAGACCATGCGCGACCATCAGTTGGGACCGTGACGGCGACAAGTCACCTTTGGGGGTTATTTCGTTCTTGGCAGCCATTGTGGCCGTTTCGATCATGTTGCCGTAGGTCTTGGTGTTGGTGTAAGTGATGTGTAGTAGTAGATGGGCGGTACCCAAGTATGGCAGAATAAGCAATCTCGTATCGGCCGCGTTTGTAGACCAAGGGTGAAGGTGAGAACCTCAGTACAGCCCGTCGCACACAAATTGACACCACGCTGTTAAGCAATCAGGACTCAAGAGTTTTTAGCGAAGAGACGCAGCTGTTGTAACTGTTCTGCCATTTTTGATCGTGAGCCCCGCGATGAATCTGCGTCGACTTGTGTAACGCGCACTGGCAATACCGGACCCGCCTTCGTGCAAACACCCTGACGCTAGATTCTGTCTCCCGCGTTCGAAATATGTCGTGAATTAATCCCAAGTACCGCCAATGTGTACTCCAGATACTTACCACATGCTCGTCGAAATACCCAGCTCTTTCACCTACGTCACGAGGCTTGGGACCCCAACATTTCGAGGAAGCAGCGCAATGTGCTCGGGACATATGTTGTTGCACAAAGATAATCTCGGGAGGAAGGGGAAAGACTTCAAAAACCCAGAAGTGAAGAAGAAAGATAATAATGTGCCAGTGATAACAAAGAGTGATGAGACCTGTGCTCCTGCCCAGCCAGCCATAAAATATCACTGCTAAACGAGATCACATGACCTGTTCATCCACCCATGTCGGCCACGAGAGTCTGTACAAGTCTTGACCTACCTTGCTTACGTTCTGCTACTTCGACTCTCTTATGTTTGCGTACCTCATCGGGACATCACGTGCTCGGTTACTACACCACAAGGCTGCTGACGGAAGTTCTCCTGCCTGTCCGTTTGAATCATCAAGTCCACCGTAGCAATCATAACATGCATCGAACCCAAGGGTAAACTGAGGAACCACATCGTCAAGTACACAGCCTACACCCCATGGCATGAAAATCAACCATTTAGATTACAAACACTACAACAGACTAACGCAAGATACAGGGTATAAGTCCACAAAATCACGCACACACTCTTCCTTTCCCCCTTCTACCCATTACCCTCCATTCCCCTCTACCATCTACTCCCCTGCTCCTTCAACCCCTCGCCCACCACCAACCCGGGAATGCTAAATCCATACCCATCCGTCCTGCCCTCGCGATCGCTATTACTAATCTCCACCCTGAGAGCCACATCCAATCCATACGGTCCGCAAAGACCCGTTGGCGCCAGGCCATTGGCGGCAGGATGCTGCGTACCCGCGCCCTGCTCGCCGATGTGGATCGGGTGGCGGGGATTATCCTTCTTAGTTGGGGGCGCGGAGAGTGCGGAAGTCGCGCTGGTGACGGACGGAGCTTGGCCTGGTGCTGGCGCGGGGGCTGATAGAGTGGCTGATGGGGGAGTAGCAGATTCGCAGATTATGGCGTAGTTGCGGGACGGCATGGTGGCGTGGTTTTTGTCGCTTGTTTTCTTGTCGATTTTGTCGTCGCCGGGGAGGTCGACGTTGCCGTTTGTCAGGCTCGTGTCGGTGCGGGTGGTGCCGTTGGTGTTGATCTTCTGGCCGTTGGAGTCGAGGCCTGGGTCGCGGTCGAAGATCTCCAGGAGCGTCTCGTCCGTGTCGTGGTCGAGGTGGTGGACCTTGTTGCGGCGGGCAAGGAGATTGGCAACGGCCTGGGGAGGTGGCTTGTTGGTGATGGCAGAGCTGATGATGTTGGGGATGTACCGCCAATCCTGCTCAGCGGGGATGGCGTGTTTGGGGTTCGAGTAGAAGCGGCCGATGGCACCCAGATGAACGTCTCCTCCGAGGATGGTCACGCGAGCGGAGTGCTTCTTAGAGAAGTTCTGGAGCATCTGGATGAGCTCGCGGCGCTCAGTCTTGTGCTGGCGCGCCGTGTAGTGGTCGTCCAAGTCATCGAGCAAATCGACTTTGCCGTCGAACTGGTTGAAGAAGCTACCAGCCAGACCAAAGCGCTTGTTCAGGAACTTGATGGGCGCAATGAGTGGCGACTGAAGGATGTTCTCCAACCAGATCAGACGTGGGTAGGCGATGGGAACACCAAGCAGCAAGATGAGATGCTTCAAATCCTTGTTGGCTGAGTATTCCTTGTCCAGACGATCAAATAGAGCCTTGTAGGTCTCGGGATAGTTGATCTGATGACGAGTGCGCTCGGTTCTCGCATCAATACCAGCAAAGGCAATGCGGGCGCCAAGCTGGCAGTAGATGCTGCGACTGCGCTCCTCGACGTATGGCCCCGGCTTGTGTCCAATGATGTATGATGGGTCGCCTACATCGTCCGTCATGACGAATGTGTCCTTGACCTGTACAGGATCGGCAGGCGTAGTGCCAGTTGTGCTATGCGCAGCCACATCCGTTGTCTTGGGTGCATCGGTAGTGTACGTGCTCTTCGGGGGAGCAAGGTGGTGCTGGAAGAGTAGGTAGTACTTGTGCGCAACACCGCCAATACCTCTGAAGACAGCGCACTTCATGAAGTGATCGGTATACGAGCCGAAGCCATCAATGATATCGTGGTCGTCCCAGATGTTGACCTGGGCGATCTGGCTGTTGGCAGTCGAGAACGGACGCTGACCATACCACTTCACATAGTTGTTGAAGTAGTACTCATCGCAGTCGTCGCGCATCTGCCGGCCAAAGGGATAATCGCGGCGCTTGTGCGGGTTGCTAATCGCCGTCCAGGCCTTCAACGGTCCATCCACACGCACTCCATCGTTGTAAATCTGATCGCCACCGCCAATCATGACGTGGAAAGGCCTTTGCTCGTGCATGCGGAGTACGTCGTTCCAGAGCGCCGGGCCAGACCAAGCCTCAACGTCAGTGCCTACACTGAAGCCGTTGCAGGAGTGGAACATGATGCGCATGGACTGGGACGCGGCGGGGACAACGAAGACCTGCGGCTTCTCGAGCTTCTGGCGGTCGACGTAGACCAGGTTCTGGATATCGTATTGCCATCGCGACTCAAACTGTTGGAAGGGGGCTTCGATGATGAAGCGCCAGAACGCCCTCTTGGGATCCTCGTACAGCTTCTCGCCGTGGAATGTCCTCGCCTCTACGCTAAAGGCCGCATTGCCTGCACTCGCGTCGACTGCGCCAGCCGGTGACAGCACGAGCTGGGGGTTCTGTTGTCCAGGTGTGGTGACGATCAGGACACTTCCATGCCAAATTGGCTGTCCAGTCTGCTGGTTGCTGGTGCGCCTGTAGTTGAGAAGAGGACCGGCAATGACATCGAGGCCACCTGAAGTGCTGAGGACCTGCGGTCCGTTTCCAATGCCAGTGACGCCGCTAGCGTCTTGTTGCGGGATCGGTTCACTCTCGGGGACGGGGTGTTGGTCGGCCATGGTTGTCGGAGCGGCAGGAACAATCGCAGCAGTCTCGAAGATATATCTGTCTCCGTCTCCCAGTCAGTCTACCATAGCACTGCGAGTCAAGTAAGGGCGACTCACCAATTCCTATGCGCTTGGCCTTTCTGTCGCGCTTCAGCCAATTCAATTATCGGCGATGAATTCTTGTATGAGCGCACACAGTGTGTCAAAGACACAGCACCTCGCAAAAAAACGAAAAAGACGTGTACGAGGACGAAAGCTGGAAATGCGCAGGTCAGGTCAGGTCAAGAAAGTTGTTGTTGCAGCAATGCGCATCAGCAGGGATACGGTGCCGCTAGCCGATGGTCATGACATCTTCGTTCACGGCACCCTTCTCCCACTACCCTATCATATGTAGCTTCATTACACTCAAACCACTCTCGTCGAGGACCCTGAGCGATCAGTGGCGCGTTGACGCGCTCGTTTCATGCCCTGATCGCGCAGAAGTGCTTCAACATCGTTGCTATGCGACCCACTCGCATCCTCGACGCTGGGAACAGCCACAAGCCAAGCCCCTTGTGCATGCCAAGCACCTCTTGTGCACACGGGATGACGAGACGAGATTGAGTGGTAGTGCTGTGTGGCTGAAGGGAGTTCGTCGATCCAATTGAAAGCTTCGGTTGGAAATCGTGTAGGCACTGCGAAAGCCAAGTTCGTGTTGAGCCAGCTGATGTGTTCGGTATATTGAAAACTTGAGTCAATATGGCAGTGCAAGGCACCTAAGCGTACCCAGCCAGTTTGATGTTCTGACTGCTGAGATGGTGATCGTCACATGTTGCGTGTTTCTGAGGGTCACTATGAAGATAAGCCGAAAAACATTCGACGATGCGCGTCTTGCTACGATATCTAGTAAGCATACGTATGATCAGTTGGGAGAGAGCGTACATCCACGACGCATCTGATCTTCAGCCGAGTTAAAATTGATCATTGCAACTTGTGTCTTCGTGAATATCGCTGTATAGAAACGCCGCCCAAATGCAACATCATAAACCGACAGCACAAAACATGCTCTCATCCTCCTACTCCTCAGGCAAAACCTCATCCGCCTCCAACCCCATCTCCACCCCGACCCTCCTCACCACATCCCTAATCGCCGCACAAGCCGGACTATCCGGGTACGCCGTCAAAAAGCTCTCTCCATAATCGCACGCCATGCCAATCCTCGGATCCAGCGGAACCGCGCCCAAGAACGGAATATTCTCCTCTTTCGCCAATTTCCTCGCCCCGCCCGTCGACGCCCTGAAAATCTGACTCTCGTGCTTACACCCGGGACACACGAAGCCGGACATGTTCTCCACGATGCCGAGGATGGGTATGCTGGCTTTCCTGCAGAAGTCGATTTCCTTGCGGACGTCTAGGAGGGCTACTTCTTGGGGTGTGGTGACGAGCACTGCGCCATCGACACCGCTCGCCTTGAGGAAGCTGTTGACGCTTAAATGTTCATCCGACGTGCCCGGCGGCGTGTCGACGATCAAGAAATCCAATTCCCCCCATTTGACATCCATGAGGAATTTCTTAATCAGGCCGTTCTTCTTGGGTCCGCGCCAAATCACCGCATCATCCCGGTTCGGCAGCATGAACTGCACGCTCATCACCCCCAAGTTTTCACTAACCCACACAGGCTCCCAGCCATCCGCTGTAGTATGAATCGTCTCCTCTTCGACGCCCATCATTTTCGGGATGCTGGGGCCGCAGATGTCCGTGTCCATGAGGCCGACGGTGGAGTCGGGGTTGGCGGAGAAGCCGTGGGAGAGCATCGTGCTGAAGGTGGATTTCCCGACGCCGCCTTTTCCGGAGAGAACGAGGATTTTGTGTTTCACAGAGGAGAGACGTGCGGTAATGAGGGGGATGTCTGGGTCGGGGCCTTTGGGAGCGGATGCGCAGATGGCTTGGTTAGGGCAGCCGGCGCAGTTGTCTGCTGTGCCGGCTTGTTGCGATTCGGGTCCTGGACAGTGTTCTGCGGAGATGTGTAAGTATATATCTCTATATGTCGTGACTATGCCGTGTCTGGAGGGGTGGCGGGGCGCATCGTACCTGGCTCAGGCGCAACGAGCTTGGGCGCTGCCTTGAGAGGCGCATTGAAGTCGATTTGCGTCGGTTCTTCTAGTGAGGGTGCCATTTTGTGTGCAAAGGCAGACGTGTCGGTGTTGTGGCTACATGGTTGTGGTTGGGAGAAAAGAAAGGGTAGCTTGCTAATCAATGGCCATCATAGGGCTGAGATCGCCTAGCATTTTGCCCCACGTTCCGTCCCGACCTCGGAACCACTGGCCTGATTCGTTCCGCTTTCACACAATGCAAGTCAGGTCATCACAACCACGATCGTAAGTTCAGATGTATGAGTAGAATCTCTATTCGTCCATTCACACGCGTCTATGTAGTTTCCTCATCGCCATGATGCGGCTCCCAACTTCCTCTCTCTCCGCAATGATCTACTTCAACTTCACCATGACGTATGGGATCTCGACATCCTCCTCATCCTGGTCTTCTGCCGTAATCTCAAAGATGACGTTCTTCTGGTGCTCTGGCACTGGCTTCTTGCTGACATGTTCGACAAGTTTGCTCATCCCTAAATCGTGTTAGCATATTTGTAAAGTAAAGATAGGACTCCAAACTTACGACAAAGGCATACGGTCCTTCAACTTGGATGGCGGATAGAAAGACGCGTAGAGCAAGCTCACACCAGAGCTGACCATCTGTATCGACAAGCCCAGCTTCTCAAAGTGGTTGACAAATTCTTGCAGAGTAATGTCTTCCACCTCAAATCGGTCCCATAGCTTGTCGATGGTGACTTCGCCATTGGGTCCCTTGTACTTGCCCTTGGGGCTGGCAACAGGCTCACTGAAACCGAAGAACGGCAACGCCAAGTTGATGAAGCCGTTCTTGTATTGCTCAATATCAGTCTTGCCGTCGATGATCTTGTACAGCTCAAGGTTGACAAGACCAGTGACAAGCGCCGTCGTGGTAGCGATGGCAGGGATGATCTTGCCGGCAATGAACTTGGTCTTGTGGCGGTCTGCCGTCTCGATCTTGTAGTTCTCCGCCCGGAGATTGCTAGCTGCTGTGATGAAGTCGATGTGGTGGTTGGAATCGTCGTCCTTCTCAAACTCTACAGGCTCTAGCTTGAATCCAGCCAGCGACTTAGGTGCCGGAAGCTGGTTGATGATGTGGTTCAATGAATCGTTCTCGTCACCGCCGCCTGCAGCCTGGCTGGCGTTCGGATCAGGTTCGGAATCGCTGGCCTGGATCTTGACGGTCGGGTCTGGCTTGAAGTCTGGAACAATCATGTCGTTCAAAACCTCGATGTAGTGCTCCCGCGTCGCGTTTGGCTTGATGCCATAGTTGAATGCGTGCAGATGCGCACCTGCCTCCACGTATGTGAAGTGCGTCTCGTTGTTGGGGTCGAACTTCAATGGGTCTGGCGCACGCTTTGGTCCGGACCAGAATTTCTGGCCAGAGCCGGTTGTAGAGTCCTTGGGAAAGTTGTAAAGCAGTTGAGCGATCTGGTGGTTGTAGCTCTTCTCGAACTGGTGGCGGGCCCAGATGATGCAGTCATCATACGACAATGGCTTCTCAGTCACCAAGAACTCCTTGAGTGTCTCCAGAGTCTGCTTCTCATTACCCGACTGCTTCAGCGATGCGCCGAGGTAGTCAGTTTGTGTGAGATAGAGGTTGACAACCTCCGGTCCCTTGACAAACAGCGAGTCAAAAGCCTCACGCGCCCAGGCAATGGTGTGCTCGATGCGGTTAGGGAAACTTCGCAATGTACACATGGGGAATGACTTCTCTGGTGGATCCTGTGACGAGGAGTATGACTCGGTGATGAATGGCAGCACAACCTGGACGTTGCCCTTTGTGCCGAGAGTACCACTGTCAAGTAAAGGCTTGCGGAAGAAGACGCATCGTCGATCGACATATGTGCGCGCCTCAACATTGTCAAGAGCATTTGTGACCGCATCTAGCTCGTTCCAGAACGTCTCGTTGAAGATGTGCTCAGTTTCTGGGCCAACCTTGTCCTGCAGCGTTACGATCTTGCCTTGGAGATCCGGGTTCATCGCCTGCACCGCCTTTGCAGCAGCGTCACTCTTCAGCTTACCGACATCTGCCGGTCTGAACAAGAATTGTCGGTTCAAGTTGCTCTTCTCGATTTGGTCGTTGTCCGTAACGGTGATCTTTCCATCCGGCCCACTGCCGAGACCCATCATTGCCCAGTTCTTGAGCATCTCGCAGCCAATGGCGCCGGCACCGACAAGGAACTGCTTCATGTTGCTGATCTTCTTTTGGTACTCCTGACCGAGCACAGCAATCTGGCCATCGTAACGCGAGCCAATCGGAGCGCATTGCTCCTCCGAACGGGCTGTAGATGAAGGTATCGACTCCAGCGAATCGAAGTAGAGGAACTGGACAATGGGGTGGAATTTTCCAGAGACAGACTTCAGAACCTCTTGTGCAGCCATGCCACCGAAGAATGCTGCGATAGGGCTAAGGTCACCGCGTGCTTGGTAACTCAGCTCCTTGATTAGCTTCTCGTCGAGCTCAACCTTTTCGGCTCCTGAGCTGGCGATTTCCTGTGCAAGCTTGAAAACTTCTACAGCGTCGGCCTCGTGATGTGGTCGTGGGAACTCTCCCTTGTGCTGTTTCGCAAACTTGTGCAGAGCCTGGATACCGACGTGTAGCTGTTGTGGTCGGTCAAACTTTGCGAAGTCGGAGATGAGGAGCTCAGGCTTGGCCAACTGTTTGCTGAAAGGTTCGAAGTTGATGATCTTGGGCATCTTGACCTGGATGTACTGGCCACCGCTCTGGTACGTGCCTAGTCCGGAGACATCGCCGATGGAGAATGTGTATGGTCCCTTGACCTCGATCTTCCGTGGCGCGCAGCCGTTGAGAGCCTCCATACCCTTTACCTCGGAGAACGTGACCCAGTCACCATCCTCAAGACCGTGTCTGGTCTCATCGAGCGCCGATACCAGACCAGACTCATCGATGCCTGCAATGATGCCGTTTGTGACGTTCTCGCCGGTGGGGTCGCCAATGGTGAAGTTCTTGCCGAAGTCGGTGAAAATCGTTCCGAAGAGACCATATGTGTCTGTGATGACGATGTAGATGCCGTTGTCGTGGCAGTAGTCTGCGATCTTGATTTGGTCGTCCAGCGCCGTGTCTGTGAGAACAATGACCTGGAACTGCTTGAGCTGAGACAGGTCTGACGTCAGGTCCTTCCCGCTGAACTCCTGCACGGGTGTGTATGGGTTGAGCTCCGAGACTCGCGGCACGGTCACTGATGCGCGTGGCTTTCCGACGTCTTCGGGGTGGAGGAAGAACTGCGACGACAGATCGGCGAGGGCGGCGGGCTTGGGGTCAAACAGCGTCAGCGACTTGACACCAGCGAGCGCAATGTTCTTGGCGATCTCAACACCAAGACCCCGCAGACCGGCGACGAGGACGTTGGAGGAGCCCATGCGCTTCATGGCCTCGTGGCCCAGCACATACAGCTGTCGGCTGTAGAGGGACTCGTCGATGTCGCCATTGTTGCCAGAAGCCTCTTTCAGCTGCTCGACAGCTGTGGCAGGACTGTCGACCTGCATGCTTTCCTTGGGCGTGTTAGTCATGTTTGAATGTGAGGTGGAAGAAGTAAGCTGCTGGACAGGCGGCGACATGTCGAGGGTCATGGTTACAAATACACAGCCCCACCAACGGCGCCGTCTAGCCCAACAGCATACCAAGCAGAGCTTCTACGTACTGCCATGACCTTTGCTTTCTTATCTGGACCAGCGTCCGTAAGCCAGTGTTTTCGCTTCGACGCCAACTTGCCGACCGTGAGGAACTTGGGAAGTGTGAAGTGGCGGACGCGCGTGTACGGGCGACTGCGGGGTGCTGCGTTGGTTGGAGCGTCAAGGTTGCAGTCGTAAAAGTTGAACTTGTTCCTTAGATGTATGGAGAAGGGTTATAAAAGGAGGGGAATGTTTGAGGCAGCAGCGTGAGGCGGTTGTTGTTATGTGATCAACCCGCGAAGCTGCTAGAGAGCTCAAGTTGCCCGCGGCAGCCTCGTCCCACCATTTCTTGGCGCTGCCGTCACTTCTGCAGGGGTCCACCCGACTCTCAGACCTTCCACTCCTCACTCGTCCTCTTCACCACACTCAACGTTATCGCTAACAAGAAGCCATGAGCCAAGTTGCTCACATGATCTTCTAGCCTACATCAGATTTCTTCCCTTTTGCTGCTTGACAACTTCTTCATTGCCGTGTTTACGTTGTTTACTTCCAGTCGTCACGTCTTCCTCTTGCCTTCGGTCGACATGCATATAGAACTCAGCAAGCGAGAAGCAATTCACAATCTACTCATACAAAGTGTCCTTGCTCTTACAAAGACAGCTGTCCAATACTGAGCTGCAATGTATCGAAAATACTTTTGCTGCCGGACCAATCACACGACCAGTTGCTCAGCCGCCTCTACTCTCGCCCATCATAACCAATTTTTTTTACCTTTTTCGAGTTTCCTTCCCCTTTGCATTGCTCGTTCTGAGACTGAGTTTGGCTTCAGGGCAGAGCAAGTCTCAATCCTCGACACGAGCCATTCTCCAGAGGTTAACTTCAAAGGAAGAGAGCTGATCGATCTGGGTTTCAGCATTGAAGAAGATGGGTTGGCCCACAGCGTTGTTGGTATAGGACACGATGATGCTTGCAGCTTCACAGTTTAGTCACGAGAGATACGGCAACGGCCCAATATCACGTCAATGACCAGCACAGTCATTTCGATAACAGGATAATGAGTGAAGGCGCTTGGATACGACTTGCTAAATGCTTCCACCTTCCGCCCCCTACAGGACACAACAACCTCAATTCGCAACTGCTTATCATCCATCATCGCCATATCCAGATTCCCCTAACACATTTTCGACAGGGAAGCTCATCCTCAGAAAGTGTGTCGTCTCACATCTCGCCTTGCTTCTATTTCTCGTTAGATTTTGTAAGTCAGTCTCAACGCGCACCTACGATATGCTCGACGAAGTTGGCGCTGCTGCCATAATGAAACTAGGCCAATGCCCAACTGCAGGATGCCTAAGACGATTGCTGTAACAGTGTCTCCTTGAAGACCACCAAGATGCATGTTGCTTGAGACGAGGCAGAGTCTCCAAACGCACGTGTGGTCGAAATGAGATCGAGAGGAACGCCGATGCCGGGGATTTGAACAAATGAAAGTCGGTAAGGTCAACGTATCTTCCTTGTTTTGCTACGAGATCGATCAGAGAAAAACAGAATGACGAGGGCTGCTGCTTGCTCAACAGTCTTTCTACACGGTGCTCACGAACAAGTTATATCGACGAACATTTTGGATTGTACTTTTGTGCTGGTCAAGCTACGCGGCAATATTTGGCTACCGGTCAGTATCATCTACCCGTAATGGTGATCACGGACCTCTTCCACCTGTCGCCTAAGATTGTACTTTTGGAGGCTTGGGGTTGATTGGGTATTTCCTTCAAGGATGTGCTGCGGGCCACATGCAGCGACACCCGAGCAGGACCACCACGATCTAAGCGATTGTACTTTTGGGGGCTCGGGGGTGATTGGGTGAGCCCTCCAAGGACGGGCTGCAGGTTGTATGCAGCGACAGCAACACGATCTAAGGAATTGTACTTTTGTTCAGCCAATCAGTGGACGTCGTCCAGTCGCTCCAGGTCTCCAGCTGGCGTATTTGAAGACCGACGATGCCCATCTCAACATCAGTATTCATTCACGACTGTTCACTTCTGTCGCAATTCTTCTACTCCTCGGGAACTAGTACGAAAGTACCTGTCCAGCCTTGCGAATTATTTTTTCTTCAAGCCTTGTCTCTCGTCAACATTGCCTATGGATTACATGCCGAGCAACGAGGTCATGATGTCGCCAACCTCGATGCAGCCACCACCGAGGCCTCGCAAGAAAGCTCCTACGCTGCGAGACGCTGACTGGGATCCGCACCAAGTTCTCATCACTGAGCTCTATACATCCGGGAAAACTTTGAAGGACGTCATTGCAATCGTCAAGGCTGAGACCGGATTTCACGCCGAGTACCTTCCCCTATAGATACTCCGGGCCACCATAGAGTGCTGATAAAATCCGCAGAGACCGACAGTACAAGTCGCGCATCAGCAAGTGGAACTTGGACAAGAATACCAAGACAAAAGAGATGAAGTCTATCGTCAAAAAGCGACAGAAGCGGAAGATTATCGAGGACGACAAAGCAGAACTGATGTTCTCAGTGCGAGGCAACGAACTCGACTCGACTAAGATAGATCGATGGATGCGTGAGCACAACGTAGACGAGGACGAGCTGTACTCTCCCAGTTCGTTAGTCTGTAGGTCCATATAACGTTAAATGATATCTGCAGCTTTGTTGACACACGACAGCTACCCCGTCAGCAGTCAAATGTCGCACCAACACCCAGCCCAGCACTCCGATCATGCGGAGCTTGACTCCAACAATAATTACAAGCGTCATTTCGGAGCCATCGCTATATCATCATCAGTTTGATGACTATGCGTCGACCAAACAAGCGCTCCAAGAGAGAATATGGAAACTCTGGCACAACTCCCTTTATAAAATGCATGATCGGCGCTCATCTCAGGCACAGCGCGTCCAAGAAATGAAGAATTGCAGGACGCTGTCGGATTTATATATCGAGCGTGGCATCCGGCATGGACACAACATGACCATTTCTTGGGAACCTTTTAGCCTTTTCCTTGTGTCCGATTATCTCCAATGGTATGATTCACAACTTTTGAGTCAGATGTTCGATTATTTTGTAAGTATCGGCGGCGACATTGAAGCCCGGGATGCCTGGGGGGACACACTTCTCTTACGCGCCTGCCACTACAACACGGTGGGATCATCTGTGTATCTCTCTCAGCTTATTCAGTACGGCGCAGACGTGAGTTCCAAAAGTTTACGTGGTCAAGGGGCGCTTGATCTGGTGTTGAGATCAGGCCCGCGGTTCCCGAATCGCTGGTGGTACGAGCGTGTAAGGCAACAACTACTAGCCAAGCTAGGCTTGCTACTAGAAGCAGGCTGCGACCCCAGGATTAAGCTCCGTTTTTCAAAGACCGACGTCGAACCCAGGGAGTGGTGCTGGTGGAAGGCTCTGGATACCGAGAAGAAGCGCAGGAGCTTGTTACCACCCCAAGAAACCCAGCATCTTCCACCTCTCCCATGATGAACACATGGCAAGGATCACACCATCTCTCGTATCATACCCGCACAGTCCGGGCTACTACAATGCATCATCAAATTACCATTTCAAACATACACTACATTCAACGACCTCCATGCTTGTCCATGATGCTCACAATCTCTTCCTCCACCCATACTGAAGTCGCCACGATACGCCAGGTCTAACGATATAACCTGAACTGCACACTCGGCATGAACACCCTACGAGTCAACTCCATCGAGAGACATTTGTACACGCAGATTCATCAAACAGCACACCGCTGCATAACAGCACGCATACCGCGCATACACTTCAACCATTCCACCCCGGGAAGAAAGGTGTAATGGCACGGGACATATATCTCGAGGACAAGTCACGCCGGGATGTAAGTTGTTCAAACGAGTACTGCAGAATAGCGATGGCCGTCATATCGCATGCAAGCGGCAGATTGTGAAGGGCAAACAGTTCAGCGCTGCTGGTAAATATAAGATCGGGAGCGACATCGGTCTGCACGTGGCTTTGTAGAACATCTAATGTGAATCGATCAACCACAAGTCACTTCCAAACGAAATATATTCCTCGCCTTAAATTCCACAACACACATCATTCCCCTACATTCAGGTGCACAAAATCACTCATCACATCATACACACATCCAAATTTGAACGGAATCGTAATCGTATTTTCGCCAACCTTCTTTAGGCCGCCCCATTCTTCCACGTCCATATACATATCCCATATCCATCATTCTCATTCGCGTTCTCTCAGTCATTACTGCTCAGCTCGCGCATTCCCAAAACGCCTCAAGCGCGGATATGCTCACGCCGCTTTATCAAAAATGCCAACTGACCCGCCCACGTAGAAAAAAAAGACGCTGCAAAAACACAAACTCGAAGTGGAAGCGAAAAGACTTTATACACATTTCGTCGCAAAGTTGAAGTTCGAAAGGAAAAAAAGGAGCAGAGTCTATCGCCTAGACGAATGTCTCGTATTCCTTGTCCTGCGATCCGAAGAACTAGCGCTGCCTGTAATAATGATTAGCCTCTCATGTCTCCCAAGAATGTATGACAGGAATGAGGCTAAAACTTACTTGAACTGGTGTAATCGCTATAATAATAGCTGCTCCCACTAACCGTCGTGCTCTTGTCGTCATGCTTTCTATCCTGTCGTTTCTTGAGGCCCATCATTAGCGCGAGTCCGCCCAGCGCAGCAGCTACGCCCGCGCCCTTGCCGATGCCGCTCTTCTTCTCGCTGCCGACACGGCTGGGGCGCGCGGGTCGGTTCTGGCCGTACCAGCGCCCGCCTGCTGCTGCGCCGCCGGCACTATGACGGTGCTCCTCGATGTAGGTCTCTTCGTGGGTGTGTTTGTTCTTCTTGCCGATGCCGAAGATGGCCAGGACGGTGTCGAACAGAGCGCGCGCGCAGCAAAACAAGCACAGCAGAAGGAGCAGGAGTATGCCGAGGAGGACGCCGATGACGATACCAGCGATGGCACCGCCAGACAGGCCTCCGCCGCCTGCAGCGACCTGCTCAGGGTTGCCTTGTGCGCCGGTGGGAATGGGGGTTTGGAAGGGAACGGTGGCGGTCGGGCGACCGGTATAGGTGACTATGACGAGGCCTGAGCTGGTTGGTCGTAAGGGAGCGGACGGAGCAAGCGTACCTGGGGGGACGACGGTGGGCGCGATGCCGCCGCTGGATCCGCCGCCAATGGCAGCGCATTGGTTCTTGGACGGGTCGTAGCAGTAGAGGCCCGAGTTGCAGCATGAGCTGCCGCAGGGCTGTTGCGAGCTTCCGCACGATCCGCCGGTTGGTGCAGCGCCGCCGCCGTTGAGGAGCGAGCTGTAGACTGATGTCTTGGTCACGAGACCGACCGTCTCAACATAGGTCGTGGTGTAGTACTGCCATACTCCGCTGCCGCCGCCAGTGTCCGTGCCAGCGCCGCACTGAGCTTGGCCGTTGGCATCAGTGTAGCAGGCGTTGGCTGTCGCGCAGCAGAGTTTCCCTTCCCACCCGCAGATGCGATCGGCAGGGCATTGCTGGCGCTCGACGAGTTGCGAGCCGCCGTGGGCTTCCCGGAACTCGTCGAAGTGGACGGGATATGGCTTTGCGAAGGTGGACGGGAGATAGGCGATTGCGAGCAGACCAAGCATGGCCGTCGGGGCGTTGAATATCCGTAGCATTGCGCCGGTTTGTGAGGCCAAACGCAGGCGTTTGGAATGTAAAAAAGAGAGACGCGCTGGGAAGCGATTGACACGGCACTCCTCCAAGCGGTGAAGGTCAAGTGGAGAGAGGGTTGTCGCGATTGGCCTGGTGCGGGGTCGATTGTAGGCTAGTCGTCTAGCTGCAGGCAGTCCTCGAAGGAATGTTGCGATAGCACACCCAGAAAGTCAGCGAGTGGAAAATGTTCAGAATGTGGAGAGTCGGAGAGGAATTGGTTGTGCAAGTGTGTAGACTCGAGGAATGCTGGTGGTGCAGAAGGAAATAGGTACACTTAGATTTGGGTGGTTGGAGAAGGTGGCTGGGAGAGGTTGGGAGCTGCCCAAAACCAACACCGGCACGGGTGCGCTTGGAGAAAACCTGAAACTGATGGACGTGGCTTCCTAGTCAATTGTAATGTGTCTCGTGAGGTGTGCGATGCAAATGCGATTGTGGTCTGCGTGTATAGCTGCTGCTGCGCTGTTCAGTCGTGGTGCCATGACGCCGTACCTGATCGTCCAAACACTCGCGGCTGTTCACCCAGCAACCAGCGCGGCGACCGAGCCCGTATTCTCTGACACTCCGACCGCCCTGACCATCAATAAATGCATCATCGCATCTTGCAGCAACGGCCGCTTGTTCCACCGGGTGATGTCCTGCCGATGCGCGTGCAAAATGCCTTGCGTGTCGCCAAAGCAGGTACCCTCTACACGTGCACCAAAGTTTAAGACCCTGGGAGCGCCAAGCAAAAGACACGCCTGCCAGCACATCCGTGCCATTCGCTGTACAGTACCTACGTACCAAAATCTACACCGACTTGCTCTCCTACAGTCATCACATCTTACTATCCACCTTCCGCAACCCCTTCTCCAACCCATACTCCCTGCACAACTTCTCCCCCATCTTCTGCCCCACAAGATACGCCGTCGCCTGCGTGTGATTATTCGTCGTGTGCGGGCACACACTCAGATCCGCCACCCTCAATCCCCTCACCCCAAACACCCTCCCGCTCGAATCCACACAAGCCCCTGCCTCGCCCTCCCTGCCCATCTTCACCGTGCCATTCGCATGCCAAACCGTGTTCGCATTGTCCTTTGCAAACGCATCGATGTCTGCGTCAGACGTTGACGCCGGTCCGCAAAGCGTGCGCTTTACGGTCGGCGCGATGACGGGATTCAGCACGATTTTATTCCACGTTTCGCGGATCGCTTCGCGGAAGACGAGTGCGTCGTAGGGATGCGAGAGGAAGTTGAGGTTAATGATGGGTTTGTCGTCTGCGTTCTTGGAGCGCAGCGTGACAGAGCCTTCGCTCTGCGGGTTCATCAGGAACGCGAGGAACGTCATGTACGTGCTGCTTGCATCGAGTTGCGTGCCGGGAGGCCACATGAGTGCGCCATTGATAAATTCGTAAATCGGCACCGCGTCGCGGCTGAGGAATTCTTGCTCTGCTTTGGGGAGTGATTGGAACTCGGGCGTGTTTTCTAGGCCGGGGAGTTTGTGGAAGCCTCCCCACATGACGCTTTGCTGCAGACTGAGGGCGCCGGTGCGGTCTTTGTTCCAGGAGTCTTGTGCGGCAGCGATGAGCTCCGGGTTGGATTCGAAGGTCCAGCGGTCGTTTACCGAGCTGTCGACTTCTACGCTGATGAAGGTTAAGACGTGGTCTTGCAGGTGCTTGCCGACGCCTGGGAGATCTTTCCTGACTTTGATGTCAAGCGCTTCGAGCTCAGCTTTAGGACCGATGCCGTTGAGTAAGAGGAGTTTGGGTGTGTCAATTGCACCACCGCAAAGGATGACGTCCTTACTTGCGGATGCTGTCATCGTGTCAGTCAGTGGGTAACCATCAGATTTCGTCCGAGTCTCTTACCTTCTCTTCCATCCGCAGTCCTGACACCAACAACCCTCTCTCCCTCAAACACCAAGTCCCTCACCGTCGCCCCCGTCCAAACCTCCAAATTACTCGGCGACTCCATCAAATGCGCCATGGCACTCGTGCACCTCCCCCTCTTGTCATAGCTCATGGGAAATACACTCATCCCAATCGGATCCCCCGAATTCGGATCCTTATTCAATTTCTCCCCCGCATCCCTCAGCGCCTCCATCTGCGGCACAACCCCCTTCTCCAGCACGGGCGGCAGCCCGACCCTCACCCCTCCCGCCGTCCCATGCCCCTCGCCCGACGGATCCGCAAGATGCGCATATTCTCTGATTCCTTCGAAATCATACGTCTCAATCGCATGGAAACTGTCCTTCACACTGTCCCACTTCCACTCTGCATCGCCCACCTCGTCGCCCCAGCGATTATAGTCCTCCTTGCTGCCGTACAAATACACGCCGAAATTAAGTATCGAGCTGCCGCCCAGCCCCTTGCCGCGCGTGTAGGCAATCTCGCGGCCGTTGAGACGGGGTTCTGCTTCCGAGACGTAGCCATGGTCGAGGTCCGGGCGGAGCATCAGCGGGTGGCACCGGTGGAAGGGCGCGGTGAGGTATTCGCCATCGGGCTGGGATCCGGCTTCGAGGACGAGGACGGAGGGGCGCGCGGCGGAGGTGGAGAGGCGGTGGGCGAGGAGACAGCCTGCTGTTCCGCCTGGGGGTATGTTAGTGAAGAGCCTTGAACGCTGGAGATGGGGGTATGTGTACCTCCTACAATAACGAAGTCGTAAGTCGGTGCCATGATTACAGTACCGCGTGCGAGTGTCAAGACTTACTCTCCCATGTCGTGAGGGCACGACTGCATCTTATAGCCGACCACTTTGGTGTGCGCCATAGTTCCGCATCCACGGCACACGCCAGCAGTGAAAGCGCAAAGCCTCCCGCCGTCTTGGGGTCCTTTCAAACTCAGATCATTGGACCAATAACGCAGTTGATCCGTCGCCCACACGAGCTTGTGAGCTATCCGTACCCCTCATCGCGGGTAGCCTAACCCCACTTTGCGGAGCTTAGTGTACCTGGCAGCTATGCAGCTGGCATGAGTAAGCCATCTATACGACCAACTCGCATGCATAAGCAATCAGCTTTGGTCTGCTGATGACTTGCCCGCTGCACTCGTCAGTTTTCCTGATATAGTACTGACTGAGACGTGTGCGTGCGCCTTCGTGCTGAAAGCTCGTGATGCATGTCTTCGGATGTTGTCCACGGTGGAGAAGGCAGTGCCCGCGTACTCGGTTGTCGGAGTCGGTAGATTAAGTGCACGAGTAGCGCAGCGTCCCCGGATTTTCGCCATCCTTGTCGGAGCTAGCATCCGCATGGGTGTGGTTTTAGTGGCATTCGCTGGGTCTGGCTTGTGCACTACTGGGCCGAAATCGTCGGATGCTGTGCCCGAAATAATTCCTGTGCTTCCGGTTCATCTGGTGTCTTGCGCTTCAGAAGTGCTGCAGTCAATGTTGCGTGCCAAGTGTGCAGGGCTCAATTCGTAGCTTTTTCGGGTGTTTGTAAAGATTGAGGGACTTGTATTTGCGGAGTCGTGGGGATGGCATCGTTTTGCGTGATCGTGGTTGACAACAAGCTTGCTGGTATGCTGCTCCTCATCCAGTCTGGCTTTCGGAACACCCTTTTGCCTTCACAAGTGATGCGTCGATCTTCAGGCATCTCTCGGATAGCGATTCCTTTCTCTTCATCTAACACTTCTGCTCGGCCATCATTGCCGTGCTCTGCTGCCGTGGCAATGCTTCTATGATGCAGCGGGGAAAAGTTCGGGAAAGTCCGAGCAACCAAGGCACGAAGGTCTGGAAGAGAAGCCGCTACAATAGCAAACGAGACCTGGATAGCGACAAGGATATTGACAGTTGTGCCGAAGTAAGTCGTACTGCCTTCGCGTTTCTTGATGAAGGGGATTTGAAGCAGTGCAACAACACATACGATGAAACCGAGCCCGAAGACAACGACAAGCCCTAGGCGTTGCCGAGTACGAAGCTGTGATAGTCGCCAGACGTACGGAATTGGGAGGGTGAAGATCATGCTGTCTATAACGCTGTCTCCGATCGCTGCGCTGTACGAGTACACTGCGGAGCTGAAGCACTGGGAGCCGGTAAAGTCGGACCAGTGGTCCGTCCACAGCTGTCTGATGTCTTTGCAATAGACGATGAGAACGACGAACACTTCGACGAACAGGGCGAGAGCGAGCGCTAGCAAAACGTAGCAGCCCCGACGAAGCGAATACATGCTAGGCGGAAAGATGCGGAGGTAGTATGCCAACACGGAGAAGCGGATGAATGTGACGGCGAAAAGGTACGCTATGCGACGCTCGAAGATGTGCTACGGCAGTCAGTTACTGCTTGATACTTCACGGAGTTGCGACCTACCTGGTAGTATGGCACTTCTGTCGCTCTATCTGGACTACCAGGGTCAGCACACTCAATATGCCTTGTCATTAACTCGCCCACTTACCCTCTCCTGTCATATCCCCAGTTGTCGTCTGCACTCATGCACGAAATCACCGTTCGCGCAACGGCAGCAGCCTGCGAGGTATTAGCCCGCCCATACCAGCTTTCATATTACGAGAGACGCTATCATACCGTTCCAATGATGATGAGAACATCATCTGCAGCTAGTTTCCGCTTGATTGCCAATCTGGAGAATACTCTCAACACGACTGTAGTCACTGCCAAAACCAAGAGCGGAATCTCTACAGCCAGTGCAGTCGCATAGCCGCGGATAGGATCGCCAAGCTCTACCAGGTTGGCGGATTGTGTCATGTTAACGTATACTGCACCCAGCATGGTGCGAGTAATCAGATGCGAATCTGTATGCTAGGCGAGTATTCGAGCAACGGGAAGACGATACACTAAGGCCAACAACCAGAAAAGCTTTAAGCTAGAAGAGCTAGAGTTTCGCAGTGGGACATGCTGATGCTCAAGTCTATTGCTTCACAGCCAAGACTCAAGCGACGCTTATTTGCTGACGGAAAAGTAGAGGCTTACTGAGCATTTGGCGTAAGCCATGCACCAATAACAAACGAGGAAATACGCGATCTTGCATAACGAGGTGTTCGTGTATTGTGCTGACACATACTCAAAAGACATTGAGCGGTGTAACTGATCGTGCGCAAGACGTAGAGTTTGTAAGCATTTGTCGCTAATGCGTTGATTTTGTTTCTTTTGGCAGTGGCGCTGAATGAAGAACATGAAGATACAAGATAAATCGAGCAGTATTGACAGACTTTAGATTGTTGAATTTGCCCTTCGACTGAGAGGGCTGTGCCCGACTGCTATCGACCGCTTCAGAGCGATGCCGATCAGAAGACGCCTTCAATCCTGTCAGTCTGGTTAAAGTCGTATGCGTTACCATATGGGCGGTTCAAGTAATTCTGGAGCAATTGTTCCGCCGGCACATGTTTCGCAGCAACATGCAATCCCGTCTTCTCGGAATCAAACTGCTCTCGCAGATCATCCGCGATTTCAACCTCCATCTGATTGCGGTACCAAGGCGCGAAATGAACTATGCAGGGTTAATATCTGTCTGAACATGTGCGTGGTGCAAACACTTACTGAACGCCAGCATCACGCGAGGCACGCTGCTCAAGTTGGGCTTGCCACCATGCCAGAGACGTAGATCTCGGATAATGATGCTTCCTTTCTTCACAGTCGGCTGCGTTGGTGGGCGGACTTCTCGACGGGCTTCAAGAATATGGCTCTTGATTCTGCCACTTGCACGATCGCCATGTTCGCCTTCTTGGTCAGCGATCGTGGTACCGTTGTGAGTGCCAAGCCATATCTCAGTGGATCCATTCTCGACCTCCATCTTGACCAATGGGACATTGACGACCAGGGCGAATGGGATTGAGGGATGGTCAAAGTCCGCATCATTGTGCATCGGCTGGGATGCTGGAGGCGAGTCTTCCGTTGGAGGAAGCGCAGTGTTGCCCGATATGAATCGCAACGACGGCTTCGGACCGAGAGCAGTTGATGTGACCTGTGTCACGATGCGGTCTGAAATGTGTCAACAAAGGTAACTCAGATACTATCGTAGGTCTTGCTTACTTGTGTAGATATCTTCACTGAACCACTCTGCAGTCATAGGTGGATCCTGCTGGATGTTTCCCTTGTTATAATTGAACGGGCTGTCTTTCCGCGACTGTAGTTCATACGCATCCTCTACCATCTTGACGTTCAGTCGGTCCAGTGTGGCATGAGAGACTAGGTCCTCGATTACAACAAGACCATCACGGGATAGCGCGCGAATGGCTATCTCGAGGTTGCGTTGATTCAGTTGGCCATTCTTGAGCTCAGACGGCGAGGGTACGATAGAGATCGGAGTAGAGGAAAGACGGGCGGACATTTTGGAAATGCGACGGAGGGATGTGGCTCAATTGTTTCGGAACACGGAAGCAATTGTTGCTGAATGAAGCTGTGAAGGGCGACTGATGCTCCTGTTAGTTGTAGTTGTTCCACACCCTTTACTTATAGACCTTATACATGACTACCTGATTCAGATGAGCAGAAGATGGCGGAAGAGTTATCGAAAGAGAGTTAGAGCAGCGCTAGGCTTGAAGCGGCAGCGCGACCGGCTATAAGTTCCAGCCCTTGGGAAAGTGCGGGGAAATATGGGCCTGCCCAGAGCCAAGTCTTTACTATTGGAGAAGAAATTGCTTCGTACCCGCTTTTGCAGCATGAGAGTTTGACCCAGGAACAGAGACGTAACCGCCTTGCCTTGTAATTGTCCTTCAACTCTTTGTCATCGACATCTTGATATTGTCGTTGACCTCTCAGTCTTGTCGTCGCAGTAGAATGAATGAACATACCAACACCATCATCGGACCGAATTCGGCATCGACTTTCCATTAGCACGATGCCTCCAAGCCCAGTCGGAATTGGACAAACGAACATGTGCAATGTCGCCTAGAAAGTCTTCCGGTACATCTCAGACAAGCTCGACTAGTTCAGGTGCGAGGCCTGAGTTTTGCATATTGAACTTGTCAGGATAGACGATGCAGGGTCCCACCAGTCTGTATCTGCATCTCGATCGGTGTTCATCATCAGCGCCAGCTGAAGGTCTGAGCAAAAATCTCTTCTCTGATCCGACAAAGGTCCATATTTCATCGCATATTTGTGGCGTATGTGAGCATTTCCCGATCCTGTTGTAGCTGGTTGAGAAAATTCCATGTCCTTGATTTGTACTGCTGCTGGAGCTTAAGGCAGCATGGGCGGCTGGGACAGGTTGCTCGAAAAAGCTACTAATCTTGGTCGGTTGCCCATCAAATCCTCTTTCGGCTGCAAGTTGACCATGTCCTTTACTGTAACTATTTTCTTCATATATGTCCTGCGACAGAAATCTAGAGACTGTCGGATGGGATGCGAGCTCCTGCCATGTGTCGTTCAAGGCACATGCACTGATATGTTCCCCAGTACTCCTGGCTCGGATACGTAGGATAGCGCCTTCAATTGATTCCGAAATGATCTCCTCGGAATTGCCTGGATCATCTGTTCGAGCTGGTAGCTTTAGAGGCTTACTGAAATCTAAGGTCCAAGATGATAGGTTATGTTCATTGTCTTGCCTGGCTCCTACAGCAGCAGACAGCAGTGCCATGTCTGTTTGCCTTCGCAACAAAAGATTAGTAACGGAAGCGTAAAGCTCACGTACAGAGAGACTGTAGTCTGGCTGTAGTGATCCTTGTTCTTTGGTGGGTAGAAGGCTGCGGATCCCATAAACGTGGTCGTGTGCAACACTTGCACGCCTGTAGCTTGCAAATTGGAGGGCTCTTAGCAGTTCCATGCTACCCGTAAGACGTAGTGTCCGCATCGTGAGGAATTCATCTCTCAACATACAAATCTCCATTGCGCGGTCCATCCCTTTGCCCACTGCTGAGGGCACGGCCAGTGAGCGTTGATCGGAGGACAACGCAAAACCAGTCAGCCAGTTCGCGAAGAGCGTGTCGAGCTCGAGCAAAGGAACCTGATGCCTGCCGAAAAGGCAAATTGGGTCGTGTCGCGCCGACAGCGCTACTTCCTGTACAATCCATACTCTGGACCAGTAATCATGGCAGGCTAGCCAAGTCAGCATAGAAACAGCGGTGTTTGTATGCGTCTGACCCGGAGCATCGAGATCGTGTTCAAGACTCGCAGTCCTTATAATTCGAATCGCATCAGCGGTGTGGATGATCCCCAGCCTCGACTGGCGCGATCGACGATAAGCGATGTTGTGCCACAAAACTCTCCAGACGCTTCGTAAGAGGCGTTTCAGTAAATGCGCCTTCTCTCGAATGTGAGGAGTTGCCGACCAGCTTCGATCAGCCCACTTCTCATCTGGACACCCAAGTGACACCCAAGTCTGCCTGCCTTGTTTGTATATCCTGCCCATCAAGGCCACCTGTTTGCTTTTCTCATCATCGTCGTTTTGGTTTATGCAGAGTGCATCAGCCCAGACTGTAGCCGTGCTAAATCTACAACGTAGTGCTCGCAGAGCCATAAAAAGGTTCGCTGAGACATCAATATCTTGTTGGTCGACTCTTATCGTTCTTATGTCGGCTGAGTTGCCCCATGTGTATGACAGGGTGTCGTATCTCGTTCTGAGCAGTCCATCAAGTGAAATGACTTTCAGGCTGCACGAGAGGTCATCTTCCCACCGACCGGGTACAATCTTCACGACGCGAATTTGATTCCTGGCGTGATCAAGCTTTCCATAGATTGCTGACGCTGCTGCGTGATACAGGCGCGATATCGGTGACAGTCGAATAACTTGTTGCGGCGCACGAGGACGATACCGACAATGCGTGCCCATCCTAGAAATTTGACTAGTTGCTCTGGGGTAGGGCGCTTTGAACGTCGTTATCATTTTCGTACTGAGAGCCATGGAGCTGTTCAACTACGACAGGAAAGAATGATTTTCCCTGAAGCAGAACGGTCATCAGGCTACCCTGACATTGTAGACCAGAAACCTAGGTCTGCGACCCGGACGCAATAGCTAGAAGCATCTTGATAGATTGCGCGTAGACAGGCTTATGAGAAAGTGGTAACGATGTGATGTACGATGAAGCTTTGATCGCCCAGTGTTACAAAACACGCTGCAGGGGAGTCACAGCCCACGCGACAGGCTGCAGAGCAAGCCTCGCCGTAGTTTTCTAGAGCTCCAGAAGGAGGATTGGCTGTCGCCATGCTGCACATAATATCGGGTAAAGCCATTTCATCTTGTAATTGGTCAGATCTCTCGTGACGGGACGCGGTGGGAAGCGCTGATGGGGCCCGAGCGTCTCGCGTCCACCACGTCTCACGTCCAACCGCGTTTTTCCACAACACCACTTCCAAGTGGTAACATGCTCAATCTCCACGCCTCTGTTCATTGATGCCTGATAAGCACCATGTCTACAAAACCAGGTTCAGTGAACCTTGATCATCCGTGCGCGGTAGATTCGCGATCGCAGCCAATCAATGCTACTGCCTTCAGACGATACCTGGCACTCCTATCCATCAAGCTTTTAAAGCGCTTTCGCGAGCGCTCGGGCAACGTGCTCTTTCTTTCCAAGCATAAATGTGTCAAGTATGGCACGAGCGTGCAACTCAGCGAAGCAGCGACGATGCAATTTGTTGCGAACCACACATCAATACCAGTTCCTCGGATATACTGCGCTTTCACGCACCACAAACGGACCTATATTGTTATGGAGAGAATCTGTGGGGATTACGTAGGAGCTGGGTGGCTCAAGCGCTCGGAAGAGGGCAAGGCAAGCATCTTGTCCCAACTCAAAAGCATGATCGAAGAATTGCGCCGCATACCACCACCAGAAGGAACTGGCGTTGCTAATGTAGACGGCGGCCCCTTGTATGACGTTAGGCTGCCTGGTACCTCCAACCAATTTGGGCCTTTCCGATCGATAGCCGATTTCCACAGGCATCTGCGAAATAACCTGGAAGCACACCCAGACCACTCTCCAGAGGTCACTAAGCTGATTTCAGAGCAAGGAAGACACCAAAGTGGACCAGTCCTCACGCATGGAGACTTGAGCAGCCTAAATGTCCTCGCACGCGGAGACGACGTTGTTGGAATCGTCGACTGGGAAACTGCAGGATGGTATCCCGAGTACTGGGAGTACACTACGGCATGGAACGTCAATCCTCAAAACGAATTCTGGCGAGACGAGGTCGACAAATTTCTCCAGCTTATGCCCGAGGAACTGGGGATGGAGAAGACCCGACTGAAGTGTTTCAATATCTTCTAGGTGATCATGGCGGCTGCACTGTACTCGTTTGCTAAGTCGCTAAAGCAAAAACCTGGTGAAGCTATACAGGAGCAAGGATGAGCGGAGTACAAACCGCTGATACTCAAGCACTTTAGTGCGTGAGGTTTCGAAAGCAATGCTCACAATTTCGCAACATGATGCAATGCAGGACGTTAACCGCATCAGTACCGTACCTGACTAAGTCTGTCCAAGCTTTTAAATTCCGCCGCATGGATCGTCGAAGTACGAGAAAGTGCGGGGAAATACGAGGCCGGAGGGCATTGCGTCCACGATCAATGCTAGTTCGTGTAAACGCGAACCTACGGAACTGGGGTCAACCCGAGCTGCCCATTGAACAACACTCACTGTGGACAGCGGAGCTCACACGCACAACAAAAAAAACACCGAAAAGAATTTTGGCCTAGAACGGGGTTGGCGATGAGCCATCGTCCAGTCGCAGTTTGTAAAATATCTATGAACGCGTGATCACGAGCAGGCGGGCAACACTCCGCAATAATGCAGTTCAGGACTAGCGATGCAGGGGAACAGCCACACGGCCTCAATAGGGAAGCAGATCCTATACGCATTTGTGATGAAAGGATGCAAGGACGTGGCGCAGTGATTAGGGCCCTCAGGCAAGCTGTTGAATTGAGTCGCATTTGTCAACTTGAGTCGCATTCGACATGTCGATGAATCGGCATCAGGTGATGAGCCTGGGGGATCAAAGAACAAAGTCGCAACAAGGATGTTGATGCACGTGGGCACATGCTTCTTCAGGTCTTTCAAGGTTTGGATCTAGGCGGGAGCCGAGGCGGCAGAGCCCTGAGGGTCGCGCATGGACAAGGCCCACGGCCACGACGGCATGGAAGCGGCAACATCGCATCACCGCCAAGTCTAGGGCGACCATCAGGCGTCCTTTGCAACCCAACAACGCGTGCGCAAGGCGTACCACTGCTTTTTCTTACGAGTGAACAGCACTTAACTGTAATCTTCACGTTGCAACGAGTGTCACGGCGGGGCTTGTTGACTCGGACTCATTCGTCACAGGCTGCTTCAATCTGTTACATGCTTCCATTGCTCGTCCGACACTAGCTATCGATAATATTTGCGCCGAAGAGCCACCCTTACCGATACCACGCCATTGACATCAACCATCAGGCACTATAATACAGGCGACGTCGCTAGTTTTCCCCAGGAATTCCGCACAACAACACCTCCACAGCCGCCAGCACCCACCCACCAGCGCGCGCCTGTCGCACGAAAACGCCAGACCGTCATCATGCCTTCGCAGCGTCGAGTCCGGCTGTATGGCGTCCTCGCGCTCGTCACAATCGTCGTTCTTCTCTACATGTCCAGAGCAGCACACCAAACACACAGCTCGGATTTCTACACCAAAACGCAGCAGGCGCTGCAAGAGCGAGAGCATGCAGCCGCCGCAAAGCAGAGGGACGCCGAGAGCGTGCAAGCACGGCTCCAAGCAGCAGAGGAGCAGGCGAAGAAGGCAGCAGACAGCAAAGACAAATCAGGCAAAGTCGCAATAGAGGGAAACGCCAAGAAGGGCGTGGCAGGAAGGGTGGAGATCGACTCGCAAGACGACAAGAAAGTCCCCGGCGTCGCAGCACAAGGCGGGCGAACTCGAGACCAGGCGGCCATGCAGAAAGACGAGACGCTCGAGGAGCACGAAGTCGAGGTGGAGCTAGATTTCATCCTCAAGCAGAGCCCAGGTATGGCCCATGGCTATTGAGCACACGCTCCCACACTAATACAATCACAGTCATCGTGTTCTCCAAGTCCTACTGCCCCCACTCAAAGAAGGCGAAACACATCCTCCTCGACAAATACCGCATCCTCCCCGAGCCCCACGTGGTCGAATTAGACTTGCACCCACTGGGCCCCAAACTCCAAGAACTCCTCGCACATATGACGGGCAGGAGAACAGTACCAAACGTACTCCTCGTCGGCAAGAGCATAGGCGGCGGCGACGAGATGCAGGAACTCGATGAGACGGACACGCTGGCGAGCAAATTCAAAGAGATTGGCGGCACCCGCATCAAGGAGGTCGACCATCGCGATGCGCGCCCGGAGATACGGCGACAGCGGCGCGTCTAGACTTGTTCGCCCCTTCCTTTCTTCACTTCTTGTGCACTTGCAGGTTCTTTGCATACCCACGCCTTGATGGGATGGCTTTTTTCTGGGCTCTTGGTGATGGTTATACCCTTATGATTCACAGCATATTTTACGATTATCAAACCTCTTATTGTTCTTCTTTATGTGATGGGTTTTAAATTGTCATCTTCTCCTCCAGTATCCACTCGCGAATACGGTCGAATCTTGGGAAGCATGAGTGCTCTTTCCTCACGCTCTCTATTGTTCTTTCCTCTTTCACCCACATGGCAACGCGCCTGCCAAGACTTATCTCAACAACACTCGGATCTTGCCTTCACCTGTTCTTGCCGTAGTGACAAACTTCACCTGGTCGGACGCTCGACTTTCAAACTCCCGCTTCATAACGTTTGCTTTTGCTATCTTCACAGTGCGGTTTCTCACAGCGCGGTCTTCTCGCAAGGCATTGTCTTCACATTGGGCTTCCCTCGGAGCGCGACTTCCTCATAGGGCGATTCCTTACAGTACTTCAGTCGCCCGTAAAAGTGAGCAATTTCCTTCCTCTGTTACACTCTCCTAATCAATCCACACATCTCTGCTAGACACTACTAGCAACACACACTTACACACCTATATTACACTCTTCTCACGGTCAACAGATCCAGCATGTGTATCTACTGGAAGAAGAAACACACGTGCGGCCACATCAGCGACCGCCCCTACATCGAGATGTGCCGCCCCGGCTGTCTAAGCAACACCATCTGCACCGACATCAGCACCAACGAGACGCTGCGCAACAGCTACTTCCCCTGCTATCCGTGCATCAAAGCCGAAGCCCGCGCCGAAGCTGAAGCCCGCTACCACGCCCAGCACGACGCCGTCGTCGCCGCCAACCAAGCCCGCACTAGTGCTCTCCGCGAGAAGCACGCCGCCGAGCAGCGCGCCAAGGAAGAGCGTATCCGCCGCGAGGCCCGCGAGAAGGCTGCCCGCGAGCGCGAGGAGGAGAACCGCGTCAAGATGCTCAGGGAAAAGGAGGAGGAGCGCGCGAAGAAGGAGGGCGGCATGTGGATTGAGACAGGCAGTGGGAAGAAGGCAAAGGGCAAGAAGGGTAATGGCGCGCTGGGTTTCCCTGTTCTGCCAAACTCGACCCCGTCGGTGATCAAGACGTTTGCGGAGGTGGGGAGGAAGGAGAATGAGGGCGGGAAGACGATGAGTCTGATGAAGGAGAAGGGTGTGGATGCCGGTGGTAGGGCGGGCACCTGGGGTCCTAAGAAGATTCTCAGTCGCAAGGAGAACGCGACGGTGAAGAAGTGATTGGTCTGGCATGGTCTTGTGCTGATTGAAGCACGAGACTCCCTCCTTTGGTCGGACTGAGGGGAGTGGAACAGACAAAGCTTCATGTCCGTTATGAGCACTCCTATGGCCAGTGCAAAAGATCCTGGGCTTGATTATCGAAGCCCTTAACTCATACCTTCGACGGAACCGGCGGAAGGTGCAATATGAAAGTGTCAATTAATAAAAGACAGTCAAGATCCCATTCCTCTTCTCGCTTTATGTAAGAAGTACTCTATTCAAGGCCTCAAAATCGTCATGTCCATTTATACCCCTGTAACACGTAAACTGACAAGACCAGTTGAAAGCTGTTGATACAAAACACTTGTCTCAGTCTGGATTATCTTCCCCACTTTGTTCTTCTTCTCCCTTGCTCTGCTCGTCTTCTTCGTCTATACCAAACTCCCCCCTCAACATCTCAGCATATCTCGCACTGTCCATCTGTACGCCCCTGAACACCAGTGGCCCACCAAGCGTCGTCTCCAACATGCGATGTCCCGAAACGCAAAACCTCGTGTATTCGTCCGTGTGTACCAAAGGCATACACTCTGCACAAGCCATCTGCAAACAAACGTCACAATACCCCGCAGCCGCGCCCGCCTGTATCGCATGGTGCGGAGCATGTAAATTGTTCCTCTGATTGCAGAACTCACACGCCCACGACGACGGAGCAGGATCTGCTCGTAGTAAATCCATCGCGTCGGTGCCGTGCGCAAGGGCCAGTAAATGCGTCCACGAGGAATATCTACCCGAGCCACATGATACGGTGGCGCTTGTCGTGGGTGAGGAAATCGCAACAGCCTGCGATCCAAGAGCGCAAGGTCACAGTGACAAGGCCTAGTCTGCGTTGTATTTGAGCGAGGAAGACTTTCGCCGCCTTCACCCCAGATGATGCGTTCTCTTGCGTCCTTGTTAGAACTGGTCTTGGCAAGTGTGGCCATGCTAGTCAGGTCGCGAGTTGTTCCTGTGATGATGGTGTCGCGGGCCTAGAGGTGGGAGTAGTTTCGTGCCACTCTTTTCAGCATCTTTGCGCTGGGGATCAACTCGTCCATTCGGCTGTCTTTGGTTTGATGAGAGCGACTCGGGCGATTTCAGTGACCAGCGGTTCAGCGCTGGGGTTAGTCGTGTAGATATTTGGTGTACAGCTGTGTAAGGTCTGATTTCATTTTGAGCATGAGCATATGCTTCTTCGTCCTGGCTTCCCGCATTGCAGCTTCATACGCTGAAGCGAGCCATTTTTAGCTTCCCAGCTGTTTGCGCGGCCCGCAGACCGATGGTTGAGTGGTCTTCCCACTGGTGATCTTGCTGGAGCATGGCGTGTAGATATACTGTCAAGCGGTTGCCAACGTCATCGTCGGTTATTTTCTGGAGAGACTCGAAAAAGGGATATCAGTTTGAGGTATGCCACACCTTCTGGCATACTTTTCAAGTGCAGGACGTAGCCGTTCCAGACGTAGCCGTTTCAAACTGTTCCAGTCATGCCTGTTTTGACGGCTTGTTCGTAGTCGTGCAACGCCTTTTCTAATTCTTCGAGTCGACGATGGGCCGAAGCCAGATCTGCGTACGTAAAGGGGAGCTCTTCGTTAATGTGGGCGTGTGTGTATTGGTCTGCGATGCCATTGTATTTGGCCCTCCCAAGTAATAAAAGTGTCTCTGGACCATATGTAATCACGGCCATGTATTCGCCCATGAAAAAATACGTTTTGGAGAGTCCTGCACGGGCCACCATGTTGTTGGGATCAACCCAAAGAGCCCGCTCAAAGTACAATATGGCTTGTGCGTGATGGCCAGAGTTCCGCAAAGCGATTACGATGTTTCGATTCCATTCTGAGGTTTCGCTGGGGTCACACCACGTTGTGGCTGACAAGAGTGTTTCAACTGTAAGTTCACTTGGTAGGTCGATGAGGCCATGGTGAATTTGTTGCAAGTATAGATAATTTGCTAGTATGATCGAGAATAGCTGCCTGCGACAAGAATGTCTTATATAGACACTTCAATGCATTTGCGGCTTATCGGTCGCTCTTGTGAAACAATTTGGTGACAGAATACTGGTGGTCAATGGCGCTTGTTCGCATCGCCGTTGGTCACATCGTGCAAGTATGTGCTGCGACAACGCCCATTGAAAGGCGCTGTGAAATCTGTGGGCCTTCAAACAGGGCTCACCGTGACATGATACTGCAGGTCGCCAACTACGACGGAAACCACAAGGGCAGCTGATAGCTCGGAACTATACACAGTATCACCAGGCTTCAATTGCAGCGGCAAGGTCCTATGTATAGCTTCAGACACCCTCGTCGCTTCCCATCGCGGTCGCGAACATATAATACAACGGTCGAATCTCCATGAGATCTCATTGCTCACCTCGCTTTCTGCTCGAGATGAAGAGCCTCACGTAATAGAAGACCACACCTATCACCCATATACCCACGAGTACTGCTGCTTGGATTGGCGCAAAGACGGCACCTCTGACAACCACAAAGCCACTGATTATAGCGAAGAGAGCGGGTATCGCAATAAAAGGTTTGACTGGCCGTGGCAGGCTCGGTTCGCGGAAGCGCAGGATGATTGCGCCGAGAACTGTCAGAAAGAAGAATGCGTACTCAGCGAGACCATTCAATGTGAGGAGTATGCGCATGTTGCCGAGTAGAATGTATATCGTAGACAATACGGTATTGAGGATGAGCGCATTGATTGGCGATTCTCCTTGATCCATCGCATCTTCAGCCGACTCAGATTGCTCACTCGCTTTCGTCAACTTGAAGGTGCCAATTTGTCCAACAGTACCGAGAAATTGCGGAATCCACTGATTGTTGGCCGCAGCGACCGTCATGCGGCCTGCAACAAAGCTGTTACCCAATGCTGAACCCGCAATGACGAGGCAAATGAGCGCAGTGGCGAAGTAGGCAACACCCTTGCCCAAGAAGTGTGTCACGGCAGTCTAGGAGTTGTTAGTCACGTCACAACGTGTGGGCTGCTCAAAAGCCATGTAGAGGACTCACCACGGCGGCGGCATCTGTTGTGGAAACAACTTCCCAGGGTAGCAGTACATAGTAGACCGCGTTAGCCGCAACATAACATAGAATGATTGTCGGGATGGCCGTGTTGATAGATAGCGGAAGCTGTCGACTCGGGTTTCGCAATTCAGCTGCGACATAATTGGCCTTGCACCATGTTAATGATTGCGCACCAAGTTAGCAACAAAGTACGCACCTTGTCCCAGCCAGAATAAGCCCAGAGCGCACCGTACAGCGCCGTAGAATAGAACCCAAGCGACTCCCAAGTGCTCAATTCCGTCCAATCAAAGTGCGTACCATCGGGTAAAACTGTGTCTCTGGGCGCAAACCAGCCTTTGCTATGCCAATCTCCTCCACCGTAGTCTTTACTCTTTCCAACATACACGAATACAACGACCAGACCAGCTACGATGAGCAACAGGATGGTGAGAAGCTTGATAGCAACGAAGAAGCTAGATAGCCTGGTACTCGTCTTGGTACTGATCGAGTTGAGCGTCGTGACACAAATAAGCACGAGTACGCTCAACAGCTTGTGTGTCAATGGCGGTGATGGCTCATTGATGCCCATGCTCGAGTAGATAGACTCGACGAATACTATGCTTAAGATAGCGAGTGTTGCTGGCATCGTCGCCACAATCCATGACCACGCCGCCATGTAGCCCCATACATCACCATAAATGTAGCTCAAATACGGTTGAATGCCCCCTTCTCCAGGAAACGCGGTTCCTAGTTCCGCCATAGTCAAAGCGCCAGTCCATGCTAGAATACCTCCCAGTAGCCAAATCAAAAGGCCCGCCCCCGGTGATGGAACATTTGCGTCGATAGGTCCAGGTGATGAGAAAACGCCCGAGCCGATCACGATGCTGATAAGGAGCGCAAATCCGTCTAGGGCGCCAAGGTTTCGAGCAAACGTGCCACGGTGCACAGCGGTGGACTCGGTGTTATCTTCATCCGTAAAGTAGGTGCCCGGATCTTCCTGCGAATCTTGCTGTTCGAGGAGAGGAGTTGTCTCAGACGCGGCCATGCTTCAGATAAGAGCGTGTGTCAAAACACGCGTGCGTTGAAGTGCGTGATTCTGAATAGTTCGAAATAGGAGCGATAACAAGGTATCTGTAAGATGTCTTGAATACAGTCCCTTGTGAGGATGCCAAATGATGTTGAATGTGTGAGATGGAACGAGAGATGATTGAACCCACGCGTGTTGAGTCAAACGCGACGGAATTGCGTCATTGGCGGAAACCTCCCGTCATCGACGACAGGGGGTAAGCTCCCAGATATGTCACTCAATGGTGGCCACGATCGGAATGTAGTTGTAGCAGTATCTTGAAGTGTACAATTGTTATTCCGAAATTTATCGTGATGAAGGGGCAGATGAAGAGGCGTCGGCGATCGAGCGGTGATGGTACGGAGATCTCTCGCGATATCACCCCTCCCAGACAACTTCCGAGGTAACTCGAGGAGCAACACCATGACCATCGCTCTTCTTGCCGGGATGCCGTCGATCATGAATTGCGCGCGTTTCCCAGTTGCATTTCACTGACCCCAACATCGGCGCAGACATGGTAGTGCGCCCTTACTTCACGGCGCAGAAGCAGGTGCTTCCTTTCGACAAGGTTATCGAGCTTGAGAAGATTGACGACTGGACATTTCGGTCCATCGTGAAAGCATATTCACCAACTGGTACATAAATCATCTATTATGTACAAATAGAGCGAGCGCTAACCACGTGCCTCTGTACCTAGGTGGGGAGAATGGGACGTACGGCGGACATGTCTTTGCTCAAGCTGCGTGGGCTGCTGCACAAACCGTGGGAGAAGGTTACTTAATCCATGTGAGCTCAAACATACTTGTTGTTGAAGCAGCTACTCAGGCATGCTAGAATATTACAGGATGGTTTGTCTTAGGTGGCAAGCCTAATGAGCACTATACCTACAAGGTCAACAACATTAGGGACGGCTTCAATTACTGCACTCGTTCTGTGACCGTCTCTCAGATCGCTGCCCTCGGAGAGATGTTCACTTGCACTTGTTCCTTTAAGAAAGAGGAGGAATCGCCGTTCGATATCCAAGATCAGGTCGACTTGAAAGAGATGTACCGCGATGTTTTAGAGGGCAAAGAGACCGAGCCGATGGAGCATCCTGCAGCGCCCAGTAACGACTCAGAGTACTTCCACGAAACATACCTGAAGGCACATCCGGATCACTTTAATCCTATAGCTGGACTGCATTTGAGGAAAGCAGACATGTCAAAGTATAACGAGAAGCGCAACGCTCTTGACCGACGGCAACTCACATTCTATTCGCTTCGAGGTTCGTTACCGTTGCCCACTGCGCCATATCCGCCTCGAGCAGAGTTCACCGGAAAAATATCCTTGACACGAGAAGCGAACATGCACGCTTGTGGTCATCTTTACGCCTCAGATCGTAATTCGCTATTCATTGTACCGAATCACCTCGATCTTCCACGCGACTATACAAGAATGGCGTCACTGTCCCATAGTGTTATCTTCCACGTCGGTATCAAAGACCTGGTGATGCCAGCCGAGCCGCGTATCAGCCATCCGGACGCCGATCCAACGCTTTGGGAAGATGGGTCGCTCCCACTGTGCAATTTGGAGGGCCATCATGAAGGCGATATAGATGGCCGCAAATGGTTTGTCCAAGAAGCACATCTCACAAGAGCGACTGGAGGAAGAGCTTTACACACTTCCCGCATGTGGGACTATGAGAGAGGAGTTCACATCGCGACTACGTTTCAGGATGGACTGATCAGATTCAAACCTGACGCGAAGATTTGAAGCCTCCCTTCGGACGTACTGCCTGTACATGAAGATCTCGCGTTCTTGTTCTGTGCTTCGTAGACTATCTATGGTGCAAATGCGGCGCAGACTACGCCCGATGCAATACAACTTACTGCTAAGTAGAGCTATCACACAAGCGTGGCTTCTCATTCGTCGTCTACCCCGCTACTCTACGTTCTGCATGTTGGCGGCGTGGTATGACTATGTAAGCGAGCTTACTGCTTACGCCTTACATAGATTGTTGATATTTGGTAGGCGTCCAACTAATATATGCATATAAGACGAGTACCTCGAACTTTGTTCTTCTCTATTACACTACTTAACCGGTCGAACAACCAATAAAATGACCGAACAAAAGAAGATGAAATTCGAGATCTTCAACATGGCAGCTGCGAAGTACGAAACACTTTCCGGAGGCTGTACCCGTGAGCTCGCTCGCCACATGATCGACATTGCGCCACCCTTCGATGGCGACTCAATCATTCTCGACAGTGCGTGCGGCACAGGCGTCGTCGCGCAAGAAGTCCTCCTCAAAAACTTTGCCACCGGTATAGCTCCCGCAAGCATCATTTGCGCAGATACGGCTCCTGCAATGGTTGACATGGCTCGCGATATCTGTTCTGGGATGATTTCTACTTATGCGGCTGGCAACACTGCCAAAGTCCCGACCGTGACTTGCGACATCATGCCCGGAGAAGAACTACGCCAGCCAGAAGACTACTTCACGCACTCCTTCACCAACCAGGGTTTCGCATTCTACAATGACGCAGTCAAAGGCGCATCAGAGATCTACCGCACACTCAAACCCGGCGGAACGGCAGTCGTCACCACATGGGCGGAGGGGTTAGGACACGTCCGCGTGGTTCAAGAAGCGCAGATATCATACAAAGCCGACGCTCCGTTGTTTCGCTTTCCTATTCCAGATGAATGGTTCCAATCATCTCACCTGGAGAAGGTGTTGCGAAGTGGGGGATTTCAGGATGTGGAGGTGCATGAGCGGAAAGTCTGGTATGCGATGAAAACTACCGACGATATAACTGATGTGCTGTTTGAGATGTTTAAGAATTTTCCGGTGGGTTGGACGGATGAAGAGAATTCTGAGTTCAAGCACTATTTGGAGACTGCTATTAAGGACAAGGCTGTTAAGATTGAACGTGCTGCGCCTGGTGATGTGGCGGGCGTCACTGAAGAGTTATATGGCTTTCCTCTCGTTGGGTTCGTGGCCGTGGCAAAGAAATGAGGGCACTTGTCTTCATGGTGTCACCGCACTGGTGTCACGGAGCCAGCGGCGGGCTGTCATACCATGAGTCTGCCGGAAAGAAGGCCATTTAATTGCATTAATGTAGTACTCTGGTCATCCAAATTCTATACAGATGTTGGTCACTCCTGTAGGACAATGCACTAGTCGAAGTTCCCCCCAAATCGTCCGTGCAACAACAGACTTCATGTCGCGCTCAATCCCTGATGCCGTTGCAGTACCTGAAGGTACGCTCATGCGGCTTGCATCGTCCTGTGCCCTGCACTTCCCAATCCCCCTCCTTCTCGCCTTTTCGTCCGATGACCACCTCTGCACCATAATGTTCCCACAACTCAGTCATCAAAACCCGAACCCCGACCGAACCGCGAAGACCGCGACGAATGGAACCTTTGATCTGATCTGTTAAGCAGCTAGCCTCATCAATTGGGCGAATGACGCGGAAGCGAATCTTTCCGATGTTCTCCAGAGCAGTACGAGTGACCGTGACAATTCGGTTGTTGATCGAGACTTCGAAGAAGCGCCAGCGGGAGCTGAAGACGGGGCGTAGTACGAGACGCCGAAGGTTGGTCAGATACTTGATCGACTCCAAGACCACGGGCCAAGGATTGGCGATGGGATAGCCGTCGGTGGACATGTACATCTTGAGTCCGGCCTGCTGGTCCATGTAGAAGTAGTCAATCTCCGCGTAGATGTCGAGAGTGAGGAGGTTCGTGCAGTCGCCGACGAGTTCCCAGAGCTTGATGGCCTTGTCGGATGTTGGCCGATGTTGTTTGCTGTCTCCATTGACAGTCAAGCGCAGCCATCGTAGACTACGTCGGCCAACATCACCAATATCTTCGAGGAAGTGTATGTAGATCTTGATGTAGTCCGGATCGGTGGTGCGTGACTGAGTGGTCATGAGCTCAAAGGTGTTGTTTGCGAAGAAGTAAGAGCGAGCCTCCACGCGGATGTTGTGATCAAGATCGCTCAGAAGTGAGAGGATTTGTAATGGTGTACGGCCATCCACGCGCTTGACTCCTGGAGTATGGAATCGCTGCGTAGCCGCATCGAATGTGACTGATATGGGTTGTGACCACTTCAACGTAGTCGCGTATGCGAGGTTACGAAGCTCTCCTGGCAAAGAAGCGAATGAAGCGCGGTCGACGTTGATGCGCTCGGAGTTCTCCTGGTAATTGAGGTCTGGCATGGCTACTAGCGTCCGGCTTGCCAGTGATGTAGTAGGCGGTGTCCAAATAGCCACGGCAGTTGATTTGAGTCGCGAGACTGGTAGCTTGGTATCGTAAATTAGAAGGGTTGGAATCGAAGAACGATCAAGGTGAGCATAGATAGGCCGTGGCCAAGATAACGCTTAAAGCTCATTCACCCCGACCGCCTGGCGCGTCGCGTTGTTTGCGCGAAACTTACGCGACCTGTTGATGATCATTTGAACAGGTTCTTGCGTTTGAGAGGTGGCAAATGAGTGAAAGCACAGGGTCATCTGATTTCCGCTGTCCTCGGTCGGTTAAGACATCCCATGAGCGAGGCTCACTGATCCCGAACAAAAGAAAATCCAAGTTGTTTATGCCTGAGCTTGTAGTGTTCGAACAGGCTGCAGTGAGCAGTGAATCCGCAACCCCACGTTCCCGGGTGAGAGTTCGCTTAGTCTGGGCACTGGTGACCACACATTGGCAAAAAAAGATCCTGGGATATCTGACAATGCCAGACGAATGCTGATGAGAGTGGGACTCGAACCCACGCCACTTTCGTGACCAGGAATATATGTTAAGATTAACCTTAACCTGGCGCCATAACCAACTGTGGGATTGTGAGCGAATGGTCAAATGATAGACGGTGCGAAATTACGAACCTCGGCCATCTCACCAATGAGGATTTGATGGAAGCATTGAGAGTTCATAAATTTATAATGATTACAATTCTTGCTGGCGACAAGGCCCACCCTCTGAAATCTAGGCTCGTCCCCGTCGCGTGGTCGAGAAATCGGCTACTGGTGAAGGCGGGGCTGGCGGATGACGAGGTCATAGTTCAAGCAGCGGGCCCCGCATTTGCGATCTACGTTGAAAATTCTACTACCTCGACTCGGTGCGTACATCAAAGATTGTCAACTTCACTTGCTATTCCTATTGCTGAACGTATCAGGGGAGCTCAAAGAAAAAATACCCACAGCACGGTCGCTGATTAGTGGCGTGCCGATTCCCTGGTAACGGTCTTGCAACAATGGAGTCTAACGAAGGCAATAGTCCAGCCCTACAACTTGCTTCTAACACTGAACTGATCTGGTCGCCACATCTCGTTGAGTAGACGACTGGCATTGACCATCTCAGGCCTGCACTGCTCGAGAGAAGTGATGCCAAGCAGCCGCATGCCAGTCCGCAGCTCTTTGGCGAGCACTACGGTATGTTAGTCGGTTGTCCCTGGATGCACATATGGGCAAACTTACCATCAACGCATTTCTCAACACCCTTTGATCCATATGCTCCAAGCGCGTACAAGAACGGGCGACCAACACCAACCGCGGTCGCGCCTAGACACAAAGCTTTCAAAACATCGTTTCCATTTCTCAACCCTCCATCCAGGAAAATCTCCAGCTTGTTCATTACCTCAGGACAGTACGTGCGTATCTCGCATAACGTCATGAGTGCGCTCGGCGCAGTGTGCAGTTGTCGACCTCCGTGATTGCTCAGCAGGATACCATCGCATCCATGTTCCATGGCAAGCTTCGCATCTTCGGCGCATTGAATACCTTTGAGTACGATAGAACCATCCCACTCCTTTCGTATCCAAGCCAAGTCCTCCCAGCTCATATATGGGCTCAACTGCCCTTGCACCATTCGCCCACCCATCGCCGGGGCGAACTTGTTATCGCCACTGGTCTCCCATTCAGCAGTTGCTTCTTCTGCGAGGCCCATTGACAGCATTTCTTCAGCCTGCAGATATCGATCTGCAGTCCTCTTTCCCAAGACCGGGGCGTCGACCGTGATCCACAAGCCTTTGTAGTCACACCTCTTCACGATCCTCAGTAACTCCATTGCCTTCTTCCGATCTACTGGCATATAGTACTGAAAGAACAACTTCGTCGGGCTCGCGCTCATTTTCTTCTGCGCCTCCATGAAAGCCTGCATGATCTGCTCTGTCGACTTTGAACTTGCCGTACTGACAACGGCGTGAATACCTTTCCGCAGTGCGCCTTTGTACATTTCCGGCTCTCCGTTGGGATGAATCGCGCCCATAGTGCCCATTGGCGAGATGTAAAATGGATACGGCGATTCATGCCCGAAGATCTTGCGGCGCGTATCTACGTCACCGACATTGCGCATCACGCGAGGGCGGAAACTGACACGACCCCAATCATCAAGGTTGCATTGGAGCGACAGTCCGGTGTTTGCGGAGGTGGATACGTAGACGTAAGATTTATGGGGAAGAACGGCTTTTGCTGCTTTTTCGAAATCGGTGGCTACGACACACATTGACAGGTGTGGCTGTTCTCTGGATGAGTCGATTTCTGAGGCTGTTACTGCTCTTTCATCTTTGACTTGGCGTAGCTGACCGAAGGTGTTGGGGTCGACGGGTCCAAGGAGACAATCCGCTGGTAGATAGTCCTTGATGTAGTCCAACGGGTGGTACTTCTTAAACTCCTCTGTCGCATCCTATTCAATGGTCAATGTGTGATCCTAAGATATCGTCTTGAATACTGACTGTTCCGGCATGTTGAAGGAGGATTACCGCCCCACCAGGGTGTTCCGGCACGAAGTTTGTCACATCGTAAGCCTTCGAGTCAAGGACGATCCAACACGATTTCTTGGTACTATGCTTCGCGATCTCTGCTCCATCGATGTGTCCCATGTTTGTTGCTACTTAGAAACGCTGTTTCCTGGCGATGTGGAGATAGTGGCCAACCAGTGTTCATGTATTTGAGTTGCCGGGAATAACTGATCCGTCTTCGGCGAGAGTGCGACCGAAGTACTACCACACACGTTCCGCCTCCAACCACGACACATGTGCTTTGCATTAGTGTGTCTGTATCGCCTACGCGCCGGACCGAGCCCCCACTTTGCTTCGGTAAGCGTACAGAATAAGCCGGATAAAGGCCTGTCTGGTGCACCATACTTACCGCTCCGTTTTGGCAGAAAGGTGGCAGAATCTTAGCGCAAACGGAGGCTCCAGCACGCTTCAGCTATTTAAAATGAAAATCTGGGTAGCAAAACGGAGCTAGCTTCGGAATTACTGTATTAGGCCAAAACAGAGCAGTAAATCTGGTGTACCAGACAGGCCCTAAACCCAAAAGCTGGAAGACTGCTACAATAGTCTAGAAAGGAAGAAGGTTGCACGATAATAGTAAAGATGCAGCTGCCAGCGAATGTAGCTTCACCCCTGCACACCGCTGCAACACGTTCCCATGATTTCTAAATATGGTTCTGCGCTCTTCCTGCTCTATCTACGATGGTGACGTTTCTCATTCCCATAAGCCGCGTAGGTACAACGACTGAATATAATAAGACTAATCAAAACTGTCAACCTTCGCACTGCTACCTTGAGAACTAACTGATGGAACCTTCCTAGCAACGATGGTAGGAAATGGTATTGCCGTGACACATCTCTCACCCCTACGCTCAGCGTACGATCACTCCGCCGAACTTCCAGCTACAGTGTCGTTGTTTTCTCCTTCTCCGCCATTTTCTTTCACGTTGTTTGCCTGGCTTAGTCCTGTCTCGCCATACGTATGGTGTTCCGTCCTGATTAACCTTGCCACCTTTGTAATACTCAAAATATCCCTGTGTATTCCAATAGAAGTAGTCTTTACGATAGTCGTCCCATTTCCAGTACACATATTCGCAGGAATATTTCCTAGTAATCCAGTACTCCGGCATGGCCAGACCTTGTATCCTCATTTCCTCCTCTAGCCTCATGAGGGCGTTGTCCAAGGCTGTAAGCCCAGTCGATCTAATGCCTTCGAGTTGAGCCGTAACCGTCTCTTTGATATTCATTATAGTGTCTGAAAGCGGTAGACCGGTGTACGCGGTTCGATAGTGGCCCGCCTGGCGGAGTTGATCTGCGATTCTGCTGCACCTGGCATTGTACTGATCAAGCTATTTGCAGATGAGTATATTGCAAATATGATGTCATACGCGATCTTCAGAAGGTGCTTACTGAACCCCCAAAACGAGGATAGCTGTGCTGATAGTCACCAAACCTCATCGCACTGATACATAGCTTCACAAGCTTTAGTGCATCTGTTATGCCAATGCCTGCGTCCCAACGAGAGTCAGCACAGAGTGCCATCGTGAAGAGAGATTGATTCGCAGGGAATATGATTGTTCCAGTGTCTCCGCTGATGAGTGATCAGGCTACCCGTTTTCCCATTGCGATTCTTATCAACAAGGCTGAGGTTTATGGAGGGGTTGAATCTTGGCAAGATTTCATTGGAGGCCCAAAAGCTACATGTCTCGATGTCACGAATTTCAAGAGCCATGTTCGTTTCGCTTTGAACAGAGCTTACACTCACAGTTTACCAATATGACCTCGATATGTAATCCAAAATAACTTTTGTTCGAGAGATGCTAATACTGCGCATTGGATGCCATGTTCATAGCACCAAAACGAAAAAGACGTCGCGGCTGCGTGTGTGGGTGAATCTGCAAGCGCTAGCGGCTGTAACTCTGCGAGCTTCTTGGAACATTATCTGCCTTTCTCTGCAACGTGAGAATCAGACCACAGCGACTTCGGATCACTTCTGCTCAGCTTGTTAAACGCCCTCACCGAGCTCGTTATCACACTGAATGCAGCTATGAAGCATCTACCAGAGGCGGCATGTATTTTGACTTTATCGAACCTAGCGATGTGCTCCTGATATTCTTTATCGTTGGAATGCAGCGAAAGATGTTGAGCAACACCTTTTTGAACGTCATGTTTGATGGCACATGCATGTACCGGGATAAAAGGAGTACAAAGAAACAGCCGCTAAAGCACACAAACAAGGCCACATCTAACTTAACAGCATTCCTCTCGTACCTTTTAACAGCCACAAACGCACGTACCATTCAACACTCATACAATATCCTTTGGCTGCTCCGCCGGCCTCCCTCCCGGCGTCACATATCCCAGCCCACCTAGCGGTACCGCGATCCCAATCATGCTCGCTCTCCTCGAATCCTCCCTCGTATGTACTGTCCACTCCACACTCTTCACAATACCATGTTGGCCTGCGTGATCCGGCGCGATCCTCTGCTCATCGCTCTGCGCATCCCCACTCCTTCGCCAATCGCTCTTCATCTCAATGCTCCTCTGCTCGACGGACTCGCTATCCAAATCATCATACCCACTCCCATCCTTGCGCGAGCGTCGCGACGTGCCGATGTTCGAATGATTCCCATAGCTGTACGCGTTCCCGGAACTTTTGTTCGCGGAGCGCTCAAAGGAGGGTCGGAGCCAGGGTATGCAGAACGAGAGGATGTATTTGACCGTCGGGCCGCTGGTCCCGATGATGGCAACGGAAGATTCAATGGCGGAGTATGCTGAAGTGACGCTGTAGCTGTTTGTTTTGCCTTGGAAGGCGTCGAGGAGCCAGAGGAGGCGAGCGATGCCGATTGCGATGACGATGAAGCCGAGGGAGAGGAAGGCAATTGTGACGAGTTTGCGCTTGAGGGGCATTTGGAGGTCCCAGATTATCCAGGTGGGGATGCTGAAATGTGTGAGTACGAGATTTGAGGATGTATGAAGAAGAGCAGAACGCACAGCATGACGAGGAAGTCGGTGATGATGACGACTGAGACGTTGCCGCTCACGTAGAGTGTGGGGCTGTAACAGCCGCCAGGGATGCTTGGATCCCACGACTTAGCTACAGGTAGACATGGCACCGCGGAGACAATGGTGGTCGCGACCATGTATACACCATTGAGCACTTGGAGGCCAATAATCGTACGCTTGATCCATGGGTTGTGTGAGCGGAGCTTGTACAGACTCCACAGAAAAGAGGCTTTGACGAGACAGATACACGGGTTGTAGACGATACTCAACGCATATTGTAGCTGCGTAGTAGTGAGTTGGTGGAGCTACATTGAGATTTGATGTCTCTGCATACCTTGAATGCATGTATCATGTCAATGGCATTAAACGGGACATCCTCCTGGCGGTAGCCAGTGTACATTGTCTTGCAGACTACGAGATCGTCAGATGGTCATTGCCAACATAAGCCAACATTTTCTTACACAAGTGCGTGATCACGCTGTTCCCAGTGGACAATATCCATGCTAAAGCAATGATCGCATCATCTGTACAAGAGTCAGTGCCTTTACTTCAGGTATGAGATCGACGAAACCCACCTCCGCCGAGTAAGTGATCTACTGATTTCCTCCAGAATCGGACGAGAAGCACGAGTAACGCAAGGCCTGGGAACAGATACAAAAGAGCGATCAGCGTAGGTTGCAGTCCAGGGTCGACATGGGACATATCTGGTACTGGCGGAGGCCCAGCGCCAGCCGGTGCAGACATCATGTTCGAGATGTTGAAGTCGAATGTAGAACGACACGATGTGAGTAGAAGGTCGATCAGTCTTTACATTAAGAGGCGGGATGCGGGCTTTTTCCTCCAAGCCAACATGCTTTTACAGCATCCATCCCACGAAGTCAGCCTGGGACGCGCTCACTGGTTCGTCTCAACCACCGAATCCTGTTACCTCGCTTCAAAACAATGCCATAACGGAGATATGCATGTTCTGCTATAATCTCACGCAGCAAGGTACTGAGATCAAGTTCTGGTTCGTCCGGAAGCTTGCGCGTATGTACCTACAGACCCAGCAGAGCGGTTGACGAAGCAGAAGTTCGCGTTCGTATACTTAGCGCGGCGGTTCAGCACTCGAGAGCCGCAGCCGCAATATGGTGGCGTCGTCTGCGGACGTGGGAGTGAATCCTTCCTAGTAATGCAGGCCCGTCCTGCCGTGTCTGGCGGAATGAACGGCTCCACCATTGGTATAGAGGTGCATGAGGCGTTTCAGAGTGGCAAGAACAAAATGAGGAGTGTAGAGACATCTCGTCGCAAGTTGTATCTGGGATGCTTCGCAGCCTGACCCAGCGACCTGTATTGAGCTATCACGGAATGCTCCCGGCATCGATCGCCTCCCGTGTACAAGTGGAGTGAACGGGACTCCTTGACTCGAAGCCAGGAAGCGGTTCCATGGATCCGGACAGTCGTTCACTTCCACATTCTAGCAGATGGCCCATCCATGTTAGCGAGATGAAGCCTCATGCAGGGCCCTGAAATCTGGCCAATGACAAATCCGAGAAGTAGTGCAAGGATATTCATCCGCCTTGTGTAGACCCACTACCTGCCAGATTGGAGATGGTGGATGAGGCCTGGCCAGGGTACACATGCATGCACACGCCACCCACTCCGCGGGGTGTTCGGTTTGTGGATGCCTTGCGGGCCGTACCTTTTGAGTTTCACCGGCTTCCATCTGGGATCTGGATGACTGTAGCGGATGCGATTGTTGAGCATGCCATTGTCCCAGTCTTGTCAACTGTTCTGTGAGCAGCGTCCGTGGAGCAAAAGTGAGATGCTCGAAGAAACATCGCGTGATTATGCACGCTGCAACCCATGTGTAACGGGATGAAGGTCGATAGCATGCGATCCTTCGCTCGTTCTTTGCTGAACTAGGAAGCGACCATCCGCGTTCCTCTGAACGAGTATCTCCTTGGGCCCATCCACGCCGGCATGGTGATCTGGAAATGGTCTTCCTGACTCGCACAGCTATTTTCCGCAAGAAAGTGGTTCCATGCAAGGACGAATCCCTACTGTTCTATCGGGCAGACCCCGACCCAGCGACTCGGTATACACATCTGCCGATAGAGTAGGATGATTCGCCGCCGCCGCTTACATGCAGCAAAGAGGCGTAAAACCCAGGTCGTATAAAAACCTACGCGAACGCCAGAAACGTGGCAGCCAGAGACATTGTTCAATTTATCCGTCTCTAATATCAACGTTGAAACAACTTTCAGGTTGTTCAACATGTTGACTAAGTCGTTCACCCTCTCTTTGGCCTGTGCTGCTATCGCGACTGCACAGAGCTCTGCCGCTCCCTCCTTCACTGCGTCTGTAGCACCCGCTGCGGAAACTGTTGCTTCTGATGCTACTCCGGCCAATGTTCCGCTGTTCGACACTGAGACTGTTCAACTTACAGATAACGTTGTTTCAGACTTGCAGAGCAACCCGGATGTGAGCGAATATGCTTCGCTCTTTGAGTTTGCCGACAGCTCCAATTCGACTGTGAGCGCGCGCACTCGCCGTGTGCGCAAGTCTCTCCGATGCAAGACCATGCCTGGAGATCTGCTGTATCCCAGCAAGCTTGTCTGGGGTGTCTTTGATCTTCTGCTTGGTGGTGCGCTGGAGAAGATTGTTCCCATCGGTTCGCCCTGCTACAAAAATTCCGAGTACAACAACTACAATGCTGGAAAGTGCGCTTCCCTTGTTGCGGACTACAACAAGGAGGAGATTTAGTAAGTTCAAAGTTCAGGGAGATGGCTCAATGCTAACAGTTCACAGCTATGAGGACAATGGCGCTCTCATGAACCCTCTGTACTACGGCATGACTTGCCCGATCCCGGCATCTGGTAACTTTGCCAATGGTACGTGCACCCAGGGAGGCTACGCAGAGTACGCCGTCAAAGTCACCAATGTCGCGCAAATCCAGTTGGCTATCAATATGGCCCGCTCGCTGAACCTTCGTTTGGTTGTTCGCAACACCGGCCACGACTACAATGGTCGATCTGTCGGAAAGGGTGCTCTGAGTGTTTGGACCCACGGACTCAAAGACATTCAGTACGTCAAGAATTACAAAGGCTCCACATACTCGGGCCCAGTGTTCAAGGTCGGTGCTGGTGTTCAGGGTTTCGAGCTGTACGCGGCTGCCGACAAATATGGTGTCACCGGTGTTGCTGGCATCTGCCCGACTGTCGGTGTTTATGGTGGCTACTCTGCAGGTGGTGGCCACTCTCCTGTTATGCAGCTTTTCGGTGTTGGTTCCGACCAAGTCGTCGCTCTTGAGGTTGTGACCGCGAATGGACGCTTCATCACTGCAACCCCTACTGTCAACAGCGATTTATACTGGGCTTTGCTTGGTGGCGGTGGTGGCACTTTCGGTATCGTCACCTCTGCTGTCGTAAAGGTCCACCGTAAAGTTCCTGTCACTGTCAGCACATGGACCCTTGCCACCTCCGAGACCGTCTCTGCAGATGCTTTCTGGGAGGCCTTCAAAATTTTTCTACGACAACTTCCCCACATACAACGCGGGCTAAGACCTACTCTTACTTTTCGCTGATGAAGCTCGCGCCCGGCACCTACATGTGGTCCATGGGTCCCTTCTTCGCCACCGACAAGACTGTTGAGGAGTATGAAGCTCTGTTGAAGCCGTTCTTCAACAAGTGCGCATCGCTCGGTATCCAGCTCAACGCCAACGTCACCCATTATGACAGCTTCTACCCCGCTTACCAGGCTACCTTTGGAACTCTCGACTACTTCGTTGGCGGGGCTGGTGCCACACCTGGGAACAGAATCTTGCCTACCGAGAACTGGGCTACAGAGGAGATCCGTAACCAGACTTTCGCGGCTGTGCAACACGCGGTCGATAACTCGTTGATGCTCAATGTGTACCACCAACACGCTGCTGAGCAGGAGCGTAAGGATATCAACTCTGTGAACCCAGCATTCCGTAACGAGCAGAGTATGATCGTGGCCATCAACCTCGTGACTGAGCAGACTGCGGCTGGATGGAGATCTGCGGTTGAGGACCTCAACACCAACATTCTAGCACCGCTGCGCAAGGTCACGCCGGCCGGTGGAAGTTACGGGAACGAAGCGGACATCGCCGAGCCAGACTGGCAACAGGCCTTCTGGGGCAAGAACTATGCCAGGCTGCTCAAGATCAAGAAGCAGGTTGATCCCACCGGTCTGTTCTATGTCCACCACGGCGTTGGTAGTGAAGACTGGGTTGTCGATGACAATGGCATTGTCGGCGTGCAGTCGACAGATGGTCCGCTGTGTCGCGCGTGAAATCGCGTTGCGACATAACCTTCTAGTACATAATTAATCACACATTTTCAAACTCCCTTGTCCCATCTTACGGCCGTGTCGCAAGCCTGGGCAGTCAGCAGGACGGTCTTGGGGCCTCACGATCTGCGCATACGCGTCCGTTGTTGTCGCCCGAAGTCGTCTGAGTTGATAAATCGCGTGACTTGGTCCGGCGGCTGCTTGCGAAAACATTTGATGCAAGATGTGACAGCTTCAGAAATGCGAGTGAAGGCATTGAGCGCTTATGGATTGTCGATATCAAGTTTACGCGGCACGTGTTGCGACGCTAGAAGCCTCGCTCTTCTAGCCAAAGAACACTGACGGAAACAAGTCCATCAAGCCGTCCACCTCAGACGTCTCCAGACTTGTCCCGGTGGCTAGTAACGACGATGCGACACCTACTTCGGGGCCCGCCCGCTGTTTTCCGCCCTCTTGCGGGCTCTTGCGGGCTCTTTTTGACAGCCGTGGGTGCGGCAAGGCTGTGCAACGCCGTTGCTGCACGCGCGGAGTGGAGTCCGCTCTCCGCGCGCGATTGCTGCAAGGCGCATGCTTCCAGAAGGTCTACCAGCTGCCGGGCAGGTTGAGACGAGGCACCTGACTCGGATGTTGCTTCGACTCGTCTGCGGTTTGCGGACGTCTTGCGGCGCGTCGCAGCGCTGTGGTGAAGCTCAAAGCGTCTGAGATCTGTGTCGCGGGCGACCCCAGCGGCCCTTTCACGGCAGGCCTACACGATTAGTCACCCCCTGCGGTTTGTCACTGCAATGGTAGACGGATTGTAAAACAAACACAAATCTCGTCCTCCGCCCTCCCCTTCGCATCTCCTGATATCTGCAGGCTCATTGTCTGTTTACAAGTGCGCGAATTCTCGGGAATATTGCTATCCGGAGCGGAATCCTTGACTACCAAGACCTACGATGTGCCCTTTCAGTACGTCCCCAGAATACTTGAGGAGCCAGGTCCTTTACTGACAAATGCAGCAACCCTCCCTGCTGGCGAAGGTCCAGCTCGCTTCTCTCCAACTGCTGTTAAAGACTGGCAGCCAAGGCGAAAGTCGGTCTCAAATGCTTGTGAAAGGTGCCGCCGACGCAAGATCAGATGCGACGGCGAAACTCCTTGCGCAACGTGTAAGCGCTTCACGTTGCAATGTGTGAGAACGCAAAAACCACGGGAAGTGGTAGCATTGTTAGTGATAAGAACCTGGATCGCCATCTTTGCGATCATATTGCAGAATCCTCATTGACCCATGCAAAGAGAACACAGAGAGGCCCTTGAGGGCCGGATTCATCATCTAGAAGCACAGCTAGCTGCTCATGTCAACGCTCCCATGCACGGCATGGAGTCTCTTGACCAGACCATCATGGCTACCACCCCAACTTCATTTGACTGGCAAACACCACCACCACATTTGAACCTTGATACGACAATACCGGCATCATTTACTGCTGATGATCTGGATCTTGGAAGCTTCTCTGCTGGTGGCAGTTTGCCTTCCATCTCTATCAATGAATGTGAGCATGCCCCAAACGTGGCATCGCCGAATTCAGACGTACCTTCATTAGGCTCTTCCATCGCCACCCGCGCATCTTCACCCACCGAGATGACCCCAACGAGCGCCCCCGCGCAATATGCTTCAATGTCGCACCATCTTTCCGGCAACAAAGCTTTTGCTTCACCGATGGAGCCGCACACGGCACCATCCTGGGAATTCATGGCTCAAGCAGGTAGCGGCCAGCTGAGGCCGAGGACGGAAAGCAGCAGAGGTCACTCAAGAAGAACTTCCGCGACCTCGCTATCAGGTGGTAGCGATGAAAACGCTATGTCCCCGATTCCCGAGGTGGAGGATGACCTGCTCCCTCTGGCTCCCGCGCCTCGACTTCCACGGCAAGGTATTTTCGCCGCAAGTCACGCCGAGAGCCCAACACCGGGTTCATCACGCTCAAGCTTCACTGATAGGAGCCGCGCCCTTGTGACCACACCTCTGCCCAGCCGGTTTGAGGCCGAGACCCTGACTTCGGAGTTTATTCAATACATCGAGTCCCTGCAGTACCGCACGTACAACATCTCCTCACCAATTTTTGCGCGCCTGTGCGAAAATGTGTACCCGAACCCGCAGCAGCCATCTTCGGGTATGGACATGTCTGTTTCGATCCCCATGGCGCGTTATCACGTTTTCCTCGCAATGGCTGTAGCGATGAAATTGCGCATTCGCGATTCTCCAGAGAGCACCAATGCGCTTCTCGACACCTGCTACGAGCTGGCAATGCAGCAGGCCACGAACTCGACTTTTTGGCAAGAGCAAGGTGGACTTGAAGCTACCCAGCTTCTGACGGTGTTCGCCTCGATTCGCAAGACTGCCCACGAGGATCCTAGGCCTCTGCAGCACTCGTTCAGCTGGTGACAAGGTTGACTCCACGACATGCATTACGAACTTCTTGCACATGTTGCTTGTTCTGTCTTTTCTTGTTCCGTGTCTCCACATTTCAAAAGCTCAAGTTCCATACCATTCCTTGTAGATAGCAATGCTCGCGTCGAAGAAATTAACGACATGACGAGAAAAAGATAACATATAACATCAAATTGTTTCAAGTCTCACTTTCTGCTGCGCGTTTCCTTCATTTAACCATTATCTTATTCTGGTCAATTATATTTCATACCTAGGGTAAGCCAGAAAGATAATAACAGCTTGGAACTGAGCTAGAGCAGCCATCATACATTAACAGCGCAAACAAAAGAGATGGAATGTGTTTGCCCACCGAATTACTTCACAATAGGTCCATTGTAGAAAGATCCAGATTTCCTAACGACAGCATATTTTCAGCCTGCCGCTCAACCACCTAGCGGCAACAACAATACCAGCCACTTCGAACAGTACAGGCTACTACGTACAATACATGATGCGAAACACCCACGTCCCAACCAGCGTTCCCTCAGCTCCGAACCACAGCTTCGTCAGCACTCGATACACCAATGTCAACGCCCCGCGCAGCCCGCCAGTCGTACACACCAGCAAGTCCAACGCGGCGTGGCTGACCTATCCAAATACGCCGGCACGCATCATCCCGCAGCAACACGCGACCGTACGCGACCACAGTACTGGGGTGAAACACACGAACCACATGCCCACATTCATGCAGTCTAGTAACGTCGCTCAGGCCTGCAGTGGCTTTTATCTAGGTCTTTCTGACAATGGTCGAGATCGCGTGGGTAGTGGTCTTGGACCTACTGGTGGCTGGTGCTTTGGTAAAGGTGTTCAAGGTCAGCTTGGTGGTATGAGTGCGGGAGTCAGGGCGGAAGAGTGGAAGAATGAGTTGTTCAACGAGGCACTATCTTCGGCTGGAAGTTTGGATGCGGAGAAGGCGGTGGAATTGAGGCAAAAATGGGAGAGAGAATCTGGGTCATTGGAGCAGGGCCATTGAGGGGCGAAGACAGCGGGTAAGGCATACATTCCGATTCATTGATCGCTACTCATGATTAAACGCCATTAGATGCACTATGTTACAAGATCATATCAAGTCATGACAACTCCATCTATTTCTTCGCATCGTTGTTAGCCTTCTTGGCCAGCTCAGCGGCCTCGTCACCCCTCTTCTTCAGAACCTCGGTGATCTCACTGATGGCGTTCTTCATAATGTTCTGTGCCTCGTCGCCATGCTTCGATGCAACGTCTTGCAGTTGGCTGAGCTTAGGCATGATCTGGTCGCCGCCGGGGATCTTGTTCAGGTACTGGTCGAGACCACCGAAGCCAGAGTCCTTAACCTTGTCTGTCGCGCTCTTGACGTAGCTCTCGAGATCACCGGTGTCGCCGTTCTCAACAGCTTTCTTGACGCGCTGGAAGAGCTGCTGGTGCAGGTCACCAACCGCTTGAGCGCATCAGCGTTCTGCTCAATAAGCTCCTTGCACCTTGGGGTTCTTGTCGAGGTAGGGCTTGGCCTGCTCCATGCCCTTGTCCCAAGCCTCGTCGCCGAGCTTCTTGAGCTTGTCGACCTTCTCCTGCACGATGCTCTTGATCTTCTCAATGTTCGCGGGGTTGACGCCAGTCTTGATGACGTCGCCGACCTGCTTCCATGTCCTATCGACCTCCTCCTTGGCCTTGGGGCCGTACTTGTCGCCATATTCCTTGAGCTTGTCCCAGTTGCCACCGACCTTCTCCTTCAGCTGTGGGTGGTTGTCCATGATCTGCTGTGCAGAGTCGCCAGCGAGGTCGGCGATGCGACTCATGTGCTTGGTGAGGACGTCCCAGGTCTTGTGTGCGGTAACCAGGCTGACGTCACCGTTACCGAGGACAGTGCGCATCTCGCCGTAGGCTTCGCGGATGATGCTATCGACTTCATCGCCGTGTTTCTCGCGGACGGCATCGAGGTCATTGAAGGCTGAGTCGACGTAGCCCTTCGCGCCAGGGATGAAAGCAGCGTAGCTCTGAGCGGCATTCCGTAGCCATTGGAGTGCCTCGTTAGGCTCGGGAGTAGTTTCCTTGATCTTCTGGGTGGCTGAGCTGACGTACGCCTTTGTGGTCTTTGAGGCCTGGACGATATCGCGGGCACCTGAAGTGCGGTAGAAGATGTAACCAACTGCGACGGCTGCTGCTGCGCCAGAGACGGCGCCAATGGCTGCATGAGAGCCAGCGCCAGAGTTGCCAGCGGTTGCACCAGATACTGTGGAGTCAAATCGAGCCTGTTGTGCGCGGAACTGAGGCTTCGCTGTCCTCATGGCTGGGCGGCCAGCGCTGCGAGCCGCAAAGCGGGCATTCTGAATTGCTTGTCTTGAAAGCATTGTGGTGATGTGTGGAAGATGTGTGGAGTTCCAATTAAGGCGGAACTGATGAAATTAAGCGAATTGGGTATCTCGCAAACTCTGATGTGTGATGAGGGAGGATCTGAGCTGAGAAATGTAGCTTTAAAGAAATGCCAGCTGCTGCAAGCAAATGATTTAGTATGACGTACGGATGATGATCGCCGCGCTAACGGCTGCAGGAACGGGTCACGGTCCTCCCCGCGTTCCGTCCCTATTTCGCTTTCATGTGACTTTGGAAGGGCCAGAACATCGTCAGCACACTACTCTACACGTGCTAGGTGGTAGAATTACCTGATTTACTACCGCCACAACAGGCCACCTATCCTTTTTCTATCTCGCGTCCAGCCACAGCGAAACCACCGAAGAGTTGGACATGCCCTCGAGAGCTCTATTTGCAATGACGTCATTTTGTCAAGGTCTTGAATAACTGTTGTGGGAACAATCCAACGAGATTGAAGCGTAAGCAATCGCGTGCATGCCACCAATGAACAGTGCTGCTGCTTGGCATCTTACATCATGTGCGCCACCTAGCCTTAGATGCGGCTGCTAAGTCATCGCATGAACTCTGGGGCAGTGCTGTGAGTGATCAGCGGCGTGACCGAGCTCGTTAACCACCCTAAAAATTACTGCTTTCGAAGTGTGTCTAGCTCAGAGACAGGTTACCTCTGCCTTGATTCATTTTCGAGAGCGCTCTACCTGCAGCCGAGCCTCGACAACGACGACATGAAGACGCAATGGAATACGAAGACGCTCAAATTGGCAAGGCTGATGGCGTCTAGGATACGTTATAGCGGCGCGAAACTCGATAGCAAGGAGGTGATCTCATTAGTCAAAGGGGGTGCAGACATCCACTTGATTGTATGCGCTTACTGGGCTGGTCATCAGCTCGTCCATCGAATACTTGGCTCGGAACCTGAAGATGACTTCGTGGAAGGCCCCTATCTGAATTACTTCCCAGCTACAGCTTTGACACCGGGGCACATCTCAAGTGTTTTCACTCCGTTGTTCGACGCAGCGCAGGCTCTGGATCAGCAAGCAATTTCTTCATATGCTAAACTCGGGGCGCACTTCTCCCAAATTATGAGGAAAATAGTGCGATACGGCCTTTCAGCACACAAGCTTCTGAACCCGTTCCTATATGCTTCTGAGTCGGGACGAGGCGATATAATTGAGCTATTGATGAGGCTCACTGTTCCTGGAGACGTTCTAGTACAAGGATGGTTAGCGCAGGCCCTTCGAAGTGCAACCTCGTCCGCCATGTACAAGTTATTATTAATGCATGGTGCAGACCTTGCAGATATTAAATTCCCCAAGTCAAGAGTTAATGAGGTCGTTAACCTACTAGCTTCCTTGTCGAATTCTCCCGTGGTACCTATCCGACACAAATCGGGCCAAGTTACCATAGTGTACCTTGACGCGACACACGAGCTTTGCAAAGACTGTTCTCAAGCGTTGATCACAGGGCGTTTCTCTGCAAAGTCTTCGAGATACTCATACAATGGCTCCTGTCGTCTCTGCCTATTACTAGACGATTGTGGGCAATCTATCATTTACGCCCCTGGCACGTCGACATACACCACTAATCCTTTGGACGGAGAGCTTGTGTTCGATTTCGGAGACCAAGAGATTCGGCAACCATTGCGATCGGTACCCAGTAAGTGTTTATCAGACTTTCACTCCAACCAGTTGGGCCCTATCTCTAACGTAGAATGTGGAGTGAGTCTACATGAGACATTGAAGAGAATCCGATTGCTGCCCGATATTGCCACGTCATCTCCAGCGGCCACTGAGTTGGCCACCTACTGGCTTGGAACATGTATGAGAGAGCATGCTCAATGCAGGCGTGGCCTAGTCCAAGCATATTTTCCAACAAGAATATTGGACATCAGCAGCATGGGAGTCGGTAACCATCCAAAATTGGTCCAGAATATCTCTGTCCTAGGAGCGTATGTTGCATTGAGTCACCGCTGGGGGTCAACTAGTCTTCCCATTACTACCCTTGCCAATCTTGAACAGCGGCAGAATGGGATTGACCCTAGCGAGCTATCGCAGGTCATGCTCGACGCAATTTCCATTACTCAAGCCCTAGGCTTCTGCTACATCTGGATCGATGTGCTGTGTATAATACAGGACAGTCCAAATGATTAGCTTGCCGAAGCTTCGAAGATGAGCAGCGTATTCAGTAACGCAGTAGTCACGATCGCCGCGGCTGACGCAGAGGACCATGCTCAAGGTATGTTTCGGGGGCGAACTGCGCGGTGTATCAGGCCATTCCAAGTGCCATTTTTCGAGCACCCATCGGTAAAAGCCGAGGACATTCAATATATATTCCCTCAAAATCGCCTTGTAGGCGGAAGATCTCGCACGAAGGGTACTTTGGACACTCGCGGATGGATCCTGCAAGAACAGCTTCTATCGAAGCGCATCATCTACTACGACAAGGGTGAGGTTTACTGGGACTGCATCACGTCCTCGGCCTGTGAATCCTCTCCTGTTTCGATTTCGCTTCTTGACGAGGCGAATCCGGAAGAAGCATGGGCTTTAAAGCTGCTTCGTAGAACGTTAGCTGGATCCTTGAGCAGCCATGAACTGCGCAAGAGAATCTGTGACACGTGGTTGGAGGTCATCAAGAACTACTCGGCTCGAGTACTCACGAAACCAGATGACAGACTGATAGCACTGGCAGGTATCATTGAACCACTCAAAGTTATCCTTAATGAAGAACCCATCGCTGGAATGTGGCACGACCAGCTGTGGCGGCAACTAATCTGGTGGCTCGGCCCAACGATTCCACGACTCCAGACTGACAACGGCTTCACTGCGCCATCGTGGTCGTGGTTAGGCGTCCAAGAGCGCGTGTACTACCACAACTCTCTACCGGGCGAACGGCCTCCACAAGACGCGCTACAGCACAAGTTCACCGACCTTGAGTCTTGCTATTTTAACCTCAACTCTGTCGAAGTTCAGCCACTACCAGACAAAGCAGGACTTAAGGGACGTCTAGTTGTCACAGCACAATTCTTCCCCTACCACCTTACCGCCCTGGATCTCAAAAGTTCCGTGCAGAAACGCTTGGACAAGGCGAAATTAAGACTCAACACTGGAAGATGGATGTTCGATAAAGTGGTAGAGTTGCCTTTGGATGTACATTGTTTGGTAGTTGCGGAGGATAATACTGCAAAGATGTTAGTGTGCCTGGTGATTGTGCCAGAAGGTGAGGGAGGAGATACGTGGAAGCGCGTAGGGTTGTGTCATTGGGATGGATTGGCGTGGCAGATACCTTCATTTATTGAGGCAACGCCAGAGACGAGGACGTTTGCGCTGGTGTGAGGCAGCGATAAGAGGTCTCACTTTCACAAGAGCAACAGGCTCACTTGCACAAACATGTTACAAATCGAGCAAAAATGTGCGGACATCGATCGTTCTATTTGTCGATATGTTATTAGTTTTTCAGGGTCGAATTTGATATTTGCCACCTGAGTTGTCCAGCCAGCGTTGGGGTAGATGCGCCATCATTCAAAGGCTCTCTCGGCCACACAATGTTTTACCTCACAAACCCTCGTCTTTGTAACAAAATTATAGGGTTCAATCTGAAACGACAAGTCAGCGGCGATGTCACAGGTAAGAGTAGTGTTCGCGATGTCACGTTTAAGAGAAACGTTCTCGGTACGCTTGCAATCTCCCATTCACAATATATGTCGTCACATCGAACTCACTGCGGCCCTCACATGTATAAATGCCCCGGATTACGTCCTCAATATCCTCTCATCGATCTTTCCCACTCATAGTGATCTTCGCAGCTTCTGTAATGCCCTCGATAATCGCCAGCAAGCCACAAGTCGCCTTCTCGAAGCGTCTTACAGATCCAAGCCTGTATCGCCTTACCATTGTCCAACTCCGCAGGAAAGCGCACGAACGACAGCTCGATGTCAGCCATTGGGCCCACAAGTGGAAATTCGTTCATGCCCTACTTGCTCTGGTACAACAGCATGCGGAGGACATCCCCAAAGTCGACAGAAGAACAATATTTGACGTGCCAGGCGAGATCAGGAACCAGATTTATGGTTACTTGCTTATAGGGGATGTTCCTGTCGTGGCCCAATATGGTAAACTTGCAATGTCTCATACCGACCAACTCCTACAGAGGGAATATCCGACAGACATGGACTTCTGGGCATCGGCCTACACAGACCTTCCATCTCTCTCCGCCCTCTACTCTCAGCCAGAAGCCGCCAGTGAACTCCTCGCCCTGTCCCGGACAAGCCGCGAGCTACGCAAAGAAGTCAGAGCCTTCTTTTTTGCTTTCAACCACTTCCGGGTCCTCAGCTCAAAAAGCACGGGCTACCAACAATTCTTTGAACATATTGGTGCAAATGGGCGTATGAACATTCAAAAGCTCACTTTGTCGGGCACTGAGTTCTTCCATCACAATGCAGCTTTCGAAACCCTTTTTGGCTCCTGTGTAAACCTGCGAGAGCTCGAGATTCGCCTGCACATCGGGAACATTGTCAATCGGGAGATGTATGAGGTACTCAGCGATTTCGATTTCCCAGATGACCAGGATTACTTCGAAATGGGTGACCCTGATTCTGTGTTCTCCCCACTACTGAGCATTTTCAATCTTTTACCAGCTTTACAGAAGCTTCTCGTCGTTATTGCTCTTCCCGACTGGAGTGCCCCATACCCATGGGGCTTACCGCGACGACTCGGCCTAGGAGTCGTAAGGGGACGGCGGGATGGCCTGTTGCGTGAAGACATTTTGTTTTCCATCATCAAGCAAGCGGTAGAGGAAAGGCTGGTACAAGTGTTGAAAGGAAAGAACGTTCAGGCGAACGTTGACGTGAAGATGGGAGCACCACCAGAGCTACCCTGGGATAAGGAAGGTGACGGAAAGCAAGGTATAGAACGTACGCACCTTGGCGGAAGAGTTTACCTCAAATGAGCACCGAGAGAATGCTCTCTGACTTTGAGAATATTTCAAGGATAGCAACAATAGGCTGACATAGCCAGTACAACTGTGCAAGCATCTTGATAGACTATTTGCTTGCCTTAACGAATATCAACATCCTCTACGAGTATGAAAACTATAAATTTCTCGACCCTTCTTAGACTCTATGTGCTCAACTCAATACTCCCAGCATCGCTTCACCCTTAAGTCCACTTCTGCCGTTTTCGTCCTCTTCTGTGCTCCCGTTCTTTGCAGGCATCACCGCACGCTCTACCTACTTCGATCAACCATACATCAGCACATCATCTCGTTTTCCTCGCTTCAACACAGTGACCGATCCTGCAAACCTTCTACTACCTTCTGAAATTTACATAGCGACACGAATAACTAGTCGCGGCGAACTACAAACGAGAAGCGCTTGCCATTGTCCTGGCAAAACAGCTGCTGGCGGTCAGGAACGAATACATACTTTGCCTTTACGGTAATTCTGATGCCGAGTTCATCACCTATATCTCTCCACATCTTCTCAAAGCTTTCTACGTTATGCCGAAACATCATGCCAACGCCAACGGGTCCTTGCTTCTCTTCCGGATCCGCGGCGCCGAACTGACGACCCAAGATCATCGATCCAGACTGAGGACGCAGCAAGGCGAATACAATTTTGCAGACCTCGACCTGTTTCTCGTAACCCCACAGATGGAAGAAGTCACCGGCAAATATCATGTCCATTTGGCCTCTTATCTCCGTCAAAGCCGAGCTTGGATCAAAGACATCTGCAGTGAGGAACTGAGTCTTGAGTGTACGGTGGTCTCGAAAAAGTTCATATCCAAGCTCGATAAATTCCGGGTAGAGATCGCAGCCGAATGTGTTCTCGGACGGTGCTCCGCCATGCACCAGGGTACGAATAGTCTGACCAACACAACAGGCCATATCCAGTAGCTTTTGGCCTTTACCAAGTCGTTGTATAACTTCCTTATATTCTTCATCGTTCTCCCCGAAATTGTTCTCCAGGAAGAGGAATTGCCCAATGCATGGATACGGGTGTATCTTCCAAGCCTCCTCGCGTATTTTGACAACGTGATCGAGAAGTTCATCCTGTTTGATTCCGCTGTACGACTTAAGAAGCTGTTGAAGTTCACGAGACATGACGTCCAGGGTGGGGTTTTTGTCGAACCAGGCGAGAGGTCCGCCTTTGGCATTGATGGCAGCCATATCATCACCAACATGCTCCATGACGGTCCGAATTTGGTTTAGTCGTATACAACCGGGGCGTTAAGTGTGATCCAGAACTCCAAGTGGCAGCGGGTGAATGTGGTGATGTCCGTACGCAGCTGCAGTGGAGAAAATCGGAACCTGCAGCTCTGAACTTCGTTGAATATAGATAGAAGGACAGCATAAAGTTTATAGTATACATACTACAGACGTCATCCGAGCGGAGAAGTCCTGGATCCGAGCCTGACGGCGGTTACCCCGTTTAAAGGACCGACCCTTCTCCCCGAGCCTGAGCGGCATTAAACTCCTCAAATGCACAAAGTCTTCTGCGGGAGCGTCACCTGCAGCTGTCTTCTCAAACGGACCGATTCATATTCCCGAGCTCAAGGACAGCACCATACAACAAAAGGTTAGCGTCCAGTTTTTGAACCAATAGTGAAATCCGGAACCTCACCGACCGTTGCTGTGGGTAGCTTCAAGGTCTCATAGGCTGTTCAGGTTAGGTCACTTATGGTAGCGTCTCGGTATTGTACGTCAGTCTATGGCAGTGTTCTCAGGAGGGCCGGGTATTCTAACCCGGTCTTCGAGTCTTGAACGCACGAAGCTTCACCCGCTCCACCGAGCTGACCTACAGCGGGTGCTAAACACTATATTTGCATCCTCGTATATTTGTAATTCTCTCAGATATGCTTTGGACCATAGCGCTTAGATAATACGGAGGCGGTTGATAAAATTGGTTAAAAGTATCGGTGTGTATCTTCCGAGTTCTATCTTTCAGGGCGTCTTGATCAGATATGAGACGGTATGACAGCAACTTGCGTTATGATATAACAGGATCTGTATGAGATTACTTTCTAGTCGACTTTTACTCGAGTGACAAATCTACAATATCAACGGCCACTTTGGCTAAAGCCCCATCCCTTAAAGCACGATACACTATACCCGTGTAAGATCCTACAGTCGGAGCCTGTTCTCCATAAAATCCAGAACCACTGACGAGCTCTTCTGAACTAGGTGTCTTGAGCTGTTTCGTAGCTAGCAGAGGAATCTTCAATGTCTGTCGCACGAAACGGTACATGGCCTTAGAAGCTTGACCAAGGACCGGAGAAGCGTCGCCATGCACCAGGTAGGCGTCCCTATGACTACACCAGGCAGTCCGGAGCGAGGCTGCAAGCTCTTTGGTGAAGTCGACCGTCTTTTCAACCACATTGGAGGTCGACGAGAAGCCGGTATCGTCAATGAGGATCAAGCGCAGCGACTTAGCTATGACTTGGAAACGCTCGTCGGCGTCCAGGCTGGTGGTTGTATCGAAAGCTTTCAAGAGTTGGGACCAGAGTACATTCGAAAGACTGTCGATGGCAATGGACTCTGATTGCTTTGCCCGAGCTTCCGGCTGGCCATTTGATACGTTCGGGACAGGGCTCGAATGAACTGGTTCCTTGTTGTTCAAAGGGCCGTCAAAGTTTTGTAGCGATCCGCCCAACTCGTAGTGCTTTTCTACTAGCTGGAAAAACTCGGCTCTGTAGTTTTCTACGAACTGCATGTGCATAGCTCGAAGATCCAGCGCCTGACAGAGAGCAATGATGTGTGCGGCCATGAGTTGCGACAAGACCTCGTTCGCCGTGTGCGTGTAACGGGCTGAAATCAGAGCCAGCGAGTTGAGTGATTGGTTACCCATCTCGGCGGTTTGAACGTGATTCACAGGGTTTGCGAGGAAGCCTAGCTCAGCAGTCAATGCTGCGACATTGAGATCTGTGCCTTTAAAGATCATGGAGGTGCTTGGATCTTCAGCTACAAGATTCGGTGGTAGACCTCTGTTTGTTGCAGGATTGATGATTTCAGTGCACTGTGAGAACAACATGCGACCAATGCCCTGTATGCCCTGTCTCGATTTCTCCATGGCTGAGGTGACGGCCTTCGCTTGAAATTGCCACCGTGCAGAAATTCTCCTTGCGCAGTCACTAAAGGGTTGTCGGTTACGGAGTTGCACTCGATCAACAATTGCTGATGTGATAGAACAAGATCTTCGAGGATGGGACCAATCCACTGTGGTACAGTACGAATGGAATACCTGTCTTGACGCAATGCGGTTTTGGCGCCATTGTTGACCTGGGTCAACTTGGATCCTGATAAAAAGGCCAGAATGTTACGAGCTGATTCGATCTTGAGCCATCGTTAGCATCTTTTCAGGGGTTAAACCAAAGCATTGAATATTGTATGAAACTCACTTGTCCAGGGTGAGGCCGAACCTCGGCAAAAAAAGGAGAAAAGCTCTCTGTAGTTCCAAGCAACGCTTCAACACTCATAGCGGTCAATATCTGAGCCAAAAGAGCCAATCCATGGGTGTCATGGAGAGCAAGTACAGCAGCTGCTGCTGCTATCGTCGTACCATTTGTGATAGCCAAGCCTTCTTTCGCCTGCAGTGTGACCGGTGCCAGTCCTCTACTTGCCAAAGCCGTATCCGCGTAAAGATCTAGACTTTCCTTGCTCAGGATCCTGATGGTTGACTTCCCCTGGATAGCACCGCAAATGTAGGACAACGGACTCAGATCACCTGAGGCAGAGATACTGCCACGGAGGGGAATCATCGGGATGATGTCATGATTCAACAAGTCTTGCATTCTCTCCGTGATGACAGGTCGAATGGCTGAGCAACCGGCAACTAGAGAATTGATTCGAATGAGTATCGCTGCGCGTGTCCAAGACCACGGTAAGTACAGCTGAGTATTGTTGGCTTCAAGAAACAAATCATGGCGATGTCGACCTTCAGTATACTCTACTGTGGCGGGTACATAGTCTCTGGTTCCTGGAGGCAGAATTCCGTAGTGAAGCTCCCTCACCAATGCACGCTGTAGCTCAATGACCTTCTTGGTCCGAAGATCCGCAGTACCTCCAAAGCCGGTGTTCACACCTTCACAAATTAGTCGACGATTTGCATTGGACTCCGGCAGTTGCTACCGTAGATAACCTCCCCATTAGCAAGTTTGTGCCCGAGCATTCGCATGCTGCGTTCCATGGACTCCACCACATCCGGGCTTGTATATGTTGGTGCATAGTGCCTACGGTTCCAAAGTCAGGTTGAGCTTTGTGAGATCTCGTGACAAACATACCGCGCGACAGCAATCACCTGTGAAAATGTCAGGCCCTTTCCCGTAAGCGATATGGGATTCGTCTTTCTGCTGTTCAGCAACGTTGTCAATTGATGCCACTCATCCAGCACGATCTGCGTGTGATTCATGTTGAACGTAATGACTGGCGTGCAACAGATTTTGAACAAAGTGGTAAATACTACGATGTTAGTTGAGATTTGTTATTCTTTTGCATGACTGAGGACGAAGGAGGGAACAGGCTTGCTGCCTGTCGGAGGAGGAAGCAGGCTTGCTGGATGTATCGCTCCGAATGGGTCCGATCGGCTCTGACAGAACGTCCGTTGAGTCGACGCCTCAGTCATCTTGGACGTCGGACTGCAGGGGTCCTTCGCAACATTGAGTCCGGGCTGCGGAAAATAAGTGCGATAACGTGGCAGTTACCGCGCTGTTTACAGTAAGACGGACTGGACAAAACCCTTAGCATTAACGGTATTAGCTCTCACACGCCAAGTACCCCAATAGCCCGTACATGGAAGAAGTGGAGTACTCGGAACTAGGTATAGCTTTCCCCGGGGAAAAGATGCGCTAACTTAGTAGCCTACAGCAACAACTAAGAGAGTTCGGCAACATGCAGGAAGGCCGATGCAGCCACCAAACTCATCCTGTGCACCGAGTTCTGGGCAGATTTTCCATGCGCATCTGCAATGTTAGCTTCCAAAGTAGTGCCCCAGCAGCAACGACGCCTGCGCCGAATCACCACTGCACCCGCCGCAAGCTAGGACCACAATCCTCAGGTATCGGACATCACATTCTAAAAGCTGCGCGGGGATGTAGCGGCTGTTCGATGCGGAAGAATCACGACTACCTGCTTAGTGTGTCACTTGGTGTGAGGCGTCCGTGCCGTAGGCAGGAGTGTGTCCCAGATTGATGACGGTCATCGCGTGGGAACGGAATCAGCGGAGTAGAACGAAAAGAGTCAAATGGAGGAGGATCATGTCTAATACGACCTACGTGGTCATCGATGTTTCCTCGTCGCTCCTCTTCAACACAGCACGCAATGGTCCCCACTGCGGTCTCGTACGGCCAAAACCGAAGCAAATCACTGTCTGCCTCAGAATGCTATTACACAAGCCGTTCCGCACGAAGTCGCGCCCACATTTAGTAACGAGATCTGAGATTCTTTGCTGAGGTGGTCGCACCGTTTTTGGGTGTTTCGCGGGATACAGCTACATGCAAAGACCCTGTGTGGTCTAGCTTCATGACAGATGATGGCAACCCGGTCGAATTGAGCTGGGACTGGGGCACCGGCGAAAAACCTCCAGTAAGACGATACTCCATCGAGTCCATTGGGCTGCAAGCGGGCACTGCGCTTGATCCAAGCAACTCCCTGGCCGGCCTTGCATTTCACCAGAAGCTAGTCAAGCGACTACCGGAGGCGAGGCTAGAGTGGCACAGTCACTTTGCTGATTCCTTCATCAATAGCCCTACCATACATTCCAGTGATATCATTGATCTGACCGACCACAATACCAACATCTTCTATGCATTTGATCTCTCACCATTGGAGATCACAGCGAAATCCTACTTTTTCCCCAAGACCAGAGCAAGACTTGAACATCGCTCAAACCTGGACATCCTCTCCGAAGCCATACATACTGCACCTTTCGTCACAAGAGACAATGTGAAGGCTTGGTCTACCTTTTGTGACTTCGCATCCGAACCAGCGAACGAAACTCTGGAACATGAGATGCTTGCCATCGACCTCATCGAACCCCTGGAGTCCCGGCTGAAAATTTATTTCCGCTGCCGTGAAACAACTTTCGATTCTGTCATCAGCGTCATGACTCTGGGCGGTCGTATAGCCAATTCGAGCCTGCTTCGCGGGCTGAGAGATCTCGCGCGAATCTGGGACCTTTTGTTTGACAGCCTTGTTCCGCTGAGCCAGCCACTGAAACATTCCGGCCATCGGACCGCCGGAATTCTGTACAATATGGAGTTTCGTATTGGAGATACCATGCCGGTGGCGAAGGTGTATCTACCTGTCCGACACTACTCGCGAACAGACGATAGTATCATTCAAGGCTTGGAGAAGTACTTCCAATATCATGGGAGAGGCGAAGCAATGAAAGACTACGTGAAGACTATGCATACGCTATTGTAAGTCAATCTTTCCAGTAAATCTGCATACTCTCTTGCTGGAAACTGACTCATCATACTTTTTCTAGCTCGAAAGACTCGTTGCAGGCACGTGCGGGAGTACATACTTACATAGGATGCTCAATTCGACCGAACGGACAATTGCGGGTCGTATCCTACTTCAAATCAGATAAGCCGCACTTATAGTGTACGTAAACGCGCAATGAGACTCTAGGGAATTGGTTGTATCATCATACAATGGTGTCAACGTTGTCAGCCCTGCATCCGCATGCTGCTTGCTTTTCGTCGGTTCACCCCAACCACTGAATCTATGACCGACCCCTACGACCTCCAAAACATCCCATCGCTCGTTCCACTGTACTTACTTGTGTATGCCATTATCCACAGATACCACATCCACACGCGATCCTTCACCCCACGCCAACCCTCCCCCACCCCCGCGAACTACCAGGGTCCACGAGGCTGATGCAAGTCGCATCCAAACCGGCTCCGGAAGCCCATTCCCGAAGTCAGCAAAAAGCAAATCTGACTCCACACCCTGTCACTTTCTCGCTTCCGTCTCGACGACGCAAGATGAGATCGATTAGATCGATGGTTTGATATCTCGGTGGGGGAAGGCCGTAAGATTCGACTCGATAAGCAGGGTTTATGGCTTATTAGGCAGGCATTGTGGGCTGCGTGTTGATTGGCGCCCACAAAGAAAGAGTTTAAATTTAGTGTTAGAGATTGAGCGTTGGAAAGCTGGAATTCACTAACCAGTGTCGGTCACGAGAACAACCTGAACATATGCGGTGTAGAGATTGTAAGTTGGTTGTATTCACGCTACTGAGTGGGGCTAAAATACAAACGATTCGAATCTGGCGATGGCTGCATAGACATCTCAAAGCGTATGTAGTACATGTTTTGGTATCCATGGTGGGTGGGTATGCAACGCCATGGTACAAGAAACCCAGCCTCCACGTCATGCAAAATGCTTTTTTGCGCCGTACTCCGCAATGCTTGAAGAAAGAAGAGACACGCAACATATGGCGGGGATGGCGCTATTGATCGCGTATCCAAAATTGTGCTATGAACAAAAAGACAGGCCTTCCAGATGGCGCAATGCAAGAGACTGAATGCGTCGATGGAGCTGAAACGCGCCCTCCAAGAAACATAGCAGTGCTGATATCAGCACTTCACATGATGCCCTTCAGTCCGCGAAAGCCTCCAGTCTTCGATGAGCTAGGCTTCTTTGGGTCCTTGTCTTTCTTCTTACTGATGTTCTGCGCGCCACCTATCAATCTATTAGCGCCGATGTTCCACAAATTGGCAACGAGATACTCACCACGGCCGTAGTACCGCACCTCCGATTTCGGATCTACCTTATCCTTCTTGTCTTTATTTGCACTACCTTCGGTGTCGACAGAGTAGCTGCTCTTTCCGCTGGATTGGGCGGTTGCGCTGCCTTGGGCTTGACTCTGAAACTGCGCATTGAGTGAGGAATCGTATGCGCTGGAGAAGTCTGGCCCAGCAAAACTGCCGCCGAATCCGGGGTAGGGTGAGGGAGCTGTGTGGGACCTCTGTGTTTTTTGGCCGGGCTCTGTTCGCGCTGGAAGGCCAGGCAACGCGTTTGAAGTTGGACTTGTGACTGAGTTCGGAGATTGATAGTCATGGAACTGATCACGCTCCTCGCTTGGTGATGCCTCAGTGACGAGAGGAGGTAAATATCTCGAGTTGTGATTATTGCTCATCTGTCGCTGACTTGTACTGGCAGTGCGTCCGAGACGCGCCTTCTCGAAGTCAAGATGGCCAGACCTCTCTTGGCTGCGGTACCGACCTTGTTCGGCTTCGTGCTCGGCTTCAAGATCGTGATACTTCATTTGCAGCTCGGTATGCTGCTCAAGCAAGTGGTAGTGTGTCTTCTTGAGCTGCTGCAGTTTGGCCTGACTGGCTGCAAGTGCTGAATCAAGCATTTGCTGCACCGAAGAAGGAAGCTGGCCTGGCCTACCAGTGTTGCGTTCGGACATTTGCAAGCGTGTCTCGAGCTCCATGATTCGTCGTTCGTAGGCTTTGATAGAGCGTTCCCGCTCCAGCTCTCGACTGTTCAGGCGCATGTTGGAAATCTCGAGATCATTGCGCAAATCGTTACGTTCTTGCATCAGCGCATGAAGCTCCTTCCTTTGATCTTCTAGTGTCATGATTTTCTCTTGCGCTGCCTCAAGATCCCGCTGTAAATTGCTGTAGTCTTCCAATTCGTACTCCAGGGCTCGTGTTCTCTGCTGAGCTTTGATCTGTTCTGCTTCTGCCTTTTCCACGATCTGCTTCAGATGCTCATAGTCCGATTTCGTCCGCTGGAGCTCGTAGCGCAGGCTGTCTTCCTCGCTATGCCAAGTCTTCTCACTGTCGCGGTATGTCCGCACTTTGGAGCTCAAATCGCTTTCCCATTTTTTAGATTGGTTTCGACTGGTGAGCGTTTCCTTTTTTAACTGAGCATACAACTCGTTGGCCTTGGCGAGCCGTGCCTTTAGCGTCTTGTTCGTGTTGATCAGGTTTTGAGTCTCTGCTTCGGCAGTCGCCTCCTTGATGTGCTTGCGTTGTAGCTGGCCGATATGAGCCAAATGCTGTAGCTTCAGATAACGTTCAAAGTTGAGGTCATTACGGAGGAGCATGATCTCTCGCTGCAGGGAAGCCATTGTCTGGCCCCGGAAGTTGTTGTTGGTCGGTGAATTGGAAGTCGTTACAGACTGTACAAAGTTATCTAGACTTGGTTGCTTTGCGACGTGTGCCTGCGATGTCGCCAATGGTGCTCCCAAAAAGTCATGTGCTTTAGTCTCATTAGCTGGTGGGAGTGTCGGTGAGTCCATTGGGTCGTGAGCTTGGAGTAATGGTGAGGGCGATTTTTTGGATGTGGGTGGTATGTCAAATGTCTGCGGCACATCAGGCCCCTCGCTTGGGGATACGAACACGGTCGATTGAGTATTGCGCCAGCTCACATTAGAGTCGTTGGCTGTGATGCCATCGTCGTCAAGACTGAACTGCGTGGAGTCTTGAGGAATGGGTGGCACAGGTATGGCTGGCAGTGCAGCGCTTGGTGGTGGACCAGGATCCTCCAGTGTAGACGAGACGGCTACGCAGAGGTCCATACATTCCGTAACAACGTCGGCAGGGTCGCTCTTCAGCCATCTGTTCTCGCGCAGTTCATCTTCAGCGGTGGTGCTGAACATGTTTGGATGCAGCAAATGAACGCGGCGGTACGGTTCTGTGCGACTCTGAATCAGATCTTGATCGAGGTCAAAGTCGCGAGCACCCGGAAAGTTTAGCGATTTGAGGAACTTTCTTGGTTTCCTCACAAAGCTCATGAAGTTCAACGGGAACAGGCCATACAGGAAGGTGAAATAATGCATGAGTGTCGGCGGAGACGAATCAGGATACTCCATGGATTGCAGTACTGGCTCCCATGCTTGTTCAGACTCTCCTTCGTCATTCTCGCTCTCTTCTTGGCTATCGTCGTCCTCGTCGTTGGGATCGTCTGGCCTCGGCTCTTCGGCGCTACCCAGCCTATCCCAGCACAAAACCCTAGAATATATCAAGAACATCTTAGGAAGGTGGTGATCCGAAAGTAAAGATGCACAGATGTGCGGCAAAAACATGATGAGGACTACGAGAGCGAGCTCGATGACAGTGGAGGATGCGTCGATCAGGAGGCATTTTTCCAGGTGCTGGATAAGGGGGGTCTCAAGGACGAGATGCAGATGAGGAGGCTGCAGACGCACGAAGGCGCTGAGCAGGTTTAGTGCTTGTATGCGATGCTGTTTTTGCACAAACAGCTCGTCAAGAGCAAGTAGAAGGGCCTGGAATGATTAGCTATGCGATGTACTTGTTTGTGTGTTGAGTGAAGGCACCTTTGGCATCTTGCGCCCGAAGGCTACCAGAACTGACTCTAGCTCTTGCGCGAGTAGCTCGTTCCCTGGTGAGATGGCGTCCTGGGTCACAAGGGGCACGTTGGTCCTCGCAAGATAGGCATCCAATATCCTTTTGGTGAAGAGCTTCGACAGTCGCGCATGCTCTCCGTCCTTGTCTGACTCCGTATCGTACACCAGGATGCTCAGTACGAATTCCCTCGCATCTTCGAGTTCCTGTCGCTTGTGGCCTGGCGCATCTATGGTGGGCTTCAGTACCAGGCTCCACCACGTAGTCAGCCGCGCTTCGCCAATGATGGCGGGTCGCACACAGCGCAGGACGGCCAGGAAGGTGCCGTGCTTCTCTGGACTCGGCGCAACTTGACGTTGGTACAGGGTGTGGAGGTCCTCGTGGAAGCGCTGGGAGTCGTGGTCGTCGATGCTGTCATAGCGCTCGAGGAAGTTCTCGATGGTGGCGCACAGGTCGTCGGGTAGGGGGGAGGGAACGTTGGGCGCAGCGAAGGTGGTGTTGAGAGCCCTGACGGTCTCTCGCATCGATCTTCCACATCCGTCAGCATGCACATTCGGCAGCCTCTCGCCCTGGGCGAGAAGTGATGATGACATGCAACAAAGGGCTGCGAAACTTACCCAGCCGACATTCTATCGCGTGTATCTTCCAATCACCAAGAATAGGCTTCAGCACTCATTGGCGCACGTTCAGCCAAAAGTAAGACAGTGTAGACTATGGTGCAGCTGCCAGGCGGCGTCGAGCACTCAAAAGACGACGATACAGGACGGATGATCCCGGAAATTCTCAACTTTAAGTGAGCATGTCACCGCGTCTGCGCAAGGCGGGTCGTATGTGCGCAGCCAAAGCTTGTGATATGCGAATGCGTGGGGTGAATGGCGAGGTAAGCGGCGGGCAGCAGATATGATCAGTGCACATGCCTCGAGATCGGGCCCTCATGGTGCTTTTGTGGCAATACCCTGCGTGCTCTTGATTCCTGGGTCGCCTATTCTCCTGACCCAAAAGACGCGCCAAAAGTAATTCGCGTCTGACTGCTGCATGCCATCGCTTTGCGGAGGTTCACGTTCATGTGCACGTTTCGACCGAGGTGCATGTGCCAAGGCGGCAGGCGCGATCCGTGCGCTCTTGCGTCTTGAGCAAGCCATCCCAACGGCTTGACGCCGCATCAAAGTTATCTGCTTTTTCGCTACACCCCTGACGTCTCCCACTCCCCAAAGGCCATTCGTGCAATTGCTTTCATGTCAACACGGACGCCGTATCTCGACCTGACCATTGAAGGGCGCACGACCAGGGGCTGGCAAGCTCACTGAAGCTGTCATCAACGGCTGCTCATGTGCATATGCAAAAACTATTGGCCAATCGATAGTACATCGTCTTGAGCCCATGCATTTTCGCCGTGCTTACTGTGCCGTCAGCAGTGGGTTTGTATGCGATCCCCAATTTGCCGAGCCAGCTCATGTCTGCGCGATGCTCAGAGCAGCTGCCTCGCCTCGTCAGGTCACCTTCAATCCTTCACGCACTACATGTTCCGTCCCCACGGATCTGCTCCCCAGCTCCTGCACGCTTCGGCCGCCTCGCCGAGGATTTTCGCGAAGTGCCACCGGTCGGTAACTACTGACTAGGTAGACTCTCGTTGTGCACCCCAGCTTGAAGTACCCGCATGACTTCGATAGTCGCAGCGATCCAGATATCGGGAGCAGTTGCGGGTTCCCGACCGATGGTCGCTCAGACATCATTCGTTGCCAGTGTTGGAAGGAATTACGGCACTGTCCTTGAAATTACGTATCTCAGCCACGCCGTTATCTATGCCTTCTCGGACGAGGTCCCGGATTCTGTAAAGCACATCTTGTCCCGAGATGGCCCCTAGCTCCAACCTTGAAGATCTTCACAAACTTTCAGGCGCTCCAGCACAGTTAGGTGGCATAAGTCGAGCACTTCAGGCTTTCTATAAGCTGTCTGGCTATTCGCTGCCAGCCTCGTGTGCCCTCTGGCGCTTGCGGGCTCGCCCTCAAAGTATACGGATCGCGCCGCCAGAAGCTCGTTGTCCAAGGTCGCCAATTGCCGATACCGAGTGCACGGAACATTTGCTGGACCCTTGCTGCTGTTCCTGCATTTCAGCCACCAATCACTTTGTTGAACCTTCCTGTCTAAAAGCACATGTCGTGTCTTCTCCGACTCTGTACCCTGTGGCACTACGGTCACGACTCAGTTTGATCAATTCGATAAAGGAGTGATCAAGATCGCTCGTCGTCAGATCCGACCACGCCACAGCCTCAGGCTCGGATGTAATGTCCAGCCCCCTATTATTGTTTACGTTCTGAAGCTTTGAGGTTTAGCACAGAAAGTTGACTTCAGGGTTCAAAGTACGGTCCTCAACGCATGCATTGGAATTCACATCACACAATGCAAAGACCTTCATTTAGCGTATGCTGTCGCGCAGGCAAGGTAGGAAGGTCCGATGCAGTGTGCTATACCTAGCTTATCTTCCTATGTCACCGCCCTGCAGGTCACCCGAAACCGATCGATATGCTCGTCACGAAAGTTCCGTCGCGTGTCCTTGCGTGAGGCACAGTCGCATCGTAGACCCTTCGAAACACCGGGAAAATACCTTCCTGGCGCGGATCCGCTGCGGCCCTGCAGCAACGTTGCTGTCGCATACGAGGTCACAGCACAGCGGCAAAAGTCGAGCATGTGCCCAGGGTTCATCATAAACGAGCGGTCGCACACCAATAAAGTACTTTGACACATGCTAATCGACAAAAGGAAAATCTGGAGGAATCATGAATATCTCGATCTGGATGCATGTTTCATTCGATGACTCGCTTACACATGATTCCGTTTCAACCAAGTTGCACAGTGACGCCTCAACACCATCGCTTCACACTCTTTCACGCCACGCACAAGAGTTCAAGACCTGCAAGACTATTGCTTGTCGCCCCGCTCATGAAGTCCGTCCTTTCCACCTTTCACCTTGTCGCCACCACCAATACCCGTCGTCCTTGTGGGCTGTGCTTGTGGGTCCGGTTGCTTCGCCGGATGGTCGTCGCCAGCCTTGTGCTCATCTTTCGAAGCAGACGATTGCTGGTCAGTGTTCTGGGGGCTAGATCGCACCTTTGCGTTCGGCGCAGCAGACGAGTCTTTGGAGGGATCCGGTAGGTTGGAGTCGGGTTTATCGCCCATCAACTTGTAACGCAAGGGTGTGGTACTGAACATCCTGACTGAGGTCTGAAGCGGCAGCCGCTGAGCGGCGCGGAGTCTGAGGGAGGCCATTTTGGAATCGTGTTTGTTTGAGATATGGCGTGGTGTGAGTTCAACTGCAGATGGTGAGATTCAGTGATGGGCGTTGCGCAGCGGTAAATCTGTGACCTCATCATTACCGCGCAAGAGTCTCCACAATTCGACAAACGGTGAAAAACACTCGTTTGCGCAAATTTTCGCAGATCGTAGTAGCATATTAGCATAGCAGGACTTCTAACTTGGTAAGCATGTCGCAGCCTCACGTGCTTCAGGACATTAGCGTGCCTGCCAAATCTACATCCGGCTAGATTGGGATTGCATTTCGTGACTCCACATCGAGCATTTGCCCGTGCAAACTACATCGTGACAAACATCATGTTCAAGTCACTACGCAAACTCGAGCGAGAAATATCAGCGCCACCAAATAGCAATCGACTACCTGAAATCGTCCTTTTCGGCGATAGCCTCACAGAATGGAGCTTTGACGATTCCACGCAAGGCTTCGGCTTGCATCTTGAGAAGATGTATGCTGGCAAGGCGAGGATTTTGAATGAAGGTGAGTATTCGTCTTTTTGCTGTTTTGTGAGGGAAGAATGGAAATGCCGGGTGTGACGGAAGAGGTTAGATTGCATGTGCTGTTGATTGCTGCCTGCCGCCTGCTGCTTGCTGTCCGGCGAGACAAACTCAGCAAGTTCCCGAATGTCGTGATACAGCAATATGGCGGACACGAAGCAGTTACCCGAGATTGTTCTCTTCGGTGCGTCGATGACGCAGTGGAGTTTCCGCGAGGAGACGCAGGGCCTCGGGTGGTTTTTGGGGAAGATGTATGCGGGGAAGGCGAGGGTTTTGAACGAAGGTATCAAAACAGCCTTACGATAAGAATATTTGCACTATTTACAACTGCTAACATTATAGATCAGGCCAGGCAGGGTACATCTTTCTTTCCCATCTCTTTCAGCTGAATAGCAAGAGGACTAAACATGTATGCAAAGCTACACTTCAACCCGCCTCTCCTCCGACTTCGACCGCATAATCCAGCGCGCCACATCCCCCACCACCCCCCGCACGCTGCTCTTCACAATCTTCCTCGGCGCAAACGACGCCTGCATGATCGGGACTGACGCAATGGTCCCCTGGCCCACTTTCTCGGCTAACATACGCGCCTTCATTGAGACCATTCTCACGCAGGACGGCGGACTCGCCGAGACGAAAATCGCTGTTATTTTCCCCACCGCCGATCAATGGCGCAGAAGCAAAGGCACGCGGGGACGAGTCGGTGGAAGAAATCGCGGAGAGTAATGGGTGGAAGAAAGAAGGACCGCGGTATAAGACGTACATGAGTAAGAAGCGGTACGCGGAAAGGATTGATGGAGATTGCAGCTCGAATATGACGAGACGGGGCGTGTCATTGGGGTTGATTATTGGAGGGCGATGGTGGAGGCGAGTGGGTTGGGCACGTGGGAGGAGTTTGAGGAGAAGGGCATGTGGCCTGGTTGCGGATTATTGGGGGCGAGGAGTTTTGACAAAGGGTGGTTTACGGATGGGTTGCATTTGGATGTTAGGGGTTATAGTGTTTTGAATGAATTGTTGGTGGAGAAGGTGCTGGAGAAGTGGCCGGAGTTGGGGCCGGGAGAGTTGTAGATGGAGCGTTGTCAAGTATCTACCTGTAGGTGTATATGATAGCCTTTTTGGTACGTTTAACCTCTATTCAGAGTGTTCCCAGAGCCCTTGGGATTCGCTTCCACGTACTCGTCCCACGCACGCTGCTTCATCGTTTCCTCGTCTGCGGCGTCGAAATCATCCTCGTTCGGCTCAGGCCTGACCTCGGATTGGGGTCCACCGCCCTCAATCATTCCACCTCTCCTCTTCTCCTCCTCGAGATACTCATCGATCGTCATAGTAGGCAAGTTCCTTTCCCTGAAGACATCCTTTTTCAGACTCTGCCGACTGTCCAGCAGCGTAAACGGCCTCATCGGCTTGCCATCACTACTCAGCAGCGGGCCAGTGTTTCGCAGGCCAGGCAACTGCCCATCCAAGCGCTCAGAGTACTTATCCTTATCCCTGCCATCCTGTCTCTCATCCGGCGCAGAGCCCGACACACCCGGCGGAGGAGCCGCCGGCGCCATGGAGATAATCTGCAATTCCAACGCCATACTCTCGAGCGCCTGGAACGTCTGGAACACCATGAAAGACAAACTAGTCAAGTGCAGATCCCTCACCACATGCTCGTCGTTCTCGGCGAGTTTGGGGTTTTGTTGGAGATACTAGATTAGATAACGGGTAAGCAGATGGCGCCAACAAAAAAAGGAATGAGAAAGTGAGGCTAGCTACACACGTACCTCGAGTTTGCGCTTGATCTCTTTTTCCTCGCGGAAGCGCGCTATCTTTGCGTCACGGCGTGCAGCGGCATCCCGCGCACTAGCCGTGGAGAAGTTGGCTTTGTTTTCGGAGTAGGCGTCGAGGAGCTTGCTGTCGGATGCGCTGAGGATGTCGTAGGCATCAAGCTGTTTAAGAAATGCTTCATAGTGCTGCCGGGCGGTGATTATGTTGTTTTTCCTGACTGATATATCGGTGGCAGATATCCTTTGGATCAATTCGGCAAGATAGTGGTTGATTGCCAGGTACCTATTCGGCTTGATTAGCAGTGCCAAGATATTGAAGTTGGTTTTTAGCTGTTGAGAAGTTTTATGCTCGAGATGTCATACGTACTGCAGATCACCAGACGATATATCCTCAAGGGACTCGTTTGGACTGAACAGTGATATCTGTTCCGAGAGTTTCAGACATTCTTCGTATGTGGCGATGGTCTTGCGGAGGTTTTCCTGGAAGGCGGGACTGTTCGAATCGTAGGCAGACGCTAATTCTTGTCGCGCACGCTCTGCACTCGAGAACAGAGCTCGTAAATTCTGAGGCTGCTCTGCCATATTATCGACTTGGTGTATATGATGTGATAACGCTCAGGACGACGAGGAAGTGCCTCTGCCGCTGCCAGCACGTGAACAGGCGATGACGCTAGTGCGCTAGTCGTGAAGCAGGCGCGTGCCCCGCCATCACTTCGTCACTACACCCAGCATCTAACAACAAACGCCCGCATCTGCGCGACGTGTGGCTCATAACATGCCGCGCGACGTCGAAGTCGACATCCCGTGTCACCGCTAAAGCTTGCGGTGACGGTTGCGCTCTTCGTTTGCCCGCGGTTGAGGCCCGAGTTCGGTGGTGCAAACACTGGGCGAGCTTCAAATTACCTGCAGCTGCCCCAACTTGACACACAAACCTCCGCGACTGAACCTTGCTTTTACTCCTCATACACAGCGTGTCAATCTTGCATGTTCCCTCATTCGTCTCAATCCCACTTGACGGCACTCACACGACAGCTCCAGTCATGACTTGGGCGGGAGACGTTGAAGAGCAAGATGATTACTTCTCGTGCTCGGATGTGTCGACATCTGGTGATCGAAGGAAGAGAGCACCGCAAACGTGACAGAAGCGAACGCCGAGAAAGCAGAAAATTCAGATTCTGACATAGATGCCGACATCTCTCGCGCGCATGGGCCAAAGACGACGTCTGAAAAGCGTCGGACACAGAACGAAGTCATGCGAGCCTTTGCTGCTAATATCAGTGCTAGTGTCACCCAAGAGGAAGTTGACCAGGCAACATCGAAGATTGCAAACGAAGGCCAACTCTCCATTCGGGACATACTTGCAAGCCAAGATACTGCTGTTCGTATCACGAATCCCCGCGACTACCAGATGGAGCTCTTCTTGAGGGCGAAGATGCAGAACACCATCGCTGTCCTGGATACTGGAACCGGTAAAACTCACATAGCTACTTTACTGCTTAGGCATGTGCTCGAAGAAGAGCTGGAGAACCGTGCGAAGGGTTGCGCACACAAAATGGCGTTCTTCCTTGTGAGAACGATACTCGTTCACCACAACTCAACTGACAACGCATAGGTCGATTCGGTAAACCTAGTATTTCAGCAAGCCAACGTCTTGCGTTGTGGCCTAGACCAAGGCGTCGAAGGTATCTCTGGCGCCATGGGCCAGTCGCTGTTTCAAAAGCAGACCTGGGACAAGCTCTTCGCCGTCAACATGGTCATTGTGTGCACAGCACAAGTCCTCGTAGATTGCATGATGCATTCTTTCATGAGCATTTCGCGCATGAACCTCCTTATCTTCGATGAAGCCCACCACGCAAAGAGCAACCACCCTTACGCCCGAGTGATGAAAGACTACTACGCTCATGAGCTGGACACTTCCAAGCGACCCCGGATCTTCGCGATGACAGCATCAGTATGTTCCTTCCCAAGTATGAAATGGAAGGTCAGCGCATTAACAACCCCTACAGCCAGTAGATGTCAAAGGGCAGTCTGCTGAACATGTTCGGGAAGCTGCACGGGAGCTAGAGACCTTGCTTCACTCTCGGATTGCGACGACCAGTGATAGCGCGTTGGCGAGGAACAGTATCACGAGACCGGAGGAAGAAGTAGCTGTGTACACTCGCTTAAGAAACGAGTTCGAAACACCCCTTCATCAGAAAGTCAAAGCCAAGTACGGGGACGTCGCTCCATTTCGAAAGTTATTCATAACCGCCAAACTGCACGCATCAGAGCTGGGTCGATGGGCGTCAGACATGTACTGGTCATTCGCATTCGCTGACGAACAAAGCCGTAAACTCCAGATCCGCGAAGAGTTGAAGTACAATCGCTCCAAGCGGGATTGGTCGGCGGCAGAGCTCGACGCTCAGATGGCTAGACTCAAGGAAGCAACTGCGTTCGTCCAACAATATGAGATCGGCGCACCTACCTTGAGTGAGCAGGATCTCAGCTCTAAAGTCATGAAGCTCCAATACTGGCTCAATCTCTACTATGAGCGCACCACATTAGCTCGTTGCATCGTGTTCGTTGAGAAGAGACACACAGCACAGCTTCTAAAGCTCATCTTCGACCACATCGGCGGCCCCAACCTCCATTGCGATGTGCTGGTCGGCATCAACAACCGTGCAGGCGAGGAGAACGTATCTCTTCGCTCGCAGATCCTCACCTTGCAGAAGTTCCGGCGCGGAGAGTTAAATTGTCTATTCGCTACATCAGTCGCCGAAGAGGGTTTGGACATACCCCAATGTAATCTTGTCGTACGCTTCGATCTCTATCGCACCATGATAGGTTACGTCCAATCCCGCGGTCGCGCAAGGCATCGCAACTCCAAATACCTGCACATGCTCGAAGCAGAAAACAAAGAGCATACGGAACGCCTCATGAATGCGAGACATGACGAGAATATCATGCGAGAATTCTGCAAGGATCTTACGCATGATCGTCAGCTCGGCGATGTAGAACAAGAGAAAGCAGAGCTGATCGCCCTGGAAGACAAGCTCTTTCCAAGCTATACCGACGAGAAGTCCGGAGCGAAGCTTACGTATCGATCGAGCCTATCTATTCTCAGCCACTTTGTCGCAACATATCCGTCACCAGATCACAACACAATGGCACAGCCGACATACGTCGTCAATCCTAAGATCAGTGACGATCCTCGTGATCCTCAACGCAATGGCTTCGTGTGTGAGGTCATATTGCCTGAGCATTGTCCCATCATCTCCATGGTTGGCCAGGTGTACAGTCGAAAGACTATTGCCAAGTGTTCCGCTGCTTTCAAGATGTGCATCGAGTTGCGACGCAAAGATCACCTCAACGAATTTCTTCTCCCGACCATTTCAAAGTACCTGCCAGCTATGAGAAATGCGCTGCTAGCGGTCAGTGAGAAGAAGAAGGGAAACTATGCTATGGTCATCAAGCCAACCTTCTGGAAGCAGGATCGAGATACTGTCCCTGAATCTCTGCATCTCACAATCATAGATGCCGACCGAGGCTTGGATCGTCCCCACCAACCGCTTGCAATGCTAACCCGACGGCCGTTTCCACAGCTCCCTTCTTTTCCCATCTACCTCACAGACTGTCGCCCTTCCAACATCGTCTCGCAGTCTCTTCACATCCCAATTTCTTTGACCCCAGAGTTGCTGGAGATGTTCACCAGATTCACACTGCGTATCTTCGAAGACATATATAACAAGGTCTACGACTATGATGTTTCCAAAATGTCGTACTGGATGCTTCCAGTCATTGAGCATAGGGTGGCATCGGTGCGGTCTATGTCTAATCCTCAAGAAGTACTAGATATGGATCAAATTCGCAAAGTCTACAATGAGCCGTTTTGGAAATGGTCCCCGCAGAGCAGGACTGATGATCTCATTGACAGATACTTCGTCGACCCCATGAATGGAGGTCGAAGATACTACTCAGACCGCTTGGCGCCACACCTAAAGCCACAGGACCCAGTCCCAGCAAATGTCCCACGACAGAACCACAAGTTCATGAAAAACATCTTGGACTTTTCGGATAGCAAATGGATGAAGAGCCGAGACATCACTCGCTGGCACCAGGATCAGCCTGTCCTTCAAGTGGAGAAGATTCCGTTCCGGAGAAACCATCTTGCGAATGTGGAAGACAAGGAAAAGAAGGAGCTCGCCAATCTCGAAACATACATCTGCCCTGAGCCACTGCACATATCAAACCTCGCAACACCGTTTGTGGTGATGTGCTACGTTCTGCCAGCCATCATTCATCGCTTTGAGAGCTATCTCATAGCTCTCGATGCTTGCGACGTGCTTGATCTGAAGGTCAGTCCTGCTCTAGCTCTGGAAGCACTCACCAAGGATTCGGACAATTCTGAGGAGCACGGCGAAGAGAAAATCAACTTCAAGAGCGGCATGGGCCCAAACTACGAACGACTCGAGTTCTTGGGTGATTGCTTCCTCAAGGTGGCTACATCACTGTCGGTCTTTGTGCAACAGCCGGAGGAAAACGAATTCGAGTTTCACGTGCGCCGTATGCTCATGCTCTGCAACCAGAATTTGATGGAGACTGCAGTAGGCAAGAAGAAGGTCGCGTCTGCTAACGGAACGGAGCGCGATCTGCAGCTGTACAAATATGTTCGGACCGATGCTTTCTCTCGGTATGTGCTGTCACGCCTAATCTCAAACTTTGCTAACATGACTGCAGTCGCAACTGGTACCCGGAAGGGTTGAAATTGCTTCGAGGCAAAGGTCTGAAGAAGACCGAAGAAGACTGGTTGAACGTCACCCACAACCTCGGCGACAAGAGTGTTGCGGACGTATGTGAGGCCTTCATCGGTGCCGCCTTCATGCAGCATCATAAAGGAGGTCAGTGGACTCCAAATGATTGGGATGAAGCAGTCAAAGCGGTGAAGCTCTTTGCAAATAGCGATGACCATCTTATGGAGAAGTGGACGGACTACTATGCTGCCTACACCAAGCCAAAGTACCAAACGGCGGGTGCAACAGCAACACAGCTTGACCTCGCGCACAAGATTGAGATGAAGCATCCTTATCGTTTCAGATACCCTCGTCTGCTTCGATCTGCATTCATCCATCCTTCTCAGCCATTCATGTGGGAGAACATACCCAGCTACCAGCGGTTGGAGTTTCTGGGGGACTCTCTCCTGGACATGGCTTTCATCATGCATCTGTTCTACAAGTACCCCGACAAAGACCCACAATGGCTCACCGAGCACAAGACTCCGATGGTCTCCAACAAGTTTTTGGGCGCTGTGTGTGTAAAACTAGGTTGGCACACTCACATGAAGCAAAACACCGCAATATTGTCTAGCCAGATCCGCGACTACGTATACGAAGTCGAGGAAGCCGAGCGCGAGGCGAATGGTGCAGTAGACTACTGGGTCTCTGTATCCGAGCCACCCAAGTGTCTCGCCGACGTCATCGAAGCCTTCGTTGCCGCCATCTTCGTCGACTCGGAGTTCGACTTTAATGTCGTCCAAAAATTCTTCGACTTGCACCTGAAGCCCTTTTTCCTTGACATGACGCTGGACGCGTATGAGAATTTTGCTTCTAATCATCCGACCACACGGCTTTCGCGTCTTTTGTCCATCAACTTCGGGTGCAGTGAATGGCGCATGGGCGCGCTAGAGACCGAAACTTTGATTCCAGGCAAGGGGAAGGCCATCGCGGCCATGGTAATGATACACGACAAAGTACACTTCCACTCTCTAGGACAGAGTGGTAGGTATGCACGTGTGAGGGCGAGTCATGCCGCGCTGGAGAAGCTTGAGGGCCTGCCGCCGTACGAGTTCCGCAGTAAGTATGGATGTGACTGCGTGGACGAGGGTGAGGGCGAGGCAGGAGTCGATGAGGCAGCGGTGAGCAAGAAGGTCGAGCTTATGAGGGAAGCAATTGGACCGAGCATTTGAACTCCGAACTTTGAGCGAAGTATGTCCCCTCCAGTACAAGGAACACTGGATATGTTGCATCAGCGGGAAGAGATGCCTGATAGTGGAGATGCAGTGGGGCGGTTTGGTTTGGCACCTGGAAGAAGCCTTGGAGAATCATGGCAACATTAAGGTCAGACAGGGTCCAATTTAATCAGAGGAATGCCATCATCAGCATTCACTATCCTTCCAACACCATGGCATCGGCAGAAACTCTTTAAGGTTCCATAAGCAAGTAACAGCGAACGCAGCGTACCTTCACGGCTGAACATGCCATATCCGAATAAGTCGCAAGTTTGTGTGAGCAAAACACGCGCGTCACACACCAGATCTAGTAAGCTGTGCATAGTCTCTGGCAACACTCCTTACTCTCCCAAAAAAAGAAATCCTCATGCCGCGGAGAGCAAAGCGTTCGACGACGAACGTTGAAACACACGCGCCCGTGCCTTCGCATCTACGCGCTTTCGGCACGCGAAGTACCTACTGACCAATCACATGCGTCTTCCGTCGGCCTTCTCTCCAGTGCGTAAGTCCGGCGCGGCATCTTGAGCATAAATCCCATATAGCGACTCATATTCCGCATGGACGTCTAGAGAACACGAAAGCGTTGGTAAGCAAAAACGGCTTGGCGGCGTTCCAGTAGAGGAAGAGCTCCGATTGTTTTTACGTACCAGGGGTTCGGAAGGATTGGAGGGATGGATCTGAGGCGGCTGTGCGCGTTGTTCGAACTGATGCGACATCTTTCGAGAAGAACAGATGAGATAAGATCTTGAAGCTGACAAATAACGTTGTTCTTACATCGTATGCTCTCAATCTGAGTACGATGTTATGTTGAACGATGGCATCTCCAATCCTCGACGCCCACCCAGCTTCTTCAAAATAAAAATCTCCAACCTAAATGCATCACCACCCCTTCGACCCATCCACAAAACAAGCCCCATGCACGATCTCGGCAGATGCCTCCGTCGTACGTTTTTTTCTTCATCGCGCTCAGAGCCTAAGAACATTGTAAGGCACGCAAGGTTTCCAAACAGTCATGGCACATCACGGACCCACACACTCTCAAACGCGCACACTACGCAATCCGCGCTTGGTAGGGGTGGCGCCGCGCTGCAATTGGGCGCGGCGACGCTTCCTCAGGCCTTGTGAGGGTTTGAGCATGCTGGGCCTCTGAGTGGTACGGAGTGGGACGGAGTGGTAAGCAAGATGGGAGGAGAGGCTGGGCGAGGTGCCGAGGGTTGCGGGCGGGTGTATATCATGCCAGTAGGTACGTGAAGTCTACGATTTGTTCAACCAAACTCTCTCTCTTGTCCAAAAAGTTCGTCGTTCATTTCTTGCCGTAGAACGGTCTTTACTTTAATCTTTTCGTTCGATTCATTTACACACCGCTGAGCGGATCATTTACATCTACACATATATATACACTTTTTGGACAAAACACTACACCAGGCAGAATCACTACAATGAAGTCCTTCATCGCCACCGCTCTGCTCCTAAGCAGCAGCGTCCCCTTCGCCGTCGCCCTCCCCTCCCGATCCATCCCCAGAGTCAACGCCCGCCCCGTCCGCCGCCAGAACCAAATCATCCCCGTGGTCGTCGGCGGTCAGCAACTAACCTTCATCCCCAACATCGTCACCGCCGCCATCGGCGACGTGCTGCAATTCCAATTCTCCAACGGGAACCACACCATCACGGAATCCACCCCAGACGCTGCCTGCCGGCCGAAGGAAGGCGGCGTGCACTCGGGCCACATCCCGTTTGAAGACGGGCAGACGGACGTGGGGACGTTCAATGTTGTCGTGTCTTCCACGGAGCCGATGTTTCTTTATTGTGCGACGGGCCCGCATTGTCAGCTGGGGCAGGTCATGGTGGTGAATGCGAACGCGAGGCAGCTGGTAGATTATGCAAAGGCGAGTCAGGCGACGGCGGAGAGCGTGGATGGGACGGATCCTGTGGGTGGGTCGGTGGGACGGATTGCTTTGGATGCTGCTGCGTAAGTTTGTGAGAGGCTTGTGGATCAGGGATGGTCGACTAATTTGGATGTGTAGATTCACGCCTGCACCGCCTGAGGAAGAGGCTGCTGCTCCTCCCGCGGAAGCACCACCAGCTGAAGCACCACCTGCTGAAGCTCCTCCTGCGGAGGCACCGCCAGCTGAAGCTCCTCCGGCCGAAGCACCACCCGCTGAAGCTCCGCCAGCTGCAGAGCCCGCCGCAGCAGCTCATCCCGCTGAAGCATCGCCAGCTGCAGAACCCGCCCCAGCAGCTCATCCCGCTGAAGCACCACCAGCTGCAGCACCCGCAGCTGCTCATCCAGCACCCGCTGAACCTGCTCATCCTGCACCCGCTGAACCTGCTCATCCTGCACCCGCTGAACCTGCTCATCCTGCACCCGCTGCGGCAGCGCCTGCTGTGAATGTGACGGTAGCACACATGATGTAAGCAAAAGCTGGGGGTGTGGATCGTTAATCAGGCTTGGAGTATTCTTTGGTGGGAAGGCTTGATGCCTCGGTTAGTGTAGCAATGAAAAAGACTTAATTGGCAGCTTGAACTCCTGAGGTGAAGCCACTCATCACTGTGCTTCGAGACAGTGCTGGGTTTGCATAGATTCATTTCCATTACTACGTAAAGGCTGTCAGAAAGGGGTATATATCGCAGGGGCAAACATATACAAAGAATGTAAAGACGATAAGTCCAGGCCATGAGGCCGTACGTCAAACCTCTGAGCACGTAACCATATTCCCCGTTCAATGCATGTGAATGCTTGTGGACAGGCTCTGACAGCAAAGTATGCGCCGAGATGGCTGAGAGACTTAGATGAGCAGGGCCGAGACAAGGACCGCGATGCATGCCAGGGCGCCAGCAGCTTGCTTGGGAGCCGCACCCTTCTTGGACTCGGTTGGCTGGGCAGGGCCTCCACTGCCGGAAGCGCTGCTTGGAGTAGTCGACTGCTGACCGGGGGCATTAACCCCGTCGTTGCTGATCTTGTTCAGAGAGAGGCCCTGGATCAATGCGCCGTTACTGCCGTAGATCTGTTGCTTAGGCTTGGTAGCGGATACGTCCACTAGTTTGCCGTTCTTGGGGTTACTGATGCCATTGTCAATCAGACTCTGGCAGTTGGGGCATACTGCCGGGATCGTGAAGTTTTTGCTAAATTGCTCCGCCGATATGAGGCCTGACGCGCACGCGGGCGCCTTGATGCTAGTGCTGGATGGGTTTGTCGACTCAAGGAGACCCGTGTCGAGCTTGTTGTACTGTCCCTGGAGGTTGTCGTAGTCAGTGCGGAGCGTGACCGAGCCGTTGGAGTTGACCTGCACCAGACCGTAGTCTTGTTCTTCTTGGCTGTATTCGTAGACGAGACCACCGCTAAGTGCTGTCATCTCGGTGCCATAGAGGGCCGGGACTTCAGTGAAGACACGGGGCTGTACCTTGTTGCAGCCATACTCGCTATAGAAGACAGGTATGGCAGACTGGTTAAACATATTAGCCAGATCTTGGTATCCTGACGACTGGAGCGTGGCGTCACCGCCACACCAGGAGTACGAGTTGAGACCGAAAAAGTCGGAGGACGAGGCGTCGTCGTTGTGATCGCATTGCATATACGCCCAAGTATCCTGCAGGATCTCTCGAACGTCGGCGGCCGAGTATCCGACAGGAATCTTGCGGGAGGCGTGCTTCTTGATATAGTTCTTGAGATCGCGCTGAACAGCACGAATGTACTGCGGGTTGTACTTTGCAGTGTTCAAGTCGTTCATGACCTCGTTCGCAGCAAAGAAGCCGAGTGTGTTGGGGAAGTTCTTGAAGTTCTCGACAATGCCGAAAACTCGTGTGAGGTAATCGGTGTTGTAGGAAGTCCATGGCTCTGCACGGTTGATGCTCTCGCCCTGCAGCGGAGAGTTGACGTCGAGCATCATGTAGATTCCAGCGGCGTTGAAGATGGAGGCGCACTGGGAATGGTCCAGTTCGGGGTCGATATTGTAGACGCGAATAGTGTTGACCTGAACCTGTCAGCAAATGTTCTCGAAAGCAATCTTGGAACTATCTGCAGCATAGTCGCCGCGAATTGACTTACACCGAGTTTCTGGATTAGGACAGCATCACGCAAGCAGACATCGGCGTCTGAGAGTACATCTTTGCCCTCACTCGGCTTGTACCCAGCTTGGCCTCCGGGCTGATAATCGACACCAACGATCATCAACCGCTTGTTGGTGACCGTGTCGACAAAATCCTGGCCGCGGACTTCGACAGGATGGACAGCTTGCGCGATAGCCGTAAAGAGCGCATGCACGAGCGCAAACGAGCGAATGGGCTGGTAATCGTTAGCTATCAGTAAACATAGAAGTAGCGGAGTATGACAGGCATGTTCGGAACGTACCGAGATCATTGTAGCGAGTGACTGTCACTGCAAGAGCGACGTATGAACCGTGGTACAGGCCTGCAGATGGGCGCAGTAGGAAAGCAATCGGCTCTTATACCTGGACACGCAATCAAGGAACCGTATCGCAGAACAGCAGGATGCACCAATTTAGCTGCAGGGAGTTGGACGCGAGTTGGAGCCGCGGGTGGAGGTGCCGAGGAAACTGTCAGCAAACGAGTGGCGGTGCGCCAACGACTGTGGCGGGCGAGAAAGAATGGCAAAAAGCGTCAAGAAGACTCGGGTGAAAGAGAAGAGGAGAAAGGCCCCGAGGGAAATTGTATTACACCAGCGCTTCGTAGCCAGGAAGTCACAACCATATCAACACCGTTTGTCGCACCTGCCCAGCGCAGGGATGCATTCCCGAAGCAAAGGATAACCAGGATGGCAGAGGCCCGTTTCGTAGGGTGGAGGCGACGCCCACCAATAGTCGTTGTTTTGTCATCTTGGCGCGTTGAAATAGTCATCCTAAAATTGCTATCAAGAAGATTGCTGTGAACTCGGATCGTCATCGCGGTGTATCTCAGCCCGGAACGAGAGGTTGTGCTCACCACCAGCATTCGGTTGAACACCACAGGCTGCTGCAAGATTTCTCAGTCCATCTCGCGGGTTTCTGCGGGTTCAATCTTAATTCAAATTTAAGAGCTAAGCTCGCTAGCCTCTTCTTAAACGGAGTAAAAATAAGATTGGCGGCTATACGGAAAGCTTGTGGGTCAAAAGTGTGAGCCGTGCATGCCCCGGTCAGCGCCTGTAATTCTGGCTTGTGTGAGATTGATGGGATCACATAGGTATCCTAATACGAAGGGTACGGTTACCTAAAGTCACAGTCGTACATGCACATCCAACACGACTATTGAGGCTATGAGGTCTCATTTCTGGGGCTAGAAAGAGATAACAAGGATGGCCCTTTTCATTGAATTTGCCCTATTGGCTGGCCGTGGACAAGATACGATACTCGCGGTTGGCAAGTGCTGAGGTGGAATGCCATGCTTTTCATCGTCATCCACAATGTTGAATGTCTCCCTGAGAAGCGAGCTTTGTTTTGCGGCAGTTCCTTGCATATGTAGGCCTGTATATGATACGCGCGCATCGACAAGTCGTTGACTCTGGTCGTTCTAGTACCAGTCGATAATTGGAGAAGTATCTCATGGAGATTCAACTTCCGGCGCGCTCGTTGAAGATCAAGCGGTCGACATCCATGCCTCAAGCTTGTCGTCGAAGTCCCACTGGTCGCGCTGCTGATAAACGTGGTATGCTTGACACCAGTCCGCCGTCCTTCATCCAGTCATATCCACATCTCCTGCCTTTCTCTTGAGACCACCGTCTATGCCTTCGAGCTGACCCTGAAACTTGGCTTGCAAAGCTTCGAGCAGAACTTCCTTGACCACAGCTAGACTGCCTACAGCTGCATGCGTAGCTCCCTCAACCAAAACATCGGGCTCTGTTCCAACGTCTCCCTTTATCCACATCTCTGTGATCTCGTCTCTTGATGCAAGATATGCGACCGCGCAGGCTGCGACCACCTCTTTGTGCTCTGCAGGACAAGGGTCCAATAATCTGGTCAATTCTTGCTGCTCTTTTGAATCAGGGTTGCGCGCAATGGCTGCAACGCCACCAGTCACCACATCCACACAGTCAATGCCAGCGTCAGTGATGGCTGCGCTAGCCACGGTGATGCAGCCAGCAAGCACGTTCAGTAGTCCCCATCCGCTACCACTTGCGCTGCTTTCAGTGTCGGAATCGCCCCACCATCCGTCCTCGTCACCTTCGAGAATAGTGACTACAACCTCAACTCCACTCTTAGGCCAGCGCTCGCCTATAATCACACCTCGTAGCGCGCTCTCAAGATGTACGCCCAGGTCTCGCTCCGTAGAGTCCCTAATGTAGCCTCTTCGGTGTCGTGTCGCGAACGGCGCAAACTTGACGGTGGTGGTGAGGAGAAGCGATGGACTGAACGGCGCACTGCGGGGCAGTGGTTTGGGGCCTTGTACAGAGGCTGTGATCTTGAGAGTGGACGTCGGTGAAACAAGGGTCGAGCTTGTGGGCGAGGAGGAGGAAGGTATCTCGAGGTATGCGGAGCCAGAAGCTGAAGGTATTATGGAAGTCTGGAGAACTGTAGGACTTGTTAGCGAATGTAGATGGAACCGCATAGTATCAGTGCGCAAAAGAGCTACTAGATAGTTCAAATGTTTCCGTCGACATCATTCTGGAGCTACTTACAGATCCTGCGGAGCTCATTCGGTCCTCTTGACCTTGTCGGCCGTAGACTCTGAAGATATTCGGGTTCCCTGATTGTTCGCGCGAAAACTGGCGCGGCGGTACCACCAGCTGGCGCGTTATTTCGCCTTCTATCGGTATTCATCGCCATTGAGTGTGGGAGGTTCGTGTTGTGGAGTTGTGCATGACGATGCATGTGCCTTCCATAAATTCTGCCTTAGTCAGCCGAACTCTTGGCGCGCAGCTCGCCCAATTTTCTTCCGCGCGAGCTTGAGCTCCGAGTTTCCTTAACCTCAACTTTCGCAACAGGTATGTTTCCACCCGCTCCCCTCCACCCACATCTCTTCATTGATGATACCCTTGAAAACTGTTCCGTGATCATAAATGAGCAACGAACAACATGCACCACCCTCTGATCGCTTTTCCCCCTCGCAAAGTTTGGCTTTTGAGATTTTGGACTCGAACTGACTTTGACAGATGCGCAACCTAGCGCGCGCCTGACGCGTCCGAGGCTATAGTGTACTCGCTCTCGGCTGTTCACTCGTCGCACCGTCAACCTCCGATCCATCGAATATGGCATCACGAGTACATGCGGGTTTGGACACGGCCATTGTCGTCACGTTTCACTAGGAGCTCTCTTCATATTGCGGCCATGGCTATCATGGACACTGACACGGCAGCTTGATGACAAGTGCTCACTGTTTGGTAAGTTCTGCCATCCTCATTCCTCCCACTACTGCAATGATGAGCGTATTATTTCAGTTCTGCTACTGAATTCTCTTGAAGAAAATTTATACCAGCTTACCTTTTTCTGATATTGCTTTATACACTTCACTTTATCCTCATACTATTGAAGAAGCATCGCTAACTGAAGCTCAGATACCAATACTTCAGTCCACCCGCCCATGTACCGACCACTCACAGGTAAGCACTTTGCTTTTCTTTCCGAACGCCATGAGGAAAACTAGTCTATCCATTCAACGACATCTGCTGTCGGGTCACCCTCTCGCACTCTACCAGTTTCGACTGGGATGATGAGTTGTGGAGTTGCACTGCAGGCTTGTCCTGTGGCGCGTCATTGTGGTCTTCGTTGCTGAGGTGCGTGCCAGTTCGTCTTGGACTGCCACGATCTGAGGCCGGCGGTGGGGCATGACTAAAAACGGCTTTCTGAGCTCGCAACATATTCTCCCTGTTGTCGCAATCATCATGCTGATCTTTGCTAACAGATGAGACAGATTTCGAAGAAATAATTGTGACAATGGCGTCTGCGGTGAAGGCCCCAGGGGCGATTTGGGATCCAGGATACATAGCTTTTGCCAATAGAATTGAATTTTATACATCTTGCCTGCATACCGTCATTGCGTGCGTGTTCCCACATCGAGTGGCTTTGGTGTAGTGAGGTCGTGTGGTACACCTAGGAAGCTGATACGGATGTGGTACTCCCGAAGTGAACCAAATCAGGGTCGCACGCCTGTCGCAGCGAACAGGCCACGGCATGATGACTTTGCACGACTCCAATGCTGACAGCAGATCGTAATCAACCCTGTCGCCTCTTCCTCGGAGATGGGTAGCACCGCACATCATTGCTGTCGCTGGTTTCTGAAACGTCGACCATTAGAGGCTTGGCACGCCTCACATCTCCCAGCAGGCGTAGACACGGGTACACTGCATCCCAAAGCCAGTTCCCCATCACCTGCGCCAGTCGAGTCCCTTGATCGGCCTTGCGCTGCGGAAGACGCCACCAGTACTATCAGCTCCCTACGCGGACGTCAACGGTGGCCTTAGCGAAATAAACCTGAAGCCAAGCCTCCTCACTGAGGCTCTAGCAGACGCGCAATCCCCCTACAGCACTCGCAAACCACGACGCCAATCTCGACATCGACACATAGACCGCGCACCAATCGACCATTGCTGCTTCCCCCAGAATTTGCAGGACCGTTTGAGGCGCTGTGCTCGATTCAACGAGTCGGTGATCTGGCGGGTCGACGGTGACCGGGGGTGCCCAAGGGATACCTCGAGCGACCAAGACCTCCCTCTGGATGTTGCCCTTACATTCTTCTGAAAAAGGGAAGATGCATCGCCATGCCTTCTCTAATGGGGCATACCCCTCCCAAGGAGGAAGCACGTTTTCAATTCAACCTCACAAGTACGTTCTGCAATTGCAATGTCCAGCACAGCGCTGCCGCCGTACTCATCCATCTTCCACGGCAAGCCTAAGGAATATGAGTCTAACCACCAATGCACGTGTAGATTCCAGCCTCGATCACAGCCCGCGCTCCGCCGACGGAGGCAGATGATCCAGCGCCTGCTGCTGGCGGGGTCTATCTTCTTGACCGCCCTGTTCTTCTTCTTCCCCGATCTGCGCCCGAATCTAGGCTCTGGCCCTCTGAGCTACATCACCAGCGAAGATGTGCAACTCGAGACGGTGCGCTATTACGACCTCAACAATGTACAAGGCACAGCACGTGGGTGGGAGAGAGAGGAGAGGATTCTGATTTGCGCGCCGTTGCGAGATGCGTCGCCCCATCTGCCAATGTTCTTCAGCCACTTGAAGAATCTCACGTACCCGCACAATCTCATCGACCTGGCTTTCCTGGTCGGTGATTCCAAGGACAACACCATCTCTCTGCTCACATCAAAGTTGGAAGAGCTGCAGGCCAATCCGGACCCGAAACAACAATTCGGCGAAATTTCCGTCATGGAGAAGGATTTCGGGCAAAAAGTCAACCAGGATGTCGAGAGCCGTCACGGTTTCGCAGCGCAAGCCGGGCGACGAAAGTCTATGGCTCAGGCGCGCAACTGGCTCTTGAGCGCGGCACTACGACCAACTCACAGCTGGGTCTATTGGAGAGATGTCGATGTGGAGACGGCACCATTTACAATTCTGGAGGACCTCATGCGACATAACAAGGACGTCATTGTACCGAGTATGACAGACACACCCAATGCCCCCCTTCTTTTGCTAACGTGTGCTAGACGTCTGGCGACCGCTTCCCGACTGGCTTGGAGGAGAGCAGCCCTATGATCTGAACTCATGGCAGGAGTCTGAGACTGCTCTCGCACTCGCAGATACCCTTGACGAAGACGCCGTTATTGTGGAAGGTTACGCAGAGTATGCCACCTGGCGCCCGCATTTGGCTTACCTGCGCGACCCCTACGGCGACCCCGACATGGAAATGGAGATTGACGGTGTTGGTGGTGTCAGTATCTTGGCAAAGGCAAAGGTGTTTCGAGCGGGAGTGCATTTCCCTGCATTTAGTTTCGAAAAGCACGCTGAGACGGAAGGATTCGGCAAGGTATGCAATGTAAAAGACGTCTTCAAGAACGATTCTAACTGTACCCAGATGGCCAAGCGCATGAAGTTTTCCGTTGTCGGTCTCCCGCACTACACAATCTGGCATCTTTACGAGCCTAGTGTTGACGACATTCGACACATGGAAGAGATGGAGAAGGAGCGCAAGGCCAAGGAAGCTGAAGAGGCAGCCAAGAAGGAAAAGCTTGACAAGATCCACGAATCGTTCGACCCGAAGAACAGCGACTGGGAGAAAGAAAAGGCTGCGGTACAGGATCTCGTACAGAAAGCGAAGAATGAGGAGAAGGCAGAAGCAGAGAAGAAAGAGACTCCCAAGGAGGAGCCCGCAAAGGAAGCAGCTCCGGCAGATAAGAAAGAGGATGAAAAGTCATAGTTTCTGCTCCTGACATAACGGTACTGGCACGATGAGCATATGTAGCCTTTTGGCTGGCCGCCACAGGAGAGTCGGTGCCAATGGTTCATGGAAGGCCAGTATCAATGGCGGCGTTGATACAGACATTGGCTCAGTCATGCCTCAACGTATATGGGAACCTTTCGACGTCGATGACGATTTATTTGGATGCCGTCCACGAGTCGTTTGGTACAGCTAACGACGACTCTCCTTGTTGGTACTGTTCGGTAGACGGTTGAAGTCGATATGATGAAGGGCGTTTGAAGTTTTGGACGATTGTATACATTAGACCATTTCTTGCATCACGGGCGTTATTCGAGCTCTGCAGCAAGTTCAAGTGGCGACTTGATTTGTACCACTATATATGAGAGATATTTGGAAACCACCAGGACTGTTCTTTGAATGTGTCGACACGTGCAACGGCGAGCGGCTGACGTCTGACAAGGGTTGGGCGCGTCCAGACACCCTGGCCTTTGCTAAGGGACGGACCCACTTTGTCGGACTCCCGCGTTTCTAAGACGGTGCATGGGAAGCTCCCGAGATTCAGCACATGTCGACATTCAAGTCTTGCTGCCTATCAGTACCACTCGACGTGTCCACAGGCAATTGATCGGATTGTCATATGGTCGGTTCTCCAGGCAGTCACTTTGTTTGAGCATGTGTGTCTTGTGTAGTTCACAAATATAGTTGCGCCTGTCCCCACCACCATAACGACACGTTCGCTCCACCCAATACGCTTTTGTCGCATACGCAACCTTGATCCCACCTTTCCGCCGCCATGTCGAGCACCGGCAGCGAAGACGATGCCGCGTCGACGCTCCATGAGACGGCTGCGAGCTTGAGCTTGAGCCCTCGCCCACGCCCAATTACCGTGGCTGTGAATCCGGTAGCCCTCGTCGTCACAGAATGTATTACCGTCACGTCTGCCATGCGCAAGCATGCGCGATGGGCGCATTCTTCGGTCGCTGCGATCCTCGGAAGCTCGTCGAACAAGACGCCGACTGTGCAACGGCGGGACCGGACAGGGCAGGGCATTGTCAGCGCAGGAGAGCAAGAGGAGGCGGTCCCCAGCAGATGGGGATTGCGCGGGAAGAAGGGCAAGAGCATGCAGGACAACCCGCTCATGTCTGCTTTTGCGCGGCTGAGGAACGACTTGAAGGGCTGCAAAGGTAGGACCAATTGCCGGGGCTATGCCAGAGCTGAGCTGTGCTGATACTACTATGCAGACATTAGGACCTTTGACACGCCCTCAATGCTCCACCCTTTCCTCCAGGTCATCCGCTCTTCTTCTACCTCGGCGCCCATCACCTCGCTCGCCCTCATAGCCATCACCAAGTTCCTGTCGTACCGCGTCATCGACCATGGCTCACCGCGCCTGCCAGAAGCTATGCAGCAGCTTTCGTCCGCCATCACACATTGCCGCTTCGAGGCGAGCGACTCGGCAGCCGACGAGATTGTGCTGCTCCGCATCTTGAAGCTCATGGAAGGCATGATTTCTGGCCCTGGTGGAGAAGTGCTCGGCGACGAGAGCGTGTGCGAGATGATGGAGACAGGCCTGAGCATGTGCTGCCAGGCCCGACTCTCAGAATTGCTCCGCCGATCTGCAGAGATTGCCATGGTTTCCATGTGCCAGGTCATATTCAGAAGGTTGAAGACGCTCGAGATTGAGTCGCCTGAAGAGCTCGAGGCGCTCGATGAAGAGCTGGGCGGCCAAGACGAACTAGATGGCCTGAAGATGGATCCCTCTGCCAACGGCACTGGCGAGAATGCATCGTCCAAGGTCGAGGCCCCCCAGCAATCGAGTGGGTCAGAAAAAGGAAACGGTGATCAAGAGAGCACCGCGAACCCTGCGACCAGCACCCTGGACCTACCTGCGACAGCTGAAGGCGGCGAACAAGAACCCGTTGAGATCAGGCCGTACTCCCTGCCTTCCATCAGAGAGCTCTTCCGCGTCTTGGTGGACCTGTTAGATCCACACGATAGGCAACACACAGACACTATGCGTGTCATGGCGTTACGCATAGTGGATGTGGCGCTAGAAGTCGCCGGGCCATCAATAGCAAGTCACCCAAGTATTGCAAACCTGGCAAAAGACACCCTCTGTCGACACATCTTCCAGCTAGTCCGTTCAGATAACATGGCTATCCTGAACGAGTCCCTGCGCGTCGCCGGCACTCTACTCGCGACATGTCGGAATGTCCTCAAATTACAGCAGGAACTGTACCTCTCCTACCTAGTCGCCTGCCTATTTCCACGAGTAGAGATACCCATAGAACCGGGCATCGAGCCCTCGTTGTACGAAGGCGTCCCGCAGGCGCCCAGTCTCATCAAGCAGCCTCCAAAAGAGAACAGCCCCAGTGGCCGGTCCACTCCTGTGCCCGTCAAGGATCGACAAAAGCTGGGGTTGGAGGGAGGTGCACGAAAACCAGACGCTCGGGAAGCCATGATTGAGAATCTTGGCGGACTTGTGCGCATACCATCTTTCATGGCGGAACTCTTCGTCAACTTCGATTGCGAGGTCGATCGTGGCGACGTATGCATGGACATTGTAGGCCTGCTATCAAGAAATGCTTTTCCAGACTCTGCAACATGGAGCACAGTCAATGTACCGCCACTCTGCTTGGACGCCCTACTTGGATATGTCCAGTCGATAGCAGACCGTCTGGACGACGAGCCTCAAACCGAAGGCTATCCAAGCGCGGAAGCTCTGCGTGAAAAGCGCGCAAAGAAAAAGGTCATCATCCGTGGAGCGACGAAATTCAATGAAAAGCCCAAAGCTGGTATCGCGTTCCTGGCATCACAAGGTATCATTGAGGACCCCGACGACCCGCTGTGCGTTGCAAAGTTTGTCAAAGGCACAACACGAGTTGACAAGAAAGTCCTTGGAGAGTTCATATCGAAGAAGGGCAACGAGGAAATTCTGAACTCCTTCATCAACTTGTTCGATTTCACCGGCCAGCGTCTCGACGAGGCACTTCGGCAATTACTTCATTCTTTCCGTCTTCCTGGAGAGTCCGCACTCATTGAGCGCATCGTAGAGAGGTTTGCCGAGAAGTACATGGAGATGGCACAACCGGAAAACATTGCAAACAAAGATGCCATCTATGTTCTCACCTACGCCGTCATTATGTTGAACACTGATCAGCACAACCCAAACATGAAGGATAAGCGAATGAAGTACGAGGACTTTGCCAAGAATGTTCGCGGCGTCAACGACGGCAAAGACTTCGATCCCGATTACTTGCGAGCTATGTACGAGTCTATCAAGACGCGAGAAATCATCCTGCCTGAGGAACACAATGACCGTCATGCGTACGACTACGCGTGGAAAGATCTGTTGGTCAAGGTCCAATCTACTTCGGACCTTGTCATTTGCGATACGAACATTTATGATGCGGATATGTTCGAGGCGACGTGGAAGCCTATCATCGCGACTCTCTCGTATGTCTTCATGTCTGCCACAGATGACGCGGTCTTCTCACGTGTCGTACTGGGCTTCGATCAATGCGCTCAGATAGCAGCGAAGTACGGTCTGAGTGACGCTCTCGACCGCATCATCTCGTGCCTGGCCTACATCAGCACTTTGGCGCCTGATGTACCTCCGAGCACGTCTCTGAACACCGAAGTCCAGGCCGACAAGAAGAGTGTCATGGTCAGTGAGACTGCGGTGCGATTCGGTCGTGATGGAAGGGCACAGCTTGCGACAGTCGTTCTGTTCCAGGTCATCAAGGGCAATGAAGCGTCGATACGAGAGGGATGGAATCATGTAGGTCGAAAGATTTTTGAGATATTCAAAGTGCTAACAACTGTAGCTCATTCGTATCATGGTCAATCTCTTCGTCAACTCTCTAATACCGCCTTATTTCTTGTCGTTCCAAAAGACTCTCGCTCTCCCGCCGATACCTCTCCAGAACCCAGCTCAGATTATCGATCGTCAAGAGCGGCCTGCGGATACGGGCATCTTCTCCGCCTTGACATCATATGTGTCGAGCTTCGCGAATGACGAGCCACCGGAGCCGTCTGATCAAGAAATTGAGTACACGTTGTGTACCGTCGATACCGTCAAGGAATGCCACTTCGAAGACATTCTTGCAAATATCAGTCAACTACCTGTCGAGGCACTGCGATCTTTACTGACTTTGCTGCTTGAGCATATACCTGAAGATGGCGAGCCCAGGGTCATCGTCGTCAAGCCAGAAGTTCCAGGAGCTGCAAATGCACGACCGAACGGTACGAGGAAAGCTGGCAAGGGCCCATTGTACGACCCCAGCCTAGTGTTTGTATTGGAGCTTGCGACCGTCCTTGCGCTTCGCGATGACGAGACTGTCAGAGAGCTTGCAAAGGATGTGACGGATGCCTTGGCTAGTGTTATTCGAGACACGTCGAAACACCATCCTGTTGTGGTGTCACGATCAGTGTACTATCTCTTGAGTCTTTTGAAGGCTAGCAATGTAAGTCTGATCAGACCCTGCTTATTGAATTGTACTGACACGACCAGGATTACGACTTCATCCGCGCCCCCGTCCTTCTACACACATTCTCCGGTTTCAACGACTCGCTTCTCAATGAGTGCTCACAGCCTATCCTCAAAGGTCTGACAGACTGTTGCAAGGGTCCCAACGCCCTGCGTAGCGAGCTCGCTGGCTCACCTGACTTCTGGTCTATCCTGAGCCGACTCTCAAGTGTGCCTGAAGCTGCTGGTGACGTCTTTGCGCTCGTCGAGGACCTGACGACTTCGACGCAGCCAGGTATCACGGCGGATAACTACGAGTCCGCTATTGCGATACTCAACGAGTTCGCGACAGCGGCTCAAGTCGGTGCGAGAGAAGAGCAGCTGTTCGACCAAGCTGCGCGACGTGGCAAGGGACAGAAGCCGAAGAAGCCCGAGAGCAACGAGGTCGTCGTCAGGGGAAGTACAGCAATGAACATTGTATTCCAGCTCAGCGGTCGAGCACCAACTTTCATCGAGCAGAGTCACCTCGAAACAACAGAGGGTAAGTCTTCGCATCCCACCAACGAATCACACATACTGACTAGAGATGTCTAGCATGGACAGCATACTGGTCCCCAATCCTCAAAACCCTCGCCCACCAATGTCTCAACCCCTGCCGCGAAATCCGCCAACAAGCTTTCTCTTCCCTCCAACGCACCCTCCTCTCCGACAACCTCGCCTCCCCCGCACACAAAGAATGGACTGCGATATTCAGCGAAGTCCTCTTCCCGCTCATCACCCAGCTGCTCAAGCCAGAAGTGTACCAGTCTGATCCACTGGGTATGAGCGAGACGCGCGTGCGCGCCGCCACCTTGCTGAGTAAAGTGTTCCTACACTATCTGGTGCTGCTGGGCGACATGGATGGCGGGAAACTGCTAGAGCTGTGGTTGAAGATTGTGACGATTATGGACCGGCTGATTAATAGTGGGCAGGGGGATAATCTTGTACGTCTTTTGGCCTTTCTATCACCCTCCTCTTCTTCTTCTTCTTCTTCCTCCCTCTTTCTCCCCCATCACTGCAACCATAACGCATGCTAACAACTTCATCAGGAAGAAGCCGTTTCTGAAAACCTCAAAAATATGCTCCTCGTCTTGTCCAACGGCGGCTATCTCGCTCCGCCAGACGAGAAGCCCGAGCAGGAGGAAATGTGGACGGAGACGTGGAAGCGCGTGAATCGCTTCTTGCCGAATTTCTTGGGCGAGTTGTTTCCGGAGGAGGTCGGGAAGCCGAAGAAGAAGGAGAAGGAGGAGGTGCTGCCGGTTCGGGAGAAGGAGGTGGAGAGTGAGAAGGAGGGTGGGGATGAGAAGGCTGAGGAGGTGGGGGAGAAGGAGGGATAGGGGAGTGATGCAAATTTCGCGTTTGGGAGAAGAGTTTTTAGAGGAGGGATGTGTATTAGGTATTGTGTGTAGAGATGAAGGAATTTGGAGCGTTTGAGTCACTTGTCTTTTGCAGTCTTGGATGAGACGAGATATGCTGAAAGACACCAAACTCATTACAAATTGCATGCATGGAGGACTTGGTGCGTGATGGTCCTGCTCAGCGGATATACCGGGTCAACTTGTCGTGATTGAGTAACTCGGCAGACTTTACTTTTATTCACCTACAGCCACAGCCTTGCCATTCATTAAGTTACAGGGGGTGATGCATTACCACCGACAATTACAACACTGGCCACGCTGTTGTAAACGAAGACATCTGAAAGCAAAAGAAGACGCCCGAAGGTGACAACATGTCGATTAAAGTCTTTGTTGTATCATGTAATGGGTATCATAAAATGTATGCTTGAACTTCATTCACTCCACCAAGTCTTCCTCCCCCTCTCTATCCAGCAAACCCTTCTTCTCTTCCCTCCTCCTCAACCCAGCATACACGCCCCCCTTGACAATCTCCCTCGTCTCCCCCACGGTCCCGAAGCAACAATGCTCCACGACCCCAAGCGGCCCCTCCCTCGGCCCCTCCTCCGCCAACACCCCAAATCTCAACTTCGTCCGCGTAAGCTCCCTCGGAAACGGGTCGCCCCCCAGACACGCGCCGACACTAAGATGATCGAGCGTGGGATTGCGCGTGGTGACCATGATGCGGCTAAACAGCACATCGCTCGCGACGCCATTCTGATGGATGGACCACGCGCCAATCAGGATGAAGACGAAGGTGATGCCGATGACGATGGCGTACCCATACCACAGCCCGCGCTTGTAGTATCTGAACACGTTGAGCGTGCGGGTTTTCAGGCACGCGACGTCCTGGGGCTGCGCGACGACGAGGGTGGGTTCGCTGAGCAGGCTGAGCAGCATGTCTTCGAAGAGGCCTTGGACGTCAGCCATCAAATTCGGCGACGGGTGCGAGGTGCGCGTGTCCATTAGGCGGGTCTCGGAGATGTCGGATTTGGTCACGACGTAGACGTCGGTGGATTTGGAGACGGAGCCGCGCAGGAAGCTGCGGAGTAGCGCGCCCATGGAGTGGTAGGCGGCCGTAAGTTTGTAGAGCTTAGGGTCGTCAAGGGGCCGGATGTAGTTTGTGGAGGGGGAGGCGACCCAGTCGCTGGTGTTGTCAGTGTTGGGAGTGAGGTGGGTGTCGATGACGGGGGCGAGGAAGTCGCGTTGGGTGAGGTTTGCGACTTGGGATGGGCTGTAGGTCATGTTGAATGTGTAGTTGGTGTGGTGCATGACGCATCTGAACATCTTGGGTACGTGTACGACTTTCCATTTTTTGGCGTTGGGAGAGTCAGGTGGGTAGGATTCGTTGGTTTGAAGAGCGTATCCAATCCAAAGTGCTGGCTCGCTTTCGAAGACTCCCAGGGATGCTGGATAGGGTGGACCTTCTATTGGAACACCATCGAGTGTATCAACTTGGGGCGACCTGTAATCGTCCTGGTCTACATCAGCGACATAGGTAAAATTGCCTTCCGGTGCAATCTGGTTCAGCTTGAAGGGTGCATTGTCTGGGGGTGCGTCTGTAAGATCTTCGCACTTGTAGCCTGGTCCCATGAAGTTGATAGAATACGAACAGTTCCAACCTTCTCCACAAAAGGATAAAGCTGCTTGATCACGGGGCTGCGGTCTCCTGAGATATGCAGCGCTGATTCCCAATCGGCGGACATTCTTCGATGGCTGATCGTAATAGTCAAAAAAGCCATCTTTGGTACCAGCTACATCGGTTGTGTTGTAGTACGACATAGCCTCGCGCCGTGTCTCGTTATCCGGCATGACTCGAAAGTCAAAGTCGGATTCACGAGCAAAATTGATATTTGCCACTGCTTGACATGTGGAGGGCACTTCGAAAGCAGTGATTTCCGAGGTTAGTGAGGCTGGAGACATTACGGAAGCTAGTGGTATCAGCCTGCGCTGTCGTAAGCAAGAGTAGCTGATGTGATGTCAAAAGACGCACCAACAGCATAATGCCATGAAAGTTGCCAGTTTTCCATTTCTCCACATTTCGCCATTGACGAAGAACTGGGTCGGGTCGTCTGGAGCAGAAAATAGGCCATCGATGCCGTCTATCGTCATTGCCTTTGTTCGAAATGTCCGCCATATTCGCTGCCGATTGCACATGATAGAAGTACCAACGAGCGTGCTCTTTACGAAGAAGGCTAACGCTGTTCCATATCGTATCTTCTTCAACTGATCATGCGCTGGCTGTCCGTTCAGATGCCTGTAGTAAAGATGGTGCCCTACAGCAGCTATGACACCAGAGATGAATAAAATTCCAATTAATGCAGGTGTCGTCCAATGTACATGCCATTGCGCTATTTCGCCAGCCCTTCGGTCCAACAGCGCCTGGGTGTCCGCGTCCGTAAGCTTACTACGATATAGCGAGCTTTGGGTATAAGTCGACTCCCTCCCAGACCTTGTCGATTGATGTGGACTCTCGTTGCGTCCTGTGACCGGCGCATACTGCCCAGCAGTTCTGTCGTACGACAGCCCGAAGGATGTATCTGGATGCAAGCTTGCTCGTCCCCGATCAGTCTCATCGAAGTTTGGAGACGGAAGAGGCGATCGACTGCGCGATTCATTAGAGCGGCGGGATCGGTTCGGGCGTTGCGATATATCAGACAACTCGATGGGGTCGGCCTCTGATGCGAAAGGATCATGTTGCGCGGGCGGCGTGGTCGGCGAAGATGATCGAGAGGAGGAGGAGTATGCGGAATGAGGGCCTCGCGAAGACATTGTGGAGGAAGTGGCGGGTCTCTGAAATCACAAAGCCGACATTTATGGGCGTTCGCGAATGGTAAGTCGTGTATGGAGTCGTGCTACCGTTCACAAATACTAGCTTGTACCGTGGGGTTCACCAGCTTCTGTAGACCTTCTACAGCCTTCAAGCACAGGTTCGAGAGCAAGTACAGAGCAAGAGATAACCAACGGCGTCTCTCTTGCATGAAACATGGCTCGTTGTTGTTAGTCGCTGAGCCTCTCCATCTCCGCAGCGGGACGTTGGCGAGGCCTCAGCCAACTTCGGACTAGGATGCACTAACGCCCAACTTGCAGACTGTGGCTGAATCGTGTTCAGCCGCCAGCTGAATCAAGCGTCGATCTTAGACAGCCGTCCAGCATCTGACCACGCTGTGAGCAGAGTACGGGTTGATCCTGTAACTGTGGTGCGATTTAAACTTTCTTTCTCCACAAGTCCTGCGGTGTCCATGAGGTGGTCGCCCATCGGACCGAAGCAGCACGTACTCCTGACGTCTATATGCGTAACAGCTCTTTGCTTAGCTACCAGATTCGGAAGAACCACATGCTGAGGCATGTATTGTGGAGAAGTGGATGGCGTAAGGTCATCAAGGTATCCAGCTACAAGGTCACCGAAGACGTGAAGAACAGTCGACTTTGCAAACTACCTTGGTAAGTCGAGCGTCATACTGTGCCAACGGTCCTCGAGCTTTTCTGCCGTCTTCTGCGCATGCCATTTGATGTGAGCGAAACTACAAGGTGTAAAAGCCACATAACCACAATGTCGCAAAAGAGAGGTAACAAGAGTCGCACCGAGAGAAGAATATCGTGACGAGAAGAGCTAGGATGAACATGATGCGATGATGAAAGTCTCAAGTGGATCGAAACGTGTGCTCGTTCTTTCCTCCCACGCGGTCACGAGCGGGCCGCTTCGGAGAATTCCCGCTTCGAGGCTTCAGCAGCCTCGCACCTTCTACCGACCCACTCCTACTTTCTGATGCTTATAAATCTATCCCCATCATACTCCATCGTCTACCGATTTCCACCATGCCAACCCCACGATTCAGGGACTATCCATGAGTCGGTAACGCACGTAGGAGCACCCCGTGGGCTACGATGAGAGCTTTCGAGAAACCAAAGCCGAGCGACTCCCGAGCGATGTCCATAGATTTACAATCATGGATTTACAATCATTGAACAGACAGGACAGACTAAGCTTAATGTCTACGAATTTATCAGCCGTTCTTTCTAAGAACTCGGCAAGAGTACCTACTTCTACCGGTCTTCATGAGTTTTCAGAATAGTGACGTTGGCCGATCTGGGACAACCCATGTTATTCTTGCGTCACCAATGGACCCTCGGGGAGCCCCACATCGACATGGCTATGATTCTGGACTGGTACATAAACAGACACTGCCCGCGGAGGAATTGCTGTGCAGATACCCAGAATAACTCACATCCTCATAATCCTTAATTGAATTTCTGAGAACCAGCACACAACAACAGACACAATGGCACCATCAACAACCAAGCAATGGACGGTCGAGGGCCAGAATGGCTTCGACTCTCTCAAGTTCAACGAGAAGGCACCAGTCCCTGAGATTGGTGACAACGATGTTCTCGTCAAGAGTATGAAGCTCAAGCAATAATTTCATCGTGAACTTTGCTAACATGAGAACAGTCCACGGCGCATCGCTCAACTACCGCGACCTGATCATCCCCAAGGGCAAATACCCTTTCCCCATGAAGGACAACATCGTCCCCGGCTCGGACGGCGCCGGTACCGTCGAATCAGTCGGCAAGAGAGTCACCCGCTTCAAGGCAGGTGGTACGTACCTATCCGCCTCTATCCGTACCTCCCACATACTAACACCCCGCAGACAAAGTGGTAACCCTCTTCAACCAAGGCCACCTCGCGGGCTCCCTCGACGCCCAATCCCTAGCCACCGGCCTCGGTGGCGCCCTCGACGGCACCCTGCGCGAACACGCCGTCTTCTCCGAATCCGGGCTCGTCGCCATGCCCACAAACCTCAACTTCCTCGAAGCCTCCACACTCTCCTGCGCCGCGCTCACCGCGTGGAACGGTCTCTACGGCCTCGAATCGCGCGCCCTGAAGCCCGGGCAATGGGTGCTCACACAAGGAACCGGCGGCGTGTCCATCTTCGCCCTCCAGTTTGCGAAAGCAGCAGGCGCCCGCGTCATTGCCACGACCTCGTCTGCAGCCAAGGCCGAGACGCTGAAGAAACTCGGAGCAGACCATGTGATCAACTACAAGGACACGCCCAACTGGGGTGAGGAGGCGAAGAAACTCACTGGCGGCGGCGTGGAGCACGTCATTGAAGTGGGCGGACCGTCCACCATGGCGCAGTCACTCAAGGCGATTGCGATTGACGGCGTGATCAGCATCATCGGCTTCATTGGCGGCATGAGCAAGGACCAGCCGACGTTCTTGGACTGTCTTACGGGCATGTGCACTGTGCGCGGTATCCTGGTCGGTTCGAGACTGCAGATGGAGGACATGTGTCGCGCGATTGAGGCGAATGACTTGCACCCTGTTGTGGACGAGAAGGTGTTCAAGCTCGAGGAGTTGAAGGAGGCGTATGAGTACATGTGGGATCAGAAGCATTTTGGCAAGTTGACTGTCAAGGTTGCGGAGTAGTGTACTGTACTGTACTGTGGTGGGAATGAATTGACGATATCACGTAACTTCTGGTGTACATGCTGTGAAGGCGGACTGCGATAGGAGAGCCTGTCTATCTCCATCCTCCTTGAGCGCTTTATCTGGCACACTACAAAGACTCGAGGATATACAGGTATGTTCATTCGTATGTGATGTTCGTGGGGTTGAGTACAAGTCTGCGCCTGAGTTCCCAGCAGCATCCCAAAATCTACCCCCAAACCGCTCAGAAACCTCCATTGCTAGCCAGCACCTGTATATGTACACAGCCTCATAAAGCTTCAATTAACGAGGTCTTGAGAAGAGCTGTATGGCCTCAAGGACTCATCAAGTATGCGACTGATGATGATTTGTAATGCGTACATGTACAGGTCAAATCAAGCACAAACCAAGGCACATTAAAGTGATTATTCTATCATCTCATTGCTATTCAAACATTACTTTATGCCACTCACGGGCTTTTACCACGCCTCTGTGGGCCATATGTAGTCGGGGGTATCAAAGGTCATCCATCATGAGGACCTCGTCCAGCGAGTGCCAATTATTCGTTAAAGGCAAGGAAATTCGTAATCATCTCATACCGCAGAATTCAATTGAACTCGGCGGTGGGTACACCAGCCATCAGCGTGGTGGCAATGCGCTCGCGCGCGTCAAGCATGCCGTCACAGGCAATAATCTTGACGTATTCTTCTCCGCGAAGAAGGGCGAGAGCGTTCAGAATAGCAAAAACGCCGCAGTCGCTGCCGTTAATCTGGCGAGTGGAGCGCTGCTTCCACAGGACAACCCACTCATCCTCATTCCAGAACTCCTTGAGCTCTAGCTTAAGGTACTCCTTGAGCTTGTCGACGTACTTGGAGCCGTCCCATCCCAAAGAATCGAGATACTCAATCGTGCGCTCTTTGGGCTTCACGACAAGTAGACGCCAGTGACCGCCGTCACAAATGGGGTAGAGAATAAGGTTAGCATCAAGGTACTGTTTGCCGGCTAGTCGGAACCTCGCAGCCCAGCGTGCTACTCCCTGGTAATCCTTGGTCTTCATGGTGGGGTACCAGAAGGAGGAGAATGCATGTACAGTAGGAGCGGGGCCGCCTCGCTTGGATACAAACCCAGCTTCCTTCTTGAGATGCTCGATGAGGACACCCAGGTACTCGTTGACAATGTTGTCGTTCAACCAGGCCTTCGGATCTCCACTGAACATACGCGGCAACAAGGTCGAGAAGTCGTGCGCGGTGAGCTTCTCGGGTACGATGTGCGCATCTGCGATGCGACCATTCTCAGTCTTCTTGGCAGCTGCTTCGAGCTTCTTGGACTCTTCTTCTGAAAGTGGTTCCATAAAGGCCTTGACTTTCGGCGGCGACGGAGGGGCAAGAGCCAGCTTCTCTTGCAGCTCTTTTTGCAAATCGCCCAGAAACTCCAAGGAGATCTGCGACTCCTCAAGGGAGTCATCGTCGGTGTCGTCCCATGTGGAAGATGGTACTCCGGTAAAGCCAACGGAATCCTTCGCAGTCGCCTCTTGCTGGGTGCTGCTTCCATCATTGCTGCGAGACGGCGAAATTGCAGCATCTGCACCCTCATCATCAGAGGTGTCGGTATCTGAATTGTAGATCTTGACCGGCGACCGGAACGGGCTAGAGTGGATGGCTTCTAGGACCGAGTCCATCATGTCTGCAACTTTTTCGTCGCAATAGAAAGGCTTCGCGTGGGCGTGTAGGCTCCACCGAACTACTTTCTTGCCGCCGCGATCAGGTCGAGGAGACGGCGCGGGCGGCTCGTCCTCTTCATCAGGTGCGTCGTCGAGGAAAGAAAGTGCTTGGTCGACTGTTTCGGTGTAGTTGTAGTATTCTTGTTCGGCGGCCGACATTCCGGGAACATAGTTGTGCCGAGCCTCGGCCGCAGCCCTGTAGTGCTCACTGGCTTGCTGAGCTTGGCGCGCGACCTCCGCGGCATGGTTCTTTAAGGTAAAGGCCTGATACTCTTTCTGTTGTAGCTCGGTCTGCTCCGGGACACGATGCGAGGGCGACGGGACTGTATGGTCTGAGGCTGAGGGAAAGTTGACGTGGAATGCTCCCTGTTCGAGAGCTTGGTTCTTGAGTAACAGCTTGCGCATGGGAGTGACTGTCGCATTGCTGATGATGTTCATATGCGAGTTCGGTGAGATCTGAAGAGGTCCGCGCGACGGCATCTGCACAGCCGGCGAATGGTGAGGAACCTCCACTAACTGGTGAAGCAGCTGCGACTGGATTGCCTGCGAC